AAGAGAGAAATCCCCGGCGAGTTGGCTGCTGGAAACCGAACAAAGAAACAACAGATCCCTAATATTGTGCTGCTGGCGGACAAGCAGTCCGCGCCCTGATATTTACCCTGTTCCACAGCGTCAAGCTAATGGAAATGGGAGATCTGCGAGCGCAGAGAGAACACATCAAGCTAATGTCCTGTGAAACGCCAGACATGTCGGGCGGGTGCATCAACGAACCCAATCTCCGGCGCTGACATACATGCAGTTCTCCGGACATGGTGCCATTTATCGATTCCACATGCAAGCGACCGAACTCATAACGACTCTATCACGAATTCTGCCCTTCCGAAGCAAGTTCTGCACTGACATTGCTCGGTTGACGAACTGATGAACAAGCCCTGTGAGCTGGTTCCCGGAGTCAACCAAGCTGTCACAATTCCGATCCGATCAAAGCATTTGATCAGGCCTTGCGCTTCCTGGAATGCAGATCGCCTCCGTTACCCCAGCCGCCCAAGTGCTGATAGCCTGATAATGATGGTGCAAGTAAGACACGCACTCGCCGGGGCTCCGAATCGCCAATGCAGTTGAATGCTTGGGGGATTCGTCAGATCGGTGATTCGGAACCCTGACGAGTGATCTCGTTGGGATCGTCGAGAACGACAACAGCCACCTGGGTAGGCACTGCAACCTGCTCAGCTTTGTGTCTGAGGAGCTTGCTTTCACGTGAGACGGCTCCGCTAGGCTCTGTTCGCAGCGAACTGCTGCAGGGGTGTGGTTGAGGCTCTGCTTTGTGAATCACTATTGTACGGAGTACTTGCAGTCCGATCTCAAGCGGTGCTCTTTCTCGTACTCTTCGGACAGGCCGGTACTGACTATGTCTCAATTTGGTTTTCAAGGGCACTTGCGCCAATTGGACTGGTGCCCGAAGGATGTGCAGTCGATTATGCATGCTGCAAGATGGTGACGAAACGTGTGACGACACCCGAAAGGATACATGCATGTGGAGTATGAATATGCCAGAACTGTTCGCATCGACCTGCAGACTGTCAGGCTGGGGCCGGGGGATGCGAGATGAGTTCTGAGATTCGTCGTCTGCAGTGTCCTGAAGAAGCCAAGATGGTGGGTATGAATTGTGTGCGAGTTGTTCTGACGAGCCAGTTCCGGAGGAGGTGTGCTAGACAATGTGCTTCAGAAAAGTGATTGGCTCCAGGTAGATCCTGCGATAAACTTGATCGGTATGAGTGTGTGCGAATGACAATTGCAAGGGATCAAAGAGCTTTGATGTTGAAACTATCTGTGCATACAGTGGCGGAGTCAGCATCTGGCCGAAGTCCACGTTGTCATCTACTGTAGTTGAGTCCCTTGCGCGGCATTCGGAAGAGTTGAATTGATGCATTTTGGAAAGCGAAGCCAAGAGATGCTTGTGGTAACCGGAAGATGGGTCCGGTCAGAATCGATTCCTTTCTGGTCGGAGCAAGGAAGACGGAGCTGCGGGGGGTCGAGATTGCTAGCGGCCGTTGAGGATCTGTCTCTCCAAAGGGAGACTGCAAGACGCGGTTGTCCCTTTTCAACTTACCGTATGTGACGGGGGAGAACTACCGGGTGTCGGACCGATCGGTCGTTCCTGCATCCCGTGTGTCTCACCGGTTTCCCCTTTGTCCACCCTTCAGGTTCGTGATCCCGACCTAAAACGGGGCCTTTCAAAAGGAATTCTGGCTAAGACGGAGTGGGTAAGGTATCCGTACCTCAGACCAGATTGATACAACCCACGTTATGATTGGTGCCAGACCGAAGTTGCAAATAGAGAATCGTCGAGTTTTGCAGAGGGAGGAGGACGGAGTGCCAAAAACAGCTAGATGGCAACTGCGAAGTCCGATTCCTTCAGGCGAACCTGACCTTGCCGCTGTCTCTGTCATGGACTCGGAAAATGAACGCAGATTCACTCAGTAAGGAGTATCAGCTCATGAAACCGGGCATCTGGTGCCTTGCGAGTCACCGCAGGGCTGTCGGAGGTTTTTGGCTTGTCATTCTCCACTCCACCCCCGACGAGACTCTGGTGACCAGATGACGAAGGACCCCGTCGACTGGTGACGGCCGGCTGTGATGTATCACCATCCAAGCCTGCGACGGCTGCAACCCGAATTCTCCGAATACTAGTACTACGAAGTATGCCTTGGGTCTGCGATGTACCTCGCTCGTCATTGGCGCGGTAGTCTCTGTTACTGTCTCCATCTCATCTCTGTTGTCGTCGTGCTACTGACAGGGTTTTTCCATGCCTGGTAAAATGGGAGTTAGGGAAATATACTTTGTACTAACCAACACACCGCTTTGCCGAGTTCGGTATATATATTGGAGGCGGCAGCGCAGCCGTGCCGCCCGCGGATGGAAGCCGGAAGGCGGGCATTGAAGATTTGCATCGCATCGAGTGCCGGCAGCTGGAGGAGGGCCCCGATTGTGTAACCCGGCGCCCAGTCTCGAACATTTCCGGCCGGTGCTGTTCTAGATCCGGCCCCCGTGCAACTGATGATATTGACATCGTATGATGCTGTGGGCTTCGGTGAAGGAGCCGAGGTGCCAACGGCAGCCAGGGTCACCAAGGCAAACTCATCGCATACTGTGGTATGTGGTATGGACAAGCATAATCACCATGGGGTCCTACAGCGTGACTCTGTGTCTGTGTTATCGGCGGCGTGACGATGCAAGAGGCCATCCGGAGACACTGCCAGATCTGGAAATATTCCGGGCCAGGCCGTCTGTGCGTTCGACATGGCCGATTCCGAGTTCCGGAGGGCACGCTAACGACCCGTGTCTCTTGTGGCTTGTTCGGTAGTCTACACAGTACGAAGTAGCTAGATCTCGTTGTCAGCCTTTGGAGTCGATAGCAACGCCGCAGATTGGTTTAATCAGGTTGTCGACATTGGATTGATGGACAAGCGCGAGTACGGAGTAGCGTCAGGCAAATGGTCTATTAGCCTTGTGATTCGGAGCGGGCTTCTCAGTGTATTCCCCCTATCCAGGAGAATCTCTTCTGTCTGATTTCTGTTGCTTATCAGCCAGTGGGTTTCATGATGTCCAAGGGACGCAGCATTCTTTCATGAGTGAGCAAACTGCACGTATGTAGTGTGGTGACCTGATGTTGAAGAATTTCACCTAGTTTCGGGTTCTGGATTGGCTCGGAGTGCTGCGTGCCGTCCCCGGTAGATGCTTCGATTGGCTCGGCTCGACGGAGCGGGACCGGGAACGCCTGGTCCGTGTGCTGCCGGGCCCGGATCGTCGCAGATCAGGGGACAGTTGCACAACCGTGAGCTTTGGATTACCTGCCTGTCATATTCTCCAAGTTGAGGGTAAGATCATTGCGGGAATAAATGGTGATTCCATTGCAGAATTGAGAACAGTGAGCCTCACTTAAACTCGAGATGTAGACGCTTGGGCGATACACAATTCGATGGGCGGTTCGGTTGGGGTTCGTTCAAACCAAAGTGAGCGGCGCCATCATCGGCAAGGCAGGGATAAATGTTTCTGTTTCGATCCCGTTTCAGATCGAGTGATGCAAGCCACCAACGCCCATTGGGGGGGTGACACTCCGTCGCTCATGATCAATCAGGTAGCGAGGATGTTAGTTATCGAGCTGCATTCATTTATTAGCGCTCCAAAACATAATATACAATGCACATCTTGATTGTCAGATCAACTTTCCCACATGCACCACATTCTGTCCATGCAAGGGTTGCCAATTGGCATTTCATTCTCGCAGCGGCTGGGGATGCAACTCAATACCTCCATTACTCGTGGCGAGACTGGGCCACATCTGCTCTGAACTGCGGGAAGCGAGGTAAGCTGTGGTAAGAGCTTGGATGCAACATCCATGGATGCTAGCCATTGCCAGTCTATACAGGACAGCTTCTCGCGGCCATGGCAAGCCCCCAGGTGACCTCTAGGAATCTCAATCGTATCCGTACCCGACCTCGCTGCAGCGGGGATGGGTGTGAAAAGAGACTGGCATCATGACGCATGAACCAAGGTCCCGTCGTCCAAATGAAGCTCTTGGGAAACAGCAGCGCCTGCCCGTTGTCAAGCATCGACTGCCTGAGGTTTGTTCCGAAGGGGAATATTGGCGACTCCAAGTCTAGGAGAGAGCGATGCACCGCTTGGAAACGGGATGCTCGAAGGTACCGTTCCATCCAGGCTGTTAGTGTGGACAAAAATAATGTATGCAGAAATTATCCTCTCGAATACCCCTTTTAGCAGACTGGACGGTCGCCTTCTCTTCATGAATCTCGACATGGGCCCACAAGCCTTTGATTGACTTGACTTCCATTTCCACTCGAGCGAGAAGGTCGTTTCGCAGGGCTAAAGGTATTTTCTAAGGTACCGTTTCATGCCAATAGTTGGTCTCCAAGTTCACGTTTTTTTGTCATGGATGCTGCAAAGAATGCCCTAAGTTTCCCTTGGCGGAATATCATATAAGGTACTTGTACCTTCACGATAGTGTTGCCCTTCGTCCAAATTAAGACATCACACTGGCAGGGACCGAAAACTGCATCGGAGTTCCTCATAGTCAGCCCGTGTCGCACCCAGACACGCCGCCCACGAGCCGGCAGGAATCAAATCACATTGACGAAGTGTATCCGAAATGTTACTGTCGCAGCGGGCGTGGTCTTCTTTCCCAACAACGCTCGCTTGGAAGGTGAGGGGGGCAGTCAACCTGGGATGTCAGATATTACAAATCTAGCGCACCGTCCACGAGGGCGGGATGCTGTGATGGATTTCTTGAGTTCAAGCGGTCAACCCAACTTTGTCAACAACAACCCGAAGTCGAAACCTTCCACCGCTGTTCGCCTATGCCCCGCTACCGCGGAGGGAAATCGCACCAACATCAGAAGCATAAACACTACATCCTGCTGTTGAATGCGCCCATAACGGTGCATTAATCCTCCTGATGGAGCCAAAGGGGGCGGTCTGGGCATGCAATGACGACAGCTCGCCTGCATTGACTGCAGAAATTTCCGCCTGTGCTGAAGTTTTGGTCGAAGTACCGGCCACAAACGTGGACCCGCACATGGCAGTGGGGCTCCGGTTTGAGAGGGCTGAGCTTGGTCCGGTGGGGACTTTGGGGCAGCTTATCAGATGGGACCCACCAGCAGCGCACAGACACCCGAGACGTTGACGCTGGAGCTCGAATCTCCCGAGAACAGCCCTTCCTTCCCTCTCAATCTTGAAGCATGGAGACAGGCAACTTTGACTGTTGATCCACAGCTTGTCATCCAAACAAGCATCGAACTGCCGAGAGCCTCTCGACCAACTGGCGTCTTTTCCGAGCCCTGCCGAGCAAACGCTTTAGGCGCTCTTGTTTGCCGCCCGGTAGAGGATTTTTTTCCCGAAAATCTGCCCAAAGCGAGGCGACCAGTCCGACACGATTTCTACGTCTCGCGCCTAAAGTGCCAGACCTCAAAAATAGGGTGGACAGCCATCAACGAAGAGCTTTCGATGCGGTGTGAGGAACTTTACCCCGAAATCACGCTAACGAGCCGTGTCTGCATGAAGCTTCCAGCCGCTCGCTTGCCCGCCGCCCTGAAATATCGGGACATGGCTCACGGGTCGGTTGCTGCTCGGCACGCACCCCACACTTTGTCGTCTCCGCGGCTGCAATCTTCAACCGGCCGGCCGCCAACATGGACTGCCGAAACTAGAGCGGTTCGACCTGTAGGCTGCTGGGTGGCCGCCATCTCCCTCGAACGGCTGAGCTTGCCATTCAAGCCCTTCGCCGCATTTGTCACAATGCGCCCGTCCGCCACCCACTACACCAGTCAGTCCACTTCAAAGCCTAACCAGCGCGATGTGACCACGGCTTCATTGTTATTGTGTGGTTGGCCTGCCCCGTGTCCTTCCTACTTCCCTACACCAGCGTCCTGCTTCCCGCTCGGCACTCATCAAAGCATCCCATGTGCACATACAGTCAAGCATCTTGTCTTACAGGACCAAGCTCAGAGCCGAACCGTCCCGCGGCCGTTTCTGGATATGGCTCCTGCATTGGTAATTCTGGTCTGCCATGTACTCCGTGAATACCCCAGGCTTCTGTGGAGATCCTCATCCAAGCACCCGTGGTAACAGCGGCGCCACAGTGGCATTGGAGGAACCGCTCACCGCAGCGTCCTGATAGCGCAACACCACACCTCACGTCTGTCTCGTCGCATACTGTAGTTTCCTTTTGCCAAAGTACAATGGGACTCATCCCAAGCCGAATGTCAATTGGACGGGGCAGGGGGTGTTAAAGTTCAAAGAAGACTTCCGTTTAATAGACGTAAGACGGCCGACTTGACCATCTGATTTCCAGAGTCTTACCATGGTACTCCTCACAGGGTCGCGAATGCGGGGAAACCCTGTCGCATGCAGTGGGAAGACCAGTCATCGGGTAGAAGATTGGTCTGAACACAACAACAATAGACTTCCTTGCGGTTCCAGGACTCAATCATCAATGCAAGGGAAACTCTTCTCGTCTGGCAACGTAAGCCAAGACGATATGAGTTCGGAGCTCGGTAGGCCCTGATTTTCTCTTGCGGAGCTCTGTTACCAAACGACCACCTCCGATCCCTTCGACTCCAGAGCTTGGTACGCCAAATAAGAACAACGGTACACTTGGCTGACCGCGGCAGGCAATGGAAGGCACTGCCATCCAACGAAGAACCTCACCGCCAGCTTCCCTTATTAGAGCTCGACTTGACAATCGCGGCCACTCCTCATGAAATCTTGAACTCATCCTGACACCATCGCCAGCTTATCATGGCGGGAATCGAGTGTTGCGGGGCGAATAACCTTACTGATATTCGCTCTTGCAGGTGAATGGCTGAAACGATGGTCAGAATCTGACGATCGGTATTAGCCCGATAAACAAATTCAACGACCAAATAAGGTACGGTACCTTAGGTATGACACAGATTGGTCCCCTTAAGATCCAGCGGCGGGAGAAGCTCGACAGAGGGGAGGCAACCCTGCTTGTCGCTCCCTTGCTTGCCAATGATAATAGCAACGTCCAAGATTTCCCTTCCTGTGTACAGTGTAAAGTCTCGGATCGCACCCGAACGGCACAATCTCTGCTCTTCCCTCGTGTCCTCTACCCGAGGATGGGATATCTTTGTCTTTCATTATTTCCATTTCCCACGTTTATTCCCTCAAGTCTGTCACTGCGTTAGCCCAGGACTGCTCCTGTTAGTTGCTTGTCAGTCACAGTGTGAAGGTTCGAGCATATGCGTCTTGCTAGAGCGCGAGCGTACGGAGAATTAGGACCCGCCCTGCAACAGATTGAATCAGCTCGGGGTCAATTGGCAGGGCAATTGATATGGGACAGCCAGCTTGACGCTGCCGTGTAACGTCGACCCAGCTCACGGAAAGCCGCGGGTGTATCCAGATGGCGCCTTTTTGGTGGCACCGGGACCGGGATCCACCCTTCCGGTGATTCGGACGGGAGTGGACCTGGATGGCCCGGTCCTGGGAAAAGGGCCGCAGCACCGCATCTCTGACTTGGTTTTGAGGTGAGCTGCGATGGGCTGACCACGGCAGCGGAACCATTTTGTGAGACATTGTGTGTTCCCTAGCATTAGCGACACACAGCGGAGGCCGGTGCAGCTGAAATAGAGGGAAGAAGAGACCCGCAGTTCGAGCCGCAAGGAGGCAGGTCTTCCTTTTTGTCTTTATGTCTCGCTTTTTTAATGCCGACGGCCGCCGGCAACTGGATATTATCTTGGGGGTCACAACATCGGTGGATGGGGGACCTCAATGCTTTGACGGCAGGTTGGGGCCGGCCATCAGATGTGATGTTGCACCATAACAATTGACTAGTTCTACCTGTATCCCTTGCCGAATGCATGGCGTATCTTTATTGTCGCATTTCAGATTGTACGTCGCTCGATCTGCTGCGCGTGAGAACCATCTCACATACCTCACCAAAACAATAGACGATTCCCATTCGAGGCGTTACCACCACCGAAACAACGCGGAAGTCAAACGGGAGAGAGCTGGTTAGAAACAGGGAAGATAATTTTATGAAGTTCAGCTCACAAAACACGATGGTGTAACTGAGTCGAGGACTTCATACCGCTGCTTTCCGGCTGTATAGGTAGGAATCGTTCTGGCCTCTATCCCGTACCCCACCAAGTTTGACAGTGTGATGAATGCCAGCTCTTCCCTCCATTTTCTTTTGTACCGAGCATCGGGAACGAGTACAAAATTCGCACTCTCCATAGAACGAAGCCTCCCGTCGCCTCCCCTCTCTCTCTTCCATGTCTCGCCATTTCCGATTGTTCCGTGCTATTTGGCTTGGCGAAAGACAAGAGAAGCTGTCGCGGGCTGGCCTCGCTCTGGACCCACTGCTCGCGGGGAGCTCCTCCACCCTTGCAGGACCCAGCCCCGGCCCCGGTCAACCTTGTCGCCGGGATCCTTGACTTTTTGAGGTCACCTCTAACCCCGGCCGGAGCTGCGGCCTCTTCAGTTTGACGCAGGGTGTCCCCTTGCTGCAGCTCGTCCTCCGAGCGGACCCATACGGTACCTGGGGTACAGCAAGGGCCCTTGCTTGCCATCCAAGTCCGTGCGAGGCCAGCCGGGAGCGAATTGGAATCGCAACCAGATTCTGACGGGCTCCACCCGACTGGACAGAAAAGGGAAGGGCGTCCAGCCCGCGGATGACGAGCCGTGTGTGCGTTGTGTGCTGCTCATCCTTCCTGTGGGTTAAATTTCGCAATTTTTAGCAGGTGGTGTTTCTTTCAACTTGTAGCCGCAGCACACGTCTGTGACTGGTTCTTCTGGAGCTACCCCTTCCTCTCTTCCCACAACTGAACCTGCTTGACCGCTGGAAGGGACGAACCTTCCGTCCCTTTCTGGCGATCCGGGGGTGGGCCTGGCAACCTCACCTTTCCGTCCCAAAGAATCGCAGTTCCTCATCCTACGTGTAGGTTAATAAAGCTACGGATTACACACGAGAAGCATCAGCTACCTGCCGTCAGCCGTCTCCCAATTGACCGTCGTATTCGAATTACTCGACGTTTATCTCGGCTGTTCCAGGCCGGGAACCGGGGCCTGCATGATTCGTCAGGTAATGCGTTGTTGGTTCGAATTGATGCCCCGCGATGAGCAGAGTCTCCGATGCTAGGTCACGTTCAGTTAGTGGAAGGGGGGTCGCTAGCGGTGCCATGGAAGCGAGAATTGTTCGACCTTACGAGCCGCTAGCTGCATCAGCTGCTGCAGGGCATTCCAAACAGCTTTCTGACTTTTCCTGTTCCTCTTCCTCCAAGGTCCTCATTTGGTCCGTGGCGGCCACGGATAGTTGCCGTTTCCGGGCAAGCTAGGGGGCGAAATAACGTTACCTGCTGTGTAAAAAAACAGAATCTGCAAGGGGTGCTATCCGTAAACCTCACACCTTCCTTCAAGCGGCCAGGGTGTTTCCCAACCAAGCAACAACCCCTACCCTTGGCTGACTCGGTCCGCGCTCAATGATAAACTTTCCCACCAGGTGCGGAATACGTTGACTGACATGCTCCTCACACCTCCCTCTTGCCGTTCATTGCCTTGTCATTCCCACTCCCAAATACGTACAGACCAGGACGACATAACTATCGGCAGTGTTACAGCCGACGTCTTAAGAAGCTCGAAAACTCCGAGAACCAGCCTCCTGGAATCCATCGGCCCCGTGGACGCCCGACTGAGAAGGCACATAATAACGACCCCGACGAGCTGCAGGTCGAACCGCTGTGATCGTGGGGCATCCTGCATCCGCCGTGTCACTCCCTTACTATCACAGGATTCCTCCGTCGGCGAAGAGGCAACCGCAGGTTCGGGGGGGGGGCCTGCTTTCGATCTGGTTCTTCCTCTTACAGTACACCAACCCTCTCTCCGTCTGCAGTCCTGGACAAGCTCATCTACCCCACTCGTAGAGAAGCCGCGCGCCGCAGCTCACCAGGTCTTCCAGTTGCCATCGAGTTTCGCCGTGCCGTCCAGTGTCTGTAGAAGAGACAGCAGCAGCAGCTCCGAAGCGTGCTGGTGCCCGTGTGCCACCCATTGACCAGATCGCCTTGCAACTCCGTACCCGGTGCAAGCGCTGGTCTGGGCTCTGGAGTATCTGTACTTGTACAAATACAAGTACATTCATACCATCACACCGCAGCACCCCGACAGCCTGGCCTCCCCACACCGTCGCGTCTTGAGATCCATCACCACCCGCCGTCGCACCGCCGCTATCGAACTCGCCTTTCTTCCCCGCACCGGCAGACCTGAGGAGTGGTCGACTGTGGGACGGCCCGGAGGTATAGCGAACCCGCTGATATAGCTGCATCGTCCCCATCGTGCTCGTTCGCAGATTGCTCCGCCGACAACAGCCGGCAACCGTTGTTCGAGCCGCCTGGTCCGCTGCCGACGCCCGCCATCCCCATCCTCAGATCGTCTCCGCCTACATAAGCCGCCAGGCCCTCGAAACTACTTCTCATACGGATTCGACAGGTGAGCCGAAGCCGCCGAGGATTGGGCTTTTGCGGCCATCGCGATCAGGGGCTGATCACAAGAGAGAACCGGAACGATAGCACTGGCTGCGTCCTTCCGGCCGTGTCGGCCAATACTAGATTCCGTCTCCCGCAAGAGGCAACCACAGCGCGCCAGCTCCAACCACAAGCCAGAAGGCTCCCTTTGCCTAGCCGGGAACCACACCCGGCGACCTTTCCTTGGCCTGTCCAGTTCCCCTTTCAACTGGCTTGCTCTTTTTCTCTTGCACTTGTGAGAGTGGCCGGGTGGAGACATCTGTGCGACCGGTTCCTGGTCTGAATGACAAAGGCGGGCGTACATCAGACACGCAGTCCAAAATCTCCGGACGTATGAAGGGACGAACCCAGTCCCGACAAGCAGTCGCCCTCATCACTCAGCGTCCCGTACCTGGATCTCGGCCAGCCCCGTTCGGCAGTCTGCGACCAAAGAATACGCTGTGCAACAACACGGCATCCGGGCACCGACAGGGCTAACGTTAGGAGCCGCCGCTTCGCCTCGACGATCTGCAGAGGTGGTGGGTGTGTTCGCTCTTCCCGGCACACCCTCCCCGGCCCTAGGTCTGAAACCTGATGCATGCTCGACACTTGGAGCCTGCCGGACTAGCTCCAACCCCATCCTTTTCGCGCTATCGCGAAATAGGCAGACCAGGTACGAAGCACTTTCTCCTCATGCTTTCCCGGTGTGCCGTCATTACGGCGCCCGGACCTTATTTCCTCGAGTCTGTTCTTGGCTTTTTGGTGCTTCGTCAGGGTGGAAAGCTCTTCACATATCCTTATTAAGGGCTTGAGATCTGCCCGCTTTCGTCACCATTCGATGAGAGTTGGGTTGGTGCTAGGTCATCCTTTTTGCTTGACGGGAAGAGTTCGTTTCCTTTGCGTGTCGCCACTCCGCCCGGCCCCTCTCGAGCCTCTGCCGGATAAGCTTAAAGGATCTGGGCCAACCGTCTGCTTCTCATTCCCATCCGTTCCCACGGACCTAACATCGTACAGCAAATCGAAAGGCCCTCGGTCGCGACCCGCTCGAGCGAGTTTGGGCCACTGCTCGAAACGAGAGTGTAAAGGATACACGAAGTCGGCACAGCCCATATCTCAGCGATCCGGATCCGCGGATCCTGTCATCAGGTTGGCAACAAAAGCCCAGCAACCGTTGAGCTAGACTCGGCCACGCAAGCCCAGGCTATACGCGTCGCGTGGGTTCCCCTGCTAGAGAGCTCTCCACCATTCCCGGTTCCCCACGTTTTGAAAGGTGGAAAGAGGCGAGTCGGCCATAAAAGGACTTGCGCACCCGCGCACCCAATCGCGGTCCGCCATCGGTCCTCCACAAGGCCCAAAATATCAAATCTAAGTCTAAAGATCGAGAGACTGAGAGCCAGCATAGATGGATGTCGGGGACATGGTCACCTCGGACACGGGGAATCGCAATTTCCGGTGCGATTGGGAGGGCTGTAGGAAGGTGAGTACCCCCTCTCCCCTACCGCCCGAGACGAACCGCCAGCAGCGACGGTGGCAGCTGACTTACATCATCGCCAGGCCTTCAATCGCAAGTCGGACTTGCAGCGGCACTATCGGATACACACAAATGAGAGGCCTTTCGGCTGTACCTGGGCCGGCTGCAGCCAACGTTTCATCCAACGGAGCGCCCTCACCGTACACATGCGTACGCACACGGGTGAGAAGCCTCATGGATGTCTGCATCCAGGATGCGGCAAGAAGTTCTCAGACGTGCGTAGTTCCCCTGGCCAGGCCTTGTGCCAATCATGCCTCCCCGCTTCTCCACGCTCTTCTTGCTGACTTCAGCATACAGTCCTCGAGTTTGGCGAGGCATCGCCGGATACACACGGGCAACCGGCCGTATAAGTGTAACCATGATGGCTGTACGAAGAGGTGAGAGCCTTGCTTTCCCTTCCGCGCCGGCCTGGCACTAAACGGCCAATGAAATAGTTTCTGCAGAAAAACAACCATGGTCAAACACCTCAAGCGTAGCCATCATCCTGGGCGACATTCCCCCGAGATGGAGGACATGATATCCGATGGCGGGAGTGACAGCCCGCCATCGACGCCCAACAGCCACGTCGCGATGCCGCTTCAGCCCAGTCTCGGATTCGGACCCATTACGGGCCAACCCGCGTACCCAGCCGGGTACCCCCAACAGTCAACCCCCTCGTTCGCGCAAACCGCGCAGCATGCCCCCTACGCCCTGCAGCCGCAGTACGGCCATCGCCACAGCCTGCCGCACAGCCAGCCCACCCCCGACTACCATGGCCTTTCACAGCCACAACAGCATCCACCGGCGCTCGGGCAAGTCTTCCAGCGGACAGCGAGCCTACCCCACCAATTGCAGTACCATCCACAGGTCCCGCGGCAGGGCCCTGAGCGGCCCCCGCTTAATATCCCGCCATCGCCGTATCCAACAGGTGAGCACGATATAACGAGCAGCATACCACAGGCGAGCCCGGGTGGCTTCTCAGTCACGTCGGGGCACGGCAGCCCAGCGGCGCAGCAAGACTTCTACACACACCTCCCGCCGGGCAACAGTGCGGCATACACACTGCGCCCCAGCGGACCGACCGCACACCACCAGCCACATGCAATATCACCCGCGTCAACAGCCCCAATGATGGCGTTGCAGGGCCAGCTGCCCCCACTCCAGCAGCAGCAACAACAATACCGCCAGGAACTGCATCGACACTTCTCCCCGCTCCGTCCACAAGACGGGCAGCGAGCGGCCCAACAGCAGTATCACCTGCAGCAGCATCAGCAACTGCAGCAGCAACTGCAGCAGCAACAACAACAACAGGACAACCAGCCAGACCAGCAGCGGCAGCAGCAGCAACATGAGCAGCACCAGCAGCACCAGCACCCGCAGCAGTCTTGGGGGTTTGATGGAGAGGTTGCGGTCGTGCAGCAGTACCAGTCGCCGACCGATGTGACCGCCATTGGCTCGTTACCGTTTAGTGCGGCCAACAACTTCGAACTCTGGGACCCCGACAAGCTCGACTTCAATGAGACTGGCATGACAATGCCGAGCACGAGGATAAATGAAATGAGCTAGGGCGTAGTAATGCTCCGCGCTGCTCCGTCCTCGTCCGCCGCCCAGGTTTCTTCGGACGTTGGCGCCTCTCGGATGTTGCTGCTCTGGTCATTATGATTGTCGTTGCTGGCGATGGGTTGTTGTTGGTGTTGCTCCGTTCACGGCGCTGCGTTTATGCTTGGTGCTCTTGTCGGTTTCCATACCCCCGGCTCAAGCTCTTGGATTGGCGGGCTTGATTGCTGGTCTGAGCTGCTCCGGCCTCGGGTTCGTTTCAGGCTGCTGGCATCGTCATCAGCCTGAAGTATCATTGTCGTCGTGGCCTGGTTGACGTTTCAGCCCTGCCATTACCATCCCATCGACTTGACCGGACCCGCGTTGTCCGTAGTCTTGGGTTCATCAGGGGCCAAGCAAACAAACCTTGTTTGCCTGGCTCTCTCGACTCGTCTGGTTACCCAGGCCAGGTTGCTGGCCTGATTCGGCTGATTGCATTCTCATCGGTCCCGTCCTTGTCGACTCTGTCGTGGCTCATGATCATCACGGACCAGGCATTGTTTGCCTGGCCCTTTAGCTTGCGTTTGGCATGGATCGGACTGGTTCAGCCACACCCCAGCCAATTCGCGTGATTTTCAAACTCGCAGAACTGAAGAAACCAACCGAGTCGTCTCAGATGCATGCCTGCGGATTCTGTCAACTCATCCGAAAACGACTGCCGCGAGCCCTTGCCGGGTTAATAGTTGGGCATATCAATATCAAAACCGGCCCAGGACACCACTACGTCTTTGGACAGTTTCGGGTGTTGCTTGCTTGGGTGGTGGTCATGTTTCCAGACATCGTCGAGCACGTCGATCAAGCAGATCGCATCGTCAACAAACATCGCGTCATCGAATACACGGTCGACAAAGGTCGGTGCTGGTCGGAGGTCGTTCCTCCACGGCTCATATCTTGGCATCTGTCCCAGTTCTTTTTTCTTTTTCCCTTTCTTTTTATCTTGACGGCGGACGCTCAACATCAATACCCTGGGTCGATTCTTCCATTTCGCGGCTGAGCTGATTTCCATCGGTTCAGGAGCTGCCGTGTATATTGCCATTCCTTCCCCCCGGTCAGGTTTGGCCTCTCTCATTGGTTTTGGTAATGATCGTTCAACGCGTTGCTTGGTCGTTCTGAGGGGTGGTTGATGGGCGATCCTCGTCGGACTTGGCTATCAGAGGTCGCTTGGAAGTGACGCGGTGAGGAGGCCAGCGGGAGGGAAAAGCTTTCGACTGCGTGGCCTCTCCGGGGCAGTTGGCCGAGTACAACTTTGAGTCTTGCTCACCATCTGAGGTCAGATCGCGCTGGGTTCTCGCTCAAGGCCTCCCAACCGTAATTCAACAGACCAGTCCAACTGACTGGCGGCAAGACCATGCTCAACACACGTTTCATGGCCGGCCGACTCCCCGCTTGAACAACCGGATCGGTCACTCTCTCCTCCACGCCAAGGACGAAGCGGTTATCCATGAAGGAATGACCACCCTTATCCCCAAGGTCCAGGCAACACGCTGCCGTGGAGAAAGGTGCCCAGACAACGAAAAAATTGTCTCGACATCCTCCCCACAGGGAAAGCTTCCGTGGCCTTGACTACTGAGGTAGTCTCACCCACCGCGATGAGAAGCCGAAGAGAACGCAAGCAAGATGCTATTGTGGCTTCGCTCGTTTCCTCTTGCAACTCATCTCGCTGGCTGGCAAGTTGGTCGCTTGCTCATTCGATCACGCCGGTCGGTTCCGATGCGATGCGGCGGGGGAATTTGCATGAACATGGTGGATAGGTTGCCTTGGCCAAGGCTGGGGATGTTATTATGATTGTTCCGAAGTGAACGACCTGACTCTCTTATTGTTTCTCTCTTTTCTCTTGTTTCTCGGCGTTGGCGGTCTATTTGGGTCGGACGGATCTGAACGATTCTTATGAGTAGCCCGGAGGTTGTGGGATGGATGGTATGGACGGAATGGATCGGAATTGAAACGGGATGTTGTTATGGAAACCAGACAGAGGGTTGCTTCGGAATCCCGGAAGTGGAGCATACCTATGATGAGCTTGGGTTGGGTTTTCCTAGACGGCCCTGGTATTTTGACTCCTGGAGGAGACATCATTGCTGCGTCCATACGGAGGGGTCGAACTGGGGGAGACGGAAGAGAAAAGGAGGAAAGGCGCCCGGAGTTAGGGCATAAGATAAGAGGTGGATTCTCGGTGCCTTTCCCGTTGCAGGGATGACGCCTGTTTGACATTGCTCGGAACCGCGGCGAGAGGGCCGATCTCGTCATGCGGTGTCCCCGGTGGATATTGGTCGTCGGTCAGTCGGCCGGCCCCGCCGGAGGAATACTCGGCGGATTCCATGCTCGTGTATTGTTGATTTGGACTTTGTATTATGAACTCTTGCGTGGTTTGATGCTGGACTGGGCTCGTGTATTTGTAATAGTCGATCAAGGGGTTTCCTCAGCACATACTCAACGCATCTGGTCCCGTCAATTGTCTTGTCGTTTTCCACTGCAGTTGAAACTATTCAGAGTGACGTGATGCCTCAGTGCAAGAGGGAGAGGAGTTCATCCTTCTTCACGGGTCAAACGTCGAGCTGGTTGGCGCGGTAACTGAGCCGGACGATCCGAAGCTGTCGTCCAACGGTGCATGGTGACACTGTGATTGCTGTTGTGTTTGGCCGAGTAATTCGACACGTGTCGCAGACTCGGGGAAGTTGCCCAATATGGGGGGAAGCTGACGGAGGAAAAGGCAGTATTAGCGATGAGGAAAAGCATGTGGGTTCGGGGATATGCTGGGGATGGCTATTTCAAACGAGTTAGAGCACGATGCTGGCAGAGTGATGTAAGCCTGTGTGTTCTCACTGACATACGGATAGACCCAGCAGCGCTCGGCCAGGCGGCCATGCACTTGGTGTTGACCTGCATAAATCACTCTCGCTTGGTCGGTCGGTGGTATGAAAGAATGATGTCAGTCAACGGCCTCTAAACCTAACAGAACCAAATAAAAGTTCTGAGAGTCCGAGGAAGGTGAGTTGTCGGTGGTGAAGAAGCTAGACAAACCGAGGGGAGTGAGAAGGGGGAGCGAGAATGGTTCAGGTCTGAGAAACATGGTGTGGAATGCCCTTTTGCCTGAACTGCGCCGTAGTTGTGTGTACCCGCGCCGGGCATCAGAGCCGCTTGTAGTTCCGGCTCAATAACCAACCTGCAGATGCAGACGCCGATGTAACTGCAGATCAAAGAGCTCGCTTGGGTCGGGTCCGGGCTCTGCTTCTGGAAGAAGTCTGGCGCGCTGTTGATTCATTTTGGGTGATGGTGCAGTGCGAACCTGCGAGGGTGCGGCTGTGGCATTGGCATGGAGTTGAGATGCTGAGCTCGGATGGTGGACAGAAGAGGAAAGAGGCCGATGGGTGGGAGGAAGAAGAAATGAGGAGGACACCTGGAGTTGATGAGTTAGCAAGGCCAGTGATCTAAGACATAGCACATGCCCGAATTCGGTCGGACATACATAAGGCGAGGTACTCGGTACGTAAGGTAGTTAACTGTGTCGGGACAGTGCCTCGGTCAACAACAACGAAGGATTGGCAGCATGTGGTAGTTTTGACCCTTGGCACCATCCAAGTTTTCTGGCCAGCGGGGACTCTTCAATGCGGCTTTAGATGCTCTCGTTGCAGAGTTGGACGAGTCGGAAATGGCGTTCGACATGTGTCATTAGCGCTTGGCCACTTCTTTTAAGTCGCTAGTGTGATTGATTGGTGGGGATTTGCCGCCATGTCACAAGCGCTGATGATCTCGGCGGCGGCAGCCGGCTGGCAGGCAAACAGAGGGTGATGATGAAAGGCGGACTCCGTAACTTATCCGTATCCGTGCTTCGTATCAGAGGTAATAGTTAAGATCTAAAAATGGGAATTTGTGCGCGGTGCCCACTGGAGCCGGCCACTGAACTGAACTCTCATATCCGTATTGTCAGGACTGGCCCCCTATATACCATTGGCGAAAATTCCATCAAAAGAAATGACGCTATGTAACGTTCCCTCCAAGACATTGCTCCATCTCATCCTCATGGACCTGATTTTGAGGTTACTTTGAGACCGGACGGGCTCGCTGCGGATGCTCGCCATGAGACGGAGCACCCCGGTCCCTGCTCAGGCCCGGTGCGTGGAACTGCCGATGCCCAGGATTGGCTCGAGGTCTTGGCATCGGCAAGGGGGCAAACAACGACCGCGCAAAGACGAGGTCGACCTGATCAGCAACAATTGTGGCTAGTCACGATACTTAAATATCTACTTGAAGCGAATAACGTCACACAGCATTGATTCAAGGCCAATTCGTGGCGGACTAACAAACAAAACATGCTTGCAACTCTCGTCGTTGCCGGGATCGCAGGGTGCGCGCTCGCGCACGGAGACCACGGCAGCGGGTCGCAGAGGCCGGTAGTCGACAAGAATGCTAGTTGGATGGTGAAGCACATGGCTGGTATGCTCAACTCTGTCAACTTGCAATTGCTGCTGGGTCCCAGGTTTGTTGACTCAGTTGCGCATCCGCAGAGGAACACCACACCGACACCTTCGACGCCGCGTCCTTTTTTGCGCTGCACGACTTCGACGCCGACGGCATCTGGGCCGCCGACGAGATCCTAAGGACATACGGCTTGATGGACGAGTCCAACAAGAACGTCGCGGAGGGGCGCAAGGACGAGATTGTACGCGAGATTCAGACGCTGCTCGACCGCGACAATGACGGACGCATCAGCCGCGACGAGTTTGTGCACTTCATCGACGTCGAGGGCAGGACCCTGCCGGACATGGGCACGGGCCCAGGGCACCACGGCGACGACGAGTACGAGTACGAGATCCACCACTGGGAGAAGTGAGCACACACCTGCAGCGCACCAGTTAAGCATTGCTGACGGACCAAGGTACCATGACGAAAACACGAAATTGGAGGATCTTACGCACCCGGAGGACATTGAGCACTTCAAGAAGCACGAGGAGATGGAGGCCGAGCAGGAGAGGATAGAGCAGCTTAACAGGCAGAGCATTGTCGAGGCCAACATACCCGCCAAGTTCCGGCGTGATTAGCTGTCTGGACAGCCAACGGATACCCAGAGAGATACGGGGCACATACTACCACATACCACGTACAAGTAATGGTAATGACACTGGCAAGTCCAGCAACGACGACGAAACCGACAACAGCAGCCACCCTCTATACCACCGCGCTAGACCTTCTAATGAACACGTCAAACACGCAATGCCATACCCCGGGCGCATATGTCTTGACCAGCTCAACATGCTCGACCTCCGCCCCGGCCCCTTCCTCCCGGCCCGCTTCCTTTGCATCCTCCTCCGTGCCCCACCGGTCAAACAACCTCTGCACCTCCACCTTCCGCGCCTCAATATCCCCGTCGGCCACATTCTCGTGCAGATGCAGCCAACCCTGGCCCGCCACCATGCCAAATGCATCTCTCCACACGGGCTCGCTCGACGGCAAGAACCCACAATTCACATGCACCACGTCGCCCGCCCACCCTCGCCTCCTCGCCGCGGCAATCCGCCCCGCCGCGAGCGCGTTATCCTCTAGAAAGACTACGATCTGCTCGGCACTAGCATGTATGACGGCGTCTTGGTCCATGTCAATCCCGTCAGGAGAGGAAGAAGTGGGAATGATGACCTTAACAGTAAACCCATTCCTCTGGGCCCCGCGCCTCAGACCCTCCACGCTCCACGGATTCACCTCCCAGCAGAGCACCCGCATGCCGAGGCGGGCGTACGAGAAGGCAAAGTAGCCAATGCCTGCGTACAGGTCGACTGCCCATTTCTCTGTGCCGCCTTGCCCTTGCCTTCGTCTGCTTTGTGGGTAGATCATCGCTTGCCTCTTTTGGTGACGATGGTCTGGGAGGGAAGAGGGAGAGGAAGAAGAAGATGGAGAAGCAGAGGCCGAGTGGAAGGCCAGGAGACGGGCCTTCTCCTTGATGTTGCCCCGGCTGAACATGGTGTGCAGCGGGGCCCAGGTTTGGATGAGACCGTTTTGGGTTGTCGAGGCCCAGAGGGCGGCCGAAAAGTCTAACGTGGCGAAGTCTGTCGGTTTCGAGGATGATGGTGATGGTAAGGGGCCAAAGTCGCCGTGCAGAGGGTGCAGATTTCTCGGGGCGCGAAGGAGATTCTCTTTCTCGGCTCTCCCCTCGTCGGCTGACCCAGAACCTCCTTTGCACAGTCCATCTGATGGCTCTGCAAAATGCAATGGAATTCCCTCGTTGATGGCCAGGTGGGTTAGCGGTGGCTTGGAGTTGCCGGGGGAGAGTTGGCCGAGGATGCCTGCCCAGAGGCACTCTTTCTGGGCGCCGGTCAGGGACGACAACAGGGCTGGCCAGGGTTGGGCGGTGAAGGAGCCGCTGGGTAGCAAGACCATGGGCTCGTAGACCACCCAGCGCTTGGGGGCGCGGGAGAGGAGCAGCTGGTTGATGTCATTGTTGTCGTTGACATCCATGTTGTTGGATCGATCGACCAGAGAGTCCAAGGAGGTGGGCGGAAGTGAATCTAGCCATGAGCTGACGGCGATTTGAATGGGGTTCTGGTTCTTGGGCTTTGGAGGGCGTGACATGTTGCTGTTTGGATTACTACTGCTCCCAAAGGGTTGAAACAGCCATAGTAATAAATCGGGTCGATATATGAACTCAGTCCACAACGGACGAAGTGGGGCGGCTTTAGAATTGGATGGCCTCAACGGCTCATGGCAGAGAGAAGGGAAGGTGCGATTAGTGTGAAAGGTGCAGCTCAAAATTCAACCTCAATAACCCAATCATCACACTTTTTATTACACTTTCTCACTCTGAGCAGAAACATAGCATGGTAAGAGGTGCCAGGCACTTAACGCCGTACCGCCTTGCCGCCTTGCCGACTCTCCCAGTTGGTCTCCACAGCAGCCATACATCCGTGCATCCGGTTGGATACAAGACATTATGGTAAATATATGCCTTAAAACACCTTATAGCGTCTAAGTCACAGCCCGGTTAGCTCAGCTGGTCAGAGCGTCGTACTAATATAACATCCCTGTTATATCAAGTTAATGCGAAGGTCAACAGTTCAATCCTGTTACTGGGCATTTCCTTTTGTTCAACATTTGTGTTGACGTTGTCTAGTTATCTTAGCGGACTTATATTTTTGTCTTTTGCAAGTGTGTATGTACTGAACTGCGACGAGGTGGTTGTTAGATAAGGATGGAGAGGTATAGTAGTTGCATCCTTATACTCCACTATCCATCACAGATTTGAGCCGAGGTACGAGGTGCTGCTACCAGCACCATCAGATCGACCTACAAGGTTCCGAGGAGCATTTCGTGAACCACCTAGGACACATAGGTCACGACGTGGGAATCAAGGAGTCGTCATGTCACCACCTCAACCAGCCCAACTCCTACTACTGCCGCTTTTTCGCCTGCGCCCTCAACCTCTGAACAACAATATCAAACCTCTTGAATACCATGAACCCCTCGACAAACACGCTTCCCATCCATAACCACCACACCTTACTCCCCCTTTTCACCCCATACTGCCTGAGCCTGCTCCTCTCAAGCCACCACGTCTCGGTACTATGAACCACCAACGTTGGCCAAAATAATACGTCCCTGACAAACCAGGTGAAACCTCTCAATCCACCAGGAAACCGCGCCGCCTCCACCACCCTTCCGACCGCCGTGCCTCGCTCAACCAGCCCCGCGCATATCAACCCAAAGCATGCAGAGTAAACCAGCACCCCGATAATAATGGCCAAGTCGTACGGCGCACGCGGGGGCATGTACTCGCTGACCACGACCACCTGTTTCCCCTCCGTGCTGTCGTCACCCTCATCGGCGCCCTCCTCCGAGATCCCCAGCGCAGCTCTCGCGGACCGAGTCATCTCCACCAGCCTCGCCCTCCGCTCTCCCCAGTCTGCTAGCGGGGGATCAAAGGCGACCGAGTGGGTTGTGTCGGAGCCGGGCAGACGGAGGGTGATTGAACTGAGGGAGATGTCGAGCATGATGGGATCATCGCCATCTTCTTCTTCTTTTTCCCTTAAAGAGGCAGGGGCGGGCGGGATGGCCGGGTAGTGAAGAAGAATGTAGCGCATGTCGCGACGGTGATCGCTGTTCATGTGGGCGAGGGTGCGGGCTTTCTGGGTGTGGGGGATCATTGCGTCGTCGGCGGTTATCTTGAAGGGCTTTATTTTGCTAGTTGGTGTCCTGTGAAATGAAGTCGGCGAATTGCGATTCGTGTTTGTAGTGGAGAGGATTCGAAAAGAGTTAAAAGAACAGAGGACGTGACGTTGATATTGACCTGCCAAGACAGCACTGCACACACAACAGGACAGGGGTGTGGGTTGGTGGATCTCTCCGAACCCGATAATCTTCGGAGATGGTCGTCAAGGGCTGCGAACTCTCTGCTAAACGGGCATACGGCGCCTCAACCTGGCGGAAGCCCACACCTGGCGGCATTCGATAAGCCAGCCGATCAATCACCCCGCAGCATCACATGCATCCATGCCTCGATCAGGCAAGAACAAGATCCAGCCATGGTTGGTTTATCGCGGCAGACAGCGGACCCCCAAACGGGAATGGGGAAAAGGGAGTTCATAGGGAGGGGAAGTAAGACAGGGGAAATTGGATGTAGGAAGGTAGTTCAGACGCAAGAGGAAGGGAAAGGAAGCTACATAAAAGACAGTGGAAGAAGGAAGAACGGAAGGAAGAACATACGGGAGCCTAAGAACAATGAAAGCCGGCATGTTGCACCTGTTACCTTGCCGAGTCCCGCGCTGACCTACAACCCAAGCTTGGATCGTAATAACTTATTGGAAGGAGGTGATCCCTGAATATATCATTAGGTCGAGCGAAATATGTGCATACTTTACAATGCTTTTCTCGCCTACTCTGTTTCAATAGCCTTTACCCCTGATACGGGTATATCCGTTGCCATCAAGATACCCCAACTTATTGATTACGGCATCATGGCGTCCCAATCAAAATTCCCACTGCCCCATAACTCATTGAGGTTGAGTCCCAACGCTTCAAGGCTAAAGTCCGGATTGAGCGGTTGAATCTGCACCCGCGTTAGCAAAAGTACACCAACCACCTCACCGGGATGGTAACTAACCTGCGGTATCGCCGACGGATCCGCGGCGTTAGGCATCCACCACGGTGTGCCAGGCACCTCAACTTGCTGCCCAGCGCCCTGCTGAGACGACGACGGCTGGAAGGGGGTCACAGACTGCGCCGTTGTCAGTATACATACATCACCAAACAGATATCGCATGAGACAAGACAACACCAACCTTAGACCGAACAAACATCTCCGCCGATGACGGCGGCGGCCCACCTCCCACAACTGCACCACCGCCGACAAACGGTGTCCCCCCGACCATACGGCCCTGCTCACCTCCGCCACTTCCCCCAACCCCAACACCACTTCCACTTCCACTCCCGGCCCCAGCCACACTCTGCTGACTCCCCAACGGCATCTCCTGCTGGCCAGCCAGCAACTTCCAATGCAAGTGCACAAAGCGCTCCGCGCTCGCCGCCTTGGCCGCCTCGGGCGTCTTGGTCCCCAGATGCGCCTCCAGCAGCCCAAACGCGGCACACATGATGCTGTACCCCCACGGCTCATTGTTGCCGCACCGGAGAATCCTGTCCTCCTTCATGGCGAGGCACTTTTCGAGCAGCTGCAGCGTGTGCTGCGAGTTGATCATGATCATGTTGGTGCTCCCGCGCGGCTGGAGCATGGTCACGCTGGTGAGGTTGATGGCCAGCGTCAGCGAGTCTTCGCGGAGGAAGTTAAGCGTGCGGATCCCCTGCTGTGCGAGCCGGTCGTGCAGGAGGACCATATCGCGCGCCGCATTGTAGTAGATAATCTCCGAGTACTGGTACTTTGAGTTTGCCTTGCGCAGGCGCAGGAAGGGCTGGTGCAGCGGGATGATGTACTGACGTAGTTGGATGTGGAGGACCGTGTATGCGAGCAGGGGCTTCTTGAGGACGGGATTCTGGGATGATGCTGAGGACTCGATGACATCCCAAGACGGGAGAGAGTCGATCTCTTGGTTGATTTCGTTGGTATAGCGGATCACACGGTCGTAGTCTAACTCTTCGGGCGGGCCGGTCAAGACGCGGCTGAGCTCGAGACGGAGGGGCAGGCTCTGGCGGCTGATGTGCTGGTACGAAGAGAAGGTGTATTCGGTGGGCGGGCGCGAAGGGGGCAGTTCTTGGGTGTCTTCGTCAAAGTCGTCATCGTCAATGTTTCGCGGCTGGTTGACGTCGTAGTGGAGGGAGCTGAGGATGGACGGGAGGCCGTGGTCGAACGAGGCCTGCAAGTCGTAGCTCTGGATGGTCGCCCAAAGGCGGCGGCGCATCTCCTGGTTGAAGGGCGAGATCTTGTCGCACATGTGGCTGGGCTCGCGGTGGAGGCCCACTGAGATGGCATCCTGAGTCATGGAACCGGCGTTCCGCCAGAAGCGCTTCTTCTTGACCGTGTTGACGCGCTTGGCAAGATAGACCAGGCAGGCAATCTGGTAGTGTATCAAACGCCGGTGCTTTTGGCTCTGGCGTTCCTGCCACTGGTCGACGGCCTCTACCCATCGAATGGCGTTTACGTGCGTGCTGGACAGCATCTTTTCGAACTTGTTTGGCAGCTGCGACGAGAGGCAGCTGGAGACGGCCATGATGGCCAGGACAAGAGCGGTGAAGGCGGCGTTGCGAGGTTCGGACCAGAACTTGGCATAGTCTCTACGGAAGCTTGGGATGTGGACAATGCGGTGGACTTGCTCGAACTGGTCCAGATAGATGTTTACCAAGCTATCTGTCTCCTCTTTGGAAGGGAGCAGGGCCTCCAGGGCGGGTTCGGGTTCGCGGAACTTGCGCTCCCGCTCTTCGGCGCCCTTGAGCCGGTCCTTGGTCCGGTGAATGTGCAGTGGCCGAAGCCATTCCTCCGAGGTCTCCTTCATGAAGGGACACAGACCGGAGAGCTGCAGGGTCAGCAGCTGTTGAAAATTACTGACTCCAGGAGTCAACACACCTCTTGAAAGGCCAAGTAAGCACTGTGCGGGCCAAAGTAACGAGTCTTGAACTCCTTGCCCCGGAAGAAGCGCAGCTCTTCCCGGTCGGCACACGTCACCTGCGTCTGCAGGAAAGGCGGCACCTCGACCTCAGCGTCAGCGCACCCATCCAACTTGGGAGGGTCCGGGGGCGAACGGGCATGGACAGTGCTGCCGTCGAGCGAGAGCTGCTTGACCAGAAGAGACTTGAGCTGGGCGACCTCGAGCTCGAGGCGGCGGATGCGGTCCGACTCGCGGCCGTCCTTGCGAAAGTAGGGAGACTCCCCGCCGGTGCTCGGCAGCGACAGGCGGGCATCGAGACCGGCGAGGGCAGTCGGCTGCAGGCCGAGCTTGTTCGGGGGCGCCAGGCCGGGTCGCGTCTCATACTCGCAGCGCTCCGGGGTGCCCGACTGCAGACAGCGCGAGCAGGGGAACTCGCGGTCGCACGACAGCTTCCGCCGGCGGCACTCGAGACACGACAACCTCACGCGCTGGCGCTTGCGGGGTGGCGGGCGGCCGTCCGGGTCGTGATGGTCATGGTGGCCCAGCTGCGACTCGGTGTTCGCGGGGCTTTCGCTGCGCTCGCTCGGCTCCGACATTGTCTCAGCGGAGCTATCGGACCTGGCGCCGAACAAGCAGCAAGCACGCCACTGTTACCTAAGGCACCGAGTGGCAAAGGAGGGCTGTCCTGGGAAGCCGGAGTAAGTTTCGGATCCGTTCCGTTCGAGTCTGAGCCGAGAGTTTTTATCAATCGATCTGATAGCGCAAGAACCCCATCAACCAGGCGATCCAACAGCTTATAAAAGCACACACACTCCCACCTCTCTACCATCAACAGAAGGTCGTACAAAGTGACAAATCTCTCACAGAACGATGACGGACCCCGATTTCGGATCGCCAGATTATTGAGAATGACCTATGTTCTTCGTTTTGTGTTCTGACTCAATTGCTCGGAACTCCGAGCAATTGCCGAAGTCTCTGGCTGGGCGGGGGCGGTTTCTCGGGTGCAGACAGAATCCTGTGAATTTAAATCCGAGATCGCCGAGGAGCACGCCCGACACAGAAGGGCCGTCAAGTCTTCCTTGTTGTGTCTGGTGTTACATCCTCGAAATGAAGCTAGATAGTTGCATTGGGTTTGGGGGGGGGGGGTGTTGTGGGAGGGCCATTCAACTTGTTTGGCACGTCCTGAGCTGTTCTGGAGTTCCAGGAGGCCTGGACCTTTCCTAACCCTCATGAGGCATTCGGTTCATTCAGCTCGGAGCATTCACATGTCACACTACAGAACAAATGACAAACGAGGTCGAAGGATACCCTCGGCCTGAGTAACACACTGTCAACCCCATAATTAGAGTTTGGGGAACTGCATGGCCCCGAGGCCCTTTGTCCTCATGCTCGACCCAGATGCTCCGGCCCCCTGTTCTCGGCCCTCTCCGAGTCTTGCCAAGCTGAGCCAGGGTCCTGTGTGTGACTGTGTGCGACCGAACAGCGGCTCCTGGCACGGCGGTCTTGGCATCCAACGTCGCTCCGTCTGGCCACCGTTGATCTTCCAAATATGCAGTGCACTGAACCAACATGATCATGAAGCACCTTATCGTGACCCTCACTGGATGGGCCTGCCTTCGGGCTGTGTCTGGTGCGCCCATTGCTCGTGGAAAGGCATTTGACCGCTTCATCACCATCTGGCTCGAAAACCAGGTACAATACATACCTACTCCGTACCAACTACCCTAGGCCCCACCAACTTACAATCTGCTGCCCACCAGGATTACTCCAAGGTCGTTGCTGACAGCAGCATCACCGATCTCAAGAGGCAGGGCATTCTGCTGACCAGATACTACGCCCACACCCACCCCAGCCAGCCCAACTACCTGGCTGCCGTCGGCGGCGACTACTTTGGCCTCAACCACGACAACTGGGTGCGCATCCCCGAGAATGTCGCAACTGTCGCCGACCTGCTGGAGGACAAGGAGATCACATGGGCCGGCTACTTTGAGGACCAGCCTGGCCCGGGCTACATGGGGAATGCCAGCGACGGCTCGACAGGCAACGGCGGCTGGGACTACGTCAGGAAGCACAAGCAAGTGCCTGGGCCAGCCTGCACACGATGGTCAGAAGCACTTGGCTAACACTCATCAGCCCATTTGTGTCGTATGACAGCATCAACATGAATGGCGAGCGCCTGCTGAACCTCGACTCGTTCGATGCCTTCCAACGCGCATTCGCCGCAAAGAAGGTGCCGCAGTTCGTCTTCATGTCACCAAACATGATGAACGACGGTCATAACTCAACCCTGGAGACCGCCACAAAATGGTCGCACGGGTTCCTCGAGCCCCTGCTCGCCGAAAACGCTTTTGACGAGTTGACCCTGATTGCCCTCACCTATGACGAATCAGAAACGTACAGCGAGCCGAATCACATTGTCACCCTGCTCCTTGGAAGCGCCATACCACCGGCCCTCAAGGGTACCGAGGACGACACCTTCTATACTCACTACAGCATACTCTCAACCGTTCAGGCGAACTGGGGCCTACATAACCTCGGCCGGTATGATGTTGGCGCAAATGTATTTCGGTTTGTGTCCGACATGGTGGGGTACACCGGCAACAAAGATCCGGAGAATGCAGCCGCCGTGAACAACTCTGTGTCGTACCCCGGCGTGCTAAACGACGACGATTCAAAACGGTTGCCGATCCCAGCGCCAAACACAAAGCTTATCGGCGCAGGCGGCTTGCCTATTTTGCCCTCGATCGAGAAGGCATGGTCAGGGACCAAGAGATGGCAGACGCCATACGACGGCAGTGGAAGGGTGTTCGATGGAGACAACCCGCCTGTGTATATGCAACCAACAGTCAATTCATCTTAGATGGCGACTATCTTTCTGCTAAGCGCTTGCTCCGTCTGTTCCTGCTGCCCGTGACCGGCCACCCCTCATCTTTCTGTCAGACAGAAGGCGTTCCCGCGCCGTGCTTTGGTGAGTCCTTGTATCAAGAACGAGCGTCACGTCATGCAGATGTCTGCCTAACGGCATCCAGGTCAATAAATGACTGAATTGCTGCAGCCGATTCACAGAAACTCGCCGTCATTCTATGCACGCCTCGCCCTGTACAATCCAGCCCTGGTTTGTTCGTTAGCGCGGCACATGGCGGGTGATTCCAGTACCAAGACATTGAGGGGAAAATAGAATCCAAGTAAGAAAAAAAGAAAGGAAAGGAAAAGAAAGATATAACTAGATGAAGAAAAAAGTAAGAGAATAGGGAAGAGGAAGACAGAGAAGTAGATGAATACGAAGAGGAAAGGTCGAAAAATTATAAGCAAGTGGAATTGAAAGGAAAAGAATTGTGATTCCCTCTCTCATGACCATGAGGGTCCAAAGTGGCTGTGCTCTTGGAAGTTAGTAGCACCTTAAAAATAAGGACAAACTTGGGCCAGTTCAGAACACTAATCCTCGTGGTATTTACTCGTGCTGTCGATGAAAGAACACTTCCTCCTCTATTCACTCTGCAAAACACACCTCGGCCATGCCTTAGTGCACCATGCTCTTGCCAATCTCGCTTCGCCACCCGTCGGCCCTCTCAAAACCATTCGAGTGCGTCTGGTAGTCCATAAACGCCTGGTACACCTCCTCCTGGCTGGTCAACACAAACGGTCCGTATTGGACCACCTTTTGCTCCAGCGGCGTGCCGGCGATCAGCACGAACCGCGCGCTCTTCTCGGCCGCCTCATCCACCGCCGCATACACGGCCTGCCCCTCCTGCCCAAAAACGACGTTATGAAACTCGCCAATCACCCTCCTCTCGCCACCTCCTTCCTCCCCAAACACCACTTCCCCCTGAAGCGTATACGCAAACGCGTTCCACCCCTCGGGCAGCGGCTGCACAATCTTGCCGCCCGGCTTCACCTCCACATCCAGCAACCACACCGGCGTGTACGCCAGATCCTTCACCGAGTCAACCCCATGACTCTGCCCACTAATCACCTTGACCTTGACCTTGCCCCCATCCGCCTGCACAACAGGCACCTCCTCCGCCTTCAAGTCCCTGTACCGCGGCTCGCACGCCTTCAAGTGCTTGGGCAGATCAACCCACAATTGCAACCCGACGTTCGGGCTTCCGTCCTCGTTCGCGACAGGCATCTCGGCATGGACGATGCCCCTGCCCGCCGTCATGAACTGCAGATCGCCCGGCCCCAGCCGGCCGCGGTTGCCGGCAAAGTCTTCGTGCTCCATGGCGCCATGCAAGAGGTACGTGATGGTCTCCTGGCCGCGGTGCGGGTGGTCTGGGAACCCGGCGCCGGGCGAGACGGAGAAATGATCCAGCATGAGGAAGGGAGAAAAGTTGCGGAGTTTGGGAGTGCCTATGGAGCGGCGGACGCGGGCGCCCGCGCCTTCGGATTGCTCGACGGCGAGGAAGGATTGGCGGATGAGGCGGGGGAGGAGTTTGGTGGTTGTGTTTGCTGCCGACATTGGGATGTAGTTGTGGTTGTTCGTGGTGGTGATGTTGTTTGTAGTGGTCGTTGCTAGGATTTGAGAGATGATAGAACTAGTGGTGGTCAAGCTGAGTAGGTCTTGTCTGAAGATGAGAGCTACGACTGAGCAGATGGCGACGATGACAGAGATGGCGATGGTGGTGCGGGAGAAGGTCCTCATCGAGTTGGTTCGAGGATTGAAGTGTTTATATAGAGATGTACCTTACACCAATTGCGATGATCATCATTTCTCAGCACGACAAAGAAAACACATCAGCCTTTAAAATAAAGGCCAGAATTCTAACGGACATTCGCATCTTGAAGACTGCCCCTCATCGTCGTCATGACTAAGGCTATGGTAAGGAAACCGTCGTCGGCAGAGTTTTGGCGGGGCAAGTAGCAGAGCTTGTTTCCTTATCGAGTTAGCCTCATTGCTTACGTCAAGTGCCGTAATCAGGCAAGAACCTGAATGAGCCATTGCTCTGAGCTGCGCTGACTCGCTGAGTGGTTGCTGATTGATAACCTCCTCGAAGCAAAATCCGTGTTGAATCAGTTGTAATTCAATTGCTCTACTGTGCATACGCTCAACAGAACAAGGGACTTGGAGCAATGTTAAGAGTTGGGAATCCAATTACTCCGTAACCGATTTAACCCGTGGACGTCGTCGCTGTCGTATGTCTTGGCGGCCCAATCCAAGGCTTCCTAGGGGTGGGCGACTGCATGCGCTCGATCGAAGCTTCATTTTTCGAAGTCGGTTCTAGGGTCCCTATAGAGGTACTTCTGCCCATTCATTACCATTCTCAAAAAAAAACAGCCCGAGTCTATTCCTGTTTACTCAACATCCCCAGCCAAGTATACTAATCCTCACAAAGTAAACCCTGAGCCGTACAAAGGAATGACCACAACCCAAACAGGGGCGTTCGCTGGTTCAGCGTCGAGGCACAGCAGGACCGCAACGTCTGCTTCCCCAGTCCCGCCACAAACATCGCGATGGGCCTCAATGTCCTCGTCAAAACCGAAATTCCCTGTCTATGACCGGCGCGGTCAAGGTGTAGTGTACCCGACGCCACAGTGCTGGTAGCCCTCCTCAAGAGCTGGTGGCCTTAACAGACGCGTCCTGATGCGGGGCAACATGATTGGTAGTGGGGGCCGAGTTGTGACGGTTCATGAACGCCTCAAGCCGGTTGACCACCTTCTCCAGCGGGTTCTTAATCTGAAGCGAATCGGTCAAGTCCATAGCTTCGCGCAGAGCAAAGACGGCACTCTCGGCGGAGACATACATTACTGTCTTGGCCGCCGCCTTGCCGCTGGCTACGACGTAGCCGCCGGGGGTCCTCTGGAGAGAGCCGTTGTAGACCTCAGTCACGTGGCGCATAGGAGCGTAGGCAACCTTCTTGGCCTCGTTGATGAGCTCCGGAGACGGCTTCTTGACGACTGGGTACTTCTCCTCCACCTTGGACAGCGTCTGGTCGCCGAACTCGTCCACCCGCTGTACGTACGGCGTCACGTACGACAGCGGCTTGTTGAGGAGCGACATCATCGGGGCGGCAACCATGTTGTAGGCCGTGTAGCCTAGCTGGATCGACATTCTGCCGACCGGGTTGGTCTTGAATACACGCACGCCATCCTGGACGGCCGGGAGAGTTAGGAGGTGCTGCATGGTTGTGCGAGTCAGCTGGCTGTCCCAGAAGTGCGGGGATGCAACATCGGATGGCATCAATATACCCGGAGAGTAGTCGACCGCGGTGAGTCCCCGTTGAGCACAGTTGTCGTTTTAGCTTCCGTCATGGTTTCTCTGCTGGAAGTGTTAGATATGTCTTGTAGTGGTGAACAACTCGGAGCGTAAATGGGAAGGATTCGCCCGAGAGGCGATGACCAGACGCAGAGAGATGGTGCGGTACCTCGCGAGCCTGATCTTCGGTGAATGTTGGGATCAATGGATCAATGACACCAAGGGTAGAGGTTTCCAGCTGACAGGACGTGTAGGAGACTCGTCGGAAGCAAATACGTCTTTCAAATCGGAGTGAGAAAGAAAGAATGGGAGAAAGTGCGTGGAAGGTCTGTCTTAAGTGGCCCGTAATGACTGCCCGTTCTCGTAAACACAATGCACCCGGATAGTCAAACACGGCAAGTGCGACGCCACTCTCTTCATATGATATGGGCTCCTTCGAAGTGCACAGAAGCCAACCAGCGCCCAAGGCATTCTATCGCCATATTGCTGGTTGCATGTGCAAAGGTGGGGGTGCTGTCACAGCATCGGCCATCCAAAACGGTCAAACCGCCCGTGCGAAGATAAGACGCCGTCAACGGCTGACATGTGAAAGCCCAAGTTGGCGCCGTTGCAATGCTTTGAACTTTTCCGTTTCCCGCTTTGGCGGAGTCAGACCATTCCAATCGGACTGCAGTGGTACATCATGGCGAGGGTGCTTGATGCCACTGGATGCTTTCGGTCAGCGAGATGCTTGGCGATCTGGGAGTTTTGGGCAGTCCACCCAAATATCGACGTGCGCGCTATCTTACGTGCCAAATAACGTGCTATACGAAGCTGACGGTGCTGTCTCAAATCGTCGAGTGTATTGCTGTTTTCCAATTGCCAGACCGGGAACGAAAGTCGTCGATCAAAAGTCTCAGGTCGTGTCATCCAGTTGAAGCACTGTGCTTGGCATCGAGGATCCCACCAGCAAAGCCCCACTTTGAGCCACTGCGATCTCGGATCCACACCGACGTAACCTTCGACAAGGATAGCATTTTCACATGCCAGACTAAAATTCATTGATTCGTGATGGACACAACGGGGGTTCTCATCAGCGTTTGATCAAGGAAAATTGACTTGCCAAACCTTTGAATACCGACGCCATGCAGCATACTGTAAAAGAAAACGTCTTGACCTCGGAGAAGCGTCATTGTTGCCACCATTGTTGCGGGATTCATTGCGTTCTCGGAAAGTATACATCGCCGAACCTTCTCGACACACGTTCACTGACCCATACTGTGGTAGGGCGCGGCTCGTGTGGAAAAAGGGCAACGTCGCCGGCCCGGTATCCATCCAATTGACGGTAAACTCGTAAGCTCTTCGAGCCGATTCGGCCCGAACGATACTGTACTAGTGAAGAAGACATCCTGATGCCAGACTTTGTCCCCTACCCACAAGGTGGTTACAACGGGTAAATGAGTGCTCGGGTTGCAATGAGCATCTCTTTCCGTCCTCAGAGATGATCATTTCCATCGCAGCATCATGTTTTATCGCCTTTCGGATACTAGCCTATCCCAAATTCAGAAGCTTTAGATGTCAACACCAAGCTCGCTCCAAAACACAGGTAGCACCACCTTCAGTCAGAATCGTCCGACGATCCGTAGTCAACTAACCCACCCGTTGGTCTCGCTCCCTTCGTCTCTACAATCTCACCTTCCTCCTCCTCCTCCTCCTCCTCCTCCTCCGTCAGAGTAACACTGCTACCATCTTCCGCCACACTCCCAGTCTCCACATCACCCTCCATCACCACCCCTCCAAATTCAGCCTTGGCCATAATTTCATTCCCGTCATTATTCACCTCGCCGTCCTCCACCTCGCCCTCTGCGACCTCAGACTCCTCGCCATCCTCAACCTCCTCCTTCGCAGGCGCCCTCCCCGCTTCAAACCTGACTCTCTTCCCACCTCTCCCATAAGCGGCTCCTCGACCCCGACCGCGACCGTGGCCGCGCCCCGGTCCGTCCCAGCTGCTATACTCGCGCTTTCTAGTAACGCCGTTATCATTATTAAATGCGTCATCACCTCCCATCGCAGCCTCCACTACCCTCGTCCTGGGCGACCGCCGCGGGACATCACCGACCTCAAACCCATCGGGCAGTTGCGCCCCAGAGGGGAACGCATAGATCGAGGGGAACTCGATTACCGTCCTGCCTGCCAAGGCACTGGCGAGCGTTTCTGTTGAGGAAACCGGGATGAGGAGTTTGGCGTTCTTTGGCTTCTTGGAGTCGGTGGTGGTGGTGGGGCGGGCTATATAGTGGAGGAAGAATTGCCATGAAGTGAGTTGTTCTTCGAGCGTTGTTTCGATGTGGGGAGCGGTGGTTGTTTGGGACCAGGCGGAGGTGAGCGGGTATTGGGTTGAGTAAGCGGCTGCGGGCCAGGTAGAGGTCGAGGGGTCTTGTGTTGCCGGCGGGATGGGGTCAGGGTGTTTCCTCTTGATGTTGTAGTGGTTGTGGTGCGTCTTGCGCTTTTTCTGTGAAACAGGAGAGTTGTCAGCGTCCGCTTCGTTGTCGATTTCGAGCTGGTCGCGCTGTTCTCTGGATTGGCGGTCGAGTTGGCCGCGGTGCCGGTCGAGCGTCGATTTGAGAGCAGCATGGAGGGGTGTGCCGTCTAGGCTTTTGTAGAGGATTCGGAGGGGCGATTGGGATTGTTCGACGGGAAGCCCAAGCTGTGAAGCGCTGTAGACGAGCCATTCTATCTGCCAATTGATTGTCCCTGTCCGCCTGTTGAAAGCCGTCCTGTTATCCCTCTGCCGCGCCATGCCCTTGGGCATCGTCAGGACCTCGATGTCGAGGTACTGCAGTCGCCGTCGGACGTGCTTGTCAAAACCATCAATGAACGCCGGGCCCTCTCGTAGTCGTTTATGCGTTCTGTAGGGGTGTGATTGCACCGGGACATGGCGTAGCTCGTCGCCGTGCCAAACCTTTTGAAACAGCTTATCCTCGTTCCTTGGTCGCAGGTCCTTCTCGCTCAGCAACCGGCGGGCTTCGACGACGTCCTTCTCAACTCGTTGGCGGGCGCGCTCAATCGACGTGAGAAAGTTGTAGTCGTGGTCAATTCCGGCGGGAGTTTTTAGCTGGCTCAGGGGCATGAATGCTCTGGGATTGCGGACGCCATCGCAATCGGCTCGTGCCTTGTGCTTTTGGATACATGGCACCGAGCAAGTGCGCGCACCACATCGCGGACACTTGTACTTGGGCGGCTCATTGTGGCAGATGCCGCAAAGGGAGCTGAGCACTGTCCCAGACATGGCGGCCTCGTTCCCAACTTGGCTTGGAGGTGTCGAGGGTCAAATCGGCGCAATTGGTTCGTTCAAGGGATCTTTCGTCTGTTTTGACTTAGGAACCGATCACGAAATCTTATCGAAAGTTTCCATTGTGGGGCCTACTCCAGTACCATTTGACGAATCGGAAGGCTTCCTCCCAGAAACCAAGTGGACCATTCCTTCAATCGACTCGGAAGTGAACCACAAGCGGCGAGGCGGGCATCTCGACTCGAAATCTCTCACGCTCTGGACAGCTTGTTGCAGCACATCCACAACATCAGGTCTGAACGCCTGCTGCAACTTCCGGTGCTCCTCATTGTCATCCTTTACATTGAAATCTCAAGTGAGACTCTTGATGACGGTGTTTTGGGATTTCGTCCCCATGTTAGCCCCCAGCCTGTTTTCCGCATACCGCAGCAGATGCTGCTTGATGCTTTTTGGGCTTTTTGCGTTGGCGAAGCCGGCCTTGTCGAGGCTCACCGCAGGTTGCCAGAGACTTGTCCAAGACCTGTCCAGTTTTAACCCGTCAGCCATGGCGAGTGTCATTGCAGCTGCGATTCGACAAACGCACCAATTTCGAGCAGCACAGCGCCGAGGGCGTAGATGTCGTGGATCTTGCTGAACAGTTCTTTGGGCCTCTGCTGCCGGTCAGGGTGGCGATACACGTCCTTGCTCAGACAAGTGTCGGCATGACCTGGGGAGAAGTATCCCAGGGGCGGGTTGAACTCAAACTCGAGAACCCAGGGCTCGGAGAAGTCGGGGGGTTTGACACGACGAGTCACTAGGCGGGTCCGTGTCTACCCCCGGGAAGAAGAGAATTTTCTCGCTGCGGAAGCTTTTGTGCACCTGAGAATAATGCGTTGAGCAAAGTCAGGGCATCATGGAAGTGCTGCTGCTTGGGCGTTCACCAGCTGAAGCTGTGTGATGCACCGAACAAGCTTCAAAGCAAGCCAAAGTCTCCCGCGGAGAGATGGTACAATCGGATCCTCCGACCCTTAAAACATCTAACAGACTGATGGGCGAGGGATGGAAGCCTTCATGAATGCTGAAGACATGGGCAATTTGATTCTCCCTTGACAGTCAGGCCCAGCCCACGCAGTTTGTCGTCCGGAAAAGGACCTCCTCAAGCTGATGGAGGACGTTCGCCAGCCTATCCACAAGGTCTCAGATTCTGTGGTCCAGCTTAACGGAAACAGGTGTCTCAGGGGAATAGGAACGGTCCTCGAGAAGGAAGTCCTTCCCATTCCAACTGACGATGCCACACATGTCTCCTGCTTTAGGAATCCCACCAAAGTGTTCTCTCAGCTCACGACCGCTTATTTTGAGGCCGGTGGCGTGCCCAGATATCCGGCTTGTGGCAATCTGCAGCCGCGCGTCGACGTTGAAGCCGAGAGCGTTAAAGCTAGAGTCACTTTACAAGTGCTGTAGGTGCCTTAGGTTGACTCCTATTGAGGTTCTGAGACACCACAACCTGATGTGCCCGTGAGTCCGGCCGTTTAGATCGCTAATCTCAACGACGATGGGTACCACTCGCTTCTTAATCCAGCAGAGACCACCATAGCCGCTGGATTGACTTCAGACGTTTCAATAGCGACCCAACCGGTGTCAGGGTGCTGGCGCTTGTCAGCGGAGCCGTCCAAGTAGCTGCTTGGCGAGAACAATATCTCTCCTGCGCGGCCTCGGAATTGCTTTTATTGACCCCAAGTCGGCGATGCATAAGCTGATGTCCTTGGTTTCAAACGTCCGCTGCCTGCTCGTTTTATTCTGCTTCTGCACTCCGACATCGAACTGTTCAAATGGCGTTCTGCCGCCGTAAGTCTGTTCCTCAAAGAGCACATGCAGCGCGACGGTGACGGATAACTCATACTCGAGGGTTCGAGGAGCAGTGTCTTCACAGCCTTGATCCTGACGTTCTCATCTTGTATCTTGTTTTCGAGGGCTCTTGTGTCCTTGAACATTCTGCCGAGCATCAAACGGACAGTGAGGCGGGCGAAGCCGCCGATGAACCGCTGACAATGGACATGAGCCTGGAGACTCGGACCGAGAAATACATGATGTTATCATGATGGTGGCCGATAAGACACTTCAGCTATATGGAACGTTCAGGCCACACTCTACAAGGTGGCTTATTGGCGAGATGTTCGATGCTCTGGTAGCGTCGTCGCTGGCGCTACTAGCTGGTAGCAAGATTTAGCAGTCTGATCTAGCCAGTCAGGCTATTGAGATCATGGCGCGGAGAGCAAACAATCATGCAGTTGCGATGACCAAAAGTGAACACTCGCTATTTGCTTCTGGATCCCCTTAAAGACCTCGCCGTGACAGACATGGTCTTCCACATCGCCCACCTCGCCGTCACTCTCAAGCCTCCAGGGATTCTGCCCGGCCCGGACGGGGTCTGGATCAGATGAAGGATCATATACTCTATGAATTACAGAGGCTCTCTTCCTCAATATTAAGCAACAATTACACGAAAGGACCCGCGGCAGAAGAAGTAACAACCTTCTTGCAGCGACCAATTGCTCGGCAGCCTTTCCCACATTAGGTCGAGTATCAACAATGGAAGCAGGCGAGAACAGACAACGACGGGACAAGAGCAAACGGCCAACAATGACAGCAACCTATCTCCCTACGACCCGGGTGGTTCGGAAATGCCTTGAGCAAAAGCCTCAAGATACTCTCACAGAAGCGCGGGTATGACAGGGAGAACAGCGGAAGACTCTGAATGCTCACGTCATCCGCAATTCACCCATTTTCCCAGCATTCAATGTTTAGCGACGATAATTCCACTCAAGAGTCAACTGAATCTGGGCAACAAGAACTCGGCGGCCCGGGGTCGCCTAAGGGCTGACAGAAAGTCCGTCTGAAACCGCATCATGAGGGTATCACAAGTGCCGTGTAGAGGCAGATACAGTTTTAGGGTCCTTAGTTGAATGTGTCACTGAACAGAAAGACCGAGGGTTTTTGCATTATTCCTCATATATTGTCGTTGTTACTATACCTTCCTCAATGTTAGAGGCTCGGCGCAGCTTCGCGACTGGGCAGACGTCGCTCTGTTGTCCGTTTGGTGTCTACTCAGCCCCATCGCCGTCGATGATCCTGATGAAATCATCAGCAGCATTAGTCTCTTCAAAATCATCATCGGTATCCGTGTCGCAGTGTATCCATCTTCAAATCGATGGGCGGACTCCTCACTTTCTGTGACCCATTCCCGGCCTAGATTATCCGATTCCTAAGAATACTGAGACCGCAGGTCGGATCCACCGTTGGTGACTTGGTCTGTTAGATCGCGGTATTCAGTCGGTACATATCTGATTGAAGGCCTACGAGAAAGCTTGTCTATGGCCGTTGACAAGTCCTGCGACACGTCCGGCGAGATTTGGATGTCAATTCTCGCTTCCTTTGACACCCCTTGAATACGGGCATGACGATATCATCATACCAACTCGAACTCATGGCCAGGCGATCATCCCAGCTCCAATGCCCTACAATCTTTCCCTCCGAGACTTGCCATAGACAAACATGTTCGTCTCAATAGTATCGATTTTCCTTTCTGTATGGGTCTGCTCGTATGGATCTGCTATATTGTACTGAGTTCATTTCGACAAGGACATCAAGGACGGGCAGCCCGACTTTCCGGCGCACCAGGGGATCAACGGCGGTAAGGTGCTGAGCGCCTCGGTTGCCTCGCCGTGCTCTCATACCTGCCAGTTGCTCAACTCCTGCTGCTGATGTGGTGAATGAGACAAATGGTGTTGGCCTCCAGTCGCTGTGGTTGATGTGGATAGCCAGGGAGTTCCGACATTCCGCAGTGTCGAGCCGTTGATGTGGTCCTCTTGTCATCATACAGTTGTTCTTGCCATCGAGTTTGCTGCGCGAGAGTTCGTCCCATGTTCGAAGGTGTGGCATATCAAAGGTTTGAGGACCGTAGACTCTCCATGGGTGGCCTTCTTACTCACTCAAGCAGAAGGGTGTAAATGACGTCGGGCGTACGAGACTTGAGATTAGAGCTCGATCAAGCGGAACGTGAAGATCCTCGTTTGTGACTGCGAGTTGTGCTATCGCGTATGCTGTCCATTCCTGTTGCTTATGGATATTAGGTACTCGGACATATGTGTCAACAAAGGTCATTGTAGCATTCCGCTGTGGTGGTGTCTTGAGGAGCGGAGCTTTACATACTGGAGTTAGGGGAGTTGTCCCCTCTGCGTAGCGTCAGGCTGGCGTCATGGTTTTAGAGGCGCACAACCCCGCTTTCCACTGCTCATTCTGGTCTCCTCCCGGCAGGCTCAGGGCTTTCGGTATACCTTCCATGTCCTTGCAAGGCAGAAATAGGGCGAAGTGGCTTGACTCCGCACATCCGTAGTCCATTGCACGGGGTTCTCCTCGTGTTGAGTTTGAGCACAAAACGAGTTCTTTGACGCCGCAGGATTGTATAATAGGGAGCCAAAGCTTCCATGAGCACTCCCACAGGCCATCAAGACTCAGGAGCGCAGGGCGTGGATACTACCACTACCTAGTACTTCGACACTCCTCGAGCCGGACCCAGGGTTGTTAGCACCAGGACGGGTCGGCTCCAGCTCAGGGGTGAGTGATCCTGAGGAACTGGCGCCATCGTAACAGTCTGGGCCTATATAGCTTCAAACCACGCGCCCCTCATAGGTCATCCATCAGCTACTCATTCTCAGGAAAAAAGATACTTCTTTGATACGCATCCCTGCCTCAGCAGCTCAACCACCCAAGCACGACTAGTCAGTCATAACGCTCAGCAAACCTGATAAACGACGACTACCTGAACTGCGTTTCAATGAAAGAAGACCCCAAACTGTGCCTCGAGAAAGGGAAATAAACAAAGATTCGGTCCAGCTGGCTCCGTCTGTTTCAGAACGAAGCGAATAATACCCAGAAAGGTACCAGGAACGCCATTACACATAAGGCAGTAAAAGTGTCGTTGCATAACCACCAGCCATCTCTCAAGAAAAGAAGTACTAGATTAAAATAGAAGAAACAATAGCAGAAGTTGCCCTCCTCCTCGCGAAAGTGGTATAAGCGAACAGAATGTACAAGACACAATAACCATGATTCCGACATGGGAACGAACACAACAAATCTGCGGCTGACCCGCTACCTCGTCTTTTCCAGATTTGAAATCACAGCCATACCAGACCTCCCCCTCCCCCAAGCGCGCCCCCAACATCCCATCTCCAATCCTCTCAACCCCTACATCTATCTCCCAACCAACCCTCCCTGGTATCTAGCGCCCACCCCCAAGCGCACTGATCCTGGCCCCCGATGGCCGATGAATCAGGCTCTCCGGCTGCTTACCCACGAGGCCCTGTTGGTGTTGGTGGACATCGGCCTTGTCGCCCAAGGCGGCGGGGTTGCCGGGGGGCATGGGGATGGGGTTTGACTCGGACTCGTGAGCTCCGATGCCGTGCTCATCGTGGTGAGCGGCGAGGTCATCGACGTCCTCGTCGTCCTCGACAATCTTCGTGGGGATGTCGTGGACGGCGTGTCCATGTCCGGATACGGAGTGTCCGTCCGAGCCGGCACTGTGACCGTGGCCGTGGCGGCCTCCGAGGAGGAGATACTGCGCGGAGGTTCGCTCAGGGGTCGTGGCCGCGGTGCTCGCGATAGACATGCTAGTGCTGCTGCGGTTGGGAATGAGATCCGGTGTGGGCGGAATGCTGGAGATGCGGCCGCTGTTGGGTCGGAGGCGCGTGGTGGTGGTGGTGGTGCTGCCGCTATCGTCACCGACATCGGACGTGGCCGCCGACGAGGTGCCGTTGCCGTCGTCACTGTGTGCGACTGAGAGAGAACTCCCTCTCCTGCTTTTTGAAAAGTCCCGAGCTCTAGAAGCCGGCGATTGCGGCCTCCCGAGCTCGGCGTCTTGGGCGAGTTGCAGGCCTTCCACAGCGGCCTGGCACTGTTCCGCAATGTTGCGGATGATGTGGGCGATGGCGTCCGTCTTGTCCTTGAGGTGTCGGTCGGCCACGTCAATGAACGTCTGGGTCGAAATGCGCCTGCTCGCCAGCTGCAGGTTCTTGATGAAGCGGGCGTCGTTCTCGCCCACACCTTCCTCTGTGCGTGAGTCAGTCGCGCCTGCAGTAGCTGTTCGCAGCGACAGGAACTTACGTTCAGCGATGGCGGCAGCCTCAGCCTCCTCCTGCGCGGCAAAGCCGGCCTCAATCTCGGCAGCCAGCTCTTCGGGCGACGTCAGCGTCTTGACCAGATGCTCCATGTGATGGTGCTGGCCCGCGATCAAGCTGCGCAGGTGCAGAACGACGCGGCGGGCCTCATCACGTTGCCGGGATATCGTCACGTTGGTGTGCTGCAGAGCGCTGAGCTCCTTCCTGTTCCTCTTGCGCTCCCTCTCGAGCTCCTCAGCGATCTCCTGCTGGAGAACAAGAGCCTCCAGAGCGTCGTCACGCTGCTTCTCGGTGCCAGCAAGCCGGACTGAAAGCCTGGTGGCGTCGTCCTTTTGCTGCTCGAGGAGACCAGCAAGACGGCGGTTTTCGCGCTTGTGCCCATCAATCTTGACCTTGAGGTCCTGAGTCTCCTTGGTGAGGGTATCGGCAAAGGCTTGGAATTTGAGGAACTGTGTTGTGTCAGAGGCGAGCACCGATTCATCAAGCGTTTACGGCAACCCACCTGCTGCTTCCAGCTTTCCAACTCCTCAACGAGGTAGTTGTTCCGCTTCGTAACCTTGCTGAGCTCTGTGTCCAACCTGCCCTTAAGGTTGATAAAGTCCTGCCACGCCTCCAAGGCATCTCTCGAGTACTGGTTCCGCTCGCGCACAATCTCGTTGAGATGCCTCATCGAGACCTTGGTCATCAGCGGCTTCTTAACGGACCCGCCAAACACAGCCTTCAAACCAGTGTTACGACCCTATATATTGTTAGATGTGTTCAGCTTAGACAATGCCAGAGAGATCTCACCATCTTCTCGCAAACGTGGTCCATGACGGCCATGACGGCATCCTGGTTCCACCACTCGGGATCCTGAATGCATTCCACCTCACCGCGCATAACGATGATCTGGCCGGCGGGCACCAGCTTTCCGCCCCCATATGCCGAGCGAAGGTGCTGGGGCACACCAGAAGGCGTGACATCGCCGTTGAGAGCCTGGGTGAGTCTGGTGACGAACTTGTTGCGCTGGCCGGGTTGGAGGGCGGTCGGCGGATTCGAGGTGAGAACAAAATTACGGTCGAGGTCCACCACGAGAGCATCTGTCGGCGCAGTGAATAGCGACCTGCACTCGGCGGTGATACCGAGGATGTACGGACCGGGCTCCTCGACTAGGTCCTTGGCATGGCGGGCATGGACAACCGGGACGTAAAGGCCGCTCCACTCGTAGACTCGAACGCAGAACCGGACCGTCTCGGCGGCCATTGTCAGCATGGCCGGGTAATGGCTGACGAAGATGATACGGCGCGTAGGAGATATGGCGGCCTCGATGACGCCAACAATGTTGGGGATAGACAGACAGCAGAACAGCGGCCACATAGCAAAGTTCTGGAAGCCGGTTGGTGAGGATGGGAACTGGTAGCAAAGAGCGTAGTCCTTCATATCGATCCGAACAAGGTCGTTCAGACGCGGAGCCGGGAAGCTCAAGATGCGGGATACCTCCTCAGCGTGGAACAGATTAGTAGCCTTGTTCCAGTGGATCCACATGCCACGGAGATAGTCGCCGAGCAGGTTGTACAGAGGGTAGCGGGAGAGGAAGGACAAGCAGTAAGGAATCCAGTACTGCTCCTCTGGGTTGTCGTAGAAGTCGGGCTCGGTCCTCTTCCTCAGCTCCCGGATGGTCTCAGCCCTCTTCTCGTCGGCGCGCGACCAAACTCGCAGGCAGATACCGTAGAGCGTATGAGACGAATCCTGCTGCAGTACGAAAGCGTGATGGACGCAGTGCGGCTGGCTGCGGCCGGTACATATCTCGACGTCATGGGGAAAGCAGGCCTGGGACAGACGGTTAGCCGAAAGCACTCCAGATTACGGGACAGCTGAACCTACCCTCATCGCAGCGTGCAGAGCCCGGGCAATCTCATTGTCCTGCTCTAGCCTTGGGCTGCTCCCCAAGATTTCGGGGAGCCAGAACTGGGGGACGGCGCCCTTCATGTGGCCGATCTTTCCCTGCACGGGCGTTGGGGCCTTCACCCACTGCGACGGCTCGCGGCCGACGCCGCAGACCATGTAGGCATGAGTAAGGGTCTTGGGCGTCCTTTGCTGTGGCTTCATGTTGAGGGTGGAGGGAATCGGCTGCGTGATGCGCGAGTGAAGAGACGAGGTCCGGCTCGGGATAATGAGGTTGCCGTCGGCCTGATCGCGGGTGACAGGGCGGCCCTCGCGGTCGCCAGTCCGAGGGCGGGTGAAGGAAGCGTGTGTGTTGAGGGAGGGCGGCATGTTGGTGGTGTCGGGCGCCACCGGGCTGCCGACGGGTTTCTTGATGAATGACCTTCGGGCGAGACTGGCGGGACCGATGGTGGCGACTCGTCCCAAGTCGTAATCAGTGGAACAAACCACAGCCGGCCGGGCTATGATCGGCCGCTTGGACCTGGAAACAGGCGCCCGGGTGCGTTTCGATGTTTCAACTTGTCGAGTGAGAAGATGAAGAGATCAGGCCACTTGCGCGGTGGACACTTGGGTTTTGGGGGGAATGCTCTCGGAGAGAGACACAGACTTGCTGTTGATTCTCTTGTGCGACCCACGCGCTGGACTGCTGGGTTGTCCCTGGGAGAAAGGAGACAAGCTCGAATTCTCGAATTGGGAGAGCCAAGGCGCAATTGCAATGTTAAACGAGAGGGAGGCAGGGAGCACGAGGAAAAGGAAAAAGAAGGTTCGGAGCTGGGAGAGGGACCGAGCGGCATGGGGGAACGGGGGACATGGGAGATTGTCAGACGCACACCTGAGTGGCCGCAGGCAAGGAGTCCAAGACGTGATGGATCATGGGAAAAACGGAGCAAATGGGGCGTCCTGAGGCGCGCCGAGCTCAACAGGATGGATTCGCCAGTTCGTTGCAAGCACGAGAGACCCCAGAAAGAAAAAGCACCTTTGCAGCTGCAGGTCCAACAGCAGCCAAGCAGCTTCGGGCAATTGGGGCCGGCGAGCAGGGAGTCGGGGAAATAAGGTGGAGGCGCTAGGCCAAGCTTGGGAATCCACGCAGACAACCCTGGCCAGGGGCAGATGCAATGGGTTCGCCCGCCAAGATATTGAAATCGTTTCGAACCTGTCAGCACCTTAGCTTCCTGCTCCAGACCAGGATCACAGCTCCATTAAACTTTGTGCCTCCTTTTTGTCAGCAGAAACAGTGAGTCAGGATGGATTTTCTTGCAACTTCCATCACAGATTCTACATTTGAGCATTTCGTTAGTTGGTAGATCTTCTTATCCCACAGTGTTGATGCTTTCATTTGGTCCTGGAGAGGGATGGCGCCGTCGGACAGGGTTCGTCACGGGTAGCTGCGCCGCGCCTTGAACTGCCCCAGCCATGCAATTTGAGAATGGGAGAACAAACGCCAGTGGGTGTACAGAGAACGCATGACCGATACAGACCGTTAATCGGCACTCAGTCTGTACGTCCTTCACACAGCATCTCAAAGGTAGGGAACCAAAGAGAAGGTTGCCATCCCATCCCAGGCTTCCTTAATCCCTACCTTGCGCAGCGCCACATCCTCGATGAGAGACACGGACTCTCTGTCACCCAGGGAAGCCAGGCTGTCGGGTCAAAGGCGCCAGTCTCCGTCCGAGCTTCTGCAACCAGCTGTGTGCTTTTGAGAAGGCGAGGTGCAGGTGGCTTTCCTCTCGTCTCACAAGCTGTGTCTGAGCAAAAGACGAACTTGTAACTACTTGTACAGTAGTGTGCAGACAGAGTGCCCAGGATCCGCGCGGGCCTCCTAAGGTCTTGTTTGGAGAGTCGGCCACAATGTCCCAAACGGGCAATCCAGAAAAGGGGATCGGCAAGGCCCCGACCTACCGGCAGCCGGCAGTCACATCCCATTGCTCTTCACACTTCACACAGTTCACAGAACGGCCTTGACAGACGAGACGAAACGGTGTCTGCCATGTGGTGGGATGGGGAATGGACAGGGAAGACTGCTGGGGGTCTGGGACAAAGCAACCTAACAATCAGGTGTACCCCCACGACCGTTTCGCGAACCGGGTTCGGGCGGCAAAGCACTTGTGTTGGGAAAGATGACCCAAGAATTGCTGCAGCGACGCAACGACTGGCAGTGGGCACTCTATATCAAGCCGCCGCCGCATGTCAACACCAGCTTGTTGGAGCAATTGCTCCAACGCCAGCCCAACCGAGCGAAGAACGACTCTGCCACCTGCTCGCATTGGCAACTTGCTCTGACCTGTCCGTTGCATCCTTTGGCTTGACCAACGTGATACCTGCATAGGAACATGCACTCCAAGGCGGGGCAACCCGACTCCAATTGGGTGTGTATTCCCTCAGATCGCCTCCAAATCTCGCAGCTGGTGTTGCAAACGGGCTGCGCTACGACGTCTTCTGCCGTGCAGATATGCAAGGCAATCAACCAAACAATCTGGTTCGTTTGACCGCAGACTGACCCCTAGAAACTGGCTGTATACAATATAAGCAAGACACCATGCCAGCTCCCGCCAGCGACAAACACCCCAGCGCGTGACATTGGCGATCGGACAGACAGTGAAGACACCGGGAGCTACAACTAATTGAGGCACTCGGACATGAGACCCACCCCTTGTTACTTCAACGGGAGCCTACTTTAGGTGCTACATTGGGGCACCAAAACGGCGCGGACAACAGACTGCGATTGTGGGGCCCTCGCCCATCAGTTCCTCGCCCAACTTGCTCAAACGCGGCAGGATATCGACAAATGCGACGCCCCTAGCTCACCTATCTTACTCTGACATACCAGCAGCATCATCAAGTCATTCTCCGGATCTTTTTATACGGGAGTCGTTAGGAGTTGAGTGAGTGAGAGCGCCATCATCACCACTACAGACAGGCACCGCTCCGCCGCCATTCACGATCTGTAATCAAGACTAGAGTGCAGCGCCACTTTCTTCTTGAACACGTGGAAGCTTAAACCTAATGAGAATGAAGCCAGATGATGTCACGCAGCTATGTAATCATTAAGCGCTCGAATCAGTTCTCAGCTTTACCCGTCTCATAACTCGTAGAGGGACGGGAATTCAAGAGAGAACTTATACGGACCATTGCTACCAGTTGGCTTCCTTCTGCATGATCCAAGACATTTACTTCCTTTATATATCAAGGATTGATAGTATGCAGCGTTCGTCCTCATTTCTCCTACTGTCTCCCTCGCAGGGTCACGCCAATACAAACATACTCTCTGTCCTCTCCTTTGACGTCCCCATTTTCGACGCCTCTTACACTCGCTTTCCGAGCCAACACTCACAGCATCCCTCCAGACTGAACATCAGCGCGCCGAACCACGGACCCAAACATCCAGGTCATTACCTACCGCCATCCCTTATTCAAGCAACTGGCAGGATGGTTGCCTGAGCAAATTGGTAGACCTGAAGTTCCATGAGCATGCCAAAACACCAGCCGCCGGATGCCAACACCATCGCCTTAATCACAAACTCACACACACCAAAAGGCCAAGGACAAGCCCGCCAGGATCGCTTTTTTCACATTTTTAACTTGCTCGTCTCGACCCGACATTGTCCAGGTTGAATGGGATACAAACCCCTCGCCACGGGTCAGTCGTGCATCTTCATCCCCATCCCATCACAATCTCTCGCGACCCTCCCAGCTCTCCTCCTGCACAGCAGCTCATATCACACTGCATCTCAATGCTCACAAAAGCCTCTTACCCAGTCCATCGATAACAAAACCCCTTCCCAAACCACGCCGGCTCGTCCATGTCACCACCAGATGCATCATGTCACGACCATGCGCCCCGATTCCCCTAGCATTATCGCAGAACAAGCGGTGCTTGAGAAACCCGTGAAATGTCCTTGAGTTGCCATCCTTAATCGAGAGCCAGCATTGTTTTCCGTTTCGTAGCGTCGTCGCTCGCTTCCCCGAACTCCCGACCCAGTGAAACAAACGATACTGGGAGCCTATGCCGCCGCGCCGCCGATAGATAAAACGAAAAAACAATCCCAAATCCAGAGATAGAAACTAGTCATACAGAAAACCTCGGCCAAAGACCAGGTGAAGGAGGTTCGGTGCGTGTTTCTCGAGGATGAACCTTTACTGGGCTGCCGGCTGAGATTCGCGCGGGCGGAATTCACCATTACCGCCGCGCCCACCGCGGTAACCCCGACCGCGGCCGCCGCGGCCCCGGCCACGTCCACCGCGATACCCACGGTAGCCTCCGTCGACGCTGCCCTGGCCAAACGTCTGAATGTTCTTGCGGGTTTCCTCGCCACGCCACTGGGCTCCGCCGAGCTTCTGGCCGGCATTCTCCCTGTCCTTCATTTCGCTCGAGATGTTGTCAAAGAACGACTTGTTCTTGTTGTATGCCGGCTCCACAGGGGCCGGTGCGTCAGCCGCAGCCTCGGGAGAGGCCACCTCGGCCGCGGGGCCCTCACCGAGCGGCGAGCCTGCAATGGCCTCCTTGATGACGTCGTGCTTGTTGAACTTTGCATTGGCCGACGCAAAGTCAAAATCGGTGTCGGGAACATCCACTTTGGCGGGACGAGGGCCGCGGCCCCGACCGCCCCGATGGTCACCCCGATGGTCACCCCGATGGTCACCCCGATGGTCACCCCGATGGTCGCCCCGAGAATCGCCTCGATGGCCTTGTCCTGTGCGAGCAGCGTGAATCCTCATTTCGTCCACCTTCTTCGTCAAGTTATCCACGCCATTTGCCTCGACTTGCTGCTGCAAGGTCGAAGCCGAGCCATCAAGCTTCGCCATGGCGACTGCCACAGCATCCTTGGCAGCTTGTGTGGCATCCCTCAACGCCGCCGCGGCGGCGGCAGCGCTGGTTGGCTCAGTGACAGGTTTAGGTGGGGCCTGGGCCTGAGCAACCTTGGCAGTTAGAGCAGCAGGCAGGGGAACCGCAGGCAGAATTTGTGTAGGACGGCTGTTCTTCGGCCCGGTGGGAATGGTCACGGCTGGCGCCGCCGCTGCTGGGGCGTTGTTGGCAAGAGACGCAGCCGTTGCCTTGACCTCGTCAACTGTCGGTTTTGACTCCACAGGCGGCGGTGGGGCAGCGGCGGCTGCTGGCTGCTTGGGCGCCTGGCTCATGGCCTTGGGCTCAGATGGAATACCGGTTTGCGGAGAAGGCGTGATCGATTTCTTGTCGGCAGAGGGCCCAATGGGAGCCGGCTTCTGTGTCAATCCTTGGTTGCTCGGCGTCTGGTTTGCCGACTGCCGACTTTGGCCCGGAACACCCACCGCGCCCGGGGGACCACCGGGGCCGGGCTGGAATTGGTATGGGTTCCAAGGACCGTGTCCCATCGGCGGGAACTCCTGTCCCGGCGGAAACCAACCAGGAGGAGGGTATGGCATGCCACCAAACGGACCAGGGCCGGGAGCCCCGGCGCGGCCCCAACCTGCCATATGAGGAGGGAAATAACCGAAGCCAGGCGCGCCAGGCGGCGGGCCTTGCTGGTTCTGAAGACCGGGGCCACCGACAGGACCTTGAAGACCTTGGGGGCCAGGAGGACCGGGCGGGCCAGGAGCGACATTCGCGGGCCGAGGCCGAGCCTTATGCAGAAACTCGTTAGCAACTCCTCACCAAACGGGTTTGTGCTTGGGGGATGATTGTGTGGCCACATAATCAGAAGGAAGGCAACGGAAATCTCAACATTGTTTGTTTGCGCATTTCAGACAAGTAAAGTTTTACATCCGAAATAGTTCATCATGAAGGTGGCTCTGTTAGGGATGGGAAGCTTAGCGGACACTTACACCTAAAATCGCGGGGTCATTGGGCACCGCAGGCGGTTTCTCCTCTTTGGGCGGCGCCGGGCCCTCTTCAATCCTCAAGTCCTTGACATCTGTGCCGCGAAAGACGATGTACTCGTAGATCTGGTCGGACGGCGGGACGAACTCGGCGACTTCCCGATGCTCGGTGCCGAATGACCTCACGTTCTCGAGGGAGACGGTCGAGTCATCCGAGTTGATGCTGTGAAGGGTGCCGACATAGCTATGGCATTAATGATTAGCTGATGAGCTCGGAAGCTGAGCGTGCCAGACTCCACGAACCGGATGTCACTCCGGGATATGAGGGATATCCTCGCTCTGTAACATTGAGACCAGTTAGTGGATGGTAAGAAGGGAAGCGGGGAGCAATCCGGAAGTGAACGCACCCGATAAATTCGGACATCTTGATGCGAAGGAAATGTGTGTGACGAAGTGCAAGTGCTGCCAGATGCGCGTTGGCCGAAATCTGCGGGTATCAAAAATGAAGAAAATGGAAGTGAAATAGGCAATGTCTTTTAAGACAAGGTAGGTCAGGATGTGGTTTCGCCTGGCGCCCTGCGCACCATGATCGGGACTGTTGTGGTTGTGTGCTTGTTGGAGGTCGGAAATTGAATGCGGGAAGGTTGCACAAACCACCGGAAAATTCAAGTTCAGCCATCTGCTTTCTCACGTTGCAAGCCACCTGATCCGTGCACTCGAACTCCACTTGGTCTTGCATTGCCAGCACGCCACAGTGCAGCCACAGACTGAGGCTTGCAGGAGACCTCCGGATCTTTCCATGCGTTCTTCCAACATTTATCGAGGATGCCGAGCAATGTACAGATCTCCCTGACTTCCTTGCAGCTACCTTCAATGCATCATATGCTACATGTCTTAAAACGCCGGGCGCCGCCTCATGCTCACTCTCTCACCATTACTGATCAACCCCCATGGTAGCCGTAGAGAAACGGCTGAGTGCTCTGGGCGCTGTAGCCCGAGTAACCCGAAAAGCCTGACATGTCCGAGTAGGCACTATTCAGGCTGCTGTGACTCGGTCGATTCTGCGCCTGGGGCGCTTGCTGCACCCATTGGGGAAACGAGTTGTGATGCGCATACGACCAAGGACCAGGAGAGTAAGGCGGAGGCGCTGGGATGAGGTTGTGCATCTCGGTGGGAATTCCGCTGGGCCGGTTCTGGGCCGAGTGTCTGTAGTCGTGCTGACCGCCATACCACATCCTCTCGTCTGGCTGCTTGAGCCGGTGGGTACTGGTGCCAGTGTATCCCGGGTTGCCACGGGATTTTTCGCCCCAAAACATACTCCCGGAGTCGGCCCATTCGTCGACGACATCGGCAATGGTCTGGATGTGACCGTACGAGGCAGGCAGGTAGCCCTTAGGACGCCAAACAGAGAGGAGCAGTCCAAAGATGGCAGCTGCTAGGGAGAAGGCCCCAAAATAGAAGATCTGGGGCGGATGCATGTTGACACCGAGCTGGTACTGCAGGTTGATGGCGAGACCGAACATCCAGTGGACGCCGGCCTTGAGGATAAACAAGAAGAGCGTCCGCCATGATGTGAAGGCAGCGAGGATCGAGTTGTAGTGACCGTTGGTGCCCCGCGGCCCGATGAGTTCACGGTATACCTTCTCGTCTCTGGATAAGTTGACGATCAGCTCGGCGCAGTGCAGAGACAAGGTGACGACCGATTGGAAGGCCATGATGAGGAAGACGGAGCCCACGAGTCCAGCGGCTCCGTGGGCACTCCACCCCATGTTGACAACAGATGTGCCATCCGTACACTGGCGGGTGCTGCAATTGGAGTCGGTTTTGCCGGTGAAAACCGGCAGGAGTGACCATGATCTCCCCAGGACGCCATTTTTAGTACCTTTCAAGAGATGGCCATAGACGCCGCCACCCCAGATGCCTGCGAGTACCGGAAGGATCCAGAGGAGGATGAGAATTCCTCTCACATGGTGGTGCGCGGCAACCATTGGGCTCTGCCTCGGCCTTGGTTTGCAGGCCCTGGCATCTTCCATGGCCAGATGGACACTCATCATGCACCTGCCAATCCTCGGCTCGACGCGGTGACCATCGTGCTCGTCGATGATGCATGCTCGGACAACGTCGAAGGGATTGGAGCTCCAAGTCGGTATGTGCGTCTCGGCCAGGGCCCAGTTGGTGATGAGGGCTTGTAGCAGAAAACCTGCGCCGAGGGTGATGACGGCAACGGCATTGATGTGGACGCCGGTAGTATCGGCGTCATCGTAGTCCTTGTCTAGTAAACGAGCCAACTCTGGGTTTAAGCTCAGGAAGATCAGCGAGGTCGATCCGTACGAAATGACGATGCCAGTGAGATACACGGCGTTTGGTATTATGCCGTTGGCGCGGCTGTGCTTCGCCGCGGTGAGCAGACGCAGGTTCGAGTTGAAGTCGAGTTTGCCCTCACGTTGTAACGACCAGCGGGGCGAGCAAGTGTGGACGTATCCCATGCTATCGTTAAGCAGGGTGACTGGCAAGTATTGGTTAGAAGAGGCTCATGTGGGCGAGAAGCAAGGGGCCGCCACGTTGCCGTACCGAGAATATTAAGCCCTAGAGGAAGGATTTCCCTCCACATATGGGACAGTACGATATGGGCAGCAGCGCCATCTCGATGTTCCAAATACACGCAGATGCCACCAGCAAGCAGCGTGCCGATTCCGACAATCCAGCTCACCACGAGCCCAAACACACACCACGCTCTGGTGAAGACGCTGTCATCGTGCTTCTGAGCCGCCATGACAAGCGTGCCGGCCCATCTCTTGCACTTCGGGAGTTGGGAGAGAGAGGAAAGACAGACAAACAGGATCACATCCAACAGGACCGAGTCGGCGCCCCAGCGCAGAGCCTCGCCGTCATTTTGAAGGCGCCTTTGGAAGGGAAGGGAAAGCAGGGGACCTTTCCAGCCGCACTAAAATGGAGCTAGAGAGAAGCCAAACCACCACGTCCCAATGGCACAGGAAACTAGTGGCCGCCATGCAGGTTCCCTTGAGGCGGCGAGACAGCCGCAATCCAGTCAAGACAAAGTTGCAGTGCATCCCGGCGGTAACAGTGCTCAAACATCGCTTGATGGGAGCCAGAGTTGTTCAAGAGGTAAAAAAGCCAAGAAACGAGTTGGGAAACAGAAGTTCATGATTGATCCATAAGAATAGGTTAACCCGCGGGTGTCTTGCATTGGCTCTTGGGAGTTCCGAAGCCGATATTTAAACGGATAGGCATAGGAGCGAGAGATGCGTGGCACCTTTAACACCCAGGCACCGTGTTGGTTGGCAGTTTATTCGTGGGGCCTGCTCCCTGGTGGGCTGATGTGTAAGGCACGTTACGGGTTACGCTATGTTCCTTCCCATTCTGACATGGTGCATCGTTACTTACCAGTAGTGCTCTGACGATGAGGGAAGTGAGCCGACGAAAACTTTACGACTCTTTTGAACAAGAAAATCAATTGCAGTGATGAATTCAAGACGTCAATAATGGATTTACTGGATACAACAGTTGTTCATAATGATTTATCGCAGTATATCGAGATTTGTGAATAGCCTACGCAGCTCATGTAAATTATCGCTCCAATGACGTTGCAACATAAAGCGCAGTACAAACAGATTCAAGAAAGAAAGAGGAATCAATGAGTTGGATCAAGTGCACCTGACAAAGAACAAAAGGATGAGGTACCCATCATAAGGTAGTACACGTAGTCCACTTTGTGTACTCCGTACCTTTGATTTGATTCAGCCCAGGAGAACTGCTGATCGGTTCCATTGTTTCCACTATGCCCTCCTGACAGTAAGGTACTGTAAGCTTGTCTGTGACTCTTCGTAATTGAAACTTCTGGCTTTACGTGCCGGTTGACTCTATCGGCGAGACGGATCACATCAAGTCCAAGTAACTTGAGATGACGACACATTTGCTTGAGCTCATTTCTCAAGTCATTCTGAGGTAGAAGCGTCTAATACCAGGTGCTCGTATTCCCACCTCTTTAGCGCAGAGACGTCTCTGTATCCCGCCCTTCAAGCCCCGAAACCTGGAAGGTCCCCACTTCGAATTAAAACCACCCCTCCAGATCAGGCCCCACCAAAGCCATCATCGCCATCTTTCACAAGCCTCACACCTGCCTGAGCCATTCAAAGCACCATGGCCAGTAGACAGTTGCGCAAGCTCCGGAAGCAGCAAGAGCTGCTCAGCCTCCAAAATGAGGCTGCAGAGAGGTCTGACGATTCAGGGGACGAGCCTATTGTGACAAAGCCCCGTGGCAACATCTTCTCAGGATTTGCAGCTCTCGGCGATGAGGGTGATGATTTTGACGACGACGATGAGGAGCAGAAGGGTGAAACAGAAGACCCCCGGGAAGCACTTCGGGAGCAGGCAAGCGGGCATGCTGAAACCAAGAAGAGCAAAAAGAAGTTGAAGAAGAAGAAAAAGAAGGGCAAACAGGCCGAACCGCCCGCATCAGTCAAAGATGAGCGCGAGTCCATTGATGAGATCGACCGGGTGCTAGAAGAGCTCAAATTGGAGGCTCAGCAGGCGACCGGGAGTGCCATAACCCCGCCTGTGGCAGACGAGTCGACCGGCGGACTCAATGAGCTCCTGCGCATTAATCTCCAACATCTCAAGGCCATGAACGAGATGCGCAGGCTCTTTGGGAAGGCCATGGACATGGCCGAGATTGAGGAACGCGCCCAAGACACTCGCCAGCGGGCCTTGCCCGAGAACATGGACCTCGAGACCTTCCTGAGTGCTCGGGCAGCTCACCCTGGGCAAGGGCCCCAGGGCAACAAGAGTATGTTCGACACCATTCTGCGCACAAATCCATTCATCGACGGCAAGAAGACATGGCCCCGCGGCTCAGCCCAAGGTCTAAAGATGATCCGCGTTACCGAGGGTTCTCGGGACGAGGTCGAGTTCGCCTTTGCCCATGACAAGGCCTACGATGCCCTGGAAGGCAGTTTTTTTGGGCTGGTCCAGATGTACGACCCCATGCAGATCGTCTACTTTTTGCACCGCTACCCCTACCACATCTCCTCGCTTATCCAAGTAAGCAAGGTCGCTCGACAGGATCAGAACACTGCGCTCGCAGCCGACCTCATTGAGCGTGCCCTCTTCACCTTTGGAAGGGCCAGCCTCAGCGAATTCCGCAGAAAGCTGGAAAAGGGCCAGGCGAGGATGAGCTTTGCCAGGCCCGAGAATCGCCAGTTCTACCTCGCCGGCCATAACCTCATCCAGAAGCTGGTCCTGAAAGGCACCTACCGGACAGCCTTGGAATGGGCCAAGCTGTTCCTAAGCATCAACCACGATGACCCCTACGGCATGCTCAATTGGATCCACGTCCTCGCCATCCGCGCCCGCGAAGCGCAATGGTTCATCAACATCTGCAAGTCCGACCTCTTCAACCGCCCGGAACCCACCAGCAACATCTACGCACACCAAACCCTCGCCCTCGCCTACTTCCAACTCCAAGACCTCGAAAGGGCCAAATACACTCTCATAAAAGGCATGGAGACCATCCCGTGGGTCTACTGCGCCCTCTTCAGCGCCCTCAACCTGGACACGCCCAAGTCCCTCTGGGGCATCCAGCCGCGCGACCAAGACGAAGCTCTCCACACCCAGCTCTACATCCACACGGCAAAAGACCTCTGGAACACCCCGCAACACATCTCCCTCCTCCAATCCGCCGCAGCGGCTGCGTCAAGAATAACCGACCTCGCCGCCCTCCCCCCATCTCCGCGCGTCACTCTCTCCACAGCCCGCTTCATCTACCTGGACAACACGCCCGCCCTGATGTCGGCCGTCCCGCGCCAGATGCTGCACTCCGCCGTGCCCAACTTTGATTTCGACCCGCTGCCCCCGCCGAGGGAGCAGAATGTCTTTTCCAGCTCGACGCAGCAGCTGCCGTGGACGACGATCGAAAACGAGCGCATCTCCGCCAGTGGGGGGCGACGGCGCGAAGATTTGCAAGCTGCGGTTGCGAGGCTGAGAGAGGAGATTGAGCGCGAGGTGGAAGAGCAGTTGCGGATGAGGAGGGAGGAGGGGAGGGAGGTTGCCGGGGAGAGGGAGAGGCAGCAGGAGCGGGAGCAGGGCCGGCGGGAACCCGCTGCACCGGGGATCATGAATTATCTGAGATATCTTGTTGGTGAAGGGGGGTTGGAGGTTGGTGGTAATTGGGTTGGGGAGTGGGAAGATCCTCCTATGGGAATGCCCGGGGGTTGGGGGGATTGGGGAGAGGAAGAGGATGACTTTGAAGGAGGGGATGATTTTGAGGAGGTGGATGAGTTTGAAGGGATGGATGACTTTGAGGGTGGGGGACATGGTGATGAGGAAGGAAGGGGTTGAGCGTGAGGGCGAACATTAGGCTCGTGTGGGCTGCTCTTGCTAGTTTGGCTGTGAGGAGGTCAGACTGTCCCCCGGGACCCTGAAAAAAATAACAGAGGAGTTGTGCTAGGTAGATATGCACTCTGGAATAGTTGGAACCAAATGCGCTGCTACTCTTAGTTGTATTCAATAGTTCGTTGTTGGCTTCAGTCATCGAGAGTTTTGGCGAATGGTCTTGCACCAACACCAGTCTTGGCACGCGCTGAGGACTGCACCGGCAGAGCGGCTGCTTTGGAGCGTCTTTGTCCGGAGATGCTTAGCTCTCACTCAACAGCAGAACTCCCTTCCACACCTCGGAGGTAAGGGACCAGACGCCAGAGACACGGCCACCTTGGAGTGTGTGACCGTGACTTAGACGTGAGCACGTTTCATGTTCAGGGCCCGTACAACTCTCTGATGTTGTATGCTGTTTGGCGTGTGGCTGGGCCTTGCAGTTGGTATGGGACGTCGGACGATCCCAGTTGAAGAGTGTACGGAGTACAAAGCGCTACAAACTCGGTAGCACCTTGTACGGCCGCGTCTTGCTCTCGCATCCAGCCTCATGTCGAAACCCAACCCTCAGTTTGTAGGGTGGAACACCTTTGATGGCCCGGTGATACCAACTTCCGTTGGACTCCTCGACTTTTGGCATGCCGAAAAGCGTCAGCAATGCATTATTAATGAACCATCCATCTCCTTCCACCGCATGGCAAAATCATCGCATTTGGCCTGACAGTACGGACACAAGCGCCTTTTTGGCTTGATATGGCACAATTGTCGCAATCTGGCAGGTTCCGTTCCTTAAAGAGACCCCTCCCCCGCCCCTCGGCAGCTCCATCCTCAAACCAACACCCCACTATCAACGTTGCAGCTACAACCCTGACGGCTGTGTCCTTCCCTGGACCAGATTGCTTTAAATCGACACCGAACCTTAGTTTACAGAGCCATTGCCTGTTCACACACCCAGCCCGATCGTCAAGCATCGTGTAGTTCAGCAGTCCTGCGGATTCGCATCGCCTGCCCGCCGCGCTCCACGCAACAAGAAAGCCTTCCACGTCAATCTCCCGGAACCGAACGAACCGAACTAAACTAGACACACGCACACACCATGGCCGACGCCGGTGCCTCCGTCCCCGATGCTGTCCCCGGGCACAAGTACCAGTTCAACGTGAGCATGTCGTGCGGCGGCTGCTCAGGCGCCGTCGAGCGCGTGCTCAAGAAGCTGGAGGGTGCGTTTGCAATGTCCCAGCCTTCCTTGCTTAAGCCTTCTTTCCCATTCCGCTCCACCCGTCCATAACATCACATCTTTCCCCGTCACATGAAAAGGAGGGAAATTGAGAACAGAAATGCTAATCCTCCTTTGCGCTCAACAACAGGCGTTCAGAAGTACGAGGTCTCGCTTGAGACACAGACGGCCACCGTCTTTGCCGACGAGTCGCTGCCCTACGAGAAGGTGCTGCGCACCATCGCCAAGACGGGCAAGAAGGTCAACAGCGGCGAGGCGGACGGTGTCGCGCAAAGTGTCGATGTGCCGGCTGAGTAAGATGCGCCGGCAGGCAGGCAGGCCGAGTGAGGCCAGAATGGGCCATGCCATGGAAAGGGTCGCGTTCAACCTGGCTGGGGAGGTTGGGATGGTATGGGAATGGAAGGATAGAGAGGGGCGGTTCTCTTGGCTTTGAGTTATATACTGCGTAGGGTTCAGCGCCTTTCTGACTTCATGATATTGGCCCGCGGAGGTTCATTGCTTGTTGCTAGGCAGGGTGCGTTTGTTCATACTGGTCTGCAGATAACGCAACCTTGATCAGTCCTCATTTCTCTCTTTGCCCTTCTTGTTGGTACTGTGTGGTACGGTGATCGACAAATCTGCAAGCCTCCGTCCAACGGCCCTCACGCCTACCTTATGATATTTCAGACAGTGACCGGTAGCCGCATCACGGCCAGTCAAGCATCTTAGCCATCTTGACGATCCATCGGTAGGCAGTCATCTTTACCGCTTATCCGCCTACTCAGGCACAGGCACACGGCTGGGCTGCTTGGAGATGATGCTCATAGAAGTCGGATTGCCTGGCCAGCCAGGGTGGTGTAGTTGTGAAGTTAGAGAGATTCGCTTCACCACTCCGCATGTCGGCGTCACCATTACAGCCGGAAATAGGGGTATCAATACAAACAGACCACCTCCCTTCCCTCGTGCATCCTATCGTGCTGCTGCTTTGCTTAGACCATACACAGGTCTAATATGTACAGATTCCTCTCCGTTGAATACACAGGCGGGATGATCATCCACCCAACCAATACCTGGTCGAAGGTAAAGTCTCTGTATCCCAATCCTCATCTCCTCTTTTCCGCAAAGCCTCTTTCCTTAACATTGAAACACATCTCTCTCTCCGATTCCCTCCATCCCAACACCAAAACATCAAGCCCCAGACCCAGCCTCTTTAAGCATAGAACGCCAAGTCAAAACCCCCCATTCCAACCATGCTATTATGACACCCTCCTCTTTGTCCAACGCCAGATCTAAAGAGAAAACACTCACCCCTCCCCCGTCAACCCTCTCACCAACCCAACCGAGACACTCAACAGCACCCCAAGCACCACAAACCCATGCATCCTGCCCGACCACACCCCGTTCTCCTTGCCCAGCCACCCAATCACGCCCAGCGGAAAAACAAACCCGATCAGCATGCCCTTGATCAGGGGCCCCGTGGCCGCGCTGAGGCCGTACACGTCCTCGTCCATGCCCATGCCGCCTTGCATGTCATCACCACCACCACCAGCACCGGAGGGATATGACAACTGGGAGGTACTACCGGAAATGGCGGTGGTGGTGGGTAAGCGCTGCTCGTTATCCAGCCAGGCGTCTTCCATGGCCCGGAGCGTGTCGGGCGAGGGCAGTGTGTCCGGGGTGAAGCGGGCGGCGTGGATGGCGCGGAAGTGGGTGCGGAGGGTGGAGACTTCCGAGGGGTGGAAGCCCGCAGCCAGGAGCCGGTCGAACCCTCGTGGTTGTTGGCCATGTCTTGTCGCTGTGGTGGTAGTGGATTGTCGGGGGTGGGTGTCGCCAGCGAGGGCCAGGTTGGTCGTCTGCAGTCGAGGCAGTGGGGTGCGGGAGGGCGTTGTGGTTGATGGCTGGTGGGGTGATGGGGGAGGGGCAGTCGCAGCGGCGGCTTCTTCGGCGAGCAGAGAGGGCGGGAGAACGTCGCCTATGCTGCAGTTTATGAAGACGCGCTGTTGTGGGTAGACGCCGGCGGGGGCTTTGCCTTTTGGATCGGCATGGTGGGACAGCGGGGGTGGAGGGGGCGCTTTAAGCACGGCACTCAGGACGGAGGCATCCGGGAGAATGCGGCCGTTGTGGATGAAGCGGAGGTGGGCGAGCGAGGCTTGGGCCGCCGGGCTGGGTTGAGCAGGTACATCGTTCTTTCTGTTGGCCGCGGCTTCGGCCTCGGCTGCTAGGCGGCCGCGGATAAGGTGCTTCAAGGCGACGACGGTGGTCTGGTGTGGTGAGGAGATGTCGAGGTGCAGGTCGGGAAGGGCAACGCTGAAGCGGATGGTGATATGGAGCGGCGGCGCAATCGACGCAGATGGGAGGGGCAGGGCGGACGGGCTGCGCGCCGGCGGAGGGCGGCTGTCTCGAGGAGGTCTGGTCGGGGAGGAAGAAGAGGACGACGAGGAACTGCCCCCGGCGTTACCCCGGCTGCTGCTCATAATGCTGGTCGTGGTCGACGCAGTGTAAGAAAAAGCTTGCTCAAATAACCGCAGGGTCACATGTTACCCAAGACGAATTCGTTGAAGGCTTAAGTCTCCTACGCCCCAGTTGTGGAAGACGTGCCGGTCCGTTGGATGATCGCCGTCAAGGTGGCATGACAATGCCTGTCATTGCCATAACTGGCTGGACCACTCTCCACTCCCCACATCTCGGCTATCATCCTTGGCGTGCATATCACGGAGCGCTCGTATGCAGGAACCAGAACGACATCTGATAAAGGACGTGTACAGAATCGTCATCGATTAACTTATAGTATGTCGGAAGAAGTACCTTATGCCTTGTGCCATTGCGGTGTGAACCATGTAACTAACATAAGCTGTTGATCCCTTCCAATAAATTTGGATCAAACCCTGATTCAACCGTCCTCCAACGCCTCTAGGACCATGTACCATGGCATTTGGGGTATCTCCTCCCTTTTTCGTGTCCGATATGCCGTTCTGTCCCGTATGCCAGGTTAGTGCTTGTGTGAGTCGACTCTGAAATCATCGTCTGGAAAAAAAAAGGAGAAAAATGTCGAAAGTTGTCCATTGCGGGGAGGAAAGGAGATAAGTCGTCCTCGAAAGAGAGATGTAAAGGTCGATGGCCTTGGTTATCTACGGCCTTCGCCAAAACGACGCAAGCGCATCCTATTGAGGAACCCGCTGACGGCCGAGCGGGCACGCTGCAGCCTCCGGCCGCGGCCAATGGTGTGCTCGTGCTCCTCGAGGGTAGCGACGACGTGGTTGACGATGCCCATAACGGCCCCCTGCACGTTATCGAGCGTCAGGGCCGAGCACTCGCCGTAGCCGCCGGCGTGGATGGCCTGGGCTGCCTGCTGGCCCATCTCGGTGCTGACAGGCTCGGTGGTCGGCAGGAAGGAGAGGCCCAGCATCGGGTGCGCCGGGCGGAGGTCGCGCTTGAGACCGAGCACGAAGATGTGCTGGTCATGCAGGGAGGCATCGAGCTTGGGCTTCCACTGCAGTGATACGTCAGCTAGAAGATGTTTTGCATAGGAGCACGGGGAAGGGACGGAAGACATACCACCTCGGCAATGTTGGATAGGTTGGCCTTGTCCTCCAGGCTGAAGCAGATGATGGCGGCGTGGAAGAAGGTTGAGAGGAGCGGGCCGGGACGCTCGCCAGCCACGATGCCCGGGAAGTCCCAGAGCTCGACGCTGACGACCGAGTCGTCGTGGGCGCGGACAGTGATGGCCTTGTAGTCCGGCGCGAGGGAAGGGGAGGTCTGGGAGCGCTGTTTAGCTGCGGCCTTCACTCATTTCAACCGGCTAGGAAATTTCACCGAGACAAACGAGTTGTCAACCAGACGGCTATGAACACCACGCATTAGCATCGCTACGCAACCTTTTTCCTTCCGGCTCCATTCGCGCGGCAGGGGCAGAGTAACTCACTTGAAGAAGGCCGTCTTGCCGGCCGCGACATCACCAACCAGGCATATCTTGATGGTGCGCGAGGCAACCACCGACGAAGCGGCACCCGCAGAGGCGCCCGTGCCTGAGACGCGCGAAAGCGGGGAGCCGACGGGACTGAAGGGCCGCGGGCCAGGCTTGGGAGCGGCGACGTCGATGGCCGCAACGTTGCTGGCCGTGAGGGGGACGGTGGGGCCGGCAAGGCCGGGCGCAAGAGCAAGGGGAGCAGCGGCCGAGGTCATGGTGGTCGTGGTGCCGTCGGCCCGGTGGCGGGCGGCACGGGAAATGGTGCGCTGGAAGACAGCGCCCAGACGGCTCCTCTTGGCAGCGGACTGGTTGCGGGCCGCCTCCTCTTCCTCGTCATCGTCGTCGGTCGGCTGGGAAGGGTGTTAGTGGAGTTTCACCAACTGCTGGGGAAAATGAAAGGGAAATGAACGGAGTCTTCGCCGTCCAAGATAAAATGCTCCGTTCGCAGGGATGACTGCTGGCTATCGTCCTTCATATGCCATTGATGGCGCCTCCGGTGCTGGGATGCGCTTGACTGGCACCCGAGTAAGCGAGCAGTCACCTAGACACCTAAGTGATCTGCTCACTCAGCTGGGGCCCACAGCGTAGCCCCGACTTTCGTGCCAGCCAACCAGCAGCAGGCCCCTTCCGCTCGAAATCGCTGCTCAAGGGAAAATCAAGGGACACGACTTACAGCACTGCGCTTGTCGCCGACCCGGGCACTCTCGTTGACGCTGAGGGCGGTGCCCTCATCCCCAACGTGGCCGCCTTGGGCAGCAGCCAGGACGCTGTCCCCCTCCTCCTGGCGCTCGAGCGACAGCGCCTGGAGTCTCTTCCGCCTAAGAATCGTGTCAGCGGGTCGCCATGTCGGAAGATTCTGGGAACGTTGAAGAGCCGCAGCAATCTGCGAGGAGGTTGACTTGGTGCAAAGTGCGGCAGACGAAGAGGAAAGTAATTCTTGGTACTTACCAATCCTCCATCCGAGACGAGGTCTTGAAATGCAGGTGGCCATGCCCAACCACGAAAGCCTGGCCGTAGAAGTCGGCCGACGTGGCTGGGCCGAGCAACCGGGAACCACGCGTGGCAGGAGCAGCAGCAGCGGTGGCGGCGGATTCACCGGGGCCGCGAGGGGGTGCGACCCGGTCGCCGCCCCGAGCCCCGTCGTCCGATCCGACCGGTGTGGTCGGAGGGGCGACGGTGCCCGGAGCCGCGGCGCTTCCGACCGCGGAGTCGAAAGCCCCGGCGGCATTGCCGCCCACGACACCACCCAGTTCCTCGGGAGCGAAGGCGACATCGAGCTCCCAAGGTTTCGGCGTGGCCGACCGTAGGTTGCCCAACAGCGGGTGCGCAACTGCCATCTGTTGCGAGATGGCCGGTCGCTCAGGCGGCGACATCCTCGCGATCTTGACGTTATTTGATTCAAGAAAAAAGAAAGATGATGAAGAAGCCGAGGGCGAGCAGCAGCGTAGGCGGCGATGTTTTGGTGGTGGTGGTGTCGGCGAGGAAAGGGAAACAGGCAAGATGGCAGCCAGGCTGAATAGAAAGAAGAAGAAGAGGAAGGAAAACTGAGATCGCTGCAAAGGCGGAAATCTCATGAACTGCAAGAACGCGTTCGATCTCGTGCTAGCGCGCGTTGGGCAGGAAAAGTGCGTGAAGGAATGGCCAAAGTGCCCCTTTCTGAGTCTTTCATCTCATCTTACGGTGATATGCCTCGATGTTGTGGCTGCTGGATGGGGGTTTGATAGGGAAGGCAGCCCCTTTTCCGCATCTATACGCTTCACTCTGAGCGTCTAACAACTAGCCAGGCACAATCACAGTGCAGAGCAAGAGGATTCCTTCTGTTGAAGTCCACGGAGTTGCTTGGAGACCCAGGGGAAAGGAAGTTGGGATGTTGGGGACTCGATTCGAGTCGAGTAAGAACGCCATGAGTTCATAGCTCCGGTACAATAAAGAACCGCAGCAATTGGGAAGGAGAACGGTCTGATAGCAAATTCGGCCAGACGATGCTGAAGGTATCCAGTTTTGGTACGTGACAATGCGACTCTAAAAAAACTGGCCTATCCTCCTGCAATTCTCTGCTAAGGTACACTGTCTATCAGATGGTTCTTCTCTGCGAATGCCAGGAAATGGATGCGACATTTGGTCCAAAGTTGAGAGACTCGTCTTCGAATGGGAAACTGGTAATGATTCGCTGACTTTGTGCTGGGAATCTCACATGAGTCCAAGATACCCTGACACAGTTGTTGTTGGTGTTTTCGAAGAGTGGTTCCCAACAGGAGGGGTCTTCTTGTCAATGGGAAGACTTGACCAACTCTCCAAAAGCACAGAAGAGAAGCATTTGCCCTTGAAGTAAGTATGAGAAATGGTAGAGCAGTGTTCCAAGACTAGGCCATCCTCTCTAATGACAAGAAAGGTATACTATACCCAGGAGGCTTTGATTTCAGTAAGATCTGAGCTATGTCCGTTTAAACCAGTGCTCGTCGTTCACTTGCAAGAAATCAAATGCGAAAGAGAAGTCGTTGTTTGACATTCTGTTATCGAGACGTGTATTTGGTTTGATGCATACAACCTTACCCCTTGCTAGCGCCAAGCACGGTCCAGTTTGGTCCCACCCGGACAGGATCGCGCAATCGCAATGGAAACTATATCTCACAGCAGGCGCCCTGCCAATGACGGACAAGCTTTTGGCCGACTGTGACTCTGAAGCCCTTGTTGAAGACTGTAAGCAACTGTACCTGGAAATGGCTGTTCCAAAGCCAGATTTGGACATCCAAACTTGAAAGTTAAAGATTACTAATTTACTGTCGGGATATCGTATTGTAGATGGTTAACAGCTTCACGATATTAATTCGCCTTGCCTTCCTCTCGAGCAGTGCGTCTCATGAACTCAGCAGTCCCAATTCGCACTCTCCTCCGCCGGCCCTGGACCGCTGTACCTAAAATCACGCTCACAAGAAGACTGCACCAATTGAGCACCATGAGTGAGAAGCTGAAGCCTGCCGCCCGTGTATCGGGCAGCCGGCAGGATGTTTGGTAACTACTTGATTTCTTTATGTCTGAAAAGAAGAAATCACAGTCACTGACTTAGATGCCAGGTCCATCATCAATGAAGCCGCTGCTGCCTCGCCCAAGCAGCCCATCATCAACATGGGGCAGGGCTTCTTCGGGTACAATCCTCCAGACTTCATCCTGGACGCTGCCAAGCAAGCCCTCGACCGGGTCGAATGCAACCAGTACTCCCCAACCAAGGGCCGTCCGCGCTTGAAGAAGGCCATCTCGGATGCGTATGCCCCCTTCTGGGGACGTAAGCTCAATCCCGATACCGAGATCACCATCACCACCGGCGCGAATGAGGGTCCGTGCAGCCTGAGACCGAGGTCCGTCGTGGTTGCTGACTCCCAGCAGGAATGCTAAGTGCCTTTATGGCCTTCATCGAACCAGGGGACGAGGTTATTATCTTTGAGCCCTTCTTTGACCAGTGCGTTCCATCATCACTACAGTACAGTACTCATAGCATATTCTAACCCCAGCCAGGTACATTAGCAACATTGAGATGCCTGGCGGCAAGATTGTCTATGTCCCCTTGCACCCGCCCAAAGAGGGCGCAGTCAAGACACTCCCAGCAGGCGAGTGGACTATCGACTTTGACGAGCTCGAGCGGGCCATCACACCCCGGACCAAGATGTTGGTCATCAACACACCGCGTACGCCTCCTCGTTGATTTTGCCAAGTACCCAATGCTGACCTGAGAAAAGACAACCCCGTTGGCAAGGTCTTCACCCGCGACGAGCTGCAAAAGATTGCCGACCTGTGCCTCAAACACAAGATCATCATCCTCTCCGACGAGGTCTACGACCGCCTGTACTACGTCCCCTTTACCCGCATCGCGACGCTGTCCCCAGAAGTGGAGCAGATTACCCTGACGGTTGGCTCGGCGGGCAAGAACTTTTACGCTACAGGGTGGCGAGTTGGTGCGTCCATTTTCCCAATCTTGACTTGAGTTTCACCTTGATGCTGATATCAACTCACAACCGCCAGGCTGGCTCATGGGCCCCCCGCACCTCATCCAATACGTCTCGGCCGCCCACACCCGCATCTGTTACTCGTCCGTCTCGCCGCTGCAAGAAGCCTGCGCCATCGGTATACCCTCCCCCCCCCCCCCCCCCCCCCCCCCCCCCCCCCCCCCCCAAAAACCCCCCCCCCCCGGCTCCCCCCCCCCCCCCCCCCCCTCTCTCCCTCCTTCCCTCCCAACGAAAAACTAACCAACCCACCCATTTTGTCTGTTCCAGGCTTCGAACAAGCAGAAAGCCACGACTTCTGGACTAACGCCATCACCGACATGCGCCACAAACTATCCCTCTTCAACGCCATTTGGGACGAGCTCGGCGTCCCCTACTCGGAGCCCGAAGGCGGCTACTTCGTCATGGTGAACCTGTCCTCGGTCCAGATCCCCGGGGGGTACCCCTTCCCGCCGCACGTGGCCGAACGCCCGCGCGACTTCAAGCTCGCATGGTTCCTGATCCAGGAGCTCGGCGTCGCCGCTATCCCGCCGAGCGAGTTCTTCACCGACGCCAATGCCCATATCGTCGAAGATTATGTGAGGTTCGCGGTTTGCAAGCCGGATGAGGTGCTCGAGGACGCCAAGGAGCGGTTGAGGGGGTTGAAGCGGTATCTGAAGAAGGCTGGAAGTAAAACAGAATGATGAAGGAAGGGGATGGTGGGTTTCAAGGGAGTTAGGTGAGACAGGAGTGAGGTTACGGTGAGAGGGAAGTGGATCGTGGTAGACATGCTATTACGGTTATAGACGGGGTCTCTTGCCAGCTGGCTCGTACTAGAAGAGATGTTCCTGCAAGCCCGATCACTAGAATTGGTGTCGATCTCGCGAGTATTGTCTGTGACTTAGGAAGATGCAACGTTACAGTTGGAGAGGCCATTTGCAAACTTGTTCAATCCAGTATCCAGCTGTTGCAGACTGCTTTCTCCCTGTATATGTCTGAACTCTGATGTAGCGGCAACCTTGATACGATGAAGTCTTCTCATACAGACTCGGAAGGCGGTTAACTGGGTATTCAGGAGTTCAGGGGCGACTCCCATAGTAACATGAACGACAGACGAGTATGAGAACACATAGGCTTAGCGGCCACGAAACAAGCGATCAAAAAAGGAACACAGCAAAGTGGGTGACGGCACGCTGTTCAGCGGCCGTTGATTGCCAGGAAGCCTCAGGAGATCAGGAGACTGAGGATGTGGCTGCCTAGGACATGGAAGGCAACATGGCGGCGACGCCCACCAGTTCTCGGGACCGGCCAACGCGCTGGCACCGCTACCTACCTCCTTCGAACTGGCTTCCCCAGCGAGAATGCCTCACACCGCGCTCCTACCCCAATCTATCTAACAAAACTGGCCTGACATGGACAACCCTGACAAGTCATGGTATTCTTTTCCCAACCCCTCAAGGTACCGACCCAAAAACGCCGGGCAAACAAACAGGACAATGAAAATGCAGATGCGAGCCCCATTACAGATACAGACTGTTGCACGAGACGATATCCCGCCGAATCTTGGACAAGCTCGTCTCGAACTTATCTTTGAGCTCCTCGCTGCCCATGACTTTCGCCGCCTCAGCCATCTGGCGGAGCAGCTCCTCCAGCCGGCGGAAGAGGCGAATCAACGAGCCCTCATAGGCGTTGGTCATTTTGCTACAAGCGGATGGTTAGCATCATCAACGCAGCTGAGAAGCGTAGAAAGAAACTGCGAGAGGAACGTACCAGATCTCGGAAAACGGCCTCCCATTAGCCCACGCCAGCACCGTCTCCATGAGCTGCCACTTCAAGCTCTGCACGTACTCATCCTCATTCACCTCGAGCTTACTCTCGGCGCTGACCTTGGCAATGACCCTCGCCTGCGCCTGGATCTCGCGGAACGGCTTGGCCAGCTCCTCCTTGAGCGTTGCCGTCTCGACCTTCTCGTCAAAGATAAACACGCTCAGCACCGACGCGCACAACTCCGGCGACAGCTCGTTAAAGAACCGATTGAACAGCAGCTCGGCGAGCAGCAGCTCGTGCCCCTCGGTCGACGAGATCTCGCACGCCACGCGCGCCTTCATCTGCACCACCTCAGCTTCGTTGATGAACCCGAGCCGGCGGAGCACGCGCTTCCGCGACTTGAGCTCGTCGAGCTGCGCGACGCTGTGCGCCTTCATGATGGCCCGCTTCTTCTCCTTGATCTGCTCCGCCAGGGCGAGCTTGGCCTCGAACTGCTGCCAGAGCTGCTCGAGAAGGGGCGAGTTGTGCAGCGGGTTCGCGATGAGGCGGGACTCGAGAACTTCAATCTTTCGCAGGAGCTTTTTGAAGGATTCGTCGGTGATGCCCATGTTTTCGAGCGGGTCGACGAGCGGCAGGCCGTCGGGGAAGCGTTTCTTGGCTTCCTCGAGCAGCTTGCCTGTGTCTTTGCGTTCTGATTCCGAGGTAGCGTCCCTGGGAACATGCAGACGGACCTGGGAAATGGCTTTCACGCAGGTCAGCAGGCAGGGAACAACTTCCCACCTGCCCTTCTTTCCGGGCTGCAGGGGGTAGACGCCCTCGGGCACGGCAACGTCGCCCTTGGAGTTTTTGTCGACTTCCGCGCTGTTTGACGCGATTCTGAGCAGGGTGTCGACGAAGTAGGATTCTTGGGCCGGCCAGTCGGGCTGGCCTGCCTTGGCCTTGCGGGGAACAAAGTCCATCACGATGCCCCAGCCATAATCGGCCCCGCTGGGTGTGACAATGTGCACCACCCTACCGGGCTTCATGAACTTGACGCAGTAGGTCGGGTGCTGCATGACGGCAATCATGTCCTTCTGGTACCCTTCCAGTTGCTGCCGAACGCTGTGGTACTCCTTGACACTTGCTTCATCAGGAATAATCACGCTGTCGCGCTGCTGCTGCAGGTTGGCAAGGTCGCGCTCAAGTTGCGGCACGCTTGAGGTCGTCTGAAACTGGAAAAAGCACCGCTCGAGCATATATTCGGGTGAAATGGCCTCGATGCGCAGCAGATTCAGGATCATGTTGTACCCGAGGTGGAAGGCCGAGTTTAGCTTGTCTTGGTGGCCGACCACAACGCTCCTGGCCACGTCGGGCTCCAGCTTGTCGTCGACCATCATGATGACGATACCACGGTCATCGAGACCACGACGGCCAGCTCTGCCCGCCATCTGGATGTATTCAGACGAAGTCAGCGGCCGCCGCTGAACGCCGTCCCACTTTGTAACCTGGGTGAAAACGACGGTCCTCGCGGGCATGTTGAGACCAATCGAAAAGGTTTCTGTCGCAAATAGGACCTTGATTAGGCCTTCTTGGAAAAGAATCTCGATGGTCTCTTTGAGAATGGGCAACAACCCAGAGTGATGGACGCCTATGCCCTTGCGGAGTAGGGGGAGAATGTTTGAGATCTGAGGCAGATTTCTGTCCTCATCCGAGAGCTGTTTCAAGGCGTTCTCGAAAACGCTGTTGACCAACGCCTCCTCATCTGGGGCGTTGAACTTCATATCTGAGGTCTTGAGCGCCAGCTGCTCGCACTCGCGCTTGGCGAAATTGAAAACAATGACGGGCTGGAAGTTCTTCTTCATGATCATTCTGATCAATTTGGCAATGTCGGACTTCTCGTTTGGTGCCACGCCTCCCTTGTTGGTCTTCTTGTTCTTTCCATGGCCATTGCGCTTGGCGCTCCAGTCGGCCGGGTCTGAGCCCTTCTTATTCTCGATGGCTGCCATGGCGGTGTTGAAGTTGTTCTCTTTGAAGTTGCCCTTCTCGTCCACTATCAGATATATGCCTTCACCTCCCGCGGGAAAGAAGTAATTCTGCAGCGGTGTCGGCCGGAAATCGGTATAAACAACGTGGCAGGCCTGACGGTGAATTTTGGCTATCCATTCGGCAAATTGGAAGGCATTGGGGATGGTGGCCGATAGGAATACATATCTAACCTTATCCGGGAGAAGGATGATGGTCTCCTCCCAGACGACACCGCGGGTCTTATCGCGCATGTAGTGGATCTCGTCAAAGATGACCCAAGCCACCTCGCGCATTATCTCGGAGCCCCGGTACAGCATGGACCTCAAAATCTCGGTCGTCATGACGAGACAGCTTGCGGTCGGGTTGATTGTGACGTCGCCCGTCATCAGGCCGACGTCGCCAAAATCGGCTTGGAACTCGCGGTACTTCTGGTTGCTGAGCGCCTTGATGGGACTTGTGTAGATGACCCTCTGGTTCCGCTTGAGACATTGGGCAATAGCATACTCGGCAACGACCGTCTTGCCGGCACTGGTATGGGCCGACACCAGGACACTCTCGTCGCGCTCGATCGAGGCAACGGACATGGCCTGGAAGGGATCGAGTCTGAAGGGGTATGTCCTCGCGGGTTCTGCGGGCGGTTTGTGCTCTGAAAGGGGGATGTATTCGTAATCGAGATCTGGTGGTAAGGCAACTTGGTGTTGGATGTTGTGAGACAAGACGAGGGAGCCTTCATCTGTCGATGGCGCGAAGCCCTTGGCTGCCGTGACTTCCCTGGACTCGGCCGTCTCGAATGTGTCGGTGATGATGGGCTCGGCCTCGTCTTCCATCTTCCGCCTTTTGCTGTCGCCCTGCCCTTGGTCATCGGTTGTTCCGTTCATCTGCTCGTCCATGTCCTCCTCCGCCTTGATAGCAACAGGCCTGCTGCTGCCATTTGCGCTGTCAGCGCCGTCGATCGTTTCGACATCGGCGTCGGCCTTGCGCTTGGGAGCACGCGGCTGCTCCTCAAACACCGAAAAAAAGTCATCCATGTTGCGAATTACCGAGGTTCATGAGATGCTGTGGCTAGCGCAGGACAAAAGTTCAGGGTATGGGGGATTGAATATGCGGGAGCGGTGGCTCTCCAAGTCGCAGGCGCGCTCGGGTTCGCTGAGGTGGTCAGGCGCAGTTCGAGATGGCGAAAAAAAGTCGTCGCACCGAGCCAGAATCTCCACCTTTCTGCCAAAGTCGTTTCCAGGCGGTGAGAGGAAAGATCAACGTAGCACAGTACATCCAGTCTCGGAGATTATTCCTCCATGCACATTATAATTTAACGGGATAAAGTTTAAAACTGGTACGCTAGTAGATAGAATATGATTGATGCATTGTAATCCGTGTCTCGGATTTTCTTGTTTTCCTGCTTCGTCTAGTGCTCTTGTCACACTTTGTGCGAGCTGATATGGTGGTAGAAGAGTCCCGGCCTCCAAGTACCACGCTATCTCCATGAAAGGCATCACTAACAGAGCCGCCAACCAACACATTGATAAAGAGTCGGCCTTTGGCCAACCTTCTTCCATCTGCAACCCCCTCGTGTCATTTGCCAAGCCGTAGTCGCAGTCGCGCCGACAATATGACACTCCTCCAGCTCTCGCCGGAGCTCCTGCTCCTCGTTCTCGAGAACCTGGCATCGGCTTTCTTCGCGCAGGACGTCCGGCGCTTGACCGTGTGCAAGAGATGGTACGACATGGCCTGGAGGGTGTTTGCCCGGGACCTAAAGTTGACTGAAAAGTCGCTGAGAAATTCACCGACGACGATGCTGCCCTTGAAAGATGCTAGCCCCACATTGCCATGATCCAACTATACCTCGGGGACCTGTCGAGCCCTATGCTCGCACCGGCAACACTGCGCGGCCCGTCAACTTTTTTGGTACGGTTACGGGTGGCTTTCCCGCTGGTAAGTTCGGTCTGCCGTGGAGGAGTGGCATTCTCAGTTTCAGACTTCTCTGTCCAAGCTGGCTACGACTCTCCGGCGATCCCCCGCTCTACGGTCGCTCGAGTTCAAATCAAGGAACATAACGACGGAACTTCTACAGTACAAGTGGCTGAGAGCAAGATCTTTGGCCAACCTTCTCTCCGTTGGCCACCTGACGTCGTTGGTATTCGACATTGCGAACTGTGAGATCAGGGCGGCATAATGAGTGTTCCATTACGGATCTGTGCTGCGAGATCAACGCGTTGCTCCCCTCACTTCGGCGGCTCCATTGCCGCATGGGTACGATATGCGAAAGCATACTAGAGCCTCCACCAGCCGACACGTCCCTTGCTCCCAAGGGAGTCATCGTCAGCCTCAGCGTCTCGGAGCTGTCCGACACAATCACCGCGTTCCGTCTGCCCCTGCTCCCCTCGAGGACGCCCCGTTTGGAGCAGCCATTGAGCGAAAAGCCGCAGCGCTCGCAGCACAGATGCAGTACTCTAGGATGGTGAGGGTTATATCTTACGAGCTTCCGTCTCTCGAGATGTATGCATTCGATGCGATAACTGGAAAGATATCGGCAGTTGCCCAACAACCTGGAATGGGATGCGGAAGTGTGACGGTAGAGGAGGAGCCGGTCGAGGGTGAGGAGACGGACCTATTTGAGGACGAAGCACATGTCACGCCTTTTGTCGTGTTGTAACATGCACCTTCGATAATTGCAGTCACCGCCGCGCGATAGATCCGTGCCGCATTCCATCAAGAACACGAATCCGACCCCTTGACTTCATTTGGCTTAAACGGTACAGTTCCTACTGCTCACAAACGGCAACGGCTCACAAGGCCGCACCAGGTGTCCCGGAGTAGGGAGACCGTTGGAACTTCTTTCTCTGAAGATGATATCCTACCGAGGATATTGCAGACTCTTTTGAACTTGGATGATGGTCACTACGGCGAGGTCGTCTTCGGCCGGCCCCACTCGGCGCCCTCGGCTTCCAAATTGTGGACCCATGATCACCGAGTCCGAGAAGATTGCTTGGAGGAAAGGGAATGTCAGACTGGACCCACAACCAAAAAGTTCCAACTTCTACATGCGATTGCCATCGACTCTCAACCCGACCGCACTGTGGCTCGCGCGCAATTTCTTCTTCTTCTTTTTTTTTATTAGCTCACAGAATTGCTCCCAAGACTGCGTCCCGACTCTTCTCCCCGTGGCGGAAATGGCGAACACGTTCAAGGTCAAGCTCACCAACCGGAATCCTAAAAGGCCCATCAAGGGGCTCCCGGCTTTCGTTGATCTGGCCGACGATGCCACGGTCGAGGACGCCAAGATCGTGATTGCCCGCCAGGCGGGCATCAAGGATTTCAACCGTATCGGCGTGTATGACCCGGTATCCAAGGAGACCCTCAAGAATCGCAAGGCCCGCGTTCGGGATGAGGCCGGTGTCGCCAAAACGGCTGAGCTGGTCGTCAAGGACCTGGGTACGCTCCCGCCGTCTGCCCTCTCCATTCACATCTGCACCAGCTTGCTAACTTAACCAATTGCCCAGGCCCTCAGATTGCCTGGCGCACCGTCTATCTCGTCGAGTACCTTGGCCCGATTCTTTTCCATATCTTGATCCCGTTCATCCGGCCGTACATCTACGTCTTCTCGCCCTTCGCGTACAAGAATGAGATGGAGACCCCTCTGACACGGGTGCAATGGCTGCTGTTTGGCCTCTTCCACCTCCACTTTCTGAAGCGCGAGTACGAGACCGCCTTCGTGCACAAGTTCTCGGCCAACACGATGCCCGCCCGCAACATCGTGCGTAACTCGGCCTTCTACTGGCTCATAGCAGGTCTACTCTGCGCGCTCGACATTTACGCGCCGAACAACCTCGCGGCTCGAGACGAGCTCTCGCTGCTCGACTACGTCGGCCTCGCCATGTACGCCGTCGGCGAGACGTGCAACTGGATGGTGCACCAGCACCTGGCCAGCCTGCGCAAGCCCGGCGGCACCGAGCGCGCCATTCCCAACTGCGTCGGCAGCAGTCTCGTCACCTCCCCCAATTACATGTTTGAGGTTCTGGCGTGGACCGGCGTCATCCTCATCAGCCGCAGTTGGACTGTCGTGGTTTTCATCTGCACCGGTATTGTATTTATGCGCAGCTGGTCGCGCGATAAGGAGAAGGCGCTGCGTGCGGCGTTTGGCGATCGCTACAAGAAGAAGCGGTACACCATGCTGCCGGGACTGATCTAGCCGCCTGAACCGGAGGGTTCTACAGAGTGTGTTGCGTATACGATAGATCGCCGGTTTTACAATACGGGCCGGATGGCGGTAATGTCATGGGATAGCAGTGAGTTAAGGAGTGATAAGTCAACTCGGAAACGCACTGGCGACGAAACTGGGACCTGGCCCCTGAGTTACTATCAAGCAATGGCAAGGGATAGGAGCCGTCTCGGAAGTACTGATGGTGACGAGACATGATAAACTTTGAAACAACGAGAAGGCTGGTTGTAGCATTAGGGGACAGCGGACGGAGACCAAAAGGTCCTAGAGTACGATCCGTCAAATTCATATATCATCATAGTCATGCCACGTGATGTCGTATGGTTCGGCCTCCTTGCAAACCATCACCGCTTCTCCTCAGCGATCTATCCGACTCAGTCAGCTCACACACGCTCCCTTCCCTGGCAGTGACCCCGGCAACGGCACCGTCTCCGGTCTATGCCTCATCACGAAGTTTCCCTCGCCATCCCTCCCCACTCCCAACCGTTCCCCGTCTTCCTCACTATCAACTCCTTACTCAACCCTCCCTTCTACAACCACAATCCCCTCCTCTCCGCCATCCAGCACATCTTCGTCCTCACCCTCATCACTCCCACTCCCACTCCAACTCCCTTCGTCCTCACTCCCATCAGAATCCCCCTGCTCAACCAACCTCAACGTCTCCTCCAAAATGACAAACTCCCGCTCCAACATCTCCGCCCAGTTCTGCACATTACCGATCTCCTTCACCTTTCTCGAGTGCACCTCTGCTAGTTTTCCGAGTTTGTCGTTCTCCTTTCTCAGCGCATCCGTCGCGCGCGCCACGTCCCGCTCCTGCCTCTCGATCGCCGCGTTGTTGGCGTGCAGCTGGGCGGCGCGGGTCGTGAGTTCCCTGTCCAGGAGGTTACCTATCGATGCTAGCACGGCGGAGCGGGCTTGGTCTATCTCGCGCTGGGTTGATAACGCTGGGACGGGGGTTGCTTGCGCTGGTGCGGGGGCCGATGCTGATGCTGGTGCTGGTGCTAAGGGATGGGATTGATGCAGATGAGAGGAGCTAGGGAGGGTGTTGCTTGAGGGGGTAATGCTGGCCTGGGTGGTGGTGCTGCGGGGGCGGAGACTGGTAGGGCTGTTGACGCTGGTGGTGGTGGTGGATATAGCTGAGGCTGCGCGGTGATGCGGAGGTGGCGAGGTGGTCACCGAGACAGAGACTGATGAGGAGGCGACGGAGGGGGTGCTGGATGGCTTTGGGTGTGGTTTGGCCCAGGTGGCGGAGAGGAGGGACGAGAAGAGGGTGGCCGATCTTGACGAACTGCTGGTCTGGCTAGAGTGGGAGCTGCTTGCTGGAGCAGATGCTGTGGCTGTTGTGTTGGTGACGGAGGGCGCCAAGGGTTGTGCAGGGCTGATAGAGGCTGCCGTGAGTCGGACTGGGGCTGCTAAAGACGACATGTTGAGGGTGCTATTGTCCAGTTCTCCTCTTCTTTTCCAAGTCTCTCCAGGGATAGACGTAGAGATCAACTCAATTGGAAACATTCACAAATGAAGATGAGAACCGGTCAAGCATCTGTCCAGCAAGCCGTTTGTGTTTTCTTGAAAGGATGAATGTGGGTGAGACGGATTGAAGCGGGGTCTTAAGTTGTGGAAGGTCAAGCGGCTGATAACCAGGCCTTGAAAGCAGTGTTACACCAAGGTATACAATTCTTTAGTTCCCATTCAACAAGAAGGGGGTATCAAGAACACAGGGACCATCACTTCAAGCAATGTTCGATTTCTCAAACAATTCCAGGCCAGTCATTCGGCCCTCACTCAAGACTGCACCAATATCCGTCCAACCATGCATCCAACTCACAAGACGTCGTGGATATCCTATGCAACCAACCCCCCATGCCCAGACGCCATGCACCGTAACAAAGACACGCCGCGTAAGACTCGCAGTTTCAAAACCCATGACTCCAGCCAAGATATCCCAGATACCTCAGCCCAACCATCCCATCCAACATTCTCTACGCATTCGACGAGAACTGCCCCTCAAAACCCCCCAACCTTCATATTCCCACCCCCATTCAACCTAAAAGGTAACATCCCCAACGGTCCAGCCCCTGGACTCAGCGCTGAAGACGGCGTCACAATGCCGTCATGCGATGAGCCCACGCTACTCATCGAGTTGAGACTGGCCGTGGTCAAGCTCGCCGTCGAGCTGGAATTCATAGTTCCCGTGCGTGACATGGCGCCTCCGCCCCCACCAAATCCAGTCCCACCACCCATGCTAGCTCCCCCTCCTCCACCGCCGCCCATGGACGAGAGCATCGTGTCGGACCGGTCACGCTCAAACACGCCTGAGAAAGCCAGCGAGAACGAGGCGCTCTGCGGAGTGGACGGCACCGTGGCCTGGACGGCCGGCCCCAGGGCCGCGCTCTGCGGGGTCATGGGTAGCTGGACTGCGGTGGTGGTTTGGGCGCTGTTGCTGGCGGTGCTGTATGGGGAGTTGATGGGGTCGGACCCCGGCTGGCGGAGGAAGTAGGACCAGGGGGAAGACATGATCAGGTCGCACGTTTCTTTCATGCTCTGCTGAATGGGGCGGAGGCGGGCTTTGGTGTCGAGGGGCAGCTGGACGTCGTTTTGCAGCTGCATGATTTTTCGGATCAGGACGTACCACGACTCGAGGAAGCTGTTGCAGAGGCGCCAGAAGGACGGCTGCGTCCGGATGCCGGGCTCCTTGAGCTTGATGGAGGACAGCCGGGCCTTGAGCACCTCGGTCTGCTGAATCGACGTGCTACACTTAGTAACGAGCGCTCTCCAGCACTGAGTCAGGTGGTCCAGTGAGCGCTGCGCGGCGGCAGTCCGCATGGAGGACATGAACTGCGTATTCATGGTGGGCAACACCCGCATCACCAGCTCCGTTGTTTTCTGTAGCGAGAGGAATATCCTCTCGAAGATGCGGTCTTCTTCGGTAAAATCTGTCGAGAGATTGCGTATGCCCGTGGTGCTGGTGGAGGCAAAAGACTCCCCAGACCGGGGCGTCGGAGCGCCCGCCATCGCCGAGCGGCCAGAGCTGTTGACATACGGCATTGAGACGTCTGTCGCAACCCGTAGATTGCTCGGATTGTAGACGAAGGTACCGTTCCGCGACCTACCGTTGATGGGCCGGTCGGCAGTTGGCGCTACCGAGCTTTCGCGGGAATACGGCCGGATGGTCTCGCCTAGATCAGACCGACTGATGGAAGGAACCGACCGATGATTGCTTTCTGGGGCGACCTGAGAACAGGTCACGCGCAGCTCCATAATGCTATTGTAGAGCTGCAGTAACAGAGTCCGGATGTATCGGGGGTCGCCATTGTCCAGGAACAGGTCAACGTTGCTCATAAGCAGCGAGGAGACATGTGTATAGGCGTTGATGAGCGTCAGGCAAGCTCGCTGCACGTTTTCATTCTCCTTCTGGCCAAACCCCTCGTCTGCCTGCTCATGTCTCTGGATCTCCAGCTCCAGCTGTTCGACATGCGCATTGGTGTTGTAAACCACAATCTCGAGGTTGGATCGTCTCGACGTCCCGTCGTTTGTCAGGCCGACCAGCGTCTGGATCATGGGATGAATCTGGAAGATGGAGTAAAGGACGCCTTTGGCGGCTTCTAGAACAGGGTCTAATCCCTTGGATTCGCGGCGCCGCTCGGGCAGAACGGAGAGTCTGCGGATGTAGACAGGCCGTTGTAAAGCGGGCTCAGCCGGGCTCCCTTGGTTGGGGCTTTTTACCTGCATGGCCGCTCCATTGCCCTGCATCGCTGAACCATGGCTCAACCCACGGTAATGGCTGAACCGGTTGTTCACGTCAATTTCCTCCAGTGTGCTGAGCTCTGACCTCTTGGACACCATGCCCATGCGGCGCGACCTGCTTTCGGATCTATCTCGGCTCGAGGTCTGGATGATGGTTTCTGAGTTGCTGCGAACCCGTTCGTTCGGGTTACCAATAGTAAGCGGCATGACTCCTGGCCTGCGCTGCGCAGTATTCTGCTGCGAGAGCCCACGGTAATGGGAGCGAGTCGGGATTGGTGGGGGCCGCGGCAGAGCGGGCGATCTGAGGTCAGAGATCTCGTTGCCGTTGACTTTGATCGGGAATCTGCCACTAAAGACTCGCTTGATCGTTGGCCGCGGTGTTTCGATGCCCTCGGACACGCCGTCCGCCGGAGATTCCGCCCGCCCGCTGGCTTCCTGCTTTAAGAACTTCTTGATCAGCGCCGTTGCGGCGACTTCCGTCAATTCGCTCTCTTTGCCAGGTCCATCGCCCTGCCCGCCAGTTCCCTGGACTTGCAGTATCTCTGGGGGGGGGAACTTCAGCGGGTTGCCCTCGAACTTCACCACCGACAGCGACGGCATGTCGGCGAAGCAGAGCGGGAGGTGCGTGATCTTGTTTTTCGGTATCGAGAGTACTTTGAGTGATGACAGCTTGACGATTTCCGGCGGCAGGACTTGCAGCATGTTCCGGCCCAGATCGAGAATCTCGAGAGACTTCAAATCGCAGAGCTGTAAAGGTGTCTGTCAGCCCCTGCCTCTCTGCCAGCCCGCTCCCCGCAGCCAAATAGCACTCACCGCAAGAGGAAACTCCTTGATCCTGTTTTGTCTGACGTTGAGATATCGCAAGGATGTACATTCGGAGAACCTGGCCGGAAAGGTCTGCAAGTAATTGTGCGACAGTGCAAGACTGTGCAAGCTGTTAGAGACGCCTCCAGTGAACCCGAGGCAAAAGGACGCCTACCGCTCGAGTTCGTCCTTTATTATGTCGACCACCTCCTCGGGCAGTGTCTGAATCTTCCTCCTGCTGAGGTCGACGGTCAGGCCGGGCTTGAGCGTGTCGCTGACTCCGCTGGCTTCGGCGGCCTTGGCCTCGTTCTCGTGGGCCACCCGCATCGCCTCTCTCGCCATGGCAAGCACCTGGCTGGGCGAGACAGGCTGGCCCGCCGAGAGATTCGTAGTCGACGGGACATCTCGAAGGCTCGGGACTGGGGGAGGCGGTGTTGGATTCGCAAGTGCAGCGGCCGCAATAGCCCGACGGGCCTGCGCCGGGTTATCGGGCAGGCCCCGGGAAAAGTCCACATAGTCCATCAAGGCCGCCTTCGTCACTCAATCTCGCTCTGGAACTAGGCTTCAGAGGACTGAGGCGGAACAATTGGGACAGACGGCGCAGATGATGAAGCCTTCTGCTCCCTTCTGCAAAGCAGACAGACTGATACTGTTAAGCCGCTGGGCGCGATGGTGACAGATGGTCGGGTGGGTTCATTGTGAGAGGAACCTCATGCAGTCGGGACAGGGATCGGGAGCAACCTTAGCGGTGAAGTATGGAGAACGATGTTGACCGCCAAATTGGGCAGCAAGCGGCGAGCGAATTTCTAATGCCCCAGAGGCGGCAATGTCGAGAATATCGATGGAAAGATTCAGAAGTCGGGCCACATGAATCAGAAATTGCCTTGCTCTGTCCTAACTCTGGCTTGTCGTCTCGGGCCCATGTCAGGTTGCGAATGTGCCCAAGATAGGGGTTAGCGCATGTCACAAATAGACAAGGGTGCACACGCTGCACGCGAGGCAGTGGGACGGGAAGAGCCCCACTTTTTATGGTCCGTGCCATTTTGTTATAGACGTTCCCTCATCAAGACTAGCGTGCCACGGAATCTGCAAGGAACAAGGCATGACTCCAGTAGAAAAAACGTCACCGGAGGCGGCAGGATTCAAGCCCTCGATACCCTCCCAGAGCCTCACTGCCCTAGTGGTTGGTTGCAGACAGACACACATCCGAGAGGTGACAACCACAAAAACGCCAAAGTTTCATGGTGAAACGAAACAGCGCGAAGCAATATGATGGGAGCTTCTCGAGGGCCAAACACACCAGGAACCAGTTGGCTGCTCTGGTCTCTGTATCGTGCTCCTCCGTTGTCCCGAGTTCTGTCCAACTATCTCTCTAGGGCATCACCACCGTCGGGTCAGTGTGACTCCTCCGTACTATGAAGGCGGACAGTGTATCGGTTGCATCCTGGCGCAGTCAGCAGGCAGCTGACGTCTCTCAAGGCCTTCGGTTACTTACCCCTTCGCCTTGAGAAGCAGCGTGCGTTTGTTTGTCACGGAATCGATGACAATCAAACCCTGATTTGTTAGCGTGGAACTCTTTCCGTTCTTTTCTTTTCGTACCTTTTTCTCTTCTATTTCCTTCTTTTCCCTCCATATACTTCTGTTACAATATCTTCCCAATTTCCTGCTCTCCTTTCCTTCTTCCTTGCATTGGCCGTTCTGCTTCACCATGTGGTACGCTAATAATCCGTAGACCAACCCGTATGTCTTGTCAGGTGTTTGTGTTGCAATTGTAAATACAATCGAGCTGTAACATAACCCTAACCCTAAAGCAGAGTGTATCCCAGGTATCGGCTGCGGGCGTTCCTCGGCCACTCTTGTAGACATGAATCGGTGTTGAGGGCTGATTGCTTCAAACTCTAGGTCTGATCCCATATTTTGAAGACTCTCAATTGGTTTTAAAAGAATTGAGCACCTTCTGACTGACCAAGTCGACCATTAAAGGTACTCAGCCTCGTCCAATTTCCAGGTCCGACACTGCACGTGTTCAACGACACGAAATGCAGCGCCGAGGCAGAGGATAAGAATGAAGCTTGGGCTCCGTATCCAAGAAACTCGATTTCGTGTTTCAAGTCAGGGAACTAGGCGTCATGCCTTTCGCCCGGAGTGATTCGCTTCGGGATATTGACTTTACGCTTCGTCGACAGTTCAACAAGACAAACTTCAGGTACGGCCAGTACATACATGTTACGAGCGTCCGAACTATCAACTAACAAATAGCCAGACCATATCAACGCGAGATCATCGTCGCCGCCCTCGATGGCAAAGATGTCTTTGTTCAGGCAGCCACGTCGTTTGGCAAGAGCCTGTGCTTCCAGTTGCCCGCCGTGATCGACCGAGGAAGTATGTTCCAAGTAACCCACCTTCATACGACAGAGCGACTGACCGTATTGAGTCACAATTGTAATCTCTCCGCTGTTGAGCCTCATGGTCAGTCCACGTCTTGGTCCCTGCGACTGTTCCTGTATCTAACCCAGCTAGATGAACCAAGTTGAAGCCCTCCGTGCAGCAAACGTCGACGCCCGCACACTCAACAGCAACACTCCCCTCTCCGAGCGGGATTACATCTACCAAGACCTGGCCACGGGCCATCCGCTGACCCGCCTCCTCTACGTGACCCCCGAACTGTGCTCCACGGACCGCTTCCGCGAGCGTCTCAAGCTGGTTTACGAGCAAAAAGAGCTGGCCCGCATCGCCGTGGACGAAGCCCACTGCATCTCGGAATGGGGCCACGATTTCCGCAAGGACTTCAAGCGCCTTTCCTGGTTCCGCGAGACCTTCCCGGACGTGCCCATCATGTGCCTGACGGCGACCGCCAACACGCAAGTCCGCCGGGACATCCTCTCGACGCTGGGGCTTGATAGGACGCCCGACAAGCTCCGCGAGTTTACCATGACGGCCCACCGCCCGAACTTGCACCTCGAGGTGCGCTTCACCAGCGACGAGGCCAACGACCGCTACGACGACTTCGTATCCTGGCTGAAGGGGGTCTATGCGCGGCGGTCCGCGGCGGACCGCAGGCCCGAGCTCGAGGCCGCCGGCGAACGCGTCGAGGGCGTGCCAGGCATCATCTACACGCTGTCGCGCGACGAGTGCGAGTCGCTGGCAGCGGCGCTGCGCTGCGACAACATCGGCGCCCGGCCCTTCCACGCCAAGCTGCCTAAAGAAGTCAAGGAGGACACGCTCGCGCGGTGGCTCGCCAACGAGCCCGGGTATGACATCATTGTCGCCACCACGGCGTTTGGTATGGGCATTGACAAGGATAACGTGAGGTTTGTCGTGCACTGGCGGTTGCCGAAAAGCTTTGAGGGGTATTACCAGGAGGCTGGGAGGGCAGGCCGCGATGGGAATGCGAGTTACTGTTTCTTGTACTATGCTCGCGAGGATAGGGATCGCGTTTGTAATATGGTGATAAGGGACGGCGCAGGTGTGCGGGATGGGAGTGGTGACAGTAACAAGCAAGCGAGGCTGGAGAGTCTGAACCGGCTTGTCGGATACTGTGAGGATACGAGTACCTGTCGGCATGCGGCCATTTGCAGGTACTTTGGCGAGGAGAAGGTGCCCGAGTGTGACTATGCTTGTGACTGGCATAAGGATGCGCAGGGGTTGAAGAAGAGGATGATGAGGGGCCTTGCGAGCGAGGAGTGGGTTTCCACGCAGCGGCAGGAGGGCATGTATGATGACTATTACTACAGTGATTAGACGGGGGACATAGCCACGATACCCATTTGGCGGGAGGATTAGCAAGACACATCTTCTTCGAGCTTCTCACATCGTTGCTATATGTATCATTCCTTGATTGGGTATCATTCCGCGAGCTCACTCCCCTCCACATGCTCGAGCAGTTCCGGGCGCTCCTTGATCAACGCCTCCAGGTTCCTTTGCCACTGCAGCCACACCATGCCCTGCAGCACGGCATCGGCCAAGTCATCCAACTTATTTCTAACCTCACGTGCCAAGCCCTTTCCACTCCCACGTACACCCTTTTCTGCCCTCCCTTGTTTCCTTCCCGCCCTCTCCCACTGACCCACATACAACCTCGCCATCTTCTCCGCCTGCCCGGGCTCCGGCATCACCATCCCTTCATCCCTCAGAAGCCGTCCCACAGTATCCGTCTTCACCTTCTTTATTCGTTGCCCATCCACCTTTCCTGCAAGATCAGTGTACAAGTAATTCACCACCCCGCCCGGCAGCACCGATTCGACCCTCCCCTCAAAGCGCCCGCCCTCTGTGCCGTCGGCACCGTCCAGCGTCTTCCCGTAGAGCGACGCGAACAAGGCGTGCAGCATGGCCTCGAGCGAATTTACCCGCAGGGTCCATTCAAAGACGGCCGCCTGGCCGCCGCTGCGAAAACGCTGGCGCTCGATCAGCACGTGAGTTGGGCGCAGCGGGAGGAGGTGGGACTGGACGAGGTCGACGGCATGCCGGGACATTGCGGCGGGGGAGAAGTCTGCTGGGTCGAGGTCTTTCAAAGTGCATGTTTTGGTGGAGGTGATGGTGTTGTGACTTAGAGCAGGGAGAGTCAAATCCAGGCATTTCCAGACGTGAAGACGGACTGGCGTGGTTAAGGGGGTGGTCTTGAACTGTTCCTGAGAGGGATCAGGGGCGACCGGAGTGAGGAGGCTGAAGGCGAAGTTCCTGATGCCCATGTCGATGCTGAGGATGCGGGCTTCTGGCGGAAGTGGCTGATAGTTCCTTGCCGCATGACGAATGCGCTGGACTAGGACTGGTTTCGTGCCGGTTTTGGAGATGCCGATGGATGCGCAGACGCTACGGAGGGTCAATAGGGTTAATGCAGTTTCTTTGAGGAGGGAGGTGGTGGTCATGATGGAATGTTAGGGGGTGCATGGGCGGATGCTCCTGGATGGATAAGTGAGACACAAGAGGTGACGGCGCCGAACTGCTGAACCTCATGGACAGATTTAATAACTTCTGTAAACAATGGACCCGACCTCGGGAGGCTCCGTGACGGAGGTTGCAAAGACCAGACATTGAGACCAAACACTTTCGGTATAGGCCCCACTCACTAGCCACATGAGCCACCCAAACTCTTGCAGCCAACACCATCGTCCCTTTGGTCCAAGGGACCTCAATGCACTACATCAGTTCTAAAAAACGGCACAACTCACTCAGAAACACAGTTGCACTCCAAGGGCCGGTTGCAGTTAGGGTCGAGTTTACAAGCCGGGATAAGCCCCGATGTAGGGCTAAGCCGGCGGGCCCGGGCCGGGGCTTGGCGCACCAAAGGTTCGGACGCAGTAGGAAATCGCCCAAGACTCGCAAGGCATAATGCATTGCAAGTACAGCGATTTATATCAATTGTTTGATGCAGCAACAATGAGATATCCGTGATTACATAGGATGGTAGTGGTGTTAAGTTTGTATAGCTCGTGTGGCTGGTAGGCGGTGTCCTATACGGATCCAAACCAAGAGGGTATGGTCTCTTATCTGACAAAGTCAAGTTCACCGCAACACTGCCCTAAAAGATCGGACAAAGCAAATCTTTTACGGTGATCGCCGATTCGCTGAGCGTCCATTCAAGCCCGGCAAAGTGGAACCTTCGGCTGTCTCGCCGAGCCGGTCTTCACATTCATGCCGAACAATTTCTTGTTCTGTTGCCAGACGCCTGCTTACTGATCAATTTCTCTTTCGAACTGTCGTTGCGCTGATTCATACAGGGTTGTAACTAACAGGATTTGGAATTGCGCCTTTTTAGCTCTGCATCGCTGCACTCACTTGAGTCAGCACTGAACCATTCAAGTTACAGACACGACAGCGGCGGTCCCCTGCATGCCATCGGATTTGTCAACCACGCTGTATAATAACCCCTCCACCAACCCGCGATACCCGCTGTCTCGCAGAGACAAGACCCATTTCCATGCAACCCGTTTCACTGTTAGCTAGACGCACCCTGCTCTCGTCCAAACCAGCTGCAGGTCGAATCAGCACTATAACCCGCCACTTTTCGCAGACATCCCTCGCCATGGCGCCCATTTCCAAGGAGACCGACTTCCTCGTGATAGGAGGCGGCAGCGGCGGCCTCGCTTCTGCCCGCGCTGCCAGCTCCAGGTACGGGGCGAAGGCGATGGTCATTGAGGGCAAGCGGTTAGGCGGGACATGCGTCAACGTGGGGTGAGTGAGGACCCTTCCATCCTGAAATCGCCGGGACACTGACCCAGTACTTGCAGCTGCGTCCCGAAAAAGGTGACCTTCAACGCCGCCGCTATCGCCGAGACTATCCACCAGTCCAAATCGTACGGCTTCAGCGTACAAGAAACCGCGCCCTTCGACTGGACCACCTTCAAGCAGAAGCGTGACGCCTACATCCAACGCCTCAATGGCATCTACGAGCGCAATCTCGCCAACGACAAGGTCGAGTATGTGCACGGCTGGGCCAAGGTCATCTCGCGGAACCAGGTCGAGATAACGCTCGACGACGGCACGAAAACGGTGGTTAACGCCAAGAAGATCCTCATCGCCGTCGGCGGCAACCCGACCATCCCCCCACAGATTCCCGGGTCCGAGCTCGGCACCAACAGCGACGGTTTCTTCGACATCGACAAGCTACCCAAGAAAGTAGCGCTCGTGGGCGCTGGGTACATTGCGGTCGAGTTTGCGGGCATGTTCAATGCGCTCGGTGTCGAGACACACCTGTTTATCCGTCACGACACTTTTCTGCGGGCCTTCGATCCCATGATCCAGGAGGGTGTGACCAAGGAGTACGAGCGGCTGGGCGTCAAGCTGCACAAGCGGAGCTTGCTCAGCAAAGTTGAGAAGGAGGAGGGTACGGGCAGGCTCACACTTCACTACAAGGAGGGAGACGGCGAGGGTGTCGTCTCGGATGTCGACCACCTCATCTGGGCTGTCGGTCGGACACCAGCGACCCAGGGCCTTGGGCTGGAGTCAGCCGGCGTGAAGCTGACGGAGACGGGCCATGTCGCCGTGGACGACTACCAGAACACCAACGTCGAGAACATCTACGCTCTCGGCGACGTAACCGGCCAGGTTGAGCTTACGCCCGTGGCTATCGCTGCCGGCCGCAGGCTAGCCGCGCGGCTATTTGGGCCAGAGCAGTTCCGGACCGCCAGGCTGGACTACTCAAACATTCCGTCGGTGGTCTTCGCGCACCCCGAGGTCGGCTCCATCGGGCTGACGGAGCCGCAGGCGGTTGAGAAGTATGGGCGGGAGAACCTCAAGATCTACAAGACGAATTTCACGGCCATGTACTACGCCATGATGGACCCGGAGCAGAAGGGCCCGACCGCCTACAAGCTTATCTGCGCGGGTCCGGAGGAGAAGGTGGTGGGCTTGCACATCATGGGCCTCGGCAGCGGCGAGATGTTGCAGGGTTTTGGCGTTGCCGTCAAGATGGGCGCCACCAAGGCGGATTTCGACAACTGTGTTGCCATCCACCCAACGAGCGCCGAGGAGTTGGTCACGCTGAGGTAGAGATTTGATTTTGGGAGAGATACCATGCATAGACCTTGAATAGATCGTGATTGCGACCAAGTGCTATGTGAAGCGTCATCTTAGATTGGGCATGTACTGTGCAAAGGCATTCGCAGGTGAGCATACGTCCGCCGTAACCCTGCACTGCCACCAACCACCGGCTTTGGTCTGATTAAATATTGAGAAACTCACGCAATTATTCACCCTATTGCTCTCTTTCATTGGGGGGAACAATGTAACAGGTTCGGTTCGCTGCGTGGATACAACAACCCTAACCCTTATTCTCACTTGACATTCCAGTCCGGCGTGTCAATGCACCACCTGCGCAAAATGTCACGCCACCTCTGTTGAGCTCCATCAACTTTCCCTTCGCTAGCGTCACAGCCCGTGATTGAACCGAGCTCGAATTCACCTCATCACCACCGCTACCATCTCCATCACCACAATCAAGTCAAACTCCCCACTCTTTTATTTTAAGGTAAGCATGCATAACTGCACCTCCAACTCCAAAATCCACATCCGGTGCCGAATCAATCGAACTGACCAGAACGAACGAACGAACGACAGAAAAAGATGCTCGCCCGTGCAACCCTCCGCACCAGCGCCTCGGCCTCGGCCGCCGCCCAGCAGCTCGTCGCCCGCCGCGCCTTCACGACGACGCGTGCCCGCCTCTCCTCGCCCTACCACTACCCCGAGGGCCCGCTCTCCAACCTGCCGTTCAACCCGCGCAAGAAAGGGTTCGCAATTGGGTACTGGACCTACTGCTTCGTTGGATTCTTCATGCCGTTTGGTATTGCTGGTACGTAAACATGGGGACACGTTATTGCGCCGCTTGGGGAGGCAGCTCGGTCGGTTTGCGGGGGACGCGAGGCGTTTTGAAGAAGAGGTGGATCAAGGGAGGTGGTTGGTGGTGTCGAAATATTTGGGGCTTGACATTCTAGATGAGTGCTGACGCTGGGCCGTGATACAGTCTGGCAGACTTACCATCCTGCCAAGTAAGCTTGTCATGGACGGGGCTTGAATAGTGGTTGTAGAGGGTGACGCTTCCGGCTGAGGTTGGAGGGTGGGCAAATAGTGGCATGGGGTCTGGTCCTGCTATTGGGGAAGGGCTGTGTATATGATACGGGGCCGATAGAGTATACATCCAGACCATTCGTTTCCTTCGGCTAGTTACGCTGTCGGATTCTCTGCTGTGTGAGATGTTTGGCCGTAGCTCCAGTGGCAGCACGCACGATTCAGGCTGAGCGAGGCATCATCTCCTGCCTTTTCCCCTGCCTTGCTTGGTGCTAGAAATTCACCCAGTACTTTGCAATTGGAATAGGCACAATGGCTCCAATTCTCCACAATTGCAGCATTTGCCAACACGAAGCATGAGAACTCCCATCATCATGAGCCAGCATGAAGGTAAGGGATGCTCTGAGCAACTCCTCATCACCACAATGGCAGATCGTTTGCAGTTATTCTGCGTGGATCGAATCAGAGCTGAAGTCCCTTCGTAGTTCTGTCATTGAGCTTTGATTCCTTCCACGGCTGGATTGGGACCTAGGGGGCCAGGGCAAGTGATCAAGTACCGAATTGGTTGAGCACCGAGCGAGCTTCAAGCTGCTGTGGGGCTTATGTGCACGAGCAGCTAGCGCACAGACCACGGAATATGTATTCAAAGATGTCCTGCCATCCCATGCATTTCCAGGGGCATGTGCGTGGCCCGACCTGCAACACCAAACCTGAATTGCGAGCCCGACTCACGGCTCTTCTTGCGCAGGACCGCGCCCAGCCAACACGAAATGGTCTGATACCGACTACGCCTCTCCACCATGGACGTGCCGCCAGTCAAGCTGTCGGAGCTACTCCGGCACCCGGACGACCTTGACAAAATCGCGGCGCTCAAGGCCGAGTTCACGCGCAAGAAGGCCGCCGTCGACTCGCAGCTGCGAGCGGGCCTGCGCGAACAGCTCGAGACTACCCAGGCCGGCATGAACGGCCTGGCCGACGGCCAGAAGACGGTGCAGCAGATCAAGGACGAGATGATCAAGATCGACAAGATATGCTCCGAGTCGCAGAACATGATCTCAGACTTCGCGACAATCAACCTCGTCTCCCAGGCCCACCGCAACTTTGGCGCCGTCGAGGCCATGCGCCGTAACCTCGAGACCTTCAACGACCGCCTGAGCGCCATCCAGGAGATGCTGCGCCGCGACGATGAAGACGCCGAGAACATGCCCAACCTGCTGCCCGTGCACTACGAGCTGACGCAGTTGCGCAACATTCGAGACGACGCCATCGAGCAGATTCAGCGCGCCGACGACCCGAGCCTGCAGTCGACGCTGGAGGATTACTTTGAGCGCTTGGACCAGGCCATCGAGTGGTTCGACGAGCACATCAATCTCATCGCGAGGAGTCTGATCAACCTTGTGGTGGCCGACAACACGAGTTTAGTAGTGCGCTTCGCATTGATAATAGAAGCAGAAGAGCGGAGCGATCAGAGGGTGCTCGCGCTCCAGGAGGCGCTCAAGGACCACAAGGAGATGGCGACGCGGTTCCAAAGTATTACGGACGGCGCAAAGAAGGTGCGCGGATACAAGGACAAGTTCCTCGAATGCATCAGGAAGATTGGCGGAGGCCAGTTTGAGCAGAGCAGGGAAGAGTTCATGGGGGACCCGGCCGAGCTGGAAAAGAGCCTGCGGTGGTACTTCAACGACCTGAACACGGTCAGGTTGGGCATGGTGCAGTTGATGCCCAAGAAGTGGAAGATTTTCAAGACGTGGACAAACATTTACCACAACATGATGCACGATTTTTTGATTGGCATCATCGAGGACCCCCAAGCCAGCTCCGCGCACACGCTGGAAATTGTCGGCTGGCCCGAGAAATACTACCGCAAGATGGCTAAGCTAGGGTTCAAGCAGGAGGAGCTGACGCCGCACGTCATCGACAACCGCGAGACGGAGCTCGTGCGCGATTTCCGCGCACTCATCATCAAGTTCCTGGACGAATGGATCGGCCGCATTTGGACTCAGGAGATCAAAGAGTTTTCCGAGCGCAACGTTGAAGGCGCGAACCTGGACCAGGACGAGTACGGCTACTTCCGGAACAAGAACCTGGTCGATTTGTGGAGGATGCTGCGCGGGCAGCTCGACGCCGCGGCCAACTCGAAGCGGGCCGACGTGGCGGAGGGTGTGGTAGACGCCATGTTCCAGCGGCTACGGCAGCGGCAGCAGAACTGGCAAAAAATGCTCGAGGACGAAGCCGCGCGGTACGAGACGGGCAAAGTGGTGGACCTGGAGGGTTTCCAGCCGCTGCAGGACTGGCTCGTGGCGACGGCCAACGACCAGATCGCGTGCATCGACGATAACGAGGACGAGGGCCGGGTGGCGTACCTGACCGACTTCAAGAAGAAGTTCAGCACGCTCGTGACGCCTCAGTACATGGACCGCGCCGAGGCTGAGGTGGCCGCCCTGCGCGACGGTTACCTCGACCTCAGCACGTGGTGCATCACCAAATTTGCGCAGCTCGTCTTCGCCGTCGACTTCAAGACGGTCATGCCTAACTTCTTCACGCCCCGCTGGTACACCAGCACGGACATGGCGCGCATGGTCGCCACGTTTGAGGAGTACGTAGGCGACTACCGCATCGTGTTGCACCACTCACTGGTCGACATCTTCATCGAGATCTTTGCCGACGAGCTGCTGATCCGGTACTTATCGTCGGTGCGCAACAAGGGCGCCAAGTTCCGCCGGTCGGACCAGTTCCAGGACAAGATCTTTGACGACCTTAAGACGGCGTTTGACTTTTTCAACAGCCTTCCGAACCCGGCCGTGGGCAACTCGATTAAGGAGACGTGGCGCGTGACCGAGCCGTTTCTGCAGCTGTTGTCAGTCGAGAAGGAGGCTGTGTCGGACACGTTTGCCGCGTTCAAGGCGGCCTACTGGGACCTGCAGATTAGTTGGGTCGAGGCGGTGCTGCGGTCCAGAGATGACTTTGAGAGGAGCATGCTGAATGCTGTCAAAGCGAGGGCCGCGCAGATGGATGTGGTGAGGGGCCCCGAGACGATAATGAGTAAGGTCAAGTGATGCACAATGAATGATATTGTCCTGGTACCACGGCACGAGTTTGGTCCGAGCCCCCTTTTTTGGCCCGTGTGCTTCTCTGGCAACTGCCCAAATAGGAAGTCAAGCAAACACCGAAAACGAAGATTCGGTGTTTGGCCCAACTGCCGTCTTCGTCCATACCCAGGATTCGATCACCTCAATATCCAAAACTTATGACAGTCAAATCGATGAATGGTCAACTCCTTCTGATTTTCGACTGATTCTGGATTCGTTTCGGACAACAGAAACTGGGCCTCCACTTCGCCACAGGTTGAGAGACCCATCATAGCATCCGCCTTCGGTTCTTACCACAACGCCAATGCGCGGATAGTCTCATCCTGGCTTCATGAGATTCCTTCGGACGCAGGCAACGGCAGCGAAGCAACCCTCATCGCTTCGTCCGTTCACGAACAATCTTCTCCACGAAGGCGTAAAGACCAACAGTCCAAACCCGGTACAGCCGCAACCACAATCACCTCGTCCCTCTCCCATCCGTAATTCAAATCCAGCAACCAGCAATAACCAGCTGCCTCCATACGGGTACCCAAGACCAACCCGATCCCCCACTCGACCCCAATTTCAAGTCCCGCTCTCGAGGCAAACGCCCAACCGTGCGCTGTTCCAACCCAGCAACAACGACAAGAACAGTCCAAATGACATCGGCACGAACATTAATCACCACTCGCTCCGCTCAAAATATCCAAAACTTCACCGCCCATTGCACGTCATGCCACCCTTCCCTCCCCTTCCCAACCCCCTCCACCCCATCCTCCCCGGCATCCTGCCCCCGCTGCCAGGCCGCACAAGCTTATACAGAGCGTCCGCACCACACCCCTACCTTTTTGTCATCACATCTCTTGCGCATTTCGGAGGTGCTCTCCTTTGACGAGACAGTGGCGTATCTGAACCAGGCTATCGGCTCCCGGCTGGCAAAGGTTTTAGAGAGGGGTGTTGGTAAATACGGGGAAGGGACCCCGGCGAAGGCGGAGAAAGGAGTTACCCGACGTTGGTTTGACTTTGATTTCGTGAGGGAGGTGGCGAGGGGAGGTGGCGAGGGTGAGGAAGGTTGTTTTTGACAGGTTTGAAGAGGATGGGCCGGGCGGGGGAAGGGGGCTTGGGGTGGATCGGGAGAGAGGGGATTGAATCATCGGAGAAGGAAGGGTCGAAGAAAGGATGAGGAGGTGAGGAGGCTTGGGAAGATGGGGAGACGGTGAGCAAAGTAAGGTGTAAAAGAAAGGAAATGGGACTTGCGAATGGGACAGGGACAACAGCTATCAACCTATTAGGTCGTATTTTCAAGAAGCTTGGGACTGAACTCAAACAAAAGGATATTTGCTTTCGACAACCTTAAGGGGGTGTTCCTCCAATGAAGATTGAGCGTCCGCATGGTGCGTTACTCAGCCGTTAAACAGGACTGGTGGTGAATCCTGATGTGCAACACTCGCCGCGTAGTAGGAATAACAATTACCGAACGCCTAGATCTAAGCAAACCGTCGCCGCCCTGCCATGCAATGCAATGCAGATCAACCCACCCTTCCGTAAACAATGAATGAACCTACCAAAACCAACCGCGTAATCAATCGTACCCTTACCCAACGGCCCATAGAGAACAACCAGCCATGGAAAAGCCATTCTGCCCAAACCCACCCTCACCCGGCCGCCTTCTTTCTCGCTGCAAACCTTCGAGTAAACCAGCCACCTCCCTCCTTCGCCTTGCCCTCTTCTCCATCCAACTTTAGGCCCTCCCCAATCATACCGGACAACTCATTTCGTGGGTCACCCCTCCCCCCCTCCCCCGCACCACCAGCATTTCTACCACCAACCACCACTTCCGCAAAAAGCCGCGGTTCCGCGAACGAAACCTGCCTCTTCTCCCCTTCCTCCCCACTACCGCCGCAACCACCACCCAAGCCCCCTTCCCTCGCAAGCGTGGTCCCATCTCTACCCCGAAACCGGACAACCCCACCACTAGGGGCATCACTACCGCGCACACCACTGCCACCAGCAGCCTTCTCAACCGAGCTAAGCCTCAACCCGGGCCGGTTAGGCGGGTTGAACACCCTCTGGGCAGGCGTCGTCGGGGCGGGCGGAACCCGGTACCAGAAAGACCCCTTGCGCGGCTCGGTCGGGGCCGAGCCAAACGGCTGGGTGGCGCGCTGGCCGCGGGTGTTGAAGGCGCGGTATTTGGATTGCTGGGCGATCGCGTCTGGCGTGGCGGCGGCGGCGGCGGTGGTGGTCAATGGGAAGGGAGAGGAAAACGGGGTGGGGGACCAGTCCATTTCGTCTCCTCCCCCTCCTCCAATGCCTGCGGTCGAACTGAAGGGTGAGGGTGATTGTTGGAGATGAAGGGTGTCGATTTGCTGGAGGTGGGCGGTTAGGGTTTGGGCGGCTTGCGTGTGGGCATGGCCCATGGGCGGCTTGTTGGAGCGGCGTGGGACGGATGGCGAGAGGTCGACTGGGGATGGGGGGTTGGGCGAGGTGGGGGAACGGGAGATCTCGTCGAGAAGGTCGGCTATCAATTTCGTTTCGTCCAAGCGTGAGGAGGGGGACGCGGGGGTTAGTTCCGGGGGATCGTGAAGGAGCAACTGACTTGAGGTGGCGCCGAATAAGGGGGCCATGTTGATATGAATTGCGCGGGGAGCGAGAATGAAAATCTGAGGTGTTAGCGAGTGTCAGACCAGATGGGGCATGGGTATGGCTTACGAGCGCAGCAAACGCCGCGACAAAAGCATGGCCGGCGGTCTGCATATTCAAGAGCAATGGATTTGGAGAGGTTAAATCCCAGCCGGTCTGCAGGAAAATGCGGAGGGCGACGGCCATGGCTTGGAACAAATACCATCTGGCAACTCCGCTGATGTGTCGGGTGAAGCCCCTAAATATTTGGGCGAACCGTGGATTCCACCACACACCTAAGATACTTGCAAGAATGCTCCATCTCAGCAGCCGAACCGCAGACGGAAGATGGGCAACGAAGGGCCCGCAGACCCTGAGCAACCGGAAAGTTAACAGACTCTCGTCGGCCTCGAGCCACACGAAATACTGCGAAAGCAAACCGTGTACCACCACCGCGTGCCAGGCCAGCTGCAGCACAAAGCCAGCGATCCACAACCACCTGCCCGCCGTGTCGGCCCTCTCCAGCCAACCCAGGGTCTTAATGCTCTTGCTCCTGCTCGCGCTGCGATCAAGCATGCGCCGCAGCAGGTCCGTCTTGGCCGTGTACGCCGCCTGCTCGAGACGTTGGCGCACCTTCGGCTCGCACTCGGCGCATATCTGCGGGTAGAGGCGCTCCTGGTTCTTGCGAAAGCGGTAGAGGCCCTTCTCGCGCTCGGTGTAGTCCGGGTCGTCCGGGTCGGGCAGGTACTGCGCAAGCGACGCGCTCAGCAGGTGCTGATTCTTGAGGCAGGTTGCACAAAAGATGGGGTCGCTGGTCGGACTCGAGGGCGGAGAGAATGCCTGCGGGACGGCGTATTGCCGGGGGGTGGCTTCTTTGTCGGTCGCGACAGGTGGATCGGTGATGTCGCCGTTCTTGGCTGTCAGCATACCTAGCTGTTGATCCCATTAGGGCGAGTTCAAGTACCTCGTCTAGATAGTTGGTGGCATCGCAAAAGGGACAGTCGAAGCGTCGGATCTCGGCATTGTAGAGAGTCGAGTTCTTGCGGCCGCAGTAGAAACACGTCAGATAGGAACTGCGGTAGAGTCGCGGCATCTTGCTTGTGTTGCAAAGGGAGCGAGCATTGCAGACCGACAGCACAATGGGCAAAGCGACAATGTTATGTGCTGGCGGCGGTCAAGCAGTTTGTCAATTGTTGACTCTGTTGACCGTTTCCAGGGCAAGATTCTGCCGGGCGGTCGTGATTTCCAGATCGTTCCCGCTGGGCGTCAGCCCCATATGCAATACTGCTAAGCACAAGTGTAAGGGGCAGCAAGTAGGGGATTACAATTGAGAGGCGTTAATGTTCAGCATTTCGGTAGCGTTCAAGGTTTTCCATATTCGGTAATATAGTGGGTCCGTGCTTGCCTTACCATAACTGGCATTGTTGACAACTTCCTCTCTAGCAACGTGCAAACCATCTTAGTAACAACGAGTCACGAACCATATATGGCCTTGGCTCTGGAATTCTAATGCATGGCAGTATCTTCTGACGTGGTTGATGAGTCGATACTTCTGGAAAGGCTAAGAAAGCTATCGTCTTTTTGGGTCTTTTCTAAGTGGCACACCAGCGTGCAATTCATTCGTTCTTTACAAGTCAAGTCACTCACTCCCTCAACTCGAGCACCCTCACTCTTTTTCTGGAATACAGGGCACAGCTACACGTGTTGCCTGAGTTCGGAGTCACTCACTAGGTGAGTCACTTCGCTTCTCTCACATGGTTAAGTCTTGTTAACCAGTGTAGTCGACTGTTTTTTTAATCAGCCATTCCACCCTTAGGGCATGAAGGATTGATGCCCAAGACATATGATTCCGACGGTTGCACTTCCGGTTCTTGAGTCGGTTTTCCTGTCTTATTTTCGGCGACGTGCAACTTTCGTTATCAGTCCTCTCGTCTTTGGGCCGTTGATTTAGGAGCCTGTTGTGGTTATCCTTGAACAAAAGCTATCCCTGAGACCTCGACACTGAGGCTTATGCTCAACCATATCGGCCACTCACACGCTGCGGCTTGAGCAGCACTCCTCTCATACAAGCCGCAGGCGGCCTACATTCTCGTCGCTTAGTCGACGACATCACAATCACACCATGGACCCGCATAAAGGCACAGGCAACGACACGGTGGGCCAGCAGAAAAACACCGATCGCGGCGGCTGCGGCTTGCTGCGAACTTTCACCCACAAACCTGACGACAAGAACAGGTTAGAAGCCCATCACAAAGGTGCGTCGGCCAATTCCAACCCAAACACAGCAGCGTCTGCTCGAATATCAAGCTCCAAACCAAATTTCACCGACGACGGCGACATGGAGCAAATCCTCCGTGAGATGGTCGAGGATCTCGGTCCTGACCGATTCGCTTTTTTCGTTTATCTCGGTCTGATTGGCGTCATTGTCGTCTCTACCATCGGCTTTTTTTTTCTCTCCTGGTCCTGGATTACGGCCATCGTCATGGTCTTCCTCACTTTCGTTGTCGTAAGTCCGCCGTCTTTCTCGTCTCAATAGCCTGCTGATCACCCCAGTGGCGCCATATCTCACTCAAGCACGAGCATCCTCGGCCGCAGACCGGCCGCCGTTGGATTACCCGCCGCGACCCGTCGACTCCCAACACGGCCAGCCTCCCGGCTGTCTACTTCCTTTACATTCTCGGCTCGGGCGGTCATACGACCGAGATGCTCGAGACCATCCGGCGCAAGTTCGCGCCCCAAGCCAACCTCCACCGGCGCTACCTCGTCACGACCGGCGACACGGACTCGCTCAACCGCGTCGCCCAGCTCGAGGCCCTCATTCAGCGCTGCTTCCCCGACGCCCGCGCCGGCACCATGGACGCCTTCCGCGTCCCCCGTGCGCGTAAGGTTCACCAGCCTCTCTGGACGGCGCCCTTCACCTGCCTGAGCACTGCCATTCACGCCGTCAACGCGCTCACGCGCGAGCCCGACGCCCGCCCCACCACCCGCCACGGCAACCAGTTCAAGTACCCGCACGTGATCATCACCAACGGGCCCGCCACGGGGTTCATCGTCTGCCTGGTCGCGCACCTGCTCAAGATCTTGTACGTCATGCCGCAGAACCGCCTTAAGATGGTGTACGTCGAGTCGTGGGCGCGCAGCCGCAGCTTGAGCCTGACGGGGAGGCTGTTCCTGTGGTCGGGCATCGCCGACATCTTTTGCGTGCAGCACGAGGAGCTCGCCCGGCGTTTCGGCCCGAGGGTGGTGTATGTCGGCAACGTCGCGGCGAGGCTCGCACCTCCGGGCTAGCAGCCTGAGGTGTACTGGCCTCCGATGGAGAGCGTGCTGGATCGGTTGGGCTTGCGGCCGCCGGAGCGCGAGGTGCAGACAGGGGAGGAGAGAGTGGAGGGTACAGAGCAGGAGAGAGGGGAGCAGGAGTGATTATTGGATGCGGCTGGGTTCGGTGAGGGATTTGTCCGGGTTATGGCGTTTCAAGGATGGGTATCCGGAGGACTCAGGTTTCAATGGTTTATGGTTTGAATTTGGGGCACCGATATGGGCCCATCAGGACAGTTTGAAATGGGTGGAGATTCCCAGGGGTAAAAGGTCCGCTAACTTATTTGGCTTTGGCCTGCACTGCAGGCCAGACTGTATATCGAAGGGCAGATGCTGTCGGTTCAGGGTCCGGCGGCCCAAGGAAAGGAAGTCATGCGAAGCGTTTGCAACTTTCAGTGTACAAGGCTCTATTTTGTCGTGAACATCGGTTTTATACAGGTTTACCCGGCCAGATACTCTTACCAGCCCAGCTCAGCCCCTACCCTCCGGTTCCACCTGCCCCTACACCAACACATCCAAATCCTCCTCGTCATCCGCCCCCTTACCCTCACCCACATCGACGACGCTGGCATACGCCTCGCTCCGCTCGGCCTCGAGTTTGGCGATCTCGCTGGCGGCCCACTTCTTCCACGTCTCGTAGACGGCGTCCTCGAGCTCCATGCCGACCTGCAGGTCGGACTTGCCGAAGTAGGCGCCATACATGCGCGCCTCCTCGACCGCTATCCTGCGCTCAATCTCCTCCTGCTGCCGCAGCTGATAGAACTCTTTGCGCGCCTTGTCGTAGGCCGCCGCCTTGCTCATGCCTTTGACTTCCATCAGGTATAGCTGGCGTTGGACGACGCTAGACAGAGAAAGGGGAAAGGTCAGTTTTGGCTCTCGGTCCCTTCGCGGATGTGTGAATTGTGTACCTACCTCTCACCGCTCAACGCCATCCCCGGTTGGCGCAGCCCCTTGCTCCAGTCGCGGTACCGCGCGTCCTTGCCGTCCAGCTCGAGCACCAGCATGGGCCGCGCCAGTTCCCACGGGTGGTCGCGGTAGAAGTCCTGCCGCAGCTCGTCCTCCGGGTGCACAATATTGGTCGGGCGGAACATGTTGCGCGGCGGCCGCTGGGCGGCTTTCCCGCGGGCTTTGGGCTCGGTGTGCTGGATTGGGTACGGCCGGGTGAGGATCTCGGCCGGCGGGATGTGCGTCACAGCTTTCACCCATGGCGCGGGAATGTTTGGCTTGTTAGGGATGACAGAGCTGGATAGGTGTGATTGGGCTGTCTCGTAGACGCGCGCTGCCAGGAATTGGCGGCCGCGGACCATCTTGACGGGTTTTTCCACCCAGGAGGGATGTGTAGATCTCGAGTCTCTGTGATGGGGAGATCGAAATTGATGCCGGGGACGGTCGGGACGTCGTTGAGTCAGCTCAGTGGGGGATCGCAGTTGTCTATGGCGAGACCACTGGAGTGTGACCTCGTTCTTCCAAGTACTCTTTCCCCCAAAATAGCAGATGTCGTTTGGGGTGGTCGTCGGATTGCCGGCCAATGTGGAGCTTCATGGGCACAGCTGCTTCCATTCATTGCACTGCATGATTGCAGATGCCAAAATTTTAGTGGAGAACATGTGCTGGCCCCGTGCCAAGCCTGCCCCACAAATGCCGCTACTGTCCGGATACTTGGCGGTGGCTTCGATAAGTCGACTTGCCCTGGAACTAGACTTTTTTCTCGCGGCATCAAAGTCGCCGACGGACCTGATCAACGGCATCACATCCACGCCCTTCTCCCACCCCGATCTCGCGACAATTGGCAGAATTACGGGGGGCGAGAGGCTGGGCTGACGGCAGGCCACCATGTTGGGCGACAGCTCATGAGAGTCCCCAGCCGAATTGACGGGTCGATATGCGGCGCGATCCTCTTTCTGCACCGCCCGTCGCTGTCGTCGAATCGGTCTGCCGCCACGTCTATTCCAGGCTGCCTTCATAGCCCCGGCGGAGGGCCTGTGCAGAGCTCCCACGGCGCCTGCGCTGTCGGACGACAAACCGTCTGCAACAGCTCCGACACTGCGACGTCCAGACCGAGATTAGCGGCGCCTCAGCGGCGCCCGCTACTGTCCCTTCCGGTCCTTCGGATTTCCCACACCCGCTTTGGCAGCTCTTCCGGGCCCTCCATCCCCGCTATTCGTTCTAACCATTCGGTCGCTGTTGCCGAATCATCTCCCGTCCATGATCTCGACAACTATGACATTCCGGACGACGCGCCTCTGGGGACTCCAGACCCACGGTCTCCCCGCCCACCCAAACGACGGCCCAGCTTCTCCAAAAAAGAGCTGCTTGCTCTCCTCGACTACTACGATGGTGAAGAGATTGGCGCCGTCGAGGATTACCTCGAGTATCTCCGCGACCCCTACATGCGTGGCTATGCCCAGCCCAACACCCAGAAGATTGCGTTTGCCCGTACCGCCGAGGACTTTGAGTACCCATCCATGGAACAGGTGATCCAGGCTGGCGAAGAGGAGAAAGGGACCCTCTGGGAACTCCGCTTCGCCGTGCTCACGCGCCTCAGGACGCCTCACAAGGTCAGCCTCGACCACATCTACGAGCTCTACCAGCGCCTCCCGGAGCCGCGCATGCTCTACCTCCACTCTCGCTTTCGCCATCAGCTGCTGCGCACCCTCGGCCAACCAGATGAGCGGGACTCAGGGTCGATGCTGCGGTACTTCGAGGTGATTGCCGACGTCAAAAACACAGGCATACCCTTGACAACAGCCGAGTGGAACTGCGCCATCGCCTTCGCCAGCAAATATGTAGGCACCGTCTCCGAGACCGAGGTCGAGGCGGCCTTGAAATTGTGGCGCGAGATGGAGTGTGACGCCGGTATCAAGGCCACCAACGTGACCTTCAACATCCTCTTCGACGTTGCTTGCAAGGCCGGTAACTTTGCCCTGGCCGAGATGATCTACCGCGAAATGGAGTCGCGCGGCCACTACTACAACCGCTACCACTACACCAGCCTGATCCACTTCTTCGGCCTCAAGCATGAGACGGGCGGCATGCGTGCCGCCTACAAGGAGATGGTCGAAGCCGGCGAGATGATCGACACGGTCGTGCTGAACGCCATGATCAGCGGCCTGCTGCGGTCGGGCGAGGAAGCGCCGGCCGAGCGGCTCTACGAGCGCATGAAAACCGCCACGCTGAGCGAAGACAGCAACGCCGCCACGACCGTCCCCGTGCGCACCCCGACCTCGGACCGCGCCATCACGCAGGCACTGCTCATGTTCGCCAAGATTGCCCGCCGCCACCCGCGCTCGCGGGCCGCGCTGCAGCGCATGACGCTCCTTGCCCCGGACCTGCAGACGTACCGCATCCTGGTCAACCACTACGGCGTCAAGCGCGGTGATTTGGCAAAAGTGGCCGGCTACATCGACGAGATGAAGTTCTTCAAAATCCCGCTGCACCACGCCATCTTCCTGGCCCTGTTCAAGGGCTTCGCCCACCATGGCGGGTATGAGCGCTCCGCCTGGAGCGAGCGCCGCCTGACTGGGATCTGGAACGCCCTGCTGGACGCCCTCGACTCGGGAACGCCCGGGCTGGAAGTCAAGACGTGGCTGGCCGTGTGGGCGCTCCGGGCGTTTGCGAAATGCTCGACCAGGGAGAGGGTGTTGGATGTGTATGACGCGCTCAAGGCGAGGTGGAGCCTGGGTCCTGTTGATGAGCAGTTCATGATTGATTTTTTGAGTAGTCTCGTTAATAAATAGAGGGACAAAGCATGACCAGGGTCTAAGGGTCTTGAACCGTGTACGTACATTAAGGTGGTCGCCATGGTCCGGGCTGGGATCTGCGGTGAACTTGTACAATAGCGTCTAATATCCTTGCATATATGAGTGTACCATGGGTGGCGGCTGAAGACTGGAGCCGCGAGAGTAGAACTGATGAGAAAGACGATACGCTGGACGGTTTCCGCTGTCCCGTCATCGACCGTTGCTTGACCTGTTACCGGCTTGTCTGCCAGATCTTGAACAAAATTTCCAACAAGGTCTGCTTTTGGACTCGTAATGTTCGGTGGGGTTCGTTATTCCTCCACACATCGAACATGCGATGACGAACAAAGGAACGGGCGAGAAGTTATATACACCACAGATACAAGATCGTCCACCATTTCCTATCCTCAGCCCCGGACTCGTCAAGCAACCCATGAATGAAGGAACACATTAGTCGTGCAGGGGTATCGTCTATCGCTGCAGTCTATTCATGCGGGCGTAAATAACGAAGCAGCCCTCGCTGAATACGCTCAGAATGTTCGTAACCTCTCTCACAACGCCCCGACAGCGCCGGTTTCATGCAAGCGGCGCACCAAACAGGAGAAGAAGAAAACAGAAAAGAACGAATCATCTAGGTGGCCCAGTCTTCAGCATCGTCTCCCAATCCTGTTCAATCCCACTCCCACCACTCACCCGTTCGGCGTTGTCGGCCAATAGCACCCTCGGCTGTCTGCCGCTCATGATCCCGGGGCCAACAGAGATACTATTCCTCCCAAAAACCCTGCTACTCTGTCCCACCGCTGTATTTGCAGCCGGCTGAGCACCACCCGGGATCCCAACACCACCCCTATTGGTATTATTCTTCGCCGCCGCCGCCGCAGCAGCAACATACTCCTCATTAACCTCCTCAACCACCTCAACACTAACAGTTTTGATGATCCCCCGCGGCCATGCCTCCGAGCCAATGTCATTGCCTTCCTGCTCCACCTCCTCATCACTGCCATACCCGTAGCCTTCATCCCTGCCACTGTCACTCTCACTGCCACTGCTCATGTACTCTCCTCTCCTGCTCCGTTCACCAAGATCGTACTCGTCCCCCTCCGAATCCGCCGCTTCCCTAGAGCCACCGACACCACCCCGCCTGCTGCTGCTATTAGTAGCACTCTGAACGAGCCCAGGCCCCTCAATGATAAGGTGCGTCGTCCGCTTCCGATCAATCTCAATCCCAATCTCATCCCCCCTGTTACTCTCCCTTCCCATCGACAGTTCATCATGGTCATCACCCACCGTGCCGCTCGCGCGCGAGCTGGCCCTGGTATTGTCAGCAGCAGTAAGGCGGTTGATGCTGCGGGTGCTGCCCGCTCTGCTGCTGGCGGCGCTCCTGGCGCTCGCCGAGGTCAGAGTGCGTTTGCGGGAGGAGTGACTGGTGCCAGCGGAGGAGGCGGAGCTGTAGGGGTCTCGGCGTTTGTGTGTTCGGTGGTGGTGCCGGCGGCGGGTGGAGTTTGATGTGGATGTTGTTGTTGTTCTTCTTGTGCCGGTGCTGCCGCTGGTCATAGAAGAGCCGGAGTAAAGGGGGCCGAAGGATAGGAGGTTGGAGGTTGTCAGGGAGAGGTTCTGTTCGAGGCTTTATGGGCAGCGTTAGCAGCAATAGGTGAGAGTAAATCACGTTGGAGATAGGGTGGGCTTACGTGGCCATGAGAGAGGCGTAGAAGAAGTGGGTTGTGTACGTGCTGACGCGGGATGTTTGTGAGGTTTGTGCGGTCCACACAATGACGAAGATGCCGGAGCTGCGTGGCTGAGTGAATATGGAGTTTGGTGGGAAGATTTCCGGAGACTTACACGAAGCTCAGGGCAGATGTCGCGTATAGTGGCCCTGTTGGTTGGCTGCGGGGGACTTCGCGGATCATTAATATTGGAAACAGAGAGAGAAACACCCAGGTAAACACCGAAAAGACTAGTGAGTAGTCAGCGAATGTCAAGAGGTCGGCACACAGCGAAAACATACCGCCATGAGCGTAGCCAAAATTGGCTTGTATGCTTGGGTCCGCGCAGGCCCCAACCACAACAGGATTCCATGTCTTCTCCAACGGCCGGCATTGGAGGTACCCGACCATGACCGAGGCTAGGTTGATGACAGCCATTCCCACGATTAGCCCAGCCAACAAGATTCTCCAATGCCGCGCCCCTCTCAAGGGGCCCATGAAGAAGAGACATATTGAAATCTTGCTGAGGGTGGCGCTGATGACAGGCCATGGCTGGCCTATCACTTTGAACTGTAAAGCCCGTGCCGGGTCGGATGCGGTGCTCTCGAGGATGCTAAAGATGGTTCCCGACAATGCCAATACCTGGTTCCTGATCAGATGCCCTGTCCGGTTTCCTCTGCATGCTCTGGCCAACCCACCGTAGCCGCCCCACTGGCATAGTCGTCCGCCCCGAAGCCGCCACTTTTTCCCCACCGAACGTAAAAGCGAGCAAAGGTAGTGGCTATGGCAAAGCACGCCGTGGCCAGGGAGAAGGAGAGAAGGACCGGCCCTCGAGAGAGGTCGGCGGCGGGATCAGCCATGTTGGAGTGATTTACTTGACATGAAGACTCGACAAGGCATCAATATCCCGGCGTGCCTTAAGAGAAAATGATGGATTAACCAGACAAGGATATGGAGAGGGTCCCTCTCAGATCTTATGGCTGGCCCGGTATAGGGCTGGCTGCTGGAGGGACGGCTTAGCCGATCACGTCTAGTGGGTGCGGGCAGCCAGAGGCCGATCAGAAAGGGCCCGAAACCGCGGAGGAGTTCGTACCAGAGCAAGAAGAGTCTGGTTCCGGGGAAAGCTAGTGGCCGACTTGGGGTGTCGGAGACCCTGCATATCTGGCCAGCAAACACACTTGCGCAATCCGAGGCAAGTAAACGATGTGTAGGGAGCCAGAGCATTGGGACTATAGGAAGATCCGCTTGCTATGGTCATGGTTATGATGTAACAGCAGCTACCCTGATCCTGCTGAGCACGGCGGAAGGCCACCTTGCCCACGCGAGCCCCGAAACGAGGGATGCCCCATCCACACAAACAGACGAATAGACTCGGAGAGTCGGGTATGAGAAAACAAAAAGGGTGATCAACGCACTGAGCCCCGGAATTGGCTATCGGCGGAGTGGTCCAAATTGTGGACAACACACGCGACACAAAAGCCGGGGATCTGTGTCAAAGCCGACTCGCTCATGCGCTGTCGGCGACAGGGGAAACGCCTGTCCCTGTCGGCCATTATTCTGACGACTCGCTCATAGGAGACGGGCTGGCCGTGAAATGTGCCAATCAAACTCAAGGTCAAAGGACAGAAGGGAGAGATGTGAGTTGAGACTAGACGGGCCTTGAGATGAGCAGAGAAGGGGGGGTTTCAGGCGCCAGCTGAGTTGACAGTGCAAAACAATTGCAACTCAACGAGGGAGTCGAAGCTGTTTGAACGAATCACACCTCACACGTTAGAACAGCCGCCAGGAACTCCCAGGTTGTCGGCTTAGTTCGCCGCGCATGACTTTTCCGAGCCGTTCCTGCCGTCGCTGTTTGGAAGTGTATGATCTTCCCGATCGAAGGAGCTTGGAACAATTCGAGACAGCGCACGGACCACATGGCGCTTGTGAGAGTGAAAGTGCCTGCCAAGCCGGAAACCAAACGTGCCTTCCAACAACCTCGAACCATCAGTCCCGTCTTTCCATGTCTCCCTGCCACGGTACCAACAGCGAGCCTGACCGAGGCGGCTATTGAGTGGAACTCTCAGAGTTGATATACCTACCGGATACTGTGATGGTGCAGTGGTCTGATGAATCATCCTAGGCCGGTTGGGGCTGTAGAAGAGCTAGTCGACAAACGGAGGGATCGAAAGCCCAGCATCACCATTACTTTTCACAAAGCAAACCAAAGCGAATGCAGGTCCGATTTCCTTCTAAGTTGTTCATCACAACTCAAAAAAATCCGGGCATAGTCTGTTTTGATCAAGTGCCTGCGAATCGAGTCAAATTGACATCCATCCCCCCACCCCAGGCAACCCTCCCCTTTTGCCCACTCATCAACGATACTTTCCATCATGATATCTTCGATATAGCAGCCAATTCTCTACTTCTCTAGCTCTGGAAATGACTGATTTGCCGAATAATCAACAAATCATGGGTGGCTGGCTCAGTTCAAGGATAGCCACCTACCGTAACCAAGGTCGTGTCTGGAAAGAAAGCCGACGAAACGGCAAGGGGCATCTTCAAAACCTCACGGGCACTATATCCTCCGTACGTGGGTCAGATTCACTCAACTCAAACAGACCAAAGCGGTCCCTGATGCCGTTTGACAGCACGTCAGTTTGCTATGCGCTGGGCTGGAAATATTTTGGCTGTCGGGAGCCCTGGGCTAGGGTTGGCAAAACGGAGTCGAAAGCCCAGCATGAACGCCGACTTGTGTGTTTTCTCTCTTTTTCATCTCAACCTACATTGTCCTCGTTGATTTTTGGAAAATATCTTCGTTTGGTTTCGACCTCCTTTGCAGTGCCAACAACCACCTCTGCTAGTCTCCCTGCATTTGCAAGCGGCCTCGTTTGCAGGAAACATCCGCCGTATCTAACGACCCATCGAACTTCCGGCCACAGCACCGCTCCCTACAGTCATCATGTCTGCCGCCAGTTCGAACTTGGATGACCTAGAGCTTGCGCTAGCGCTGCAGCGTGAGGAGCTACAGCGGCTCAAGAAGGCACGAAAGGGAAAGGGTCGTGAGGGGAAAACGGACGATTTCACCCTCGCCATTCAGCTGTACGAGGCTGAGTTGGAGTCGGGCACATTAGTTGCCTCTGACCACTCCCTGTGTGCAAGCATCGCGCGAGCAGTCAGGCTAGGCGCTGACGTGATTAGCGCCATCCACCTGGAAGAGGAGCAGGCGGTCCTGGATCGAGAGTTTGCGCGCAAGTTGATGAGCCCAGAGGGCGGCATGCCGATTACGACACCTGCCAACAAGCTCGCTCCGACCGTGCCAGCCCCCGATGAGCAGCTTCTGGCCAGACTCGAAGCTCTAAACGTGTCGCCCGAGGAGCACCCGCCGGAGTCTTCTGCATGGGCTGCCAGCCGGCCTGTTCGAGGGACAAGACAAGGAGGCGTGCAACCCAATATTGAGTGCATAGGCTGCGGCGACAAACAACATCACACGAATATTTCTCGCTGCCCTTGCTCTCACGAGTACTGCCGTGAGTGCCTGGCGAGCCTCTTTACAGCATCTCTGTCCGACGAATCCTTGTTTCCTCCTCGCTGCTGCGGCCAGCCGATTCCGCTCAATTCCTGCCGGGCCTACCTTCCGTCAGAGCTCGCCAGACAGTTTCTGGAGAAGAAGGTTGAGATGGAGACACCGAACAAAACATATTGTTATCAGCCAACATGTTCCGTGTTCATCCCACAACAGTTCATCGACGGGGAAGTGGCGACTTGCACTGGGTGTGGGAAGACGACGTGTGTCGTGTGCAAGGGTCAGTCGCACGAGGGTGACTGTCCCCATGATATCGCTGTTCAAGAGCTCCTCTGGGTCGCGGCCGAGAACGGTTGGCAGCGGTGCCACTCTTGCCGCCGCTGGTCGAATTGGATATCGGATGCAATCACATGAGTAAGTAACGTTGTTCATTGGATTCACTGAATTCAGTCCTCGTGCTGATACATGGCAAGATAGCATGCCGCTGCGGAGCTCAGTTCTGTTATGTCTGCGGATTAGTCTGGAAGACGTGTGGCTGCGCGCAGTGGAACGAGGCACGCCTCTTTTCTCGCGCAAATGACATCGTTCATCGTGACGGCGATGCCGGGCGGCTTGGCGATGTGGAACGGGCGAACCGGGTGGAGAGGGAGCGGCAGAACTTGATGCGGAATCATGAGTGTGGGCACGGGACCTGGAGGCACCGCGGCGGTTCGCATCGCTGCGAGGTGTGCCATGACGTCCTCCCTCGGTACATTCTTGAATGTGTGCAGTGCAGGATCATGGCATGCAGGCGTTGCAGGTTCAATCGTGTCTGACCGGACCTGATGCTTGAACGGCTTGGGCAGCAAGGACTACGCCGGGTGTTGCAGACTGTAAATAGTAAAGACTTCGGAATTATGCGGCTGGTCGTTGCGCATACAATCCCCTACCAGGCTACTCGCTCCCAGGCTACCTACCACATAGGGGCTGCCAGAGTCCTAGATTAGTGCAAAACCCCGAGACACGCAGATTTGAAGCCCACATCAATGCCGGACTCATACAAGCTGATTGCGAATTGTGAAGTATCGTTCAACTTACAGCGGAGCTCCCACGGCTCATACGAGTAAAAGCCATCCTCAACTGTCTTGCGAAACAGGCCCTTATCACCGCCGGCATCAACACTACGCAGAAACTCTCCGCCTACACCTTGGCCTGCGCAGCCCTCATCATCGGCAGGGTTGCCGTCAATGCAAAATCATGCGTCATCTCCCTACTCCTAACCTTCTTCGCCTGTTCCGCCGTATACCCCCTCGCCTCAACAGCAGGATTATAACCCAGCCCATTCACCCTGCCGACCGTCTCCGAGTCCACCAGAGTCGCCTCCTTTCCATCAGCCCTCCTATACACCGTCACCACGGCCGCGCCGCCCAACCCCAAATTATGCTGCAGCGCCCACCTCGTCCCTTCCACCGCCCTGTTATTCGCCCACCCCCGCAAATGCCACACCAGCTCGGCACACTGCGCGATCCCCGTGGCGCCGAGCGGATGCCCCTTGGAAATCAACCCCCCGCTCGGATTCACCAGCACCTTCCTCCCGGGACCGTACGTGATCCCGCCCGCGCGGACCAGCTCGTGCGCCCGGCCGGGCTCCGCCAGCCCCAGCGCGTCGAGCACCACCATCTCGTTGGCGCTGAAACAGTCGTGCAGCTCGCACACGGCGACGTCGCGGGGCGCGACCCGGGCCTCGGCCATGGCGGCGCTCGCGGCGCGTACCGTCATCTCGCGGCCTACGAGGTCGATGGCGCTCTGCGAGAAGAGGGAGGGCCCGTCGGTCGCGAGGTGTTGGCCTGCGATGAGCACCGCTTGTGGAGCGAGGTGCGGGCGGGCGTCGAGGAAGGCTTGGGAGACGAGGACCGCGGCGGCGCCGCCGTCCGAGGTGGGGCAGCATTGGAGTTTGGTCAGTGGGGGGTGGATTTGTGGCGAGGACAGGATCTGCTCGAGGGTGTACACGTCTTGGAATTGCGAGTAGGGGTTGTTGACTGAGTGGGCGTGGTTGATGCGAGCAATCTCGGCGAAGTCGGCGGGCGTGGCGCCGTATCTGGGAAGGTGAACAACTAAACATGTGGATAATCTCAAGGGGGCGAAAAGGGATTGGATGTCTCACTTCTCCATGTACTCGCGCCCAGCGTTGCCGAACATCTGGGCTGCGCCGGGGGCCTTGGACAGGCCACGCGTCGTGGCCATCATGGCGTAGGTGGTCCCCAACGGCGACTCGCGGTCGTTCCAGAAGCTCTGCAGACTCCCGGGCATCATTTTCTCGAAGCCCACCACCAGCACGCAGTCGGCGCCGCCGGCCGAGATGATGTTGCGGGCCATGGCGAGGCCCGTGGAACCCGTCGAACAGTTGTTGTTGACGTTGTAGATGGGAATACCAGTCATGCCAAACTGGTAGAAGACGCGCTGGCCACAGGTTGAGTCGCCGTAGCAGTAGCAGGCGATGCCCTGCTCGACGTCGTCGTAGGTGATCTGTGCGTCCAGCATGGCCTTGATGCCGGCCTCGTAGCCCAGCTCGGTGTAGTCGACCTTGCCGCGCGGCTTGATGAACTTGGTCATGCCCACGCCGAGGACGAAGCACGGCTGTTTCTGCTTGGGCGCCATATTGTGTTTCTCAGAGGTGGTTGCCACAGGATATCGACAGTTTCAATGGAAGTGTACTAATGAATATGCAAGAAGTGATGATGTTAGGGAAGAAAAAAAAAACACCCGTTTGTAAGGCTGTCGTCTCGTGCTATATTGGCCCCTTGTCTGGGCTTCCGGCTCTCCCTTCGGGCCCCCACATTTACCCCAGATGCGGGGAGGTTGAAACCTGGAAATGCCGAGGCTCGTTGACAAGCCCTGAGCAATTGCCATTGCCCGAGAACGACAGACTAAGAGTCGTGGTTTTCACATGTGAGTAGATCGTGTCGACTTGCAGGATGAATGATGGGAATTCGCATGCCCTTCATGAAGGCTTGTTGACAACTCTGTCTTTTAGAGCATCATGAAACACCTGGTCTCCGAGCCATAAACTGAAGACAACTTAGCATAAGACGGGGTGAACTGAATGAGATAGCGAAACTCCACTTTCCCTCTCACCACGTTGACCGTACTGACTCTCCCCTGTAACCGGTTCCGGATCAAATCGGGGCTTGGCATGATCGGAGATCCACATTCCCGGGCGAGTGGGGCATCGGCTCCGGATTGCCAAGCAGCCCGGCCGGGGATGGGGCCGAGTCCGGCTTCGGTAGCCATGAAGACCGAAGGGGAGTGTCCTTCAGGTCTAATATCCACGTATTAGTCCAGCTAAACGAGAAGACTAGGTCCACAGAACGAAAGCCTCTTTTCCCATGCCTACCGCACCTACTAGTCCAAACTCGGCCCTCGCTCCTCAACAATTAGTAGGTACACATTAGGTAGCCGGTGCGCATCCACTGCGCTTTCCTCAGCATCGTTAGAGCCAAAATACTCAAGCACGGCCGGCGAATACGGGCGTGTCGACGCGACGGCGAGGATGCCGCCCGAGAAGAAAAGGCCGGCTCTCGCGGCAGAACGAGGTGTTGTTCGCGCGCAGGGAAAGGTCCCCCCGATTGCCTCGAGGGAGGAAGTCAACTAATACTAGAGACGAGATCGATCCAGGTTTCCTCATATCCCGGGTCGTCGACAGCCTCCCCATGCATTATATCATCAATATAACACTCGCCCACAAGCGTGTAGCCCTGTTTCTCATCGCATCGCCGAATGATGAACGGCACAGGGGTGCCATAGATGACGCACACCTTGTCTCCGGGCTGCGTATCGATGGGACCAACTCCTCGCATATTCGACGCGGTCCTGAATAGCCGCCTCCCGACACAAGCCGTGGCAACTGCATCCAAGAACAGGTTCCCGTTCCCGCCCCTGGAGATATCTTTCAGATCCTGCAGAGTAACAATGCCATGGCCGGACGACGCGCCAGTGCCGTCGTCGTTCAGGCCCGTCTGGTTCTGAGAGTCGCTTGTCCTCCCAACCTCATCCTGCCCTTCTTCGGGCACACCGACCCCAAACGCATCCAGTTCAAGCGCCCACCAGAGCCGGCCAGCGACAAGGCAGTGGGCAAAGTCAGCCAGCATGCCGCCTCGGTCCTTGGGCAGCCCGTACCAGCTCTTGCCTGCGGCCAAGGCCATCGCCAGCCCCTGCAGGCTGTGCCTTGTGTGGCCGTGCCGGGCAAGCACCACGTCGGCGTCCCCTCTGTAGGTGTGAGACCCTGAGGTGGGCCCCACGTCGTTTGTAGCGCTCACGCCTTCGAGCATGACGCCGTGGACGCCGAGTCGGTCCGCATCAACTGCTTCCTGTTCGGCGGCCCGGAACTGAGCCGCCCTGGACAGACCAGCGGCAAAATCTGGGTGTGCATCCAGCGGCGCCAGGACTTGTGGGCCAATGTGATGCCATTGTGGGATCCAGGATGGGAGGGTTGAGTCGGGTGGAACGACGGTGGAAAAGCGCCGCACCTCGTGCAAGTCCGTATGGTGGACATGGGACAGGAAGGCTAGACATTTTGTAGAAGAGATTATCGCGGCCGCCACCCTGCGGTAAACGCCTGCAAGGGACTGCCCGTAATCGGGCGTAATGTAGGAATTGACATGATCCGTCGTGGGCAAGCCGAGAAGCCCAAAGATCTTGTCACGCTTGTCCTCACACTTGAACTGCCTCGTGAGGGTAAGGAGCTCGCCGAACGAGAAACGGAGCGTGTTGAAGTAGTTTTGCAAACGGGAGATCCTGTACATAAAGTACGCGTTCATCATACCTACGGGGACGAGGCGAACTGACTCGTCGGGTAGGTAGGTCGGTAAGTAGCCGGAATGGGCGCCCTGGGCGACCCAGCCGGGCACGATGCAGTTCCAGTTCGTCCGGATGATAGCTGCAGCCAGTCCAATCCACTCCCACGGCATTTCGCATGCGCCCCAAATTGCCGTGGCCCGCCGCGCCAGGGCAATCTCCTGGACGACCCAAAGACGGGAGAACCATCTTTTGTTGTACAGCTGCAGGACCTTGGCCCAGACTGGGCTATCTGCAGCAAGGAGCCCCTCTCCATCAGATCCCGAGAGTGTTCCGCAACTCTGAATCCGGTACTGGGGCCTTCCCACCCGCAAGGCATGTTTTGCTGCCGCCGCCGTTGCCGCCCATGTCGAGACCACCGAGCACACTCCGGCGAAGGCCTTCGAAGATGCCCTCGCGACCGGGTCAGAGACTTGGTTGGCATCCTCATCCTCTCCGAGCCACACAAGGACGTCGTGCGCATTTCGAAGAATGTCACCCATCCCGGCCACCTGTTGGCTTCGCTCCTGGGGGTTGCTCTGGTCGATGCAGAGAGCGTCGGCCCACACGACCCGTCTCGAAGCCTCGCGCCGAAGTCGGTGCAGAGCCATGTAGAGGTTGCGCCCACTGCCACCTCTTGTCCGTTGCATTCAATCATAGGGCTCTTCAGTCCAGTCCTCGACTGCCCAAGGGCTTCCCCTTCCATCCACGGCTCCCACCCCGTCCACGGCTCCCTCCCGGTCATCCACGTGTACGAGAGGGCCTCGTAGGCGCCGCGGTTGTCGCACATGGAGCAGACGTGCATACGGCATTGAAGCCTCGCATCGTCCGTACCAGGGAGGATCTCGAGGAGGCGGAAGTAGTCTTTTGAAGGGAGGCGTGTGTAGAGCGGTGACGATGCCGCAGCGTGGTTCTCCGAAACGATAAACAGAGGTTTGATCGCCTCAACGCCCTCTTGTAGAGAAGGGGTACCCGCCTCGTTGTGGCCGACCGCGTTACTGAAGGCATTGTCTCTGGACATGAGCTCTCCCATGTCCCGGTTGGAGATTGTAGGACCATGGCCAGGAAGTACGAATCCAAAAGATTGCCTGGCCGTTGACATCGTCTGTGCGTACGGCCGTCGTTCCTCGGCTGCCGTGAAGGAAGCAAGCTGGCGCTTGTGTTCTTGCTTAGCCCCATCACTAGCACTTCCTATAGAGGGAATCGATTCAGGGTCTGGAAGTGCGAATTCCACAGATTGGGTGGCCATTGAGATGGTCTGCGCATAGGGCTGCCGTTCCTCGGCAGTCATAAATGAAGCGAGCTGACGCTTTTTTGCATGCTCAACCCCATCACTGGTACTTCCTGCTGTGGAAATGGGACGAGTCGCTTCTTTGGAGGTATCGCGAAGCCTCCTGGGAGGGAAGTACCTGATCATTTGTGTCAATGGACGTGAAGGCGCTTCCTCTGAGTATTGAATCTAATCGGCGACGGAGCCCGGTGTATCGGTGAACAACTTCCTGCTCGTTATTCCTGTTTATGGCTTTAAGTCCGTCGCTTCCAGAATGTCTTAAGGCACATTGCGTGGGTTGGCTTACCTGGACCATCATGACTCAGATATAGCTCAGCCGCACGAGGCTAGACATATATGCATCCAAAGCGGAGGACTTTACGCGCTCTTTCTTTTCTGTTGCGTCCTTTGTGTCTGGTTCGTCAGTTCTTCCCAACTTTTCTGTGCCCCGTCGGAACTCACCACCCAAAGCGGAATCCATGAAACACCGTCGTACCCTCGTTATAACCCCGGAATTCCGCGTGTGTGAGCATCACCTTCATCACAATGTCAGGATTTCAAAAGAATAGTTCGAGGGCTGTCCGTACGGCTTGCAATAGTGGGATATGCTCGAATCTGTTGTTGACATATTGCCTCAGCTTTCTATCGCAGCCCATGCTCGATCTTCTTGAACCCCCTTGGGATAATGTGCGAGTGGTGATCATCTCCGTCGGTTCCCTCACAGCGCTTACCCTCGGAAGCTTCATCAACCACTGTTTGAAGCAGCTGCCGACGCTCCTCCTCCATCAGCCCTCTTCGGACCACCGTCCTTGATCCCCTCCTTCGCTTCCTTGCCCTCTTTATCACCCCTCCCTCTACCCCCGCGCCTCCTCCCTCCGCGTCTGCTGCCCTGCTCACCCCCTGCTTTCTCTCCCGCAGGGCCAGCAGGGACCGGTGTTGGTGGCGCAGGATCTTGCTTTGCAGAGGCAGGTGCCTGAACTTGTGCCGGTGCCTGTGCCTGAGCCTTACCCGGCACCGTAGCAGATCCCGCCACGGACATAGACCCACTAGCCGCAGCAGCAGTAGCATTCTTCCCCTGCCCCTGGCCAGACGCCTTCTTCCCCATCTCCTTCCTCTCTAGAACCTGCACCGTAGCCTGCGCAATCGCCACCGGACTGGCCGCCATAGCCTTGGCGAGGCCGGTGTGGTTGGCAAAATCGACATAGGCGAACCCCTTCTTGCGGTCCATCTCGACGCTCGTCACGGTGCCGAAGGCCTGGAGGGCCTCCTTGAGCAAGGCTTCGGTGACGCCCTGCGAGTGGTTGGCATGCTTGACGAAGGCGCGGGTTGCGCCTGGGCTGGGCGTAGCGGCGGCATTGGAAGATTTCTTGGAACCGCCTCCGCCTGGTTGTTTTTGAGAAGAAGCGGACTTCGGCCCGGAGGGAGGAGTTGGGGTTGCTGTTTGGGCTTGTTGGGAGGGGGCGGTCTTGGACGGGCCGGTTGGTGCGGGCGGCACTGTGGGCTGAGGTTGCGAGGATGCGGCCGGTTGGTTGTCCTTCTTTTTCAGCACCGTGATGGGTGGTTTTGCTGCTGCTGGCGCTGCGGGGTGTGTCACTTTGTCGGTACCAGCGTCCCCCTTGCCATCTCCCTTACTCTCTCCCTTTACCTTGGCGTTATCCTCGCCGGCGCCGCGCTTCCTATTCCTGGACTTACCCGAAGCTAGAGGCTGCGTCTTCACGAAGGCAGACTGCGCCGTAGGCTCAGAGGGTGTAGACGGTGGTGCGGGCTCAGGGGCGGGTGGTGTGGCTGGCTTAGCGGTCTCCTTAGCAGCGGTGGCCTTGGCCTCTGACTCGGCCTTGGCGGCGTCTTGACGAGCTTTGCGATGAGCGTTGCCCGGACTAAGGCCCAAGTCGCGTTGCAGGATCCTGGCCGCAGCTGCTATGCCCGCTCGGCGGCTCTTAGGAGGGGGCTCCTGACCTCCGGGATGTGAGGTGGGCGGCGCATTCGATTTCATCTGAGCCGCAACAGCTTTTGCAGCCTCGGCAGCAGCTTCCGCAGCAGCGGCAGCCTTCTTGGTGAGTATTTTGACTGACTCCTTTGACGGGTCAGACGTCTTCTCCGAGGCACGTTCCGGCGCCCTCTCCTTCTCGGACCTGCCATCCCTAGACCTTTTCTTTGGCTCCTCAGGGGCTGCTGGAGCAGCTTTGCCTTTCCCTGCTCCCTGTGAGTCCTGACGTGCATGTTTCGCGCTCTTCGCAGCGGCCGCCTCTTTGGCCTTGGCAGCCTTTTTCTCCTTGAGGTATTCAACCAAGGGCGTCGTCGTCAGTTCAACTTTGGGTAGTTCCTCAGCACCCTGGCCCGCTTCCGGCGCCTCCTTCTGCGCGTCAGGGTTCGCCAGGGCCTCGAGGAACGCCATAAACTCTGGGTCTTGATCAATGGTACCTTGCCGCCCATCGACGCGCTTCTTGCCACCGGGGATTCTCTTATAGATGGCAAACTCTACTGTGGGCGGAGAGACCAGGGCAGGGTCGTTGTATGTCTCCTTGGCGTCCTCCCACCTTTCCGATTGCACCTTCTGCAGGAGTGCTGTCAAGTCATCTCGCCGCACAACATGCAGGTATGCGCGGGAGGGTTGTGATGGTTTTGACGGACTGTATGAAGGCATGTTAGTGCTTGCAAAGAAACCAGGAGGGGACGGCGCCTCACTGTTGCGACAATTTTCCCGGCCAGTACGAAAACCAGTCGACTTTTCCACGGCCAACCCTCCATTCATCGCCCAGGATGGTGACGAATTCCTCCTCGGTCATTCCCGGCGGCAAGCGGCGCACCACGACCTTTTCGCCCTGCACGGGCGCTTTCACCCTCGGTGCCTTGGCCGCATCGTTCGAAGACTGGCCGACGACGCCGTTCGTCTTCCTCGACAGTAACTGAGGAGTGCTCATGTGGATATGGAGTTCCGTTGCGAGCGGCAAATGGATTAAATCCAGGCGAGCGATTGATTGGCTCTCAATGGTATGGGCGATCAGAGTAAGGTATTCCGGAAATCGAACTGGAAAGCAATGAGTCGATAATGGCGGGGTCGGAGAAGAGTTAAGGGGAGGGAAAAGGGCGGACTTCGTGCAATGCGGTAATTCTACTCTCGTCTCGTTCTAATTTCGCCTGATTTACGGTTTTGCTATTCAGGTGTTCAGAGTCGACGGACCGTCCCTCCCTTCAATCATGTTACAGGCTTGACCTGTGGGCGAGGAGCTGTGTGAGACTGTTGAGTGAACTTAAACCACCAGATGATGAGATCCAAGAGAAATTGATAAGCCCGGTCATTTTAACGTTATCGGCCGACCCACTCCCTTCTTGGCATAGTACGCCATAGGGCCGCAATTTCTTGGACAGAGCGCCCCCTCCGCGACATCAAGACAACTGAGGGGACCCAACCCGATGTTGAACGAGTAGCTTGCTTACTGTATATGCGATCGCTCTTCGATGGAGTTTTGATGAACATGAACGAACCTCCCCCTTCACAGCTTCTCGATTAATTCCAACATAAGTCGCGTTCTCCATACGACCTCGGCCTGCATCACCCCGCAAAGAAGCGCCGCTTCGATAATCGCTGAACAAAACCAACCATAAGGCCCGAACCTGTCTTCTCTTAGGTGCACGTCACCATGGCTACGGTACCAAAGCCGGGGCCGGCAAACCTCCGGCCAGGCGCCGGCCTAGACGAGTGGCTCGAGGAGGCCAAGCAGTGCCACTATCTGCCGGAACATGTCATGAAGCAGCTCTGCGAAATGGTCAAGGAGGTGTTGATGGAGGAGTCCAACATTCAGCCCGTCGTTACCCCCGTCACAATATGTGGCGATATCCACGGCCAATTCTACGACCTACTCGAGCTGTTCCGTGTCGCCGGCGGCATGCCCGGCGACTCCAATGTCCAGGCGCCCATGACGAGCACGACAGTAATTACGTCCGACGAGATTGAGCCGCCGTCAGAGATCACAAATTTAAAACTCAAAATGAAGGTTATAAGGTCCGGGACAACAGCAGAAGGCGGGTCAGGGGATCACAACGACGACACGTTTCAGGAGGAAACCACGCACACTGCGCCGCCCGCCGACTCAGGCGCGCAGTCGGTCGACACCCGCTTTGTCTTCCTCGGCGATTTTGTTGACCGGGGTTACTTCAGCTTAGAGACGTTCACACTTCTAATGTGTCTAAAAGCAAAGTGAGAAATCATTACCTTACTCATTCTCAGCTGTGCATCCCCGTTAACAAGCGCACCCCAGATATCCCGACAGGATAGTCCTTGTCCGCGGCAACCACGAGTCGCGCCAAATCACCCAAGTCTACGGCTTTTACGAAGAATGCCAGCAGAAATATGGCAATGCCTCAGTCTGGAAGGCATGCTGCCAAGTTTTTGACTTCCTCGTGCTCGCGGCCATCGTGGACGGCACCGTCCTCTGTGTGCACGGCGGGCTGAGCCCCGAGATCCGCACCATTGACCAGATCCGCGTCGTTGCGCGAGCGCAGGAGATTCCGCACGAGGGCGCCTTTTGCGATCTCGTGTGGAGCGACCCAGAGGAGATCGAGACATGGGCCATCAGCCCGCGCGGCGCCGGGTGGCTGTTCGGGCACAAGGTTGCCACCGAGTTCAACCACGTCAACGGGCTGCAAACTATCGCGCGCGCCCATCAGCTAGTCAACGAAGGGTACAAGGTAACGTCACCCCGGCTTTCCCCCTTTCATTTCGCATCGGTTTATTGACCTTAATCCCAAGTTCCACTTCCCATCCAAATCCGTCGTCACCGTCTGGTCGGCGCCCAACTACTGCTACCGCTGCGGCAACGTGGCTTCCATCATGACCGTCTCCAACACGGGCGGCGGCGGCGGCAAGAGCAACAGCCTGGACACCAAGTTCTCCATCTTCTCGGCCGTCCCCGACGACCAGCGCCACATACCCGGCGGCCGCCGTGGCGCCGGCGACTATTTCCTCTAGAGAAGGCGGCAGCGGCAACATGTCCGGAACCCTCATCAAAATACAAACAACAACGGAGACAGAGACCATTGGAAGATTATGCCGGGTGATGAGTGGCAGTGGCCGTGGGTATACAACCAGTCTTCTCATCATCGCCCATCACCCGTGTCCGCGCTCGTGGTCGCCGCCGGGCTCGAGGAGGGAAAGGAGCAAAACAGGCCTACAATGTACCGTCAGCGCGCCGTAGCCCGGGCTATTGACGCCCAAGCGTGGGTGGACGGCCGGAGGTGGCTTACGCCCCCCGAAGGAGTGGGAATTATGCCTGTGAGAATAAGACATGGAGCCGAAAGGGCACGTAAGTGGGGCCAAGGAAGGGTTTAGACGATTCGGAGGAGGGGGGTTGAGCTGAGAGGAGGAAGAGGTTGGTTGGGTGAGACCTAAGAGCGCAGCAAGCAGTGAGGATGAAAGACAGGGTGTCTGTGGTAATGGGGCGCTGTTCATTTGGAGAGAAGAGATGGGGTGGGTCTTGTTTGCTATAGCGGACGACGGCGTCTTTGTATATTATGCATGCATGCATGGCTTTCATTAATGAGGAACGATGAGATGGGCATTCTGATAACCCCTTGCGCTCCGCCACTGCGGCTTGGTCATTGCAGCTGTGTGTATGAAGGAAAGATGTAGGAAGCCGAACAGTAGGAGGCCGTGCGTCAGGCCGTTTCTGCAGAGACTGGCAGAGAATGCGAGCAGAGGATGATAAAATTAATTGGAAGATATTCGATTCCATTTTTCGCGTATGACACCGCCGTCTATATACCAACTCGTCAGCCACGCCACTCGGGCTGGGTTCTAGAGCATGAATGGTGATGTATGCAAAGGGAGGAAGAACAGACAACAACAGCAGCACCATGGGAGGTATCGAAGTATCGTCCGACATACGGATCCCACCATTATACACCATCATTATTCTTCCTCCTATGACGTGTGTCACCTCTGGCCCTTCAACTCTTCCTCGACCTCCTCCTTGACCAGCTCCCGGACAGCCTTCCAATCGTTCGCCACGTCGCGCACCCTTTTCTCTTTCTTATCCAACCCGACAAACTCGGGCGGCAGCACCTTGGAATCAAATTCAAATCCTTCCTCGTCCTGCAACGCGAGCGTGACGGCACCAGCAAACTTGGCGGGGTGGGCCGTCGAGAGCGAGATGATGGGCACACCCGGGACGCCGTCGCCGGCGGCGCGCGCAGCCGACCGCTTGGCGGCCTCGACGCCGACGGCCGTGTGCGGGTCCAGCACGTAGCCAACCTCCTTGTAGATTGCGCGGATGGTATCGAGCGTCTCCTGGTCGCTGACGCGCTCGCTCTCAAAGGTGCGGCGTGCCGCCTCGAGCACGTCCTTGTACACGGGGCCGAAGCCGCCCTTGGTCTTGAGGTCCGACAGCCACCGCGCAACTTCCTGCCCGGCCTGCTTCTTGTTCCACTCGTCGTCCATGCCGGCGCTCGACGCGAACTCGTAGGCGAGGAACCAGAGAAGGCGCTCAAAGTTGGACGAGACCAGAATGTCCATGGCCGGCGAGAGCGTCTCCTTGACGCCGTCCTCGTGGGCCTTGACGCCGTCGGTCTCGAGACCACCCTCGGCGGCCTTGCCGTAGGTGGGCTTCTTCTCGTACCGACCCGTCTTCCAGAAGCGGTCGAGGATGTCGTTCTCGTTGGTCGCGATGACAAGCTTGTCGACGGGCAGGCCCATGCGATGGGCAAAGTAGCCGGCCAGAATGTCTCCGAAGTTACCCGATGGAACTGCAAAGCGGACCTTGTCGCCGACCTGGAAGGAGTCGGGTTGTTGGCGGGCGAGGGAGAAGTACGAGTAGAAGTAGTAGACAGTCTGGGCGAGGATGCGCGCCCAGTTGATCGAATTAACGGCGCCGAGCTTGTGGGTCGAGTTGATGTCGGTGTCGGCGAACAGAGCCTTGACAATGTCCTAGGCAAAGTGTTAGTGAATGAAGATGGAACCGAGCACAGGCTAACCCACCTGGCAGTTGTCAAAGTTGCCAGTGACGGCGAGGTTGTGAACGTTGGCGTCCAGCACTGTGGTCATCTGGAGCTCCTGGATGGGGCTCACGCGACCTTTGGGGTGGAGCATGAAGACGGAGACATCCTTCTTCCCGCGCAGGCCATAGATAGCGGCCGAACCCGTGTCGCCGCTTGTCGCGCCCACAACAGTGAGGTGATACCTATCCCGCCCCGTCTTGCCCTCGTTCCGTCGCACCAAGAAGTACTCGAACAGGTTACCGAGGAATTGCAGGGCCACATCTTTGAAGGCGAAGGTAGGCCCGTGGAACAGCTCCAGCAGGTGAATGTTGTCTTGGAGGTGGATGAGTGGGGTGACTTGGTCGGAGCGGAAGGTCGAATAGCTGCGGCGGATGATGTCCTTGAGGTCATCGGCAGGGATTTCGGAGGGCGAGATATAGAGCGACAGGATGTTGAAGGCGAGGTCGACAAACGGAAGGTCCTTCCACGACTCCCATTCCGGCGCCGTTGGGACCTCTTCGGGGATGTACAGACCGCCGTCCGAGGCGAGGCCCTTGAGGACGACTTCCTCAAAAGAAAGCTAGAGCAATTGAAAGAGTCAGCGGGGTTATTCTTGTGATTATGGACGGCGTGACGTGTTGCACGCAAGCCCGAGGACCTACACCGCTATCATTGCCCCGCGTGCTGAGATAGCGCTGCGACGCGGTGTGCGTCTGCGCGGGGGAGCCGTTGGCAACAGCACCGTTGGACATGTTGGCGCGGAGAGTGATGTGTCGATGCTTGGACCCAGCTGCTCGGGAAACGGGGGCGGACAGTCACCGAGAGACGGTGAGAAGGGGCAGGAGTCACAGAGGCATGGTCGGATAGCGGTGCCGAGCATCGGCGGGCGGGGCCTTCAAAAATTCAAGGCCGCTTTGCCGTTGTGAGACATCAGAGTTTTGCCCCGCACCCAAAATCAACGTTCGAACCAGATTGTGGGGACAACGGTCCTGAGTCGCATCAACAATTGACAGGGGCATGGCCCGAAGAATTGACGCAATTGCTGTGTATGGCATGCCAGTTGAGCATCTGGTTCTGGCGAGAAAGAAGCGGCAAACCGAGATCAGGGTCTCAACCTCGTAACTAAGTGGTGCTCAATCCTGACCTGATGGTGGAATCAGATGAGGCGCCTGGCTTCACATCCCATGGTCGATGTTTGCCAGACACACCCACGTTGCGCTGCATCTCGAGTTGGAATTGGTGGGTTACCTCGCAGACTGTGCTTGCGTTAAGAAGTCCGGCGGTCCTTGATAGGCAGTCTTCCGGTGCAGTAAGTATTCATGGCGTACTGTCGAGTCTCTGCCCGAGGGTCGTCAAGCAATCTAGCCTCGGGGCCTACCTGGAGCGTAATCATCAAGCTCCAGACCTAGTAATTCTGAGCTAGCTATTCCGGGGCGACCGTGTTGAGGTTTTTAGTCAGAGTCCGAAGAGCAGCAGTCGAAAATGGAGTGAAGTGCGGAGTCAAAAAGAGTGGACATCTACCTTGGAAGTCCACGATATGTGAGTGCGGTACATTCCCGGTTGGAAACTGAATGGCGTGGAGGGGCATCAGTCAGGCGATACAGGTCCCTTTGACCCCAGCCGTCGAAGATTCTCTTTGCAGGAGAATTGATTCACTCCGTATACAGTCGGGTTGGCCATCGCCTCATCCTTCGATGAGGACGTGAGTCTGCAATTCATCGGGTGAGAGTTGGTGTGACAAAGTCCAGCGACTGGCGATGAGTTTTGACCCACCAAGATGTCCCACAGTTTGCGCCATTGGCCGGCTCCATGACGCGGGGTGAACGCGGGACGTGGGTCTACCCTATGCCGAGACGGAGTCCAGACGAATGACATACCTAGCCGCCCAGCCCCTTGCTGCGCTAACTTGCAGCCGGTAACATGCGCCGTCTCCGCAAATCGACTGCTCACCTTCCTCGTCTAGCCCAACTTCGAGTGCATTCAGTTCCATAGCCGAGTAAAAAACACAATGGCCTGATGACTTGATGGCCTTCTGGGATTCTTATGGTCGTATATACAGCTTACTCCGTACATGTAAACAAAGCACACATTCAATGTTTTGCGATACCTGACATGGCTCGATGATGTCGCGATGTGGGCCCCGTAGCTCCCAAAGGTCTCCATTGTACCCGAGATCTGGGGCCGTTATCAGAGGCCTTGGCCGAGCTCAATCATAAACCCATTCGCCGCGATGATCGCCAGTCATGATTAGCTCGATCAAACAGAGAGCGCAGAATTCCCAAATTGGGATTGTGCTCATGTCTTGTCGATTGGGAGCCTACTCTCATCTACGCTTGTTTACCTGAGAATTCAATCAGGAAGGACACAAGCAAGAAGGATTGACCGGTTCTCTTCTCTCTTATAGTTTTACTTAGCAGCCATCAGCGTCTTCTTTGTTCTCATCCCATGATTCAAGGAAAAGGCAACTGACGCCATTGCTGTTCTATGGCGTCTTATCTGGCGCGCAGGGGTTGATCGTGTGTCGAATTTTAAGCAGCCAGCCAATTCGCTCCCAGGTGCACCAACAGGGATCGCCGATAAGGCTGCTATGCTCCCCCTCATCCGTTGACTTGGGAGCCAATGTATTTCCTCCTCCTCTCCTCCATCCTTCGTCGACGACTCGAACGCTGGAATTGGGACAGACTGTGTCTTGGGCTGCTTCAACAGACAGATCCAGACCTGAAGTCCGTCTTCGACGGCCATCATCATCAATTATACTCGAATGTTACCATCTCCTATCCCTTGCCGCGTCGTTCTGTCGACCTACCTCCGCCATCGAGTCGGGTCCCTTGAATCGCGTCGATGCCGGTTCACCACGTTCCCTCAACCATAGCGACCTTGTGAAGTGCCGGATACGGCCCGTACCCGCCATCATCATGGCGACAATTGCTCTGTCCCGACCAGTTGTGCCACATCGCTCCTCCTCTTCCTCGCTAACCACGACCATCACGCTCGACACCCACCCGGCGCAATGCCCCGTTCCTGTTCCCAACAAGCACATCCCGGTGTGTCCTCCAGGGCGCATTCCCCAGGAAGAGCCCTCCACACCGCCGCCGTCTCCGGGCAAAGAGGAGGACCAACGGCAGCGCTCGCTGTTGTACCCCCCGGACAAGTACCCCTCTGTCGAGATGGGCCCGCTCCGTCTGTACAAACTTGACGCCGACGACGTGGCTGCCGCCTTGGACCACATCAGTCGGCAGCCCGTCCCGGACCCCTCCCAGGTCTTCCCCTGGCTCCATGGCCTCCACCCGGCCAATACCACGCAGCAGACTTTCTTCATGGCCCGGAAGCGCGCCATCAGGCGGACTCCTCCCTGTCTCCGCGGAATCACCGTTGTCAAGGCCGACGGGGAACTGAACTTTTCCCGTCTCAAGGGTGCCATCGCTCCGCATGAGTTCCTGCAGCTTGGCGCCAGTGTCCCCGAGTTCCTCGACGCTGACCCCAAGGAGGGCTTCTCGGTGCGTAACTTCCAAATACAAGCCGCCAAGGCGGCCATGACCTCAGATATTGTCGTCTACGGCGACGACGACGTGGCTGTGCGGAAGCTGGGCTGGGATATTGCTGCGGCCCAGCAGCGGTGGCGCGACAAGCACGAGGCCCAACGGCACCCTTTGCCGCGGTACAGCACCTTCATCTGCGTCAGCCCGTTCGCCGAGTTTGAGGAGAAGTATCCCGAGATAGTGGCTGTCAACTCGCGGGGGCTGCTCACTGGCCGCATACTCGACTTTTTCCACCAAGAACGGAGGGAGATGTACGAGATGACGCGGGCGTCCGAGATCTCGCACAATGTCTGGCTGGGCCCGACGCCGGACTCGGGGTCCGAGGGTGAGCAGTTCTACGACATCCTGATTGAGTGCTGCGACCTTGGTCGACTGAACCCGGCGGCACTCCAAGCCATCTGCTTGGGCCCGGATGACGAGTCCAAGCAGTCGCACCTCGACTTCCCCTCGTCGGGCAGCATCCTCGCCCCGACATGGTCCCAGGCCGAAGCAGACGGCATTCTCGAAACATGCAAATGGATCTATCACCTCGCTCACGGCACCCGCCCTCCCCTTCCCCCATCTCCCGCCGGCGACGACGACAACACTCCGATGATGGACGCTCCCCGGCGCCCACGCAGAATCCTGCTTCACTGCAGCGACGGCTACACCGAATCAACCATGCTTGCCGTAGCCTACCACAGCTTCGCAACAGGCCAGCCCGTGCCGCAGGCCTGGCTCGACCTGCACACGACCCGCCAGCGTAACCTGTTTGCCTATCCCTCGGACGTAGCCCTCCTGTCCGCCATCGCGCCGCGCTTGCTTTGCGAGTCCCCCGTCTACAGCAACACCTCACCACCATCGCCATCACCCCCAACGACGACAACAACAAACAGAGCAGCCCCTAGACATTCATCCCCGCCCACCCCGGCGGACGTCGCCGACCTGCTGGTCAAGTCGGAACCGCGCTGGTTCACGACCTTTGACGGGTCCTTCCCCAGCCGGGTCCTGCCGTACATGTACCTGGGCAACCTGGGGCACGCCAACAACCCCGACCTGCTGCGGGCGCTGGGCATCGGGCAGATGCTCAGTGTCGGGGAGACGGCTATGTGGCGCGACGGAGAGCTCGAGGCGTGGGGCGGGGAGGAGAACGTTTGCGTTGTGCAGGGGGTGCAGGATAACGGGATCGATACGCTGGCCGGCGAGTTTGAGCGGTGTCTGCGGTTTATTGGTACGTTTTCATGCTCTCTCTCATTTCTTAGATTCGACGGCTGGCAAGAAGATGACTAACATGGCATACGGTATCTCAGACCGCGGCCGCGCAAGAGGCACGGCGACCCTCGTGCACTGCCGGGTTGGCGTCTCGCGCAGCGCCACCATCTGCATCGCCGAGGTCATGCGAAGCCTGGGCATGTCGTTCCCGCGCGCCTACTGCTTTGTGCGCGCCCGCCGCCTCAACGTCATCATCCAGCCGCACCTGCGGTTCGCCTACGAGCTGCTCAAGTGGGAGGAGCACTTGCAACTGCAACAACAACAGCAGCAGCAGGAGCAGAGTGGTGCTGATGGCGAGCAAGAGGCGGCAAGGGGGAAGCAGGGGTTCAAGCGCGAGTTGGAGTGGGCCGAGATTGCGCGCGAGATCGCCATGATGAATATGCCCTATGCCCGATGAGGCGGCCATCGTCGCCGTGGCAATTGTTGGTGCGGAAGAAGGTTGTTCGGATGGCGGCGTCCTCCCCTGGTGGGAGACCAGTTGCCGCCCATATCTCGCGAACTTAGCAAGCACTCACGGTTCCTCGCATCGGATGTGTTCTCGCCGAGCACAACACATACTCTCACCCTGCCTCGAGCCTGGCAACAACGGACACATCGGGCACCAAACCTCACGCGACCCCATTCATCACTGGATTGAGATATCCATGGGAAATCCTCGGACCCAGACACAAGGCGGTACACGAATCTTACACTCAGCACGCGCACAGAAGAGCTACCTTTCTCATAATGACCGGATACGACATGATTCTCAGATCTCCTCTTTCTCATCTCCCTGTCTTTGGGCTTCGAATTATGGCCATTATTTTTTCTCTTCACTCCTAGCCATGGGGATTTCATCAGCCGACTATTTGGTCCTTAGCGTTGTGATTTCTTGTTCTACTAGCAATCTGGTTATGATATCGAGATGAAATGTGGGATCTCAAGTATTGGACGGAGGGACGGATGGATGGATGGGTATTACTGCGATCTTTTAAGCGTTCGGCTTTGTACGGCACAGGAGTCTGGGGATTGGTTTCCTTGGAAAATCCTGGGTATGGTATGGTTATACCGTGGCTTGGTTTTCATCTCTTGGGATGGACACCGGATACTCGGCCTGTTCATCACTTGCATCTTATCTTGGATATGATTGGGATTATGGTTAGCGATTTGGGTTGGATCATAGGCGGAATGGAAACAACATACGTGACAGCCTGAAATGGGCTCAGTGTGCGTTGTATCTCACTGCCTGGTTCTCTGGCTCAACGCGGCCACTGTTCACAACGAATGTTTTGCTCTGGTTCCCTCTCTTTTCCTGTCCCTCGACTTCTGGAGTGGCGGAAGGCAACATCATTGGGTTCCAGGACATGACGAAGGTTTGGAATGGGGTACGATGCCTCTGGGGAGCAACAATTCAGGGACGTCTTGATTCTTACTTTGTGTCCTTCCAAGTTCTTGTCTTGGGATGTTCAGCCGGCGCATGTCCTCAATTTGTAGAAAGTAGGAAACGGATGTCGAGCCAGCAATGTCATAATCAACAACACTGTTAACGAATACCCGCAATGCATTGCCTAGGCAATGCTACCGCTATCCACCACAGATCGCTTAGTAATCACGAATACTTGTGATAATACACAGAACTAAACACCAAACGCTATGCTCAGGGAGAGATCCCGCATCTCCTTGCCCATCCTGTTGGGTACTGTGCCGGTGACGCCAGAACCGAGTCCTTGCCTCTCTGTCATGAAACCAACCAACTAACCATAGAAGATTTTGCAATCATCCCGCGGAAACTTGTTTGACACATCTTCTCTGGTAGTGACTGGGGTTGGGGCTGGGCCATACAGGCTCTGCTCCTAACAATCTCCGGGATCGTAACCATCATAGGACGGTCTGAAATTTCACCTCCAGGCCTTCCTGACACATCATCATCTTCCATGGCGGCTTGGGATGAGGCTAGTCCATCCTGGTTTTGCTCGCAACCATCTCCAATATTTAGATCATCCCCGTGGTGACTTCCTGACACATCATTTTCTCCCATGGAGGCTTGGTTTGAAGCCGGTCCATCCTGGCTTTGCTCGCAGCCATCTCCGGTATTTGATCATGCCCCCGAGGAGTTCCTGACACATCATCCTCTCCCGTGGCGGCTTGGGTTGAAGTTGGGTCATCCTCAGAGTGGCTTTGCGCGTAACGATCTCCAGTATCTGAATCATCAGTAACCGAATCACTCGCCCCATCATCACCCACGCCCAAGTCTGAAAAACTGCCCAACAAGTACTCCTCAGCCGCATCAGTCACCGCAACAGAGGCATTCGGAGCATTGCCCTCTGCATCAACCAAATCTTGGCGAATGGAGATGATGTCGATTATCCCGGACAAATCCTCTTCGATATCGGTCAACACCTACGAACCGTATCCCGAGGAATCCATCTTATCGTTGCCGTCGAGAAAACTATAAGAGAGGCCGGTCAGTATGTGGGCTGTGCTACCGGGGGGTGGGCCTGCTCAGGACGTACGAATACTGCCGCACGAGGACGCCTTCTCCGCCGTTTTGCAGATCAATATTGTAGATGAAAAAGTTGCCGTCACTGGTGGCCACCATGATTTGGGGCGAGCTGCTGGACATGGCCACAACGCTGCTCAGAGGCGAACTATTCGGCTTCGGAATCTTGATGCTCGCAAAGTCGCGCTGCGGCTCCCATATTTCTGTCATTGACTGGGGTAGATAGGAGCCGACGGCACCGGCCACGCTGCGGGTCATGATGTTTGAGGATCGGCGAAGCATGCTCGCAAAGGTTCCACTCTGCCTCCTAGTGGCTGCGCTGCCCCCGTTGTTGCTGCTGGGGCCGGCCTCTGGTATATCGCTGCTAGGTGATGACCCGGCATTGCTGCTTGGCGAATACTCGCCGTTGTCGATGCTCCTAGACCGGGACCAGCGATTCATCCGAGGGGATCCCTGTGTCTCAGGCTCGGACGCAGCACCGCCTCCTGCATTGACGTTTTGCGCGTTGATCAGTCGGAAGATGTGGACCGTGTCCGAGGTGGACGACGACACGCACAGCAGGGTGGAACTGAGGTTGAACGACATGCTGCAGATGGTCGAGGGATAGGTGCCGCGGCGGAATTGAAAGAGCTTCTGGCCGTCCGGGACGGAGAAAACCCGCACGATCGTGCCGGTTTCGGATGCAGTGGCCACCTTGGTGCACTCGCTATTCAGCGCCACGCGCCACAGAGGCGAGCGGTGTGCTTCAATGACGTTGAGGGCCTTGCCAGCGACGGTGTCGTAGATGATGAGCTCGCCGGACGTGGGCGGCACATATTTGGAAAGAGGAGGGGCGTGGGCAGGCCGCCTCTCGTTCTGTTCCTCTCGCGGCTTGGGAAGCGGATATGCCATGTAGCACTTCTCTGACGAGGGCGAAAGAGCGAAGATAGCGTGCGGGTTCGGCGACGTCTCGATGGTGTTCAGCAACGCCATGTTGGATATGTCATAGAGGTAGATCTCCTGTTCGAGGACCACCGCCAGACGTTTCTTGTTCAGCCGGACTGCGAGAACAGAGGTAGGAAAAGTGAGCTCGCAGATGATGGAGCCACGCTGCTTGTATGTCAGGGCATGCTCCAGAGAGAAGCAGGGACAAGTCTCCCACTGACCTTGGTATTTTGTATTACCAGGTGGCGAGGAGAGCGGACCATAGCAACTAACGAGGTCGAGAAGAGCATTTCAATAATATTAATATTCCCTTCATCGCTGTTGAAGACTTTGGAGAACTGATCTGTGTGGTAGATGCGGAAACCCTTGGCGGTGCCGACAGCCAGACAGCTGTGGTCCTGATTGAAGGTGACGAAGTTGAGCCTGCTGCCCGACATGGTGCCTGGAGCTTATAGAGCCTGGATACAATCAAGTAAGTTCGTGTCGCAATTGCGGGATGTCTTCGGCAGCCTGATCTTTACGGGTGATTTACTGCTTGCGGTGTTCAGAAGTTGTTGGATGACAGAGAGACAGGAGCTCTGCTGCCTCCCCGGTTCTGGAACCCACATGCGTAGCTCCCCTGTCAAGAAGCTCGGACTCCAGATCGCCGCTACGGGGCAGTGGGCCATGCATTAGGTAAGGTACAATCCAGCCCTAGTTTGTTCGTTAGCGGAGCACATAGTAGGCATGCAGCAGTACGAATGGAAAACAGAATTGAAGAAATAACACTGAAGGAAGAAGATAAAAAGAAAGACATAGAAGATAAGATGAAAAGTAAGGGAAAAGATAGAAGAAGAGGAATACAAAAAAAAAGATGGAAAGGACGAAGAAGAGGAAAAGAAAGAGTGATATAACGTTAAGTGAAAGTTAGGAAGACGGAACCGGAGGTAAGTGCTGCGCTAACAAATTAACCAGGTCAAATTGTACCTAGAATGCTGGCTACCTTGGCGAGCACATGCATGATCTGCGTCGGTTGCGCAGGCTGTTGAGTGGGCCCCATGTCAACAACATCCATCTGGAGACAGCGACCGGCACAATATGTAAGGACAACCATCGCATGCTATGAGACAGCTTATCACGAGAAGAAAGGAACTTAGGTAAGGTATGATAGATTCCGAAGAAGGAAAAGTGACAAAGTGGATCACTATAAAACAGTAGCAAAAGTCAATTTGTGAGAGCCTGAGGAAGAGAGAAGTAACGCTCAGCTCGACTAGGTGGCTCGCAAGACATTCCTGATTATTAGTTACAGGTACTAGTACTCAATTTGAATTCACCTTGGTTGGCAAAATCCCCATCATGCATCCATTCCCGATAGGTACCTGAACTCACCAATGTCCATTGCACTAAACCCCTCCACATCCTCCATCAACCGCCCACCATGTCCCACTGCGAACGATAGATGGCTACACAGGGAATATGTCCACAGCATTGCCGTTACTCGTGGTTGTACCTGACTTGCCCGTCGCCCAGTGTTCGCGCAACCCCTCCCTGCCACTTCCTCCCTATTCCGCCCTCACCTACTGCTCGTGGTGACCATGATATTCCTGAACGAGTCCGAGATCTCGCTCACGGTAGGCGGCACATGGCGCTGCTCCGGCGCCGTCGACACCCCCTTTGCAAGCCTCGCCTCCATGAGCTTCAGCAGCACCGGCGGCAGCGTATCATCCGTCGCCCTGATCGTCAAGCGCACCATCTGCAAACAACACACACGTCAGTCAGTTTCCAATTAATAAACCCCGTCTCCTCCAACCACAACCCACCAAAGTCCAAAGACGAAAACTCACCTGCGTCGCATAATTGGGCTCCAACCGCAACAAACACCCATACTTGCCCCCCTCTGACGTATGAACCACGCTGGCCCCCACAAAATTCTTCTGATTTGGGTCCACGCCGTTCAGGACTCCCCACCTAAACCCTTCCACCACGCCCCTCACAAAGCTCTCCGTAATCTCCCTCTCGCCCGCTCCCTTAGTCAGCCCAAAGATGCGCTGCGCCTCGCGCGGCTCACCACCAATCTGCTTCCACCGCCTGAAGAAATCCTCGGCCGACAACTCAGCGGGATCCATGAACTTGTGTATCGTAACAGGCAGCATGAGCGTGAGCGCCTGCAGGGCGCCCGCGAGGTAGCTGATGCGGATGGTGGGTGCCTTCTCAAAGACGCGCTTGGCCTCGAAAACAATGACCTGCTGGGCCTGGGCGCCCTGGGCGAGGGTGGTATCGGGCAGGCCCTTGATGTCCCAGGTGAGCTTGCCCTTTTCCGACTCATCCAGGTCGAGGGTGGTGGTGAAGGACGAGATGAGAGCGGGTGTCTTGTTGGTAAAGTAGAGGATAAGGCAGGCCATTTGGCCGCGGTACTCGGACCGGACGCCCACCTGCAGCTGGCCGTCTTCGTAGAGGACCCCGTCTGCCCGGAGGAGGAGCCGGTTGAAGCCCCGCTCCCAGTTGGGCGAGAGGTGAGCTGCGCTGGCCAAGTTGGGGGGCTTGATGGTTTTGGCTTCGGCGGGGCCGAGGTTGCTCATGTCGAGACCGGCAAGGTCGTTGGCGGCTGAGGAGGACCCGTTGGCGGCGGATGCGGTGCCGTTGGCCTGGCCGTTGACGGTGAAAGTCCGCTTAAGACCTCCTTGCTTGGCCATTGTGAGCTCGCCCGTATCCGCATTGGCATCCTTTCCGCCCACAATCCAAGTCCGCTTGTCACTCGTCCGGGAGTGTTTCTGATGGAGTCTCGAGAGCAGAGCCGATTCGCGTTCTGGGAACGGCGGCATCTCGTCGCAGACGGTCCGGAGGAGGTCGTCCGAGTCCATGCTCGCCAATGCGAGATACTCGCATGCTCTTTGTTGGAGCTCCGGGTCAAGCGTGTGACTGTAGACGCTGAACACGTTGACGAGCTGCGGTTTGATTTCCGGGAATAGGTTGACATATTTGACGAAGCACGACAGGATCATGCCACGAGTGCTCGAAGAGCATGCCGGGAGCTTGTTCTGGAGCGCCAGGAATTGCTCAATCGGGCTGCACCCCCTTTCCTCGGCGATCAGATGCCCGAACTCCCCAAGAATGTAGGCACCGATCTTGACCAGCGTCTCGTGGCAGTGGTCCTGCTTGCAGTACTGGAGAGTGTTTTGCGCAGCATAGACTTGCAGCTCCTCGTTGTTGGAGATGATCTGGATCACTCTCTGCCACACCTCGTCGCTGACGTGGTCTCCGGCCATGGCAATGAGACGGAGAGATATGTCGACGTACCACTGCACATCTGTGGCATACTTCTCGGTCAAGATGGCAATCTTGAGCACCATCTCTTCCCTGATAGCAAAGTCTGCGTTCTGGAGGTAATGGAGCAGCTCGCCGACGACGGCACGGGCGTTGGTGGAGTCGCACATGCTGTACAACAAGTCGAGTCCCTTGCGCCGGACACTGATATCTCTGTCCTTGAGCGACCCGACAATGACGTCCTGGTGCTGCTTGATGGGATCCAGCGTATCCGCTCGCGCAGCGAGATGTGTCATGGCTTCGAGACCCAGGTAGCGCACATTGGTCTCTCTCGACTGAATGAACCGCCCGAGACGTGACGATATCTGCTTCATCAAGGCATGCTCGGTATCGAGATGGATGATGAGATTGATAGCCTCAAACAGCACCGCGTTCTGAGCATTGTTTTGCTGCACGTTCTTGACCGTCTCCAAGGCGAGGTCCAGGATCTTCTGGAGGGATTCGCGAAGCATGCCCCGAACGTGGCTATCCTCTGCAGGCCGTTAGATGGTCTCCTTTGCGAAGTCGTGTCAGCAGGGACGTACCTGAAGGCGGGAAATATTGCAGGAGCTTCAGGAGCTTGACTTGGATCCAAGGACAGGGCACCTTGTAGTACAGATAATCTGGCGAATATTCACCGTCAATGACGATCCTCTTCAGGCGACCGGCGGCCTTGGCATAGGCGCCCTTGTATTGTTCGAGGTTGTCTTGGGCCAGTGCCGTGACCAGGGAAGTCACGGATAGAGCAACACCCAGATCCACGTCGTCCATTAGTGATATTATCCGTTCCGCCCACTGCGGCTGGACAATCCCCGGGTGCTTGCGGTAAAGTCGGAGCAGTGTGAGGGCAGCCTTCTTCTTCACGAACGCCTTGGAGGTTCTGCCTCCGGTTAGCGAGCAATCCGAAATTACAGTCAGACTCTAAACTTACGGTGAAATTAGTAACCTGTGTACCTCCCCGCTCAGCGCCTCTCCCATTTCCCGGCCACCGACGTTTGCGATTGCGTGTAGCGCAAGGCAGTTGAAGAGCTCGTTGTGGTCTAGCAGATCCTTCCGGATGCTGTTGACGACAAGGTGTATCAGCTCATGTCCCTCGTGCAGGAAGAGCGTCATGGCAAGGTAACCAATCTGCTTTTCCGAGTACTTGGTTGCAGAGATGAGGTTCACGGCTTCAAGGTGTCCGAAATCGACGTTCCATCCAAGGATGTATATGTATAGGAGTTTGCAGACGTATTTCTTCTTGTGGTATCCGCTCAGGTTGCCATCTTTGAACTTTTGCCGGATGTTGGCCAGCTCCTTGTTGATTCGCTTCTCTTCCAGCTCGCGGGCACGGGCATTCCGAAGGTCGGCAATGAACTGGACCAGTCCGCGCATGTTGGAGTTGCTGCTGCTGGACCGGCCCAGGAAGCCGGTTGGGCCTGAGGACGACATTCTGAAGGGTCTACCAAAGCGTGGTTTGGTTGGGAATCGAGAGGGCGTGTTCGGAATCTCCAACCGAGTTCGGATCGGGCAATGTTCGCCGTCCGAGTTCGATGTCCGTCCACTTCGTTAGGACCCGTCCGGTGAAACTGGCGATAGCGACTAGGCAACGTGTGGCAAGCCGGTCAGAGAAGGTGCATCATCGTGGAAGTCGTCGACAACACGGGGGGTAGGATTTGAGGATCGCGGAGCAACGGAAGACCTGGTTCTTGTGGTCGAGTGGGCGTGCTGGGTCACCGAGCAGACGTCGCCTCAGCTGCCTGCATCTCCCTCTTTGACGCTCGTGAATTCGAGCGCGTTCGTTGGCCCTCTCTAGGAATATGGAACTCGGAAACGCGAGGATTAATAGGGTGCTCGGCAGCGATGATATGGTTCAGGGGCTGCTGGGTCTCAATGTCCACAAAAAGATGGAGGGCAAGCAGTGTCGCATTCGGATCATGATCCTTGAATTTCCCCACATGGCCGCCCGCACTAGGGTTACCTAGGCAGTAGGTACGCTCCCTCCGTACATTCGTGTGTACAGGCTACACAATCAGTCACGATTAACTCTGATAGTAGTCTAGTCCATTTGGGTCAATAACGGATGTGGCTTGTCATGTGGCTCATTCAATCCTCGGCTGCGCTCCGTATCTAATCGGCTTCAATATTCCTGACATCACATCAACGCGGGCGCGAAATGCCAGGCCATTGCCTGCCAGCACTCCGAGGATGCGGGTGAACGTTACCCGGGCCTGCCGGCGCCATACCCTACGCCCATTTACTGGAACCCTCTTCCCGAGGCGAACATATGCCTTCGAGGCACCGAGCGGCGCCGTATTCAAGGTCTTCAACAGCCGCGCAAAATGGCTGCAAAAGGAGCGATCTGCTGCCAACCCTGACCTCAGCCGGCAGGCCGACTATCTGAAGGATGAAGTCGCCATGCGGGTGTGCGAGCGTCTGTTGGTCAGCCTCTCACAGTTTCCCAATTGGCCAATATCAAGACTAACCCAAAGACCAGGACATCAAACGCCAGTTCCCCCGCGTCCTCGACCTGGGCGCGAACTCGTGTAACATCGCCCGCGCGCTGACCCGCGAGAACCCGGACCCAGAACCATCCACGCCCACTTCTCCTCCCCTGGCAACCAAAATCTCCGAACTCATCGCCGCCGAGTCTTCCTCCGCCCTCCTCTACCGCGACGCCGACCGCCCCTTCAACAATGAGCTCAACCTAACCCGCCACGTCCTCTCCGACGACGAGTCCCTGCCCTTCGAACCAAACTCATTCGACATGGTCCTGAGCAGCTTGTCGTTACACTGGATCAACGACCTGCCGGGCGTCTTGACTCAAATCAACAGCGTGCTGAAGCCCGATAGCCCCTTCATTGGCGCCATGCTTGGCGGAGACACGCTGTTCGAGCTGCGCACGTCTCTTCAGTTGGCGGAGCAAGAGCGGCGGGGCGGCATCTCACCGCACGTTTCCCCGCTCGCGGACGTGCGGGACGTAGGCGGGCTGCTGGGAAAGGCCGGGTTTCAGATGTTGACGGTCGATGTGGAGGATATTGTCGTCGACTACCCGGACACGTTCGCGCTGATGCAGGACCTGCAGGCCATGGGGGAGGGGAATGCGGTACTGGGGAGGGAGATGGGCGCGATTGGCCGGGATATCTTACTCGCGAATGAGGCGATCTACAGGGCGCTGCATGGGAATGAGGACGGGAGTCTGCCGGCAACGTTTCGGATTATTCATATGATTGGATGGAAAGAAGGCGGGAATCAGCCGAAACCGTTGAAGAGGGGGAGCGGGGAGGTGAGTCTGAAGGATATCTTGGAGCAGAAATAGGGGGTGGAAGCGCGCAAGGAGTAGTGTAAATTAAGTACGGGGCTCCAGCACATATCCTGTTTTGGAGTATTGATTGCACTCCCCGTGGGTTGCATGATAATTTGGCCGGTGTTTTGCAGCTAAGTATCAGTCAAGCAACGTCCTGATGCTGGGATACCGCCTCGTGTTCCAAAGGTCACTTAAAACTCATCACAAGCGCCACCGCCTCTATGAGTACCAAGGACTAGTTTAAAAAGCTCTAATCATCGGCAAATCACAATTCCTCAACGCCATACTAAGTCTTTTATACCCTCCGCCAGTCGGTCATGACCCGGCCTATGCACCCCAGCCCCGCCACCTCCACCACCTTCTCGTGCCAGCTGAGCAGCACGCTCATGGCAGCGCCCGTCGATTCGGCAGAACCGCCAGGCCGCGGGCCGATCTGGCTGAAGCCGGTCGGCTGGGGCGTCATACGTGTCGGTGTGCGCGGCGCGCCGCCGGTCGAAGAGGACGTGGCAGCCATGCCCTTGTATCTGTTGGAAAGTCAAACCATTGTCAGGCCATGCACTCCCAAAGAATTGCGTATAATATCGTGTAACGCACAGATACTTCATCAACACATCCAAGCACTCACTCCCCCCGGGACTGCCATAGATCCGCTGCAGCATAGGAGTCATGTCGCTCGCCTTGATGCTCTGCAGCACCTCGATGACGGTCTGCAGGGCGGCCTCGCGCGCCAGGTCGTTGCCGCCGTAGGCGGGCGCCTCGAGACAGCCGCGCAGAGCGCCCTCGGGGTCGCCCCCGCGCAGCAGCTGCCGCACCTGGGCCTGTAGCTGCCGCACGTCGGCCTCGCTGACCTCGGGCTGCGGGGGCCGCAGCGTCGCCGTGTCAAAGTTGACCGATGAATCCTCCTGCAGCGTGTCGATGTTGATGGTGCGCCACGCGTCGCTTAGCGTCGCCTGCGTGTGCTCGCGAATGATGGACATGTTTGCGTGGGGATATTCGGTGAGGTCGGGTGTCGTTGCGCGGTGTGTGCTGTTCCTCGAATTCGGGAAGAGACTTGTGGTTTTCCTTTGTTTGGATTCGGAAGGGAACTAGGAGGTAGGGAGGATGGGCGGGTGCGGTTTTTCTCGTTTGTCCAGAGGTGTTGTTGGCCTGTGGAGCTTGTGGTTTGGCAAGAGCAATGGCTTGGGGGGGATTGCTTCGTTCAGGTTGAACTTGAAGCTGCAAGAAGCAGCTAAGCCCCGCACTGCAGCTGCTGTGGGGCCGCCGGAGCCCACCTCGACGACGGGACCCGCCCGGAGCCGGAGCTGAGGAAACGGGCCATGCCGAGCCGGGGCCCGGAAGTCGAACATGGTTGCAACACGGTAGATGGACAAACCGTTCATGTTTGTAGAATATTGTGTCAATCCTTCGGCCGCATAATTCCATGACCGGGGTATTGTATCTTGCGACTGGGATGACGGATGTTCCATCTGCAGACAGACAAGCCATAGTACTCAAAGAACCTCGGCCGACTACACGCAAGATCGTACACGAAGGACGCCTTTAATATCTCTAGGAAGAATTTATGGCTCAGTCTACAGCAACTGAGGAAGTTGGGGACGATTCGGAAAAGCTCCCTCCGTGTATGCCCCTATTTATTGTCTGCAGTTCTAGGACGTCGACCGCTCAAGCAATTTCACCGCCTGGGAGGTCTTGTCAGAGCGAGTATACCCCCGTGTCCTTTGGAGATTTAGTAAGTGACGGTGCCTGCCAACTCACACGAAGCACAATAGCAGTATCTTCTCCGGCCGATAGAGAGTCCTTCTCCATGCTCGACATCAGCAACGATGCAAGAGGATAATCCATCACATCGCCTCAGCAACCTGCACTAGACTCTCTGCATCACTTGTTGGCAGAATGGTCCGTTCGGCTCTCCCTCTCAATTCCTGGGACCGATCAGGGACGTCGACCCGGATATAATAAGCGGTACAACGAGCCTGAGGCGGGTGAGGACTGCAGCCAACCATGTGTCTCGCATCCTCGCCGTATCGAGCATGGATCTGTCACCACTGGGCGTGCCGCCATTTTCCATCCACACGCTTGAACGCCACACTGCCTTATCATCAGCCATCAAGCCGATCAACTCAGCGAAGCTATCTACCATCTCCGAACCCTACAGTAGCGCATACTTGCTGGTTGTCCCGTGCCATCGAAAACAGTCAGCGAAAAAGCCATTCAAGGGGGGGGGGGGGCGAGAACACCGAAAACACTGTCACGTAGTCTTCCCTTGTAGTCACTGTGTACGCAAACCGAACTATATCCCGGGTGACAGCGAAAACTCTTGTCCATCTCCTTGCCCACGCCCATGGCCCATGCCCCTGAGGATCACGATTATTCCATGTCCCCAGACCAAAGCCATCACCGCGCGCATTCAACTCCCTGGCACCGCATTCCATCACTACCACAGTAGGGACTGCGTAACGTTAGGGGTACTCGCCCCCGTCCGATCCCCCGGCCCAAAGCCCCACTCCGGGTTTCACCGTCCGCCTCGTCTCGCATCACCGTCATCATGTCACCAGTCCCTGGTACACACTCTGGCGAGGCGCATCGGCACGTGGAGCGCTGGCTTGGGTCTTGTGGACCGGGACCGTGTGTTGGGAAGCAAGAGGCTTTTCACCTGGCGACGTGACGGTTGCAAGTGGGGGTCCGAAGCGCTCAGTCAAAGGGTTCGGTGGTTGAATCACGAGTCCATCAGATTGACGAGGCAAGCTCCGTTTCCTGGAACTGGGCGTATGTAACTTAGTGAGTGACTTGCCTCAGTTGTAACTCGACTGCTTTTCATCCTGTTGATTATCGCTCCTCCGGTATCTTTTTCATGGTTTTATATTCTCGGTTTGACTGAAGCTTGATTTTGTGTTTCTTTTTCTTGGCCTGATTGGTGTCTGCGAATTGCCCGAATTGCCAAGAGGGGGAAAAAGAAGAAAAGGGGAAGCAGGTGGTTGGCAAGGCAGTGAACAGAAAACTGACGTATCATCAGCCAGATTTTGGCGACGACAGAGCTGATTGTCTGCGATCCAGATCTCTGGGACCAGGTGGACAGAAGCAGCAGCCAGGCAAGAACTGAAAACGGAGGACGGCCTCAACCGTGGAGGTGAAGCAAAACGGTACGGACGCTTAGGAATGAGATTCAAACCTGAAAGAGGAATCGCCATGGAACAAAAGTGGGTTTCTTCTAGAACAATTTCCGCTGAATTGACTGAAAGGATTTCTGAAAGGAAGCCTGACAAAGCTAATCTTGGCTGCAGAGGCTCTTTCATTGATCTACCAGGGCAGATGGACGCTTCACTGAATTGCCGAAGCCAACAACAAAGTCCAAGAAGCAAAAGATGAGCGATCACCAAATGCCTACCAACGTGCCATGCCATTCATATTTTGCTGCCCAGAAGAGCAATTCCAGGTTGGCTGGGCGCTGGGCCAGACGGGACGTGCCCTTGCTGTGTCCAATGCAAGCCTAGCGTTGCGGGCCACCCATCCCACCGGGATCGCTCCGCGGGTCCGAGCGCTCAGTTATGCGATGGCGCTCGGGATCAAAAGTGGGCCGCGCCGCGACGTCGATCGGCGTGAAGGGGAGCCGCACAAGCGAATGATGGCTCAGCGGCAGGGGCAGACAGATCAGTGCGTTTGTTAGCGTAGCGTAAACCGTGAAGAAAGGAAGTACAGTTTCAGAAATGACGAGTCGTCTGTTGGCCCCTGTTTTGCAATCAAGAACGGGCAGTTGAACATGATGTAGAGATTCGATAATATTGGGTGGGGGGTTCATCTCATCTCAAACAAAACGGCAGGAAGTCCATTGAGAGCCCCCACGCAAACTGCAAAACGGTACTCGTACGGAGGTACATATAGGTGAGCGGATCAAGTGGGATGAACGGAGAGCGCGCGGAGACGCTTACTCGGTGAAGTACTGTGTAAAAGGGGAAGCCCTGCTAAACGCTCCCCTTCTATATCTCTCGGGTACTGTACAAGGACAATTCGGGGCTGGAAAGTGTAAGTGTCGTCACGCCATACGCTGCACATGGCGAGATAGATGCGGCGCAACGGGTCGAAATTATACTCGGCGCGGCAGTGGCAGTGCAGCATGACGGCAGGAGAAAGACCTAGTCATCTTGCTGCATCATCTCATCCACAACGCCGATTGTCGTGCGGATCACCATAATACCTTACAGCATAATGACCGTGGGCTTCGTATTGGAGTGATACATGCTGGTATTCGAGCTTCTGGAAACGAAAGAGGACGGGAATCGAGATGAGGCTTGCAGCTGCAGCCACATACATAGCCCAGCGCTCGCAGCTGAGGCTGTGTGCAAAATCTCCTGTCCAGCCAGACGTCCACCCGCCGTATGGCATGAACTCCACCCAGGTGAATGAATGCAGGCGAAAGCTGAAACGGAAGTGAAGTGGAGAGTGGAATTTGAGCAGTGGGCCTTTGGTTCATGTGAATGTCAGAGCCCACACACACCCCGCCCGGCGGTCGTTCCCGGTGCAGCAGACATGACCCAGGACCGTAGTCCTGGGAACCTGTCTGGATCCTCCTCCCCCTTGAAGCGTGCATTAGTGCCATTTTGGTGCCTGCGGTGTATCCGAGCCCCTGGATCTTGGACAGTAGGATGATAACTAACTGATTGATATCTGCAAAAAGCTGCAACCTGCAAAGGAGGGATAATAGGGTATCGGTACTTGGGAGTTTATCTTTTCTTCCTCACACAAGGCTTCTCGCCGTCCCGGTCTGGGGTGACATATTTCCCCAACATCCTCTCCGCGACCATCCGGTAACCACCCTTGGTGCAATACAGGATAATACCCAACCTCGGGTTACGTTAACTATTCGGCAGCCTTCGTGTAACCCGCTGCCCTGACTAAAACCCACTCGCTCCCGCGTACCGATTAACACAGTCTGTCCATTAGACGCATCTCGCCCCTTTCTTGCCCAAACCAGCAATATGACCCAGCCCAGACGGCGTCGCGGAGTCCGCTCCGGCCTTCCCGGGCCTTCCAGAAAAAGTGCCATCACCAGAGTCAGCAACTAGTGCCGGCACTCAGAATATCATAGCACCTAGACGAGACTCGGCCCTTTCGGAATCAAGGTTCCATTCCGAACTGCCATCCCATGGCGCACGGCGGCGCATGGCTACCGCGGCGCAGACACAACCCGTGGGCAAGGTCCATGGTCATCGCGTAGTACAACCGCGATGAGGCCGGGCAAGGCCTGAGAGTTCATGTCAGTTATGGCTCGGGGTGACTCCGCTCGTTCGAATAGGATCTTGCCTTTTGGATTTCCCGTGTCCAAGTCCTGCTTTTATGCTCATGCGTCTTGGTTCTGTGCGAGTCAAAAAGCCGGAATGGACTCGAGTCCTCTCATTCGCGGCTTGCCAATTGCCACGAAAATCCGATTCGGCTTCGTTGCTCATGGAACCGCACCTCCTTCAAGGGCCCTTCACAAGACAGACTTCAAACCACTCCATTGCTTTTTATGCAGTCTGGGCTGAGCTGTCATTGGTGGCACTGATCTCGAGAGCTTCTGCTTCCAAGTGCGTCAACGAAAGCCAGGAGAACCACTCATCAGCAAATACTCATAACTTCAAGCCGAGATCTCAGCCGTGTAGCTACCGCGATTCTTATGTGTTGTACATCTTGTCTAAACACAAGGGGGTATCTTCGTTGATGGATCCAGCCCAGCACCCTTCGTGGCCTGAACGCTAAACGCTAAAGAGAAAGCCTCCGCTCCAAGCAGCTTGTGTACAATGTTGAAATATGGGGCGGAGCAAGAAAAGGGAGTCATGGACGTGTGCGGATGGCCCGTCCCCGCGAGGAGACGCAGCCATCAGAGAAACAAAAAGGTGGTACATGAGTAGAAAAAGAAAGGAGACAAGTCTATATGCCAAAACAGTTCTTTTCCCGCCGCCACCTCCCTAATCTTATCCGCCCGTAAACAGCCAAAATGCCATACCCGTTGAACTGCGGAAAAAGGGGAGAAATAAGAAACAAAATGGTGCGCCTGCTTCATCCCATATTCAATGGGCCCGTCCTCTCCCAGTGATCGATACGGTCAGAAACCGTGCATGATGGTGAAATAAAGACAACCGAAGGCGTTTGTCGAAATCGTGGCTGGTTGAAGAGTCTAGATATTAAGCGGTTGAGATCGGTAGGGTCGGGACGGCGTCGATGCCTAGGATTGCAAGTGTTGTGCCAGCTGCCTGTTATGCTGGCACCCCGTTGCTGGGTAATGCGCCGAAAAAGATCCGAAACGAGAAGTGACCACGTCGCCGCCGAAAAACCCATAGCCCGCTCCGTCTATTTCTCTGAACGCCGTGCAATCAAAAGCGAAACGAAATACCCGGAATGAAGCCTCCCTGGATTACCCTAATTCCTGCTGCTGGGAAGCAAGTGGCGGCGAGCCGAAATATCTTTATCGTCTGAGGGATGGTGATTAAAATGTTGTATCGAAATGCGAATAGGCCGCGCCGTCGCGGGCCATGGCTCGAAGAATGGCGTAGTTATGTTGGATTACAACCGAGTGTCGAAAGGAGTGTGAATTTAGACGGCGATTGTGCCCAGGAACTGGGCGACAAGTTACCATCTGATGTCGTTGTCGCATGCGGTGGATTCGCTGGTATGCGCCTTTGAAATCAAGGGATGCGCATCGCTGCGCGCTCCCATTGTTCTCGGCGTGTAGATGTTACCGAGGCTTGGGCGGCGGCGGCTTGGGAACACCTGTTGTGTCGTACGCCCCACGGCCAAAGTTGACTTGTTGTTCTGACCCTGAGACGGCCATTACGACAGATCTGATGGGAGGACGAGAGGTGGAACTGCGTGGGAGGACATGCATATTAGCGATCGAGTCCACTTCACCGGTATGAGTACGCCAACTGGCACGGGAGTAAGATCGGCGAGATTCCGGAGCCAAGGCCCCGTTCAATCAAAGCCGAAATTACTTCTCAGCTCAAGCAACAGTGACTCACATTGTGCGGAAGCCCGTCTGAAAAACCAATGTGAGCGGCGCAACGAGTGCTGGAGTAATGAAACGCTTGGGGGCGATGATGTGACGGAGCGGGATGCCCGGCCGAATCGTTTGCAAGGCCAGATAAGCGCACTCTCGGCGTGATGCCTGGTATCACTTAGACTGGTGGGTCGCAACCGGCGTGTGTGAGGTGTCGGTGCTGCTTGTAGGTGTCTGTTGTGCTTTTGTTCGGGCCCTCCTGTGATCGGAAATGACGGCTTTCGTGATGGTCCTGCGGTGGTTTCAAGTACAGCGTGAGGAGTCGATGTCAGAGTCGCGGGAGAATGAACAAATAGGCTTGGAACCAAGTCAATAGAGTGCCAACTGGCTACCAGGAGAGAAGCCCACAAGATGAAACTAGTGAAGCGTGTGGGAGGATACGATGGAAATCCAAGGAGAAGGACACGATGGGGAAGGGGAGCCGTCGGGCTTATAAGAAAGGGATGGGATTGCTAGGAGGCCGGGAAACGAAATGGCGACCATTCTTTTTTTTCTTTTCCCCTGCTCCTGCCCTCCCTGCACCCTTGACCCTGGTGTTGGTTTCGAGTCTTTCAGGTACGGTACCTGACAGCGAAGTACTTTTACCCCTGGGATCCAATACTCCGTTTCAAGTCTTGGCGGCATGGGGGTTCCGTTTGAGGGAACTGATTCCTATTCTGTCAGTTTCTTTTCTGGCAGGGCATGTTGAGAGCCCGGCGGAAGGGCTCGGCGGAGTGCCCATGACATGGATATGGCCGCTTGAAGCTTGGTATGTGGTTCCTGTGTACTCGTACCTGCCTCTCCCGGCCTTTTAGGTTCAGCACCGTGACCACAGTACATCTTCGCGACGACCGGATGATGTGAGCAGCACATGCACTGCGGCTGGGAAATAGTCCTCCTTACAAGCGGAGCCACTTCGCGAACATAGGTACGCTGCAGTTCCTGAGACCGCCTGATGCTCCGGCATCCATTCATCTAGTTCGCGTGCTGGTCAGAATATCCAAGTGCGGTCAACAGTGGGTCCGTGGTTCAAGATGGTAAAGAAAGCCGCCTGCCCGGGAATAGAAGTCTTATCTGGAAGAGTTACTGTATAGACGTGTTCAAGTTGCCCGTGTGGTCCGAACCTAAAGGAAAAATTTTCGCAATATAGCAGACGGGTTACGTCGTAAGATCCAAGGGGTAGAAGGGAATGGATGCGACGGAACTGGCCAAACACTGTCGACATGACCGGGCAGAGATCTGTGCTGACATCCAACACTGCAGGCACGATGGGGTTGGCGGCCCCCAAGCCTTCCCAAACGGAGAAGCCTGCAAAGGCCTGAGTGTTCAAGAGGGAAAGCACCGCCTATGCGCAGGTCGAAATTGGAGATACAAGAGCCTGACGTCCCCAGTTTGCGATGGGTCAGATCCGTGGACCACTCGCTGGGGCCAAACCCTGGCTGTGAATCGTCACGCCGAAAAGAGCCCAGCCGCCCACCCATACTGGAATTTTCGCACTCCACGACAACCAAATAGCAAAACTTGGTACTTGCGGGAGGCATGCAAAAGCGGAAGAGAGCTGCATCCTCGAACGCTTCTTTCGAGGTGCCATCAACCATTCGAAAAGCAAAGGGAACTAATATCTTTTGGTTCCGTTCCGATAGGAGACCTGCATCCGACCTGAGCAAACGCAAAGGAGCCCTCGGGCCGTTGCGCAACTCTACCCATCTCCAGCTTTGCCGTCTCAAGCTTTGCTAAGCCGACTTGCGAGTCGTTTTCAACCCCGACTTCCCCTTTTCACCTCCCCGTCTTCCAGCCTTTCTTCCCAACCCTCTCCCGTGGTTTAGGTGCACAACCGGTTGGTTGCGCATTCGCTGGACAGCATGACACCATCTCAGGCCGGATCGACGCGCCATGGCGATCAAGAGCCGTGTCGGCTGCGTTGCCATTCCGGACATTGAGACACTCGAGGCACGCCCAGTGCCAAATTTCCCATACACCCAACACATCCCCCGGATAATCCATCATGCATATGAGAGCTGCTGCGGGTTGCTGCGGGATGTCGTGGCACTGCATCCAATGCGTTCCTATTCTTAGGGCTCGCCCTGATAGCGACAACACCCTTCCGTCGCAGTGTTGGCTAACTAGAGTCCACGTTTCCCGTCGCACACTGAGGCTTGGTTTGGGCCCCGGATCGGTGGCTCCGTGTACATGACACCGGCCTTGGACGGGCATCCGTCAGCCATCCAGTCCCAGCTCGCCGATGACCTTCGGCCGTCGCCGCAACCAAAGAGAACACTGAGTCCTGAACTTTGACCCCCAGAACTTGCGGGGACGATGTACACTGCCCGACGACGCCGGCGTCATCATGCATCCGGGACGCGGGATCAGATTTCACCAGCCATTTGCCCGGGGTGCCTGGCTCCTGCATCGTACAATCACCGGTTGTGTGATGAAGACGTTGATAGGCAGGCCTTTTCCACGTATGCGCCCTCGCATGGATGTGTATCATGTGCCTTCTCCCCAGTTGGCAAATATGAGGTCCTGTCACACTCATCTCCAACGGCCACTGGCGATGTCAGCCCTCGCAAACTGGGCCCGGATCCGAAAGTCAATCGAACATAGGGCGCCCAAGACATCGATAGGTAGGTTTGATGACTCAACCGAGGCTGTGATCTGCACCTTTGGGTCAAAGCCGCAGTGTGTTTGCCGAGACGGAGAAATTCATTGGCTGCCTGAAGGCTCCGAGTAGTACCGCCGTTGCGGGGCGGTCCGTCGGAAGGAATGGCACAGGTTGTGGTTGTGTCGTGTCTTGACGAGCGTCGTGGCCCAAACGCAAGGAAATGGTTGGTTTCCGACCGAAATGATGCATGCATCAACAAGTACGGGTCTAACGTCTGCTGGCACAGATTTCTCTGTTTCCGCCACCCGATACGGACCAGAAAGGTATCATGCAACGACAACGGGACTCGTTGGCATGGCGCCGGGTTGACATCATGCAAAACCCGTGAGCTGAAGAAGATCGAGAAACCTGCTCCGAGGCAGCGGCCGAAGGTACGGGGAGGCATCCGACGCCCAGGTCGGTTGCCGGCATCGTCATCGGCAAGTCGGCGGTGTACCAAAAGGCCAAGTCGCAGCATGCGGCCGATTCGCTGGCTCCTCCCGACCAAGGTGAAGAGGTCGGAAGTCATCTGTACGGTCTACCCTACATGACAAGATCAATGCGATGATGCCCAACCTTTCCTTCAGCGTGCGGAACGGCAGAAGCATTGTGTGGTTGCATATCTGGACATCTCAACCTCCCCCATACCCAACACCCCCACATGCGTTGGAGCTCAGCACGCAGGCTGAACGGACCATCCGTTCAAGCAATATCGACAAACCGAGATCACATGTGCTAGCGCGCTTTGTTTCAGGCGGCATAGTGCCGCGGCTCTACGCACGAAGTCGCCGATGTTGCGTCCGTACGGGACGTTGGCCACTCGGTATCTCTCTACCACATGCATCTTTCCTCCTTCAGGCTCGAGCGTTGGGGCTGTACAGAACACATGGCGAACAGGCGGCGAGCTGAACCCCGTCCGGCATACCCTTAGCGGATCCGAAGCTCTGGAATGCCACAGCCAATTTGGTTGGAACTATCAAGAGTCCCACGAATCGACTCTTCTGTTGGCCGAAGCGTAGGAGTGCAAAGGGGCGTTTGCTTTGCACAGGATTTCGGAATAATGGAATATTGATGTATCACCAGCCCCTCCGAGACATGTCCCGAGACAGCAGGGCAGCTTCAGAGCCGGTGACCTGCGACGGCCTCACGATTGAGGCTCTCCCCAGAAAGCGTACCTCTCTTGTCGTTCCCAAACTACCGACATCCGCGACAAGGGAAGAGACCGAAGAAGGGAACGAAATGCCCGGTTCTGGGCAAGAAGCAGCTCATATTCTTTCGGATGAGCAAGCCGGGCAAGCCTCCTGTCCCACAAGCCGAACGTGCATTGCCGCGTCGTTCATCGATCGTTTGACCATCGGCGCTGGCTTATCTGCAAGACCTGTGGCGGCGTTGACTTGGCAGCCGAGCAATGGACGGAGCTGTTCCGTCCTCTTTGCAGTGACCCTTGCTGAAAACCCTTCTAGAAACATGCTAATCTCTGACAGACCAGGGCTCAAAACGATCAGGGCAGCCGAGGTGGAACTTCTCCATGACGCATTCTCGACGAGCGTATGCATTGTACAATCTCTACTTACAGTCTGTTCTCGGTTGAGTTGGTTGAGAAAAGACTGTACTTGTAAACGTGTACTGTGACCCTCACGAGGAGCGATCACAAAATTCCTAGGGTCTAAGACCCGGCAACGGATACCAAATTGAGCCATCCACAAAGCCGAATGGATTCTCATTGTCATCAGACGTGAAGGCTTGTGTCTCTAGGCGTCGCAGTTCATCAATCAACTTTGTGGGAGCAGCTGGAATAGCTCCTGCTGTGCGATGATGCGCACAACTTCGGACTCGGGTTCTTTCGGTAAGTCATACGCCGTCTCCCGATAGATCACTCCGAGCTGACATCATATCCCGGAGGAGACTTGTTGGGCGTATGCCGCACATGCAGTGGACACACAGAAACTCGTGCTGACAGCGCACGAAACACCATCCCAGCGTTGTTGTCCTGCGGCTGCATTGTCTTCTACGAGCCAACCTTTGGCTATGAAGCAGAAGGAGAGGGCAGGGTAAACGAGGACCAGAGAACAGTTATTCAGCAAATCACCCAGAACAGGAACCTGAAGCTCGGAACATTCCCTTGCTCTCCGACCAGCCGATTGTGGATGAAGCAGACCCGGAACGTCGCTGATGGGGCAGACAGCAGCCTGGTACAGTAGAAGTGTACATACAGTACTGAGAAAGATGGGAAGGGCACGATACCACCTGAAAACGTGCTTGGACCCTTCCCGCACGGGTCGTCCTTCCGGCCCTGCCTGGCAAAAGGCCCACGTGTGGTGGTGCCACAGATGGGGGAGTTGAAGCAGCTGCTCCGTACATCCGTACACAGTACAGCACTTAACACAGTATTTTACTCCACTGACGTCTCGGTGACCTCCGTTGGCCGAAAACGCTTCGTCTTACCGTCAAACAAGACCCCTGACGCGACACACGCTGGATCCACGCGGGCCCGATAATGATCGTACCTGCATTAGCCCCCAGCAGGCGCACTGCAAGTTGACATCAGCGCAACGCCCGAAACACAGCAGCTTTCCTCCGACCTCCTAGGTTTTCGTCACTTTTTTAATTATGCTCCCCCAGCTCGAGATGATATTCGGGGAGGCCGTTTGCCGTTTTCTTTGTCTACAGGCGATTCGTTGATTTTTGTCTTGAAGCGCAAATCAAGACCGCAATCATGTCCGGGAACTGATGAAGCTGGCTATGGTTTGTTGGTTTGAGGGCTTTGCCGCAGGGGAAAAGAAACCCTGTTGAAACACCAGTCAACACGAGCCGATCATGCGGGTCTGCATAGGCGAAGCAGGCGCTTGAGGTGATCTTCCTATTGATCCCCCGCTAACCACTGAGAATCCCGCTCCTCGCCGTGCAGATGGACTGAGGCTTTTCCTGGCGCATCCAGATCACATCATGTGACGGGATGCGTTGGTATGCAAGAACATTTCTCCCCAAGCGGCCAGATCTTTCACTTGTCTCAAGCATCATTGCCCGCCTGTTTGGCTTTGCGGCCGGACTCAGGATGGTCTCAGCAGCATCAAAAGGCGACAGCGGCTGGATAGGTGCGCTCTGGGCAAGCCATGTCTCTCATATTGTGACCGTCCGAACATGAGACGGATCGTACCCTGAAAAGCCATCTAAGATCACGGATGGCCGGCCTAGGCACCTCCGTACAGATATGCCATTTCATTACTGGTTCAGGTAAAGATGGGCGAATAACACAGGTAGTTCATGGCCGTTTTCTTGGGGCAAGGGGAACGACGCAAGAGAGCAGAAGAGGCGTAAAGGGGTTCACGGGCCTGGCAAAAACGGAGGCTGGGTAATGAGCAGGCCCACTGTTGGCCTCGCTAACGCTCAGATCCAAATTTCCAGAAGACCCAACGGAACATCACGCGGCGATGCCGCTAGGCTCCTTCAGGAGGGCTGTCCACTCGCTCCCGGGCGTTCGGTGACCGAAGCTCCACTGACCCACGCCTGCAGCTTGGCTTGGCTTCGGGACTGGTGGGGACAGAAGTGGCTCCTGAAGGCCGCGTGCATCGAGGAACTGTCCCCGCCGCGGGCAGGTGCTGCGAACCGCATAGGTACACGTGTACACAGTAGGGCAATGAAAGCTGCCTGTATGTTTGCTACGCAAGCTGAACAGCGATGACGGGAAATATCCGGACAGACGGACGGTACGGTACCGGATTGTTCTTGTACATATGTACATTCCGTTCATGCCCACCTCCGGGTGTGCACGACCTGAACGAGATGAGCTCGACATGGGGACAGGAAGGCGGCAGGACCAAGACCGGCAGCGACCCCGTTGTGGGGGAGAGGAACACTTTTGGAAGCCTGCGTGGAAGGACCCAAAAGGATTGGCACACCGGTCAGGTCAATACTCTTCTCTGTTTGGGCACGGCTTACATACCGGTACCTGGCCGCGCCCCAACGATAACTCATCTCTCACCTTTCCTCACCTGATGAGTGTCACCTCATTTACCCCGGAATGTCGTATCCCAGGGGCGTTCTGACCGTCAAACGGCGCCGCGTGGGACCGGCAAAGAATCCCGTCTTTGCAGCCAGCGCAGCAAATCCGTCATGCTGCCGGGCATTGCTCGGTGCAGAAAATTTTTTTTACTTTATTTTTCCCTGCCATGGATGTCTTTTTCTCATTGCCTGGGCACACCTGACACATGCACCAATCTAGGAGGCCCTACCAACAAACTAAGGACGAGCAGCACCCGGCTCGGCGAGCCGGGGGCTGGGCCTTTTACTTCTGTAACTACCGCAACGGAGCCAACACTGCGGCAGGCAGATGACTGAGGCTCTGTCACTGCCTTCGAAGTTGTGTCGATGGATTGCCGTTATCTGGCTGGGCTGAGCTGATTATCACCCCACTACCACCAACACCACCAACAACAAATCGCAAGCCATGGTAACGTTACCCACCAACAAGAGAAAAGACCACATCCCTGATAGGGATGAATCCCGGCAACCAGAATGAATGACAAACAGGCACACGGACGGGCCTGAGTGAGAGAAAAATCGCGCTTGTTGCCCTCTTGAATACGCCGAGACGACCGGCGCTCGGACACCGCACTTTCAGGCCCTGCCCGGTAAGGTGCCCGACTGGCTGGCTAGCTGGCGGACGGATCGCCGGCGACACAACTAGATCCTTCGTCCAGTTCAAGCGTCCTATATAGCTTGGTACTATCAAGGAGGTTCTGAGACTTCGCGGCTGGTGAGAGTGGTCGATTAAGTATCCGGGTTTGGCGGGATCTTTCAGTGGGTTGGTGAAATTTGAATGTTCCGAACAGTGAGGATATCAACGTTACAAAGGCGTGGACATTTGGCGAGTTCCTTTGACGTCAGGCTTGCCGGAAGCGGATTTACAGTACGTGTAAGTTGAGGCCAGAGGTGCCCGGCTTGGTACGGTAGCAGGTGTATGTGGATGTGATAGCAGGCACGGAGCTTGACTCAGTCCTCCTCCACTCCGCCCAAATCTTCTGAGCAGTCTTTGTGAGCCGTGTATCTATCTTGTGGCCTGGGGGCTGCGTTGATGAGCTAGACGACGGTGTCTTCCCGGTTACTCCCGGTTACTCAAACGGGCAGAAGCTTTGACTTCGCTCCAACGTCCGGCCACCCAAATGTTATTCCCATCCCCACGGGGCCAGAAGTGACACCGCCGTGCACCAGCAGTGATCCCAAGCCAATATCCTCCCCCCCTCCTCCTAGGGAGCATCTCCCAAAAGATAACCTGGGCAAAAGAAATGCGTCAGCCGCGAATCGAACGCGGGGCCCATCGATGGCAACGATGGATTTTACCACTAAACCACTGACGCTGCGATTTTACCTGATTAGGAAGCGCAGTTGTATTTCCTATAGCCTTGCGCAATGCCTTGAAATCCGGCCACTGACCAGCAAGCTTCCTCGTGCTCGATGACAAATCGATGGAGTATTGGTTTCTTAGACCACATTCTGGTACAAATCAATACATCCCAGCATGAAGTTTACTGTTCTCTCGCAAGGAGAGGAATGGAAAGGGGACGAGGATGAGGAGCAGAGAGGGAGCTGAGAAGGGGATTCGAGTCTGCAACAAAACATCCAAAATAATCAGACCAAAACAGATGCTCTACCAAAACCACTTGTCAGCCCAAAGGCTACGAACGGAAACAGGCTGTCATAGTAAGCAGCCCGAGTTCTGTTGCCCCTACCTACCAACTGAGGCCATCATCCCGAACGCAGCCTGGTTGCTCTAGTCGGACCTCCCAGAGCCCAACACTTCCTTGTGTGGTTGATCATCCCCTTCATCACCTTATCAGATGACACCGCAGTCGAATGCATGAATGACAAGATGAGTGTTTTAGGACGGGTTGGACTGTGATGCATGTCTATCTGGTCTCAGAACTTCCCCTTTCCGCGCAGCAAAACCACCATACATCCGACCCGATGCAACAAAGATGTACTGTATGTACTAATGCAAGCAAAAAACAACCCCCTTGGCTTTGGCTCACTCTACTCCTTGGCGGCTTTGCTTTGCCCTTTGCCCTTTCGTTCCCAGATGCCCAGACCCAACCCCCAATAAACAAATCCCATTGATCAGAACGCCTGGCTGATGGAAAGAGTCGACAATGACCCAACGAAATCGAGGATCGATGAATTACAACAGGTGAATGATCAAAAGGGAGTTTCATTTCCGCCTCCTGGCCTTCATAGCCCCCTTCCTTGCGTTTGCCTTCCCTTCCTTCCACGGAATATAACTTTATGAAGCCCTCCTGCCCGGCCACGTGCTGGGCTCGCTCCCTTCCATTATGTCTGAACCATGCCGTGCCATGGCGGAGAAGTCGAGCGCTTCTTTCTTCTCCGTGGGCCCCGCTATCGAGTAGCCGGTTATGGCTCCTGGCTAGGTGCTGAATGTACAGGTATCCTTCTGTATTGTCGAATGTATCGAACGGTCCTCAGCTCTCAATAACTAGCCACCAGAAGACCAAATCTAGGGAGACTTTCTGCTGGAGCGGTTGAGCTAGCCGGCGCCTTCCCCATTCATTTCAAATGCAGGACGCAAGACCATCCATAACCGGAAGCCCTAGCTCCTGTCCTTGGGAGTCGATGAATCCAGCTTGAGGTAGGCTTCTTGAAGAGCTCGAACCTCGATGCCGTCCATCTCAAGCGCCGCAATCCAATCCCTCAGCTGGATGTTCTTGCCCCTTTCCTTGTCCTCGCGCCAGGTTCCGAGCCGGGGGTATCTTGGATCCGACGTGAGGTGTTCCTTTTCCGGCGCCTTGGTACCGCCACCTGCGGCAGCCGACGACGCTTCTCCCGCGGCAGCCCTCGGCGTGCTGGGACCGCTACCCGACTTCTTCATCCACGAGTACTCCTTCTTTTTCCGACCGAAACCGCCCATGAGGTGACCAATAGTCTGGTTGGTGCTGGCCGTGCTGGATGCTTCGGCTAGCCTCGCGGCAGCGGCTCCCTTCTTGAGCTCCTTCTTCGAAGGTGCCTTGGCCGCCGTCTCGGTCTCGGGGGCTGCTCCCGCGCCGGGCGTGCCGGGGGCCACGGATCCGGCGCGGGATCCGGTCTGGGCCGGCTCTGGGTTTAGGCGCTTCTGGCGCTTCCGTAATCTTGCCTCCTCGATATCGCGCTCGATCCTCGCAGTGTCGCGAACAGCCTCCATCACGTTCTTCGGCCCGTGCTTACCACCCTTTTGTGATGCGTATGCATCGAACGAGCCTGTAGAACCGTGTTAACGAGCGCAAACGAACGAAACAGGACCGGTGATACCGTACGCTTGCGTGGGTTTGCGGCCGCAGCGCCTTCCGGTTCATCCGGGAGGGTTTCCAAACCGGTCGGTAGAAGAACACCCACGTCGGCCCATTCTGCAGGTATCACCCCGTGGGACGTCGTCTGACGGTTGATGGCTACCGTGTTGGCATCCTCAACCAACTCCCTCAACCTATGCTTGGTGGCGATGGACATAAGGGCCAGCTGATCGACGAGATAGGCGTCGTGGGGAAGGAAAGAACCAGTGGTCGTCACCATGGCGCCATCGGGCCCGGGTTTCGTGCTTACCGTGACCTTCGGCGGGGCAAGTTCTTGCGGAGGCCTCAGTTTTCCCGCGGGGTATGCGTTCTTCAGGTCAAGGTTCAGACCCAACCCGTGTTCCTTTGCGATTATCTCAACGCGATGGTGCAAGTTTGCAATTATGAGGAAGGGATTGGCGACCTCGACGCTGCGCGTAACGGCTAGCCTGTGAGCGGCTTCGTCCCACGCTCTCTGAGCCGCCTCGGCCTCGTAAGCCTCCTGGCTGAGAGTAGTGATGGCTTCGCCGGGCTGGTTTGCCATTCCAGCGCCATAGAACGAGCCCTTGTTCCCTGGTGTATTCGCTGGAATGCCCGTCCTCGCCTCCTGAGTGAATGAGCCGGCGTAGAACTCGGCTAGATACTGCTCCTCGGCACGAAGGTCGATGCCCGTGCCAGCCAGCGAGTCGGCAACATCGTACTCAATTTCCTTCGCGGGTGGTTTGGAAGGAGGCCCCATTGTGCCAGGCGCCGGAGGAGGAGGAGGAGGGGGCCCAATGGGAGCCATGGTTGCTGTTGTATATTGCTGCAAATTTGGAGGAGTCGCTGCGGATGCCGGACCGGGCGCCGGTGACGCAGGGTACGAAGGACGGGTCTCGGGGAGTGAGAGCATCGGTGTTGGCGCAGGCGATTGCATCGAGTTTCCATTTGTATATGCGGTCTGGTATTGTTGGGGTGCGGCGGATGTCGCAGGCATCTGGGGGCTCGCCGCGTATGATGGAGCTACGTATGGCGACTGAGCCGGCGGCGGCGGTGGAGTGGGCGAGGTGCGTGGCCGCTTGTTCGGAGGCATCGCATAGCCCTGCTGAGGCGTGCTCGCGTAGTTCGGCTGAGGCGTGCCCGCATAGTTCGGCTGAGGCGTGCCCGCGGGCGCTGGGGAGGGTGAATGCTGGGGCGGCGAGTATGCAGCGCGTTGCTGCATTTGGGGCATCTGGGGCATCTGCATCTGTGACATTTGCTGCAAATGGGGAACCTGGTGGGGAGGCGCCTGAGGCACCTGCGACTGTGGTTGCGCCATCGTAGGGAACGCGCGATCTGATCTTGCAACTTCCGCAGGAGGTGGGTTGGCTGAAGCAATGTACCAAGAAGACGAAGTTTGTCCTTTGCTCGGAGCTGGCGGAAACTGTTAGAAAGGTGTGCGCGATTGAATTTTGATTTGCGCAGGCCAGAATCCGAAGTGGCGCACCTGAACTCTGGAGAACTTTGTCGTTCCCCTCTCTCGCCTTGTCGCCCTCCTTCCTCTCGCTCAAATTATCAGACGCGCGCAGGCGACCCTGCGTTGCCGGCGGGAACCTCCCTCTCGGCAGCCCATCCGACGTGTTTCCCTTCTCTGGTCGGCAAATATGGACTCTGCAGTCTTTTCGTGAAATCGCGGTCTAGCTCTCGTTGCGGGATCGGCAATATCGATGAGGTTGAGAGGGCAGGCGCTGTGTAAATCGTCACTGCCTCGTTTGCTGCGGTCGGGTTCAAAATCAGAAAGAACCGCCTGGCTTCAGAGTCCGTCGCGTTCAAACTGGTCACGTGGAACGCTGCCCGGAGCGTTTCTCCGATGTGGGGCTCTTCGCTATTTCTTGGCTAGGCGCGCTTCATCCGACTCGAACTTACGAGCGTGTTGCAGGAACTTGCAAAATAAAAAGGAAGGAGTTCGCAGAGCTGCAACATCAGCCTGGATTTGTTTGGCCTCGATTCAACCTACCCCATCGCCTGCTGGCCGTGCTATTATTATTATTCACTTTGCACTCTGAATAGCCACAGCGCTCTCTGGATAGCGAAACCCATCTGCAGTCCCCCATTGTGGGATGTCAATTGTCGACTACGATTTCGACCATCCGTTCGCAGAACAAATCGCTGACAACTTGCATCGTCAAGCCGGCTGTGCCAGTTATCGAGTTACATCACGAAAACCTCGCGGATCCTGGATTGATGACTTGTCGGGGTCGGTTGGATTTTCGCAGATAGACTGTCTGACCCGCCAACGCCGGGATAACCGCCACACACGATGGCTTCCAAGCGGAAGGCATCTGCCATGGCATCCGCCGAGCCAGAGGAGCCTGTCGACCCGGCGGATGAGCTGATGTTTCTCTGTCTGGGCGGCGGCAATGAGGTCGGCCGGTCTTGTCACATCATCCAGTACAAGGGAAAGACAGTCATGGTGCGTTGCCATCACACTGACACCCGTCAATACACACAACAATTCCCGCTGACATGGATGATCTCTTCTACAGCTTGATGCGGGCCAACATCCGGCTTACGATGGTCTAGCTGCGCTTCCGTTCTTTGACGATTTCGACCTAAGCACGGTCGATGTGCTTCTCATTAGTCAGTAAGTATCCTGTGTGACCTCCATGCTACCTATCTGGCACGAGTCTTGCGGCGTTGGCTTGGAGCAACGAGGCACGACCATGGGAGAGACGGGTTCACCAAGAAAATTGGACTGCTGAGTTGTCGTTTGTCACGGCTGCCACAGCAGGACCTGGGCTCCTTGACGCTCCGCAGCATGTACCAATCGTACCCTCTTGTTGTGTATTCAGAGATATCAGAAATACAATATCTTGTCGCCCATTGCCCGCCGCTGCTCCTCGCCTGAGCCCCTCGATCCTGCATGCCCCTGTGTGAAGCACAGCCCCCGGTCCACGCCCGTTCTCCCGCTTCCGTCCTCGAGCCATGTCCTGACTGACGGGGACCAGTTTCCATATCGACCATGCGGCATCATTACCATATGTGCTGGCCAAGACCAACTTCCGGGGCCGTGTCTTCATGACGCACCCCACGAAGGCCATCTACAAGTGGTTGATTCAGGACAGCGTACGAGTTGGCAACACTTCGTCCAACCCGACAACGCAACTCGTCTATACTGAGCAGGACCACCTAAACACATTCCCCATGATCGAGGCCATCGACTACCACACTACCCACACAATCTCGTCAATCCGCATCACCCCTTATCCAGCTGGCCATGTCCTCGGTGCCGCCATGTTCCTGATTGAGATTGCAGGCCTCAATATTCTCTTCACGGGCGACTACTCTCGGGAGCAGGACCGCCATTTGGTGTCTGCCGAAGTGCCAAAGGGCGTCAAGATCGACGTGCTCATCACCGAGTCCACCTACGGCATCGCCTCGCACGTTCCTCGGCTAGAGAGAGAACAGGCGCTGATGAAGTCAATCACCGGCATCCTCAACCGCGGCGGCCGCGTTCTCATGCCCGTCTTTGCCCTCGGTCGCGCCCAGGAGCTGCTCCTGATTCTCGACGAGTACTGGGCAAAGCACAAGGAGTACCAGAAATACCCCATCTACTACGCCAGCAACCTTGCCCGCAAATGCATGCTGGTCTACCAGACATACGTCGGCGCCATGAACGACAACATCAAGCGGCTCTTCCGTGAGCGCATGGCCGAGGCTGAGGCCTCCGGTGACGGTGCGGGCAAGGGTGGGCCCTGGGATTTCAAGTTCATCCGCTCGCTCAAGAGCCTGGACCGCTTCGAGGACGTGGGAGGCTGCGTCATGCTGGCCAGTCCGGGTATGCTGCAGAACGGCGTGAGCCGAGAGCTGCTCGAGAGGTGGGCGCCGAGCGAGAAGAATGGCGTCATCATCACGGGCTACAGTGTCGAGGGCACCATGGCCAAGCAAATTATGCAGGAGCCTGAGCAGATCCAGGCTGTCATGACGAGGAGTTCGGCTGGAGGGAGGCGGGCCCCTGGCGGGGATGCCGAAAAGGTCATGATTCCTCGTCGCTGCACCGTCCAAGAGTACTCGTTTGCTGCTCACGTCGACGGCACTGAGAACAGAGAGTTCATTGAGGGAGTTAATGCTCCCGTGGTGGTAAGTTCTTCCTGCCCCGGGTCTAGGTGTGGTTCAAATTCAGCTAACAGGACAAGATTCTGGTCCACGGCGAGGTACACAACATGATGCGCCTCAAATCTAAACTGCTATCACTGAACGCGAATAAGACGAACAAAGTGAAGGTGTTCAGCCCTCGAAACTGCGAGGAGCTTCGCATTCCCTTCAGGACAGACAAGACAGCCAAGGTCGTCGGTAAGCTCGCGTCGATCCCGCAGCCCCTGAAGACGCCCAACGACGGCTCGCAGGAGCCCCAACTCATCACGGGCGTGCTCGTCCAAAGTGACTTCAAAATGTCTTTGATGGCGCCCGAGGACCTGCGCGAGTACGCTGGCTTGACAACAACCACCATCGCCTGCAAGCAACGCCTCAAGCTGAGCGCCGCTGGCATCGACCTGATCAAGTGGGGCCTCGAAGGTACCTTTGGCAGCATCGAGGAGCTGCCCGAAGCCAGGCCACGGCACAAAGATGGCACGAATGTTGAAGATAAGAGCAACGGTGACGTCAAGATGGAGGAAGCCGCGGACGAGGAGTTCCTCATTGATGAGGTCGTCGCCGCCTACCTGGTCATGGGCTGCGTTACGGTCCGCTACCGCGCCAGCGGCGAGGTTGAGCTTGAGTGGGAGGGTAACATGCTCAACGACGGCATCGCCGATGCCGTCATGGCTGTTCTTCTCGGAATCGAAAGCAGTCCCGCTGCCGTGAAGCGTAAGCCTCTCCTTCGACACCTTCCCCAACCCTACCACTGATAACTAATATCCACCAGGCTCGGCAAGCAGACACACCCACAGCCACGCCCACTCCGACGCCACCTCCAGCATCGTCACCCTCCCCCGCCGTAATCTCCACGCCAATCTCTCCCCATCCGAACGCCTGGAGCGCCTCATGATGTTCCTCGAGGCCCAGTTCGGCGCAGACAACGTCTCGCCGATCGCCGAACTCAAACTCCCCACACCCACTACTTCCCCCTCGCAACCCCTCCTCCTCAAATCCAAACCATCGCCAACCCCATCCTCCGACGCTGACGGCGGCGCATCGATGGACGTGTCCGAGGACGAGCAACAGCAAGAGTCACGACAACACCAGCAGGAACACCGGGAACGGGAGGAACGCGAGCGCCAGCAGCAAGCCGAGCTGGCGCGTCTTCACAAGTTGGGCATCCCCGTGCCCGGGGTGCGCATCAAGGTCGACAAGATGGAGGCGAGCGTGTGGCTGGAGGGCCTCGAGGTCGAGTGCGGGAACAAGGTGTTTGCGGACCGGGTGCGGGCTGTGGTGGAGAGGGCCGTCGAGGTTACTGCGCCGCTCTGGGGGTAAAGGGAAGTCACTTGTCGCCTTTTGCTTGGATGGGGGTTGGTGGCGAGGAGGGGAGGGATGAGGGGGTCGAGAGCGCAACGGCGCTTCTGTCGTTTGAGGCTATCTGACTACACCTTTGGCTGTATCTCTATTTCTTCTTATTTCGATCTATTTCGGCCGGTAGTTGGTCCATTAAGCAATTACAAGGCATGTCTTGCCGCTAGAGTGATGATTCCAAGTACAGGATCTTAATAGTGAGGCACACCCTTCTAAGAATCACAAATGGCAGCCACAGGTTGCTGTGAGGCTGACCGCTTTCAATGCGTTGGACAAGTCGAAACTGAGCATATACGTTTGAGGAACCAAGACATGATCAGTTCAACAAGGTATCCATATGTTTTAGTTTCCCTCCCGATGCATACGCCAGCTAAAGGTAGTAAATCGAAGACACCGTGTGAAACACACCATTTCCCTTTCGAAAGGAAATCTCCCAAAAAATCGCCAATCCAGTCGAGGGTATAATAACCGATCGAGTAGACAGTCGAGAGGCGAAACAAGGAGCAATGAAACGACAGAAATTTATACCCACGCCCACAACGTCATGGTATGCCATGATATCGGAAAAGGATCACCCCAAAGACTGAAAGGTAAGGCCAACGCATCAGGAATACAATCCTTCCTGACTCGCCGACTCAACCTCTAGTCAGTCGGTCCACTTCCGTCACCCGGGATTCAGCGCAGCCCTAGTCGTCGCCGTTGACGCCATGTTGCCCTGCGCTTTCTTCAGCGTCCTCAATTCCTCCTCCACCCTCCTCCGTTTCATCTGCTCCTCCTGTAAAAAGCGTGTTAGCATGCCATTCCCCGCTATATCAACAAAGTAATGGACAAGAAAGAGATGAACTCACCCTCATCTCCTCCTGGAACTTCTTCCTCTCCTCCTTCATTACTCCCCTGAACTGCTCAGCCATCACATTCGCCCCGGCCCTCCCCGCACCAGCCCCAGCACCACCCGCACCCACAGTCGGCGGCTTCAACCTCTCCGTATCCAACTCCTCCTGCACCTTCTCCAACCTTTCCCTCAACCCACTCACCTCAGCCTCCAACTCAGCCTTGGCGGCAACGACCTGATCCAGCCGTCCCTCAATCTCCACCCTCTCCCTCTCCGCAGCAATCGACTCCCGCGTAATCTCCTCCAAATCCCTCAGGGCATTCTCCAGCTCCGCCCTTAGCCTCACAATAGTCTGGTTCAGCTCCTCCGACTGCGCCGAGCTGCTCAGCGCAGCGGCCTCCGCAGCGCGCTGCTTGCGCGACCCGTACGCGCCGTCCAGCTCAGCCTTGGTGACGGCCACCTCGGTTTTCAGCTCGACGACCATCATGTTCATGCGGTCGAGCTCGTCGTCCTTGGCCCTCAAATCGCCTTGCAGCTTGGCCACTTCTGCCGAGGCCGACTCGGCGGCTTGGATCGCGGACGCCAGCTGGGACTGGAGGGAGGCGAGTTCGGCTTCGGCCTGCTTGCGAGCGGCGTTGGAGGCCTCGAGTTCGGATTGGGTCGCCGCGATGGAGGCTTCGGCGGTTTCGAGGCGGGACTGAGCTTCGTCGAGGTCGGCTTCAAGGGCGGCGATGCGGGCGGTGCGGTCCTTGAGCTGGTCCTGCACGGCTCTGGAGGAGGAGGCCGAGGCGGCCTCGTTGGCGGCCGTGGTCTTTTGGAGCGTGTCCATGTCGGCGAGGACCTGTCGGAGCTGGGCTTGAGCTTCGCTGGTGGCGCGCTCGGCCTCGTCGAGGAGGTGCTGGGTCTGTTCGAGTTCATCGGATTTAACTTGGAGTTCGCGGTCTTTTTCTGACTCGCTGCGGTTGTTGAGTTCGCGTTGTTGTTTGATTTGGCGTTGCAGGATGTATTTCTGTTCCCGCAGGCTTGTTGCTTGCGCGTACAGCCATTGGACCTTGGCCGAGAAGGCTGGTAGGGAGTATGGCTCGTTGATGTAGCTCTCAAGCTCGTTACTTGACAGATCGTCATCGTCATCCCCGCCTTGGCCCATGGAGCGGTTCTGCCGGCGCTCTGCTCTCTTCTGCTCAATTTCGGCTTCGCCCGTCTGGATAATATCCCACAAGCCCATGAGGACGGCATCAACCTGGTCAATGTTCTGTTTAGTGGCTGAAGCAGATGAAGACGCCTGCAGTGCCCCTGAGAGCTCAGAGACCACGGCTTCAAAAGCGCCCTCCATGTAATCAAGCTGCTCATCCAACTCGTCTCCAGGGGGTGGCGGTAGGCTAGAGTCCGTCTGTTCCAAAACCGCGTGGACTTGACTTGCGAGCGCTTGGATACGCGCACTGGCTTGGTCGAGCGACGCCTCCGCCTGGCTAAGAGAGGATGCAATTGCTGATGCCCCAGCCGAGGACGACTCTAATTCCTCGAGCGCCGCACTTAAGCCACTTTCCATGTACGCCAGCTGGCTTTCCAGCGTCTCGCCCGAGCCAGCAGCAGCTCCCGGACGGTCGAACTCGCCATTCTTTTCCGGGCTGAAGGCCACAATCAAATCGCGAAGCTTTCGGTTCAAACCCTCCAACCTCGCCTCCGTCTCTGCGATGGCCTTGAGGTGCCCGGCGCTTTGTATGCGAAGCGCTTCGGTTTCGGAAGTCATCTGTTCCTCGATGGCCCGGAGCCGTGCGTCAGCATCCTTGAACCGGCTGGTCTCGTCCAGCATCCGTGATGTCTCGCCCTTGATGCGCGCATGTTCTTCCACAGCCCTCGCGTGCTCGTCCATAAGCTGCTGCTCTCTGGATTGAAGTTGCGACACCTCCTCTCTGAGCCACTCCTCGGATGCTGTGAGCCGGGCGAGCTCGTCCTGCAACTGCCGCTCGGCCGCCTTCAGCTGGATGTTCTCTTCCAGAATGCGCTCGTTCTCCTCTTTCACCTTCTCCACCTCCTCGCGCAATTCCCGTAGTTGAGCATTCTGCTCCCGAATGGGCGACTTCATCGGTATCTCGATGGTGTTTTTGCGAGGCCGTGCAGCCGGGCCGCCTGGCTGATCGAGCGGCAAGTAGAGGCTCCTGTCAAACTCGAGCTCCTCGCTGGAAATATCCATGCTGTTGCGCGTGTGGGTGTATGTGTAGAGGCTCTCGGGGCTGCCAGGAATGCCATTCATCGTAAATCCAACCGGTATCTGTCCCGAATTCTTGGCCGAGGCGCGGTGCGTCATCTGCAGGATGCCGGCAGTGTGCTCGAGTAGCCGCCGCTGAGGCTCCATGAGACGCTTCTCGAGCGAAAATAATTCTGCGGCAATCTCCTCGCAGCGCCGCTCGCTCGCCAGCTTCTCCATCTCAGCCTCTTTGGCGGAGTCGCTCATGCGGTTGCCCAACAAGCTCCTTCTCTTGCCTTCAGCTTTTGCGGGCGAGTATAGCCGAGCCATGGATACGGCAGCATCGTGGTATTTGGACTGTATCACAAGATTCGCGCGGGCTTGCTCGACGCGCATCGACAGAGAATGGATCTGCTTCTTGAGATCATCCACCTCCTCCGGTGACAGGATCTCGAAGGCTTTGCTGTCGGAGAGGGCGGTTTCAGTCAGCAGATGCACCTGGATCGGGTCCTTCAGATCGACGAGGGCGGAGCTGTGCGGACGGTTCTCGTTCAGCTGTGTGGCCAGTCTCGAGTCAGATAACAGGATATAGGGGTGATGGATGAAACAGAAGATTTCAGAACCCGTACAGGATTGTATCGGGGCTTCTTTTTTTCAAAGCCGCTGAGGATGTCCTTTCGATAGCCCTCCACCAGTCCCTTTCCCGTTGGCAATACGGCGGGCGACATCCCGGGCAGAGGCAACATGCCTGGGGAAGCAGAATCATGCCCACTTTGTCCTACCCGTCCACCAGCCGAATTGCCTCTCCCGGTCTCGACGACGTTCATCGTGTGTGTATGGATGTGTAAACCGCCAGGCCAAGACCGTTGTCTCAAGGTCGCATCGGAGAACAAGACCTCCAATACAGGAGATCGCGCTTCGTATTCTCCCTTTGCACCTATTTCTTTCAGCCCCCTTAGAGGTTTCCAACTACAGAATCATGCGAGATGACAGGCCAGGTGCTGAAATAGTAGGCGTGTGCGTGTGGACCGGTTGGGCAAGATATAGGTGGGGTAAGAAAATTGATCGATTTGAAAGTCAGGAGCGAAGAAATCAAGGGCGCAACATGAAGATCAAAGGAGATGCAGCGCGAAAGTGGGTCTTGGTCCCCTAAAGAAAGTTGAGTCCACCGTGACTTGGCGCATGTGAACTTGCGATTTATGGGAAACATCCAGGTTTGCGTTTCCGTCGTGAGAGCAGATAAGCTGAGGGCCTGGGACGATCGGGGCAAAGCTTGGTTTTTGTTTGCTAGAGGTGAGTTCTCTTGTATAATGTCCGCAAAATAGAGTAACCAAGGCGCAACAGAAATCCGACGACGCAGTGACACCAGCCCCAACATCGAGATCGTGTTAGGAGGTGGGGCCGTGAGCATGACAGGGCCCACGCCGACCCAGGGCGCTGGGAGTGCGGCACCGACCAATGGGGCGACTCGAAACAGAAGCAGCTTCCAGTGCTGCCAGTGCTGACTGGGTTGTATTTTTAGCCCATGGTCGGTTTATCTTGACGGTGCATGATGCGGCGGTGGCAAGCCTTGATGCGGCTGGGCTATCTGCTGGTACCTAATCAGAGCCGAATTGGGATTATTGTGATTGCCATCCGAGAGTTGCAATTCGTCCTGTTTGCATGAGTTGTCGTTGTGCAGGCCGTCGAGTTCCAGACTAACGGCTCCATTGACTTACATGTTGCACTTGGGAGAAGAGACCCTGATTCTCTGTCCTGATCCGAGTTAGGTAGGATGTCCTTGCAGTTGTAGTGTCGTTTGGGACATATTCTCAAAAGGATGTGTATTGCACTCAAACCGGTACAGCCTCCATAAAGCCAGATTGAGTGCTCCCAGTTCCTAGGTCAACTCCACTTAAAACGCCTCTCGGACCTCATCCAGAAGCTGCTGCCCCATGGTTCGCCGTCTATTGCCGTCGCTTCCGGCCTGTTGTTGGGCCCCCGACGCAGCCCCTGTCGATGCGCCCTCACTCTCGAGTCTCCTCCTCATCCCCTCGAGCCTGTCGCTGCCTGTCTGAGCTCGCAATCCCACTACCCACCCCGGCACCCGCCATCTAGTTAGCGCGCCCGGCAGCAGTTCGCTGCGCCAGGCGTATCCCACAAGCCACCCGATCCCAGCCCCGAGGAGCGAGCCCGGCCATTGGAACAGTGCCAGTTGAAGCGCCATGAGATACTTGGTCGACTTGTCCGAGAATATCAATGCGGGAACGTCGTCCTGGTCACTGCCGGTCGGGGCGCCCGTGGAGAGAACGATTTTGTACTGGTAGATGTGCGGTACCATGGCATGATACTGGGCCAGGATGGCAAAGATTATGGGAGTCGGGCCAGCCGGCAGGAAGTCAAAGAGTCCCCAGCTGAGCGGCCGGAGAATAACCGTCAGCAGGACTGGCGTGATAAGAGATGTGAGCAGCCCAGACACAAGGACAAATGACTACCTCAATGTTAGCACCACTCAGCTGCACTCCCCCCTTGCAAAGAGTTGAGGCACGTACGGCAAACTTCCGGGACCCCCAGTGCTGCTCAACCACACGTAGGCTGTACAGTGTCATAGCTGCAAAAAGCACCTCAGATGAGTTGGTATAGCACAGCTGCCATATCAGGGCACGCCATGTCTGGCGGTACTGCAGGAGGTGGGTGTCGACCGAGATGTAGAAATAGTGCTTGATGTCGAAAAGGCTGGCTGCAATCGAAAGCCCAACCGTTCCCAGCACTAGGCTGCGTGTCACAGGTGTGCTTGCAAGCGACATCTCTGAGCGTTGTCTCTCCCGGGCAGTGTTACCTCAACATTGTCCGGCTGGGAAATGGTGGGATGACGGGGAATCAGGGGTGATGTCGATGATTGTGTCCGTCGAGCCCAAATCAACCTTTAAGCCAGAAGCTCGCACATTGGCGGCTTTATCCAAAAAAAGAGACTGAAAAAGGACAAATCTGGATGAGGATTGCTTATTGCAAGGCTGGAAGAATTGAAGCCTGTAGCTTGGAACGACATCAAAAGCATGCCACATCCAAGCGAACGATGTTGGATGACAAGATGAAAGCTGGAAGTGGTGCAGTGCACATGCCACATTTCCATGTCGTTCCTGAGACAAGAAAGACCCACCCAAGTGCTGTGGGCCCTGATGACACCGGTGGGTCTAACTAATTAAGGTAGCCTGCCTGGACGGGAAAGCTCTCTCCACTCCTTTTCGAGGCGCACGACCTGGGACACGCAACTTACGGGACAGGACAGGCTTCGCAGACCAGGTCACAAAGCTGCGTCTCCCTTGGCTGACCAGTTTGACAGCCCCTCAACCCGAGCCCACTCATTTTCAACACCAGCGATTCAGGATGGCGATTATACTCTGACGACCATACACGTTTGATAACTTGTCGTTGCTGTTTCGAGTTTGTATATGCACCGCCCTCGGCCCACTGCCGTCAAAGCTTCGAATACTCGCCACGCACACGTCGCCAAGATGTCCGACTTATACCTCTCCCGAATCCGCAGCTGGTTTCTCAGCTCGCCCCCCGCGGAATGGGCCCTTCAACGCCTCCGATCGGCTCTTATCGGAGCGCTCTCCCAAGGCCCAATCCCTCGACATGTAGCCTTTGAGATGGACGGGAACCGGCGGTACGCGCGAAGTCACAAGATTGAGACCATCGAGGGCCATTCTCTGGGCTTTGAAGCTCTGGCTCGGGTAAGTTCCTTGACATGTCCCTTACCTCGGCTGCCCCTACACTCCCATGATGTGCATAGCTAACCGAATTGTCCAGGTTTTAGAGGTGTGCTACAGGTGCGGTGTCAAGGTCGTGACGGTCTACGCTTTCAGTCTCGAGAACTTCCACCGGCCCAAGTACGAGGTCGACGGGCTTATGCAGCTCGCCAAAGTCAAGCTCGAACAGCTCATACAGCATGGGGAGCTGCTGGACCGATATGGCGCGAGTGTGAGGGTGCTGGGGCGCCTTGATCTTATCCCACCAGATGTCTTGGAGGTTGTGGAGCGAGCGGTTGCCACAACGCAGGACAATACGGAGTAGGTAGTATCTTGCACACCTCATGGTACGTGGCCGAGCTGACGGATGTGCCCAGGTGCGTTCTCAACATCTGCTTCCCTTACACGTCTAGGGAAGAAATGACGACCGCGATACGAACGACGGTGGAGGTGTACTCGACCACTCCGCGACCGCACAGCACCCCTTTCTCCCAGAACAGGATAACGCAAAAGATCCTATCCAAGCAAGGGGGTAGTTCAAACCCGCTCGAGTCCATCAGCGAATCGCCCTCACCCTCCCCGTCATCCTCCCCGTCCTTGTTGCACTCGGACGACCAAGACGACGCCGTGTCGACCGCGACGACGCTACACTCCGACTCGACAGCCGTCAAGAACGGTGGCGACCAGGAGGAAACGGTGGCCATATACCCTAACGTGGAGACCATCACCTCGGACACCATCGAGAAGCACTTGTACACGGCAGGCTGCCCGCCGCTCGACATCTTCGTACGGACCAGTGGCGTGGAGAGACTGAGCGACTTCATGCTGTGGCAATGCCACCAGGACACCCACATCTTCTTCCTCAAGTGCTTCTGGCCCGAGTTTGACCTTTGGAACTTTCTGCCCGTGCTAGTCGAGTGGCAGTGGAGGCAGAAGCAGAAGGCGAGAGACGAGACGCCGCGCAAGCGGGTGAAGCAGGCGTGATAGTGTAAACGAGAGTTGTTTTGGTTCGAAGACGCAGGCGAATGATTTAAGACCAGGATCAAACGTTTTGGCCGAGACATGGCGTTCTGGCAGCGAAAGAGACCGGCATTTCATATCAGCATACCGGCATCTTGGGCAGGGACGTCTGTTTGAAGACAATTATGTCAAGAAAGAGTTATCTATCGTATCAACGAGTGCACTTCTGTCAACAACACTGGTTTTTTGCCCGGCGTCGAATAGCTTCTCCCTCAATGGAAAGACGCGGTGACTTGCATGTGCTCCCGCTTCGCCTTATCTTATCTAAGGTGCTCCAACGAGCTGTGACGTATCAGAGCACTCTGTGGACTGTGGCTCCACATTAATGCTCCCACAGCCGGCAGAAAGCAGCTGGTCGGCGGTGTTGGCTCGATGGTCGCTTGAAACCCGTACGTCGAGAGTCGCCCTTTTCTTCTGCCCTGAGCTAAAAACACAGCAGTAGTCTGTCGGATGGTGGTTCCACGCGTCCCCAGCTTCTCGGTATGCTTCCGCATATGAGTACATTCTTGACAATCTCTAGATTTGAATTGCTGCGCAAAAGCATTTTTCCGGCCTCGGCCACAGACCCAGCCGACTCCCACGAGCGAACCTAGCCCTCGTCTGTCTCCCCTCCGCCTTTCTGGCCCGCTCTCTTTCACTTCCTAGCCTACAACTGCCGTTCCACTGAGCGTACCCTTTCCTTCGACCAAGTCTACCATGAAAACAGCGAAACCACCACCGGTGCCTGATGGCGCGGGAAGTTCCAGTCGCAGGCAGCCGGTGCGCCAGACGCGTGCCAACCCGCCGCGCACATCCTCCCTCATTCGCGCCAATCCGTTGGCGAGCGCCCCTGCTCCGGAGCAGCCCATCAACATCCTTCCTGGGGTCACGCACTTTGCCGACGCTATCACAGCCCTTCCCAAAGAACTGGTCCGTCACTTTACGCTCCTCAAGGAGGTTGACGCCAAGATTTTCGCTCCTGAAGCCGCCCTGTTCCAGCTCCTCCACAGCGCTCTCGACATTCCCGTGCCAGACGTTGCGCGACCGCCAAACGATGGTTCGAGCTACGCTGCCTCGGTATCGGCGCCTATGAGCATCACCGGTTCTGCCAACCCCGCTGCACCGGCCTCTGATGGCACAGCCACCAGTGTGTTCGATCCCGCCAACATCCCCCGCCGTACTATTTTCCGCGACACCGCACTGAAGATACAAGAGATGCTAGTATCGTTGGAAGAGAAGAACCACGTCATTGCGACCGCCAATGACGCCCTACAGAAGCAGTTGTCGCGCATCGACGAAATCTGGCCGCACCTCGAAGCCGAGTTCAGCGACGAAGCCAAATGGGGAAGCACTACACACTGGGCATACGTCGAAAACAGGCAGGCAAAGTCCAATGATAAGCAGGCAGAGAGATCACGCCGTGAAGGTGCTGCTACTCTATCCGCCGCTGCTCAGGCGCTGGCCGAGGAGGCAGCCGCCCGTAGCAGTGACCGGAAACAGGCCTTGGCTGCCAAGAAGAACTCCAAGAACCAGGTCGCCGACGCTGATGGCGACAAGAATCAAGAAACTGGGAAGAGAACGCAAGCGGGGAAGTCAAGAAAGCCTCTTCCTGACTCTGGCCCTGTTGGCCTCGGTATCACGTCCGCTCCTGCAGCGAGTGCTTCCGCGAACAAGCGGCGCAAGGTCGAGGCGAAACCGAATGGATCCACACCTACAGAGCGCGCGATGGGTTCGGTTTTCGGCAGTAACGCCTCGAAGCAAAGGACCACGAGTCCAAGGGAGACACCAGCTCCTGAGAGTGGAACGAAGAAGCGCAAGGCACTTCCTACATCGAGCAACCAGGCAAAGAAGAGGCAAGTTGTCTACGTTTATTTCAAGCTCTATTGGAGTCGAATGGCTGACCAATTCTCTCAGCCGGACCAATGCCGCCATGTCCCCGTCTGTCACATCTTCGCCCGTCATCGGAACGCTTCCCGATCCCGCCAAAGGTGGGAGGGGGTCGCCTGCCCCATCCGCTGCTGCCCCTCGATCGGCCTCGTCTCGCGCCCGCCAGAACTCTACCCAGTCGAATGCCGAGAATGCTCGACAGCGACCGGCCTCAGCGGTCGCGAACAAGCCTAACGGGCACCCGCAAGGCACGCCTGATCCAGGTCAGCCAAGCAATGGCCAGAAGGCAAACCCAGACGTCAAAGCTCAGAAGGAGACGACGGTCCCAATCGTAAACAAACCAAGTCCATTGAAGCCAGAGACCGACGAGCATCCTCCAGCGGCGGAGCCAGCACAGAACGGCAGCAAGAAGGAGAATCCCACAATAGCATACGAAGACTTAGTTCCGTTAAAGAAGGAATCATCATCCCTCGCCATTCAACCCACGCCAGCAAGCTCGGTCAGGACCAAGAGTGGCCGCGCCAGCAAACCCTCTACTCCGGCCATCGCAACGTTTGCCGAGGCTGCCTCGACAACCGCATCCACAGTCCCCTCGCGGTCGAGGTCTTCCCGGAACAACACGGATAGCGCCGCAGGTGCCTCAAGCACAACCACCACAACCAGCATCTCTACCACCTCCTCCACCACCGCCACGGCGAAGAGAAGCCACAAAAGGGGCGCCTCTGTCTCAGCCACGGCCACCCAGGCAGCTCAACAAGCTGCGGCGGCGGCGGCGGCAGCGGCAGCAGCAGAGAAGGACAAGGAGAAGGACAAAGAAAAGGAAAAGGACCCAGTCGCCAGCGGTGACATCAGCATCCGAGGTAATGCCAGTGGTGCAGGAGGCGGGAGCAGGAAAGACAAGGACAGGACCGCCGCGGTCGACTCCCACTCCCAGTCCCAGTCCAACACACAAGGTCATGGCCACAGTCATGGTCACGCTGTGGCTAAGGCTAGCGGGGCAGGAGCAGCAGCAGCAAAGGAAGAAGAAGTGGATGACGATGAAGAAGATGACGAGGACCAAGACGTCGGCGACGAGTTGTATTGCTACTGCAACCAGGTCAGCTACGGCGAGATGGTGGCTTGTGATGGCGAGGGGTGTCCGCGGGAGTGGTTCCATCTGGAGTGTGTTGGGTTGAAGGTTGCGCCTAAGGGGAATGGTAAGTCTTTTTTTCCTTGTCTTTGTACCCTCAGTAATACCGTCTTGTGGTGGAGAGGACTAGATGTCTGTTTACGCTCTTGCTGTCTCTTTTCCGTCACACCTGCCGTTTGGTAAGGGCAGGGTTAAATTGGCTTGAGGCAGAAGCAGAAGGGGTTGGGGGTTGGAGTCACAGCATCTTGCACTCTCTGCTCGAGCGGCTTTCCGCCAACTACCGTTTCCTTTGTTTCCTCTCATCTATAATATTGGTTGCGGTATCAGTGAGCGATTGCTAACATGACTTTTCCCTCTGTTAGCGAAATGGTACTGCGAAGACTGCAAAAAGAGGTTGAAGATTGGCGAGCGGAGGTAGGCTAGAGGTCAGGTGAAGAGCGCGTTCTCTGCGTCCACGTTGACTCTCATGCATCTCCCCTCTCGGCTCTCCTCTTCATCAACTGTCCCGTTATCCTTTCCTGATTTTCCACCTTTATACCCCTTGGGAGTTGTCCCAGCTATCGTCTTTCCTCAACTGTTGGCATATGTCGCAGGAAATTCGGACCGGTTGGGTGGGTGCGTATCCTTAGAGCAGAGCAGCAAGCCGCGTTTGCGTTGCCTTCAAACGCTTGCTTGTTTTTTAAAAGGTTCACGGTCCTCGCTCCCTGGTTTCATTGCTATTGCGCGTCACGAAAACAGATCCGCAGATTTGTAGGAGGGAATGTTGTAGGATGATTCTTTGTCTTGTTCGATTGGATTGGCTTTCATGTAAATGGTCGTCTCTGGAGTACGGAAGGTCGGATTATGGGGGAAGGGAAGGGGATTTGGTTCCCTGGGCTCCTGGCTGTTGGTGGGTTAGTGAAAGGGTGGATATAATCTCTATTTTGCTCGATTTCATGGCAGTCCGAAGTGCTCACGATTCCTACTTGGCCTGAGGAATGGCGTGCTTATTATGCGAGGTTGTTGGCAATCCGACATGGGCGGAAGGAGACTAATTTTTGACCTGTCAAGCCTCCGTTAGTTACTCGTTTCTGGCCCTGGATTAAATGCGAGCGAGAGCTGGTTGCTTGTGCACTTTCACCCTGCAGTCATGCAGCGAGTTGCGGCAGGATGGTCCATCAAGTCATTTTCTATGCGCCGGTGGTCATCAATGGCATTGAGATGTCGAAGGCAGTTTTACCTTGGTTTCTTGGCCTTCCAGATGTAAGGTACTGTACATTTACACCTAAGACACCATAGGACTGTACTCCGCACTCTCGAGCTCGTCTATGGTACAGTACCTTAGGACAGCAGCTCCGTCTGGGCTTGATGTTCAAGGGGCATGCAGACCATCAGTGGTCGGGTTGGCGGTGATTGGGACAATTTGACTGCTTAATTGTGCCTTGTTCCCAAGACGCTCTGTTGGTACGATCAGCGAGGCGGACCCCGTCCGTCTGCTGAAGTGAAACGCAGAGATGTCATGTGAGCTGCATGGTACAACGTTGTCCTTTCAGGCGCGGCCGCCGACTGGTTGGTGGAGGTATCCGTACTCAGCACCTGAAGCTGGTCATTTGGTGTCTGGGCATTTACTAGAAGTTCCTCTTCATTGTGTACGTCCGTACTAGTACACAACTAACGTTGGTGTACGTGTACGTTGCCTTGACTATTCGAGCTAAGTTCCAAGATTTCAAGCCACGATCGAGTAAGGTGATGATGGGCTCTGGCCGGCTGGAGTTGGCCTAGGAAGGTTGTCGGTTCGCAAGCCTCTGATGAGAAAGCTGGTCCAGATTCGCTGACCAGATCTGTGGATCATTTGCAATCCCAAAAAAGGACCAAAAGATCAAGAACAAGGAACCAGAGTCAACCAGGGGCAAGGGTCACTTAGCGCCTCACGGCTGCGAGCGGCTCCCCGGACTTGCATGGCCCCTGATGCATGTTGGCTTCGTCCCGCTCGGCGCCAATGCCCAGGTGATTGCCCACCACGTGAACATGATTTGCAAGAAGAGACTGGTCTCGGCTCATCAGAGACATGTCCACTTGTTGAAGGCCAGGAGGTCCCAAGCCAGCCTGGAAGGACAGCAACGACAGCCAAGCTCCTTGTTAGCAGGAGAGGAGCTCTACATAGGTCTCGACCTGGTTCCATACCTTATTCCGATCTTCGAGTCAGGCGATGGACGTACTGCACAGAAGAGAAAAGGAAACGGTGATGAACAGAGAAGGGATCGAACAGAGGTTCAGTGATTATTAACTAAGATAATAGACCACAAACCGATCGCGGCTCAAAGGCGCGCTGCAAGCGACGTCAACGCCAGCTTGAGAAGCGTCACTCCATAAAACAACCAAATCGGAAGATTTACCTAATTCCAATAACATGTCCTGGCAAACGCGGTGTGAGCAGCACGTATGGTGTCAATGAAATGAAGAAGTCTTGCACATTCCAGTGTAACCTTGCGATTATTCGAATCGCGAAATGTCGGCGTCCTCTGGAAATTTCGACTCGGTCACGTTGGTGAAATAGTGCTTCGGTGGTTGAAGCCATTACGTACTTCAAACCTCCAAGTCTGGGCTCGCCTGCCGTGCTATGTCATGGAAATTCGGCGTTGTATTTGGGAAGGTGGCAAGGGGACGTCAGAATCTTTCAACGCCAGACCGGACCAATTGAAACGTGATTCTGATGAACCCGTCAACTCCTCGCCATTCTACGTTTTCCTGCTTTGTTAGGCTGTTTGTCACTCAGTCCAAGTGAGGAATACGATACCCGACCTCAGGATTGCATCGCTCAAAGTACGTAGACAGAGGTGATGGCAAACACGAGCTGTGAAGAAGCGAAGGATTTTAAGCTCCAATATCCTCGCAGAGTTTGACATCCACAAACATCGACGGCCCGACAAGCTCCATCCATTTGCTGGGGGTACCGCGTAATTACAGTCTGGAACTTCCCACTTCTGCAGCAGGCTTCTCATTGAGCGAACGGTACTTGTACAATGCATCAGCACCGCCCGGAGTCGACCAGTTTGCACATTTTGAAGTTCGACGGTCAGGCCATAATCCAACCCTCAGGTGACTCAGGCGGTGCTAGATAATCACATTGTTCCAGCTCGGAGTGGTGCATTTGGACCTTCCCGTCTTTGAACTCCGCCCCGTTGCTCGAGTCTCAGCCGGCATCGGGTCTGACGTACAATACCTTAGGTATTTATTCCGCCACCCCAACTTTACGTTTGACAACTCCTCCACATGTTATTTTGCATCCAGCATTGTGCGACGACACCATCCCGACGTGACATTCGAACGGCTGATTGTTTTCCGCGGGACCTTTGTGGTCTCGACAAACATCGAAATCAACTCATATTCTCGGCGAAGCGCGGAGAGACACCGTCGCAGCGCCGAAACCGTGAGGACTCTAAGAACTGGAAGACTTGCACTGCGCATCACCACGCAGCGTATCGCTGGCTTCGACTCGGCCCAGTAATTGAGAATCGGTGCTCCTGAGACACAGATTCAAGATTGCGGATCCGAATTACCAGCACCTTGCAGCCTTCCCCGCATCGCTGCGTCGCGAACCTTCTTGTTACCTAACACGCTGGTTCCTTGACTAATAGAAAGGCCCCGGCCTCCTTCCGCCATCTTCCCGCCTCGTTGTGAGACCAGACCATTTGCCTGCGTCTGCCAGCCAGCGCACCTGCCGAGTGGCTCTGCATCAAACACGGCTCCATCGTCGTCCGTGTGTTCCTTTCTAACTTCCGACCAACCTGTCGCCATCTCCCTGCGACATCGCGCACCTGACCGCGCTTGCAAACTCCCCGGGTCACGCCAAGGCCCCTGTCGCATCCACTGCCAGCTACCCCGGTACTCTTCACAATGGCGGTCTCCAAGCCAAGAACCGAAGCAGACCCTTCACAATCTCTTCGGTCTCCCGACTACAAAGCTATGCTGCTCGACGAGCATTCCCGGCCTTCCAGCCCGGACCGGGTCTCTCGCTCCTCCTTTTCGTCCATCCGCGAACACGACAACACGCTTCCCCAGACGTTCTCCCGCTCCAAGGTCTCGTCCTACTTTGGCGCCGACAGTGAGGAGGCCATCGTCGACGACTCGACCAGCAGCCCACCCGCAACACCCAACCGTCCGGCCAGGGCCTTCAATATGATCCAGACCCAGTTCCAGCCTCCCGTCACCCACCCCAACAGCAGACTCCTCGGCTATTGGACACCGGCAGACAGCTTCAAGGGCTGGAAGGGTATCCAGGTCAAGGGCAAACTCGCGAGCAAGAGCTTCGGTGATCTCCAGGTGCTGCATCAGGTGTTCAGCACCCCGTCACATCGGCCCACGAAGCGCGGGCAAAACCGACCGGGCGATTCTCCCATCGAGAGACTTCCCACAGAGATATTGAGTAAGCAGTCCCCTCTCACAGCCTGTGTGATGCCACAGCTAACACCCGGACCCAGCGTCCATAATCAACCTCCTTGCTCTTGATGTGCCTCCCAATGGCCTCACCCGACGCAATATCGATCTGATGTCGTTGCTGCTGACGTCGAGGACGTTGCATGTTGCGACCCTCACCACCCTGTACAGCAGGATCACGATTCCCCACTCGCGGATCTTTCAAAAATTTCTCGCCCACATCGCCGCCCACCCGAACTTGGGCACCATCGTACGACGACTCGACTTTTGCCACTTCAACCCCTCACAACTCTTCCTGACGGCCGCCGAGCGCTCCAAGGCACGCAACCTGACGTCGGAGACGCTCCTCCAGTGCTTGGAGCTCACGCCCAACCTCCAGGAGTTCCTAGGTCAAGAGTACATCGACGAGGACTTGGATGCCGCCGTGTTGCGAAAACTATTTCTGGGACTACCCCAGCTCAAGGCAGTCGACTTCTGCGGGTGCACCTCGAGCTCCTTCAAGGAGGCCTTTTCGTCGATCCTGTCGCCCAACTGGCCCAAGGAGTTGACGATCCAGCGGCTCTCGCTGCACAAGTGCCTGACGCTGCCATCGTCCGTTTTTGAAACCATCCTTTCCCGGCTGCCGAGGCTCACGCACCTCGACGTCGCGGGCACCCGCCTCACCGACAATGCACTGGCCTCGATCCCGCCGACCGCCAGGATCACACACCTCAACCTGGCGAAGTGCACGCTGCTGTCGGCAAGGGGCGTGATCGATTTCCTGGCGAACCATCCAGCAGCCAAGGGGCTGCAGTTCCTGAGCCTGGCAACGGACGCCCGAAGCCACCAGGCTTTCGATGCAGACAACATCACTGAGCTCCTCCCGATCCTTCCCAAGACGCTCAAGTCGCTCAACCTAAAGGGCAGCAAGATGGTGTCGTCACACATCGACCTGCTCCGCCCGCTAACCAAACACCTCGAGGAACTCGCCCTCGGCCGCTCGCTCACGCTGCAGGACGTCAACCGGCTGTTAGTCCCTGACGAGGACGCCGACGTGGCGATGCAAGTCGATTGGGTGCCGCACACCCTGCGGTACATTGACCTGTCGGATTTCTGGGGCGCCGAGATGGACCTGGTCTACCTATTCGGCAGCAGCTGCGCGGTGCTGAGGCCGTTCTCGGAACCGCTTGAGGTGGTGGAGCTTGCCGAGGACGTGTGCCGCCGCGTGGCCAAGTCTACGACGGCGCTGCAGCGCATCGGGTGGGCGCTGTCCGAGTGTGGCAGCCGCGGGTGGGTAGTCAGGCAGAAGCCCAAGGGGGCCAACAGAGATGATGGTGCCCGAGCGTGGAAGATGGGCGCCGAGAGCTGGGGAATGAGAAAGATTCCTGTTGCACAGGCTGAGGTCGGAGGGATGTATGGGAGCTTCATGTTCTCGAGGAAGTTGTGATCATCTGGGTTGCGGATCCATGGTTTCGGTCTTGGTGTCACTGGCGTTTTCTTGATGCGCTGTTCGTATTCGTTTCGGGCCATTTTCGATACCATGGTAGCGAAGCGGGCGGCGTCTGGTTGCTTCTTCTTGTTGGGCGACTCGACTCGATCAAGGCTGGATTCATAGGGGTCGGAGTTGGAGCGGTTGGCTTTTATTCCCTTCCGGTCTCAATCATCTTCGGCGCGGTTTAACATTTGCATGGAGGTTTAAGGTGCTGAAAACAGGGCTTATTATGATTATGGGATGGCAGACCATTCAGAAAAAGTGGTGTGAAATAAGGAGGGCAAAAAGAGGCTGTTTGTCTTCGGCATGGCAGGCGAGCGAGGACTGAGAAAGTTGAGCTGTTTGATTATTGTACTGCTGCTTTGAAGAGAAAATAAGAGCCCGCTCAGAATGTTGTATTAGATTTCTGAGGTTACTCCCATTCAAGCAATGTGGTAAACACATGACACCTTCGTGAATTGCGAGGTGAGGAGGGCTTAAATTGGAGGCTCGCGTGACACTTATATCGCGCATTGCAGATCGGGACAGAGATAAGAGGTGAGGGTTTAGCTGTCCGGATTACGGAATCACCCCCACGTCGACTGCTAAATCCCCAGTGAAGCAGGGCCTGCCCGGAGGGTGCTCCCGCTGCCTATCTGGGGTCCCCGCAGCGGCATGCATGAGGGCGCGGGGTGATGATTCAGGAATCCAGGGTCTCGCGTATCAGTTGACCTGACAAAAGCCATGATCTATCTCCCTGATGACTCTTCCGCAGAGGATTATTCAGTGCGTGAGATCCAGATTATATGAGAAAACCACCCAGCTTCAAAAATATGTGTCGGTGGTTTGAATCGGCAGATTGACAGAGCAAGGGTAGGACGTTCTTAAAGCTGATGTATTGTACATAACTTTGGGAGATAATCAGCACATCCGTAGTTGGATGGACATTGATGTCCTGTATCAGGTGCGCTGAAAAGTATGGAGGCTCGTGCCCTACAGCCTGAGTTTCAAGAAGTCACCCCTGATCACAGAAACCATCGAAGTTCCCGAGCCAAAAACATTTGTACATTCTACCTTTCTTCCCTGATCCAGAGTTGTACCACATAAAGATAGGAATTGGGTAGTTGACTAGAAGGCAACGTACACCGAGTGACTTGAGTCCCTGCTTAGTAAAACAAACTCGACTCGGGGATAGATTTCTGGGGTGGATGGGAGGTCATTCTATTGAGTAGTCGTTGCAGATTTGTATGCCTCCTCATCAGTTGGTGAGATCGGCGTGAGGGTGCTTTGATACAGAGGGCTATATAGAAACGATATGGTAACGTACTTCTTGAGTATCTCATTTAGCGATTCTGGGGCAATGTTTCTGACGCGGTTTCCCAAGTATCCGGTCGGCTTCTGGGTGATCCCTGTTTCCGGAACGGTCCGTCCTTAATTCGAAGAGAAAGGCCGCAAAAAATGAGACTCAGCTCGAAGGAAGAAACTTAGGATGAAAGACGTCTAGAGCGAGAGTTCAGTGATAACTAGAAGGAAGAAACATTTTCCTTTGAGAAATGCGTTTGAACCCCCATTTCCTCTAGATTTCTTACCTTATGTTGTTACTCTGGTTCTAGAACTTTTATTTCTTTGCACACCACCAGATGTTCTGCGACGATCTGGTACTCCAAGTCGGCTATACCATGAATCCTAATCCTGATTTTCAGTTCTTCCTGCCGGGATCACACTCTCCCCTCCCCTCATAAATCTTCATCCTCGGCACCGATCAACCACAAACATGGCATCCTGGGCGGACTTGCCCCTCGAGTTGAAGCTCATCATCTGGGGAGAGAGTCGCCGAGGATCGCTTCCTGGTGCTCAAGACACAGGTTCTTGACCCGATCTCAGAGGCGCAGGCTCGGCGGGAGGGAGTAGTGAGAATATGGTGATGAGGAACACCGAATGCTGAACGAGGCTATGACTAGCATAGGTAGATGTAGGCGGGCATCGAGTCCAGAACACGAGCAGTACCCGACAGGGCAGCAAACCATGTAAATTGCTTTGTTGTACTCACCAAAGAAAGAGACTTAACCAAAGGAAAGCCTCCATGAGTCGCATACGGGAAAATATCAATTTTTTTGGCTCATTTTCAGAGGACCCAGATGGCTTGTTCGGAAGTGAAGGATCCTTGTTTATGAAATGGTCGTTGGAATCTGCCGAAGCTTTGCCGCCGCGCGGCTCATCAGGGCATAGTACGGATCCATACACTGGCAGTGAGCCCAGACCTCCAAACGCCACCCAGAACAGGTTGGTTGGTTGGTGAACACCTCCAACATCAACCATTCATCAAGACTCGCACAACTCGTACCAGCGCCGCGGTCATCGCCCCGCCTAACTGCTGCGATGGCTCCGGCACGGGACACGCCGTTCCGCTCGGCGGACATGAGCATGGTGCAACTGTACATTTCCAACGAAATCGGCCGCGAAGTCGTCAATGCCCTCGGCGAGCTTGGCCTAGTCCAGTTCCGAGATGTGCGCAACTCCGCTTCTTGCACCCCTCCCCTTTGCTTGCATGTCTGCTGACGCGGCTGCCGTCTTACCAGCTCAACGGCGACCTTAGCGCATTCCAAAGAGCATTCACCCAGGATATCCGCCGCCTCGACAATGTCGAGCGTCAGCTCCGTATGTCGTCGTACAGCATTCCCCGCAAAACCGCTGACTGCTGACTCCGGATCCTGGCAGGCTACTTCCACGCCCAGATGGAGAAGGCCGGCATCCCTCTCCGCAAGCTCGACCTGGACGTCGACACGCTCGCCCCGCCAACAACAACCGAGATCGACGAGCTCGCCGAGCGCAGTCAGAGCCTGGAGCAGCGCGTGTCCTCCCTGAACGAGAGCTACGAGACGCTGAAGAAGCGCGAGGTCGAGCTGACCGAGTGGCGCTGGGTGCTGCGGGAGGCCGGTGGCTTTTTTGACCGCGCCCACGGCAACGTCGACGAGATCCGCGCCTCGACCGACAACGACGACGCCCCGCTGCTGCAGGACGTCGAACACCACATTTCGGCCCCGGAAGTTGAGCGGTCCTTCTCCGGCATGAACATTGGCTTTGTTGCCGGTGTGATTGCCCGAGACCGTGTTGCGGCCTTTGAGCGCATCTTGTGGCGGACGCTACGCGGCAACCTGTATATGAACCAGGCCGAGATCCCTGAGCCGCTCGTCGACCCCGCCAACAACGAGCCCGTCCAGAAGAATGTCTTTGTTATATTCGCCCACGGCAAGGAAATTTTGGCCAAGATTCGGAAGATCTCCGAGTCCATGGGTGCCGATGTATACAATGTTGACGAGAACAGCGAGTTGCGGAGAGACCAGGTGCACGAGGTCAACGCCCGGCTCAACGATGTCCAGAGCGTCCTCGGCAACACGCAGCAGACGCTCGAGGCAGAGCTCACCCAGATCTCGCGCTCGCTTTCGGCCTGGATGGTCCTTATCAGCAAGGAGAAGGCCGTCTTCAACACGCTCAACCTGTTCTCCTACGACCGCGCCCGCCGCACTCTCATTGCCGAGGCCTGGATTCCCAAACATGATCTCCCGCTCATCCGGTCGACGCTGCAGGATGTCACCAACCGAGCTGGTCTTTCGGTGCCGTCGATCATCAACGAGATCCGAACCAACAAGACACCGCCGACGTACCTCAAGACGAATAAGTTCACCGAGGCGTTCCAGACCATTGTCAACGCCTACGGCACCGCTACGTACCAGGAAGTCAACCCCGCCATTCCCGTATTCGTCACGTTCCCCTTCCTGTTCGCCGTCATGTTCGGCGATCTCGGCCATGCCCTCATCATGCTCTCTGCCGCCCTGGCCATGATTTACTGGGAGAAGCCGCTGAAGAAGGTCACCTTCGAGCTCTTCGCCATGGTGTACTACGGCCGGTACATCGCCCTGGTCATGGCCGTCTTCTCCATCTTCACAGGTCTTATCTACAACGACATCTTCTCCATGTCCATGACACTGTTCAAGAGCTCGTGGGAGTGGGAGGTGCCACCCGACTACCGCCCGGGCCAGACGCTCACCGCGAGGATCCGAGACGCCAACTACCGCTACCCGTTCGGCCTGGACTGGCGGTGGCACGGCACTGAGAACGACCTACTCTTTACCAACAGCTACAAGATGAAGATGAGCATCATCCTCGGCTGGGCCCACATGACGTACTCGCTCTGCTTCTCGTACATCAACGCGCGCCACTTCAAGCGGCCCGTCGACATCTGGGGCAACTTTGTCCCCGGCATGATTTTCTTCCAGTCCATCTTTGGCTATCTCGTCATCTGCATCATCTACAAGTGGACCGTTGATTGGTTCGGCACCGGCCGGCAACCCCCGGGGCTGCTCAACATGCTCATCTACATGTTCCTTCAGCCGGGCTTCATCGACGAGCAGCTGTATCCGGGCCAGAAGCAGGTCCAGATCCTGCTGCTACTCCTCGCCGTCATTCAGGTGCCAGTGCTCTTGTTCCTCAAGCCGTTCTGGCTGCGCTGGGAGCACAACCGCGCCCGCGCCAAAGGCTACCGCGGGATAGGGGAGCGTTCGGCGACTAGTGCCCTGGACGATGACGAGGATGAGCACCAGGGGAATGGGCGGCAAAGTGGAGAGGGCGTTTCCATGATCGCGCAGGGTTTGGACGACGATGATCATGATGAGGGTGAAGGGCATGGCCATGGTGGGCATGGGGGGGAATTTGAGTTTGGTGAGGTCATGATTCATCAGGTCATTCATACCATTGGTGCGTATTTTCCTCCTTCTTTTTCGATATATAAATGCCCAGCGTGCACTTGGCTAACGGGGAACTGTGTGTAGAATTCTGCCTCAACTGTGTCTCGCACACGGCATCGTACCTCCGTCTCTGGGCGCTCTCGCTCGCTCACCAGCAGCTCTCGGCCGTCCTCTGGTCCATGACCATGGGGCCCGCCCTGAAGATGACGGGTATCGGCGGCGCCATCTTTATGGTCGTCACCTTTGCCGCGTTTTTCTTCTTGAGTTGTGTTATCCTGATTGTCATGGAGGGTGTCTCGGCTATGGTGAGTTCTCCCTTTTCAGCCTAGCTTGCTACCTTATGACTAATCATGAACAGCTTCACTCGTTGCGTCTGGCGTGGGTCGAGTCATTTTCCAAGTTTGCCGAGTTTGGCGGGTGGCCGTTTGCGCCGTTTTCGTTTAAGCAGCTGTTGGAAGAGTCGGAGGAATTGAAGGAGTACTTGGGGTGAATTGGATGTAGAACATGTTTGGTTGAGTGGTGGTTGAGCTGTAGTATTAGTTTGCATGTGAATTACACTAGATCAATGGCGGATTTATAATGTGCTTTCCTCCCTGCCATCGGCTACGGCCCTTCCCAACGAGAGGAGAGTAACTACAGTACACGCGTGGTGTGGGAAGGTGCTCCGTCGTGTTTCTGCCATCGCTTGCGCAGAACAGAACAGCGGGAGATACTGCTGCTGGTCTCCGGTGTCGGCCTTGGTCAACAACCTATTGATTCCCTGGTCACCAGCCGTTAGGCTGGAGGGTTTAGGTGGGCGCATTAGGAAAAAGGTTCTTCTAACATCCGCGAGTCTCTTATCTTGAGCTGAGAGGGGGGACTCTGCAGGGTCGAGGGAGGTAAGAGGCCGCGTGGTGGAGGCGGGGTGGAAGGGGAAGGGGGAAGATGAGCTGGTTTGGCTCGGTGAAGAATATGTGATTGTGTTAGGGTTGAAATGAAGGGGCAAAGGAGAGACGGATAGCCCGTTCTTGACGGGGGTGGTGATGGTGGTTTACCGGATGTGGTCCGTGGCGTGGGATGCATCGGATGCACCTAAATACCGCACGGGCTGGTATCAGTGGATGTTCTGAACAGTCCGGAGGACGGAAGGCTTTTTTACGTTCAGCTTTGTCCCTCAAACTAACGTTACCACCCAGGCAGATGAAGAGCGGGTTGAGGACGGGGGTTTCGGTGTGGTGTTTTGCAGGACTCTTTCCGCTTCTCCTTGGAGTTCAAGAATCTCCCCGAGTCCCTAATTCCCGGATGTTGTTGCGTCTGCCTGATAGGACGTGGAGGTGTTGGGGAGGGATTTACGGCTGAATGTCTGGAGATTTTAGCATTAGATGTCAGCGAATATTGAACAGTTCACCCGCCTCCGTGGGAGATGTGTCACGGCGAGACTTCTCTTGAAGGGCAAGACTCAAGATATGGATACTATGATTATCAGATATTAGTTCAAGCACCAGTACCGATTACGAGGACGATGGTTATGTAGTGAGTGACTGTATGGGAGGAGGACGGCTTTGCCCCAGCCATGCATTTTCTGAGGAGGGATATTGGTCAAGATAGCCACGCCCCGGCATCGTTCATAATACGGGCACCCCGTTACTCTACGCCCCTTTCCAGAATTTCGGCGCCCGCTGCCCCTTCTCTCGACCGGCCCGTGGCTTGCATGCTGTGTAACCTGAGGCTTGGCTCGGGGCCTAAGCTTCAATGAAGCCAGGAACCACCATTATGTTTGGACACAGCGAGCTCAGCTTGTCGTCAATTTTCAATTTGTCTGAGTGGACTGAACCGTTGATTGTGACCATGCTCCTGCTGTGACTGCTTCACAATTTCTGAGGTCCGAGCCATTCTGTGCTGGGGGCTGTCTCTGTTGTGGTCGTTAGCCAGTTGTAAGGGTGAAGGAGGAGATTCAGGGGAAGAAACACCACCACCCGCACCATACATAATGTCCTCTAGGGTACATAATCCTGAATTCAACATCAATGGCATGCTACGGAGCGCACTCATCTCATCCTCAGATCTTGCCACCGCTGAGCCACAACCCCAGGAACCAGAGCTTAAAATAGCCGCCAAGCGTGCAGAGATACCCTCCTAATGTGCAACGCCGCAAACACACGGCGCATGAATGTAGCAAGCTTCTGTTTCAGCATGTTGGGTTGGATGTCAAGACAAGACGCCAGATACATAAGCCTCACGACCTGGAAGCCTCCGTTTCAGTCACTCTAGCTACTATCCTGCATATCTGTAACTTGAAGATGACAGCAACATCCATATTATTATGTGTGACCCGCCTGCAACATAACGGCAGAGCGCACCGCCTTGTTTCTTGTCACCAACATGCCAGACTGGATACAGATCTGCAGCATGTAGAGACCCAACAAGAGGTCGCCAGGCATTTTTGACGATGCGCCTCGACCGACCATACTGACGCCAGTCATGCATCGTGAATGAGTTAATGACAACCACGAAGAAAGCCAAATTGAATCAGCCCATGCGAGTGAGTTCACAGGGTGGATGATATTCCGTACAACTCGACAATTCCAGCAGACCCCACACCTCACAACATCACAACAGTGCCAGATTCTCCAAGATATTAGAACACCATTGGGTGTATATTCCCTCTTGGGGGAGTCACTAGTATAGCTAGCGTACGTAGCAGAACCTAGTGAGACACTAGAGCAGAACTAAAGCCACCAAAAGCGCAGGTGAGGGAGTAAGCCCCAATTAGATAGAGCAGACAGACCAAGTCCGAACTGTTTAACATTTCAGCAGCAACGAGCAAACTTCCATTCTATGATCCTCCGCCATCCCGGTTTTTCCAGTTCACCTTTCTCTGTTCCTTTTCAAGGCTGAGAAAACCCCATGCGCGGGGTCCAAAGGCTTAAAATAGAAGGAGAAAGAACAAGCGAGCCAGAAAAAAAAGATGAAAGTAAACAGCTGGCAAGCCCTCCGCCCACCCACTCCGATCCAGCCCCAAAACAACGCCATGCTCTCTGTATGTATCTGTGTGTGCACTCTCCCGGAACGACGAAAATGGAATAAACCAGAACAACCCAGCAATACCAAACTTGAAAAAAACTCCGTTTCTATCTCGGCCGGCCTTTCTCCCACTGGCAATCAACAAACAGAAACGAGAATTCGGGTGTTATGTGACCTCGAAAAGAGATGCATATTAAACTTCGTAGATGAAGTGTTTGGCTTGTGCCGTGGGAATGGGTATGGGGTATTCTGAATGATGGTGATGATGGACCAAAGAGAGATGACCCGGAAGATTGGTATTGTATGCGTGTAGGAAAAAGGAGGAAAGTCGAGATGGACAGTGAGAGAAAGTCGAAGGAGTCCCCTCGAGAGCACGCGGTAACCCAGTTTCCCTGTCGCGCTCATCCAGAACTGCTGATTAAAATAGGCGTAGAGGTAAAGTAGTAGTAGTCGTGTTCGGAAAGGCAAACGTCCTCCAATCCGCCATTTGCCCGATTGTGGGCGGAAGAAGCGTACGGACGAAGTGATAACGTTTCACATCATCGAGTTCTGCATGGGAGTCAACTCGCTCTCCACATCCACCTCATACGCAAGCGGCGCCCACACCCGCCAGTGCAGCACGCCCAGATGCGCCAGTCGGATCGCCATGTCCTCGACACCCCCATCCTCGCGGGGATCGCGCGGCGGCTCACCAAACAGCCCACTGGCGCGCTGCTGCCGGTCCGCAGCAGCGGCAAGCGGCAGCGGCGGCCGGCCGAGGGGTCCCTGCGCCCGCAGGCCACCGCCGGTAGCGTGCGAGAAGAGCGCGACGCCCGACAAATTCTTGAACTCGTTCACCCGCCGCGCCAGCTCGGCGAGGAGGCGCTGTTGGAAGTGGGACTCAACGTCCCGGAAGATATCCGAGTTGGTGACATCCAGGCACGCGGCCAGCTGGGTCTCGAACCCGGGCAGCGAGGTTGGCGCGTTGGCATAGCGCAGGATCTGCAGGGCCACCGGGCCTGCGAGATCCTTCCACCGCTCGGCGGGGCTGCTGGCCGGGGGGGTGGTGTGGAGGAGGGCGAGGAGCGAGTTGTACAGTTCTGACGCCCGGGAGCGCGAGTCGGCCGAGTCTGGGGCGGGTTGCGCAAAGAAGGCGCCCGACGTCCGAGGCGACGAGTAGTTGGAGCTGCGGTCGCTGAAGGCGAGGCTGGACGGGCGCGAGGCGCCCGCGGCCATGAAGTTCAAGTCACCCGATAGCCGGCTGTCGGCGGCCTCGTCAGCGACATACGACGGGATTCTGGCGCACAGCTGTGTCACCCTCGACAGGCGCTCCAGGTCTTCGAACTTGCGCATGCAGACCTCGAGGCATATGCTGTCGTGCATGTCGGAGCGGAGCTTGAGTATCCGGTCCTCGTCAAAGGTAAATGTCGGCGGCACGTCCTTGAGGCACGTCGACGGTAGGACTAGCCTGGAGAGCGCCTCGAAGAAGACGGACATCTCGCCGAATGCCTGCAGGAAGGGCATCGGCGAACTCGCGTACAACCGCTCCGTGTACTCCTGAGCTGCGCGGTACCATGTCCTGGTGTCGGCGATGCTGAGCTTCCCCGATTGCATCTTCCTCACGAAGAATCGCTGCTCGAAGTGAACCGTATCCTCAATGAGCACAGGGCGCAGGCATCGAATCTGGTGGTTCGCCACGTCGAGCTTCATGGCCTCCAGCACGCTGAGCAGGCTGCGCATGCCCTTGACCAGTTCGGTCATGTCGTTGTTGCGGTTCCCGTTGCTCAGCTCCTGGTACATTTCGTCGACCCACTCGTCGCGCATCGGGGCACAGTGGAGCTTGAGAATGCTCGCCAACCACGAGGCCAGCTTTTCCAGGTCGGCAACGCCCCGGTTGAACTGCTGCATCAGCAGGTCCACGTTCAGCCCTTCGTTGAGGAGGTCCCGGTCCCGCTGTGGCACCAACGTCTCGATAATGTCCCTGACTGCGCGGAGAAGCGCCGGCAGACACCAATCCCCATGGCCGTACCTCGCGTGGAATGCCTCCCTATCCATGACAAACAACATCAGCTGGTCAAACAGGGTGTTCCAGAACTGGTTCGCCTTGTCTTGCTTCCTCTTCCCTTTTTCCCCATCCAGATTCGGCCGGAAGTGCAACTCGGGATCGAAGTTGATATCGTGACGGAGCTTGGGATTATGTACAATCTTCTGCACGTCGAGCTCACTGAGGGTTGCCTTGGTGACTGGGGGTTCTAATGGCGGGGCTGTCGCGCTGAGATACGATGTTGGTAGTGGCGGCCGCTGTTCTGGGACCAGTGTGCGTGATGGGAGATATTCGGCATGCGGTCTCGCGTTGGAGCTTGTCGAGCAGGTGGAAGGGTTCCTTGATAGTCCTTGGGGAGGCGTCGCTACAGTCCCTACCCGCGCGCCTCTGTCCGACCCGCTCTGGCTGAGTTTCCGCGAACCTCTGGGCAAATCCTGGGGAGGCGGTGAGAGCTCTTCGGCATCTGACTCGGAAGTTGGGCTGCGCGTCTCCGGAGCGGTCTCGGTTGGTATCGGCTCCTCCCCGGAGTCCTGTCTTCTGTGAGTCGACATGTGGCTTTCGATCCCTCCACCAGCGCCTTGATCGGTCATTTTTCAGGCACCAAGTTAGACTGCCAGGGACGAAGTAGGTGGGTGGTATCGGCCGAGATTTTGGGGCGTTCCAAATAAATCGGTTAGTGCGGGGGTTTGCAGCGCAGGTTGGCTCTCTGGGGAATATAAGAGTCAAGGGAAGCTGAGCGCGTCCCAGTCAGCACCAATGCAGCTTCCTCGAACCGGCAATGTGAAGGGAAAGGTGCAGGGGCAAACAACGCGGTGGGCAACACAATCCGGGGGACGAGGTCTCGTGAGAGCGGACGGCTGCATGAAGCAATGTAGCCGTGGCCAGTCTGTGGACCGAAGGGTGACGGATGTCTTCGAGTGGCCACGGCGAACGGGAATTCGTGTGAAAAGGCGTCCTCAAGCCAGACAGCGGTCGACTCACCTGCACGATTCCTGGTCGGTGTATAGCTCGGATTGTCTACTTGCTGATGTGCCGAGTGCTGAAGGACGGGAACGAGCAGCAAGCAGGGTCGATCAAAGTATTGGCCTGAAGGAATGCTGCTGTCGCTAAAATCCCAGGGTGGGAAGTGCCCTCAGAAGAGATGTTCGAACTCGAGGAAGGAAAAGACAGCGCAGGACAGCAGGAGCAAGGGCCAAGGCGGTTGGGTGGGTTCGATGACCGCATGCGCTGAAACCTTATGTGGCGCTTGTGAAAAGAGAATGTGTAGGTGATCGTGAGTTAGTAGGTGAGAGAGAGCGGCAGAGAGAAGGACAGCGCTGAGCAGACGACGGGACGGACTCGGGGCAAACAGCAACAACAAATTTGAAACAGGAACGGAAGATCCAGATGGGGCGGAAGGAGCCAGAAGGAAACAAAACGAGTGGTATCCCGTAAGGGCGGTGGTTTGCAGCTCTTTATTTAATTAGGTACACGGTAAAGGGAGCGATAGGAAAGCAACAAGAGAACGAATGGCGAAAAAGGAGTGCCCAGGATGCATGAAAGGGGACAGAACTGAACGGAAGCAAGCAGGGCGTCGCCGTTCATGGCAAGGTTGCGCCTCTCTGGAACATCTGCATGGACGAAGTGGGTCGTGCGCCGTCCAGAAAGTCAGGGACCAACGTTAGCGGCGTTGGCACAGGCCAGGCCCCAGGAGCAATCCAGTGCAGATGTGCCTGTGAATGCTTCTGGCGGTGCCCTGGCTTTCTTGTGCCAAGGACGACGGGAACGAATCAATAAAAGCACACCCTTCCCGGTTTCTGCTCTGGGGACCGAGGAAAGGTAAGTTACAAATACCTGAGGTATCGTATCGGTACTTCGTACTTCGGATGCGTAGAAGGTACGGAATCCGGTACCGGCAATTGGATGGTACATTGCGATGGCACCACAGCGTCTGAATGTTCAAACCCTCAGATGCCAGATGGGCCGGTGCAAGGGTAGGTAGACAGTCTGGCAATCGGGCAGCCAGGCGGGGAAATGCAGCCTCAGACTCGGGATTGGAAACCGAGGGATGGTGACACTCTTTCACTCCCGTCCGGTCTCACCGTGGTGGCCAAGTTTGGGCCGCCACGGAGGGAGGGCGGCGGTGAGCACTCAACGCGCTGCGGCAAGTTGCTCGACACCCTGCTTCCTGGCGACTTGAAAGTGGAATAATTTCTGCAGGTAGTTATGCGCTGTCGGGCATGATTCATCGTTGGGTGTGAAGTCGAACGCCTGATGGGCGCAAGGTTGCAATGCCGCTGCGCACAACGGGTGTTGGAAAGTTGAAACACCATTCTGATGACACCCGCAAGGGCGACCTCCGTCGCCATGGTCGGGCTTCTGTTCATTATCATCTTCTGGAGCAGTTTTTGGAACGGGAGACAGGTAGCAGCTGTGGCATGCGCCGTTACTGTGTACAGTACCGTACATGGTACAATACAACGCAGTGGATTCTTGTCAATTCTCAGCTTCACACTCCTCGGCGCCGATCCGATCCCCCTACGACCTCCCTGCCGACAGTCGTGCTTTCGCTGTGAGAATGAGCATGCTTTGTTTGTACACAGAAGGAGAGGGAACGAGATGCTAAGGTAATATCTGCTGTCCACTGCCAACGTGTGTCGAGAGCACGAGCCTGCATTTCGGGACAGAGAGGAAACCCTCACCTGATCTTCGCACACGCGATCGACCATCTTGAGCTCCCTTGGCGATCCGGGCTTTGGGGTTTCGCGACTCGTATCCATGTGTCGTCGCTTTGCCGACGAGAAACTTGACGGTCTGTACCTTACGGAGAAGAGCTGGAGCTGATCAAATGGAGAGCGCCTGACGGCTTGGACATGCACGGTGAATGAGGAGCTGCAGATGTGATGAGGCTAATGATGCATGTCCGGGCTCTCCCACACCGTTTTGAGTTGGGATGCTTCTCGCGAGAAGCAACATCGCAATTAGCAGGCCGCCGTGGAATGACCGTCATTTAAGAATTCCCGTGACGGAGAAGAAGGGACCAGGCGAGCAAAAAGCACCGGTTAGCCCATCAGGCGACCTCGAAGGCTTGCCAGATTGGGTATGGAGGTTCCGGGTGACTGGATCATCCCACATGGATCTGTTCACCGCAAGCCTCGCCCCACACTTCCATATCGCGGGCTAGGCACAACCGGAAGTCTCATGTCCTGCGCTGCCCTGATGTTGCTTGTGGTCGATCAATGCAATTCGTGACTCGAACGTTCCCATCGCCAGCGGCAATGTCTTTACCGTATGCAGCTTCAATCCAATCTGGAACATGTCGTCCATGCTTTGTCGAGTCGTCCACAATCCACAGTTCACCACTGCGGTCCATCCCTCAGCCGCAGCCCGAACAGGTAACAATTTCCGCCGTAGAAAGCTCAACCCCCTTTCACGGGAAGTGCCTTCTCGAGCCGAATCGGTAATTTTCAAACACCTCAGAAGACCGAGACGTCCTGCGTTCACTTGCACCAGCAGGGCAGCAATGTCTCTGTGTTGCAAAAAAGCCGTTGACCTAAACTGCCCTAGGTGGTTGTTCCATATGGGCGGATCCAGATCCCAAGCAGTGTGCCATGTGGCCGCGGGTCCCCTCCGAGTCGCGAGATTGGCCGCCAATTTATTAGCGATCCTACCCCTCCGACACTGCCGAGTGGTCACCAGGGGCTCAGAGAGGCTTCAGAAAAGGCACGCGACACAATATTCACCCGTTCAGAAATCAGCAGTGGTGAGGGGATTGCCGACACCATGAGCAGCTTGATATTGGGCAGATCCAAGACATCTTCACTACAGCATCATAACTTCCAGGAGCAGGTCCATGGTTGTCCCCTTGGACCCACTACTTGGTACCTGACAGAACCAACCTAAAAAACCACGCTGCGTGGAGATTTCTAGCATCGGCATGGCCGATTCTTATGTCTTCAAAATCGACATGTGGGAACGGCAGTTTCAGTTCGCCTCGCAGTCGCAGGATGGCGCACAGTGAGTGGACTCGATCGGCGGTGGCGGCCGCTGCTTCTCTGGCGGTCACGGTCTAAGCCCATCAACGACTTGCACCTCTCCTTTTCCACTGGTTCGCCGTCCAGCCGACGCCGCTGACACAGTCGCCATTTGTCGTCGCCGCCCTGACAGCATTTCGCCTATGGGTACTCATACCCTCTGGTGCCACCACATCCCGGTGCCGCCTTTCCGTGTGTGCCGGAAGCTATCCCCGCCATCGGGCCACGGACACCTTTGCTAGTTCGGGGTTGCCAATTTGGGGTTGCCAGGCTTTGCGTCCGTCTCGCGCTGCGTTGTCAAAGCTTCGCAGCGGCCGACGTTGTACTGGTATTGTACGCCAGAGTCATCATGTCGCCCCAAAGCACCCCGACCCTTGTGCAACTGCCGCGAGTCATGGTGCGCTTTTTGATATCGGATGACAAACAACCATCAATGCGGTCCCGTGAGCTGCTGCTTCAGCATACTAACTAGCTGCACGGTGACCTTTTTGCACCAAGCAGCGGGCTCCTTCAGTAGCTCGGCCAGCGAGCACATTGTTGCTCCACGGTCGTCTCCGTCTCATCACCGTTTTGTTGGCCAGGACTCGCCGGGCCGATCCCGTTGCCACCCCGTCTGTACTCCGTGCAGGGTTGTCGATCCTCAACTTCACTCCTGGATTCTTGTCTGGTCTTTTCAACACTGAAACGCAAGCGTCTTTTGCCTCGGCCGCTCAAGTGGAGCCTGTCTGACGGTGGTTGGGGAAGGCACAGTTGTTTGGATGAAACTCGCCTGAACAATTCCCTCTCTGCATGAGCATTGTTATTGACCAAGGATCAACAAGGGCGGTATTCCAATGACGTTCCTGAAGCCCGGCTTCACCGCCCCAAGTTGTGCGATTGTTCCTCGGCTTCGATGGCCAGCCCTTCGGTCACCCGTTTCATGTAAAAACTCGGACATGCTCCTTTCAGGGCTGTCCAACAAGGCCTTGCTGGAACGACTCAAAACAAATTCGGCAAAAACCTCCGTTCTAGAAATGTCACCTCAGCCTCAACGACAGTTCGACCTTTATGGTCAAGGCTGTTCTCAGGTGACCTGCCAAGACCGTCTCATACACCTTCGGTGAGGCAGCAGCCAACAACAGCCTTCCTTTCGTTGCGTCTTACCGTGGATGGCTGAACTCAAAACGACGAAAGCCACGTGCTTGCCTTACATATTCTCAGAGTAAGAAGACGGTGACCCTGCAGGCTCAGTCTAACAACCCTGCAGTCGGCAACAACTCAAGGCGTCCTTCTTCAACCCCTTTCCTCAACTGCCAGCGACTGCTGCATTACTGCGGCTGCAGCTCTTGTGTCCAAACCTGATAGCCACCCCAATGACCAACGCAATCAGGCCTGCATCCCCGGGTCCTCACTTATTACGTTGCTAATCACGTATGTCAAGCTCTGGCTGTGGAACCCAAATTAGGATGGCTCCTGACAGGAATCATTAATCCCATCATTGTAACGCTATGCAGGAAATCAATTTTCGTCAGCGAGATGGCCACCCACTCAATACACAAGGGCTACGGAGTACTCACTCTCGAGCCACTCTACTGGTAGTCTGGTATTATCGCACAAATGGCGAACGCGGTCAATGGCCGAAGCAGGCCAAGGCCGAAAGAGCAAGGATCATCATCAATCTCCTTTTGAAAGCCCCTCCGTCCTAAGGGTGGGCATCATTTGGCCGGTGTCTCTTGTGTTTTCCTCCTTGCCGAGGATAGTGAAAGAAAGGGAGATTGCTAGCCATGCAAGCCACATCTCGGTGTGATAGCCTGCTCGCCCCGTCCTGCGGTGGCCCGTGTGCTTGCAAATGATATGTGATATTGGGTGACGGTTCGGCCTCAGAGATTGTGGGAAAACACTCATGGCTACTGCGGAGTTCCAGTGGTGTCGGCTGACTGCTGGGGACGCGACATCCAGCGAGAGTAGCGCGGTTGACGCCTTTATCGGGAGCCTCGTCAAGAACAAATCAAGCTGCAAAACCGAAGACAGATTGAGAACATACCCCAACTGTGGGAGTAGTCAATATGTGGTTCAGATGTGGCATACATGTTATTTCAGGTATTTGATGAATTCCCAAGCCGGGATGAACGAGAACCATCAGACCGCAAATCCCAACGCGCTGGCTGAAGTATTACAAATACATGCCAAATTCTCACTCACCCCATATAAGACAAGGTACTTAGCACTTCAATGGAGCCCGCATCCGAAGATCAGCATTGGCCTTGAAAAGTCCAGAATCGCAACATCATACGATTGAGATGGCAACAGCTGCTCCGAGCTGCTCGGAGGAGTGAACGAGCTTGATCCAGTTATTCATCCGCATCGCTAGCTCCCGAGGGCTGCCATGGCAGATCAGGACTGGACGACACCTGGCATGGAGGCGAGTACAAAGTACCAGCCAGTTGCCCACCTCTACCGCCTTGAGCAAGCCTTTCCTGCAATTTGTCCAACGGTTGGGGAAGCATGAGAGGAAAACGCACGGTTGGATCAATGAGCTGCAGCATCTTGGCATCGGGAACGGGTTATGACCGTGCAGTTCCGAATCCCCCATCGGCACGAAGTTAGTCCACCGCAGCAATTCTTCTGCCGCGAGGCCGAAGTCTGCCTTCGACTTCGCCGAATCACCTTAACTCCGTGATAACCGCATTCATAGCGGTTCAAAATGCATTCTCGCCGATTAGGCTGGCTTAATTTGCTCTCCACCAACTGCAACACCATTTCTCCTGTCAGCCAAAAAACGAATAACACGAGTCAAGATGCCTGGGTTCGACCCTAAAAGGGATGTGCCAGACCTGAACAGCAAGGTCATCCTTATCACAGGCGGTAAGCCATCGAAACATCACCTTGAATCACGCACCCTGCTGAACGCCCTTCCCCAGGCACCGCTGGCGTCGGAGCCGGCACGGTGGTTGAGTTGGTTCGGCACAAGCCGGCCCACGTCCTCTTCACCGGCCGCAAAGCCAAATCGGCCGAGGCTACCATCGCCAGCGCCAAGGCCGCAGCGCCAGACGTGCAGGTGTCCTTCGTCGAGCTCGACCTCGCAGACCTCGCCAGCGTCAAGGCGGCCGGCGAGAAGCTCGCGGCAGACCTGCCCCGGCTCGACGTGCTCATGTGCAGTAGGCATCAATTCCTTTGTTGGTGGACTGTTTATACCCCTTTATGGCTGTTTCAGGAGCCATCCTGCTCCCAAAACCGCACATTTGCTCCCGAATCCCCCTCCAGACATTTCCGAAAGTGGAAATTCACAGCTGAGATTGTCGGTAGACGCCGGCGTCATGGCCGTGCCAGCGGCCCAGTCTAAGGACGGCTACGAGATTCACTTCGCGACTAACCACCTGGGCCACGCGCTCCTGACGCTCCAGCTGCTCCCCCTGCTCTCGCGCACGGCAGCGGACCGCGCGGGCTCCGACGTGCGCATTATCGTGGTGACGAGCACCGCCTGGCGCGGTACCCCGCCCGGCGGAATCGCGTTCGACAGGCTCAAGACGAAGCAGGAAATGGCCGTGCTGGGCCGCTGGCTGCGCTACGGCCAGAGCAAGCTGGCCAACATGATATTTGCGCGTGAGCTGGCGGCGCGTAATCCCCAGATCCTGTCGTTCAGCCTCACCCCGGGCGTTGTCTCCACGGGGCTGGTCACGGATCTGGGGCTTGCCGACAAGGCGCTGATCTACATCCCAAATATTGGCCGGGTGAAGACGCCCGAGGAGGGCACACACAACTTGCTGTGGGCTATCGGCGCCCCGCGGAAAGATATAAAGCCTGGTGGCTTTTACGAGCCAGTTGGCCGCCTGTCGACGATGGAGACGAAGGCCAGCAGGGATCCGGACCTTGGAAAGAAACTCTGGGATTGGACTGAGACTGAGTTGAGGCAGTGGGTCTAGCTGATACCGTGATCACGAACATTATCTCTTATGTGCAGTCAGAAGACGGAGAAAGTACGGAGACGGCGCCTCGCAAACTTACCCTTTCTGTCAGTAGTGGTCTCATGGGTTGCCCATGCAGTACGTTATCTCCCCCGTCCATTCCACCCTTTCCCCAATTCTAATCCCTATTGCTAGATTCGTTTGCTTCGCGACAGGGACAGTGACGGATAGATTGTCGGATCTAGTTGGTGTGAGTATAACTGCCGCAGCATACAATACATACCAGTCCTTGTCGCCGTTGCATGGTGCCATTTGCCGTTTCTCACAATTTTCGCACCGCATCCACCTGCCCCCTATTCCCCATACCTCAGTCCTGGGCTGGCCTGCCCGACCAGGCCCGCCTCCTGGGTTTGGGAAGATAGCCCACAACGCTAAGTCCGCTGCCAAGCTTTGATTGATGCCCATGAACCGCGGCCAAACATCCAAATGGGCATTGCCCTCCAAGTCCGTCGCGGATGCATCAGACGTCCGACTAACCGCAAGGAAACGACGGCTGTGTAGCGTGCCGAGCATGTATGTCGGGGCGGAGTCGGGGGGCTTGTGTTGTTCGAATCGGAGTGGCAGGATGGGTAAACGCTGTTGGCTGCTGTAGTTCTTGACGCCGGTTCCAGAATCTGTCCTCTTGATCCTTCTTTCGCAGATGGTAGAGTCGTAGAGTCCCGAGGAAGGGCAGACCACGCAGGTGAGCCAGACACCCAGTGTTAAAAACCAAGCAAACCAGAGCCACCTTTGTTGTCCGAGCAAACACGCCCACCCATCAGTGGTGCAATCGAACCGAGTCCCATTCTTGTCGCCGCTTCCCAGATGTTAACCGTCATAAATCGAACTCCGCAAACCGCCCAACCCTCAACCTTGAAAAAAAGACGCGACGGACCCCTCCATCCAGGAAGGTGACAAAAACCGAGATGCCCCCAAACTCCCAGCACCGCAGCCCGTCTCGCAACACAATGAACAATGCCGTACCGATACTTAGAGCCGTTCCTACATCTCCAAGAAAACCGACATCTGCCAAACCCTCGTCAGCTCACCATTGCCTCATATGCTCTGGCTCCCCACTCAACTAGGTGACCTCTCACTCACCGCCATGACGCCGCAACACAGACTCATGTAGGGGCTCAGCCGCTCGCCTATGCGCGCGCACTTCCAGAAAATGCCCGTGATACTGTATCCGGATTGATGCATTGTCAGCCATAATATTCTTGTCATAGCCGGGATATCAATCTCGCTCCCCCGCTCATCCGTCCATCTTGTCTTGTCCCTTCGTCGTCTTTCCTGCTTGTCTGGCCGTGCTGCGCCTAGAGCAAGCTAGGCTGCGCTCGATAACCTGGTTGAATTGGGGAGAGGGTGTGGGCGTCAGAGGTGGTTAGACACTCACCCTGTCTTGTTCCGGTCGAGGATGGCGGGGAAGAGTTGGTGCACGTAGGCGCAGGTGCTGCGAGAGGGAGACCGGCTGGTTAGCTTGCGTCTTGGGACCTTGGGTTTACGGGTAGCTCGCTCGGTGGAGACAAGGGAAGTCAATCGTGGTAAGTCAATTTGCGAGGCGTCATACCAAATTAGGAGGAGGATGACGAGCAGGAGGCTCGTAAAGTTGAAGAGGGCTGTCTGAGTAGCGGACAAGGTGTTAGCTTTGGATGCGCTTCGGTCGTTTGCTGAACTCTGGAAGGCTTTTGTGAACGCACCATGTCTAATTGTCTCCCAAGGTCGTGTTCCGCGATCCGCGAAATAGTATGTATCAAAGAGCTGGTGGCGCGAGCGTCCGAGGGGGGATCTTGATGCTATCGTTTGGACCGAAACCAGGGCTTCAAGTTAACAAGAACACCATCCCCGTTGGAGCTAGCGTTACACACGGCCTGCCAAGAATCAAGATGGGGCTACTAAGGTGGGTCACTTGGGCCCACAGTGACCCACACAAGCAAGGGGACCGGAAGCCTCACCTTTCAGCCTTTCATCAGCTCCGGCAGGAGCAGCTACAAGGTGTTTGTCTCCAAACTCTACTACTTCACGGTGGGGCTGCCTTGTTCTGGCAGCTCATGTGTGTGATCAGCCACAGGATATTTCGTTCAGTTGCCGCTTGCATTCGGTTACATTCGATAATTTTCCGGATCTACCTCTTTGTCGCTTCCAGAGTCAGAAGATCACGTCCGCCGACAAGACCTAGATTGTTGATCCGAACGATCGCTCTGGTTCCCCGACCACCACCTGTGCGGTCAACGCGACTAAAATGGAACCCCGTGCGCGCGCCGGCAAAAATGTCGGCAAGATGAACTTTGGCCATAATGAGCGTACGCCAGCCCTCCCCAATCTGTCCTCTTTCCCACCCCCACCTCCGTCCTAACCCTAATCTGCAGTCGCCCAGCTCCTCTACGGCCACGGCGACGTGCGGGCGCCGCTCAACGAGACGGTCCGCGTGCTCGACGAAATTCTAACCGACTTCATACAGGGCGTCAGCTTCGAGGCGACGCGGGCGGCGCAGCACGCGGGGCGGCAAAAGGTGAAATTCGAAGATTTTGAGTTCGCCATGCGGCGCAACCCGCACTACATGGGCAAGATCCAGGAGATGTTTGAGAAGAAGAAGGAGATTGAGGCAGCACGCAAGGGCTTCAACATTGAGGATCAGCTGATGAAGGACGCCGACAAGGAGGAGAAGGCGGCCGAGAAGGACCGGGAGAAGGGCGCTTCTAAGAGGGGGCGCAAGGCGCTCTCGTCGCAGATGCAGGTCGGCGAGGAGGACTTGGACGAGGCGGATGATGATTTGGACATGGAGATGGACGAGGGGAGTGCGGCGAGGAGGAGGTAGCTGGCGTGTCCAAAGCGGTTCTTGATCTTGGTATGCATAGCGACGGCGTTGAAATCGGCTTTTACGCCGGCAGGTCGGGGTATTATGGCTGGACAAAGGACGGCGTTGCGTGGGAGGCTGCTTACTCATTACCTGGAATGGACTTCTGTGCAAGTCGCATACTGGAGCTGGTTATGATCCAGTCGGTGGGATGGTTGCGTAACATGACCTGGCCAGGCTCATTTCGATCTTAGGACGGGAGTTGATCAAGCACAGCTTCTAAAACCAGAGGAAAGGTACACTTTCATGCTGACTTGTCTGTTAGGTTGGAACTGAGGAGGTATTTGCGCTTCCCGTCTTCTCTCACTTTCACGTCCTTGCCATCTTTCTTGCTTTTCTTCCTCTATGTCTTTGTCTTATTCTTCCCTTACCCTCTTCTCATCATTTTTGTCTATCTTCCACATCTTATTTTTTCTCTTTTTCATTGTTTCTCACATACTTTCCTTGAGGTTATTTTTCATTCATGTCCAGAGCCCGCACATGCCACACTAATAAACAAACCGGGCCTGGATTGTATGACTTCATCTCCTCCCCCCGTCACCGGGTATTATCACGCCGTTGATTCCATTCACTCCCTCTCATACACCACTACCTGCACCACGCCCCCTTCGGCACAAGCCGGCACCTCCCCCTCTCCTAACTCCATCTCCTCAATAGCCCTCTTGCTCCTCGCCCAGGGAACCGCAAACAACCCCGAGTTGATTTTACACATCCTTAACTGCCCGATGCCCACCCCCGTCCTAACCTCCTTCTCCACGATCAGCCGCATCAGGTGCCTCATGGCGGGCGCCGTAGCCTGCAAGATACTCTCCGGCGGGTCTTTGGCCGTGCCATGCGACCGACTCGTGAACAGACAGCCGATGTAGTGCCCTCGTCCCGTGTCATTTCGGGATTCCCGCTGAGGAGAGATAAGCAGCGCGGTGCCGACCAGCCGGTCTGGCGCGGAGCGCGCACAGTGGGCGCGGTAGATGCGGAATTCGGAAGGGTAGTGGTTGCGGAAGGCTAGCGCGATGCCGCCGCCCCAGGAGCCGACTGCGTTGCAGGCGTGGATCAGGACTGTGTTGGGTGGTGCGGCGAAGATGTCGCCGATGCGCTTCGTGATGCGGATCCGGGTGGTGGTGGTTAGCGCTCCGAGGTTGGTAGGGGTGGGGGTGGTTGTTGTTTGGGGAGTGGTTGGCTTGTGATCGGTGTTGACGTCTCTGTTGCTTGGTGTCTGGCTTGGCTTGATCTGTTTGGGTTGCTGTAACTCCTCCAGCTCTGCCTCGTCTTCCGTGGTGGTTGTGGGTGAGACCGGTATTTGTTGTTGTAGAATTTCGTCCAATGCGATCCTTGGCGGTGTCTTTGGCAGGCGCCTTGAAGCGGACGTGAAGAAGTTCAGCTTTGTCTGCTTGTACTGGCGGGGTCCTTCTGTGCTGCCTATGTCTGCAGGCCGTTTCCCAGTCATGGTAATGTAGATGTCTCGAGTCTAACTTGAAAGCCGAGGTTTGGGTTGTTCGAAAATGGAATTGATGTTTGGTAACGACACTTTCCTCTCTACGGCGGTCTTGTTTCGTCGAGTCTGTTCCGGGTCCGTCGTGAAACAGTGGTTCACTCTGGAGTAACGGTTGCCAAGTCTTGAGCCGCTATGTTGCACAAATCTCATCTCTCAGAAGCGCTTTCCTTCTGTCAGTGAACCAGACCGATCTGAATGCGGGTCTTGAAGAAGCCTGCTTGCAACCCGACTTGGGAGTTTGTTTGCGGATTCTCCCTCCTGCACCTGCATCATGACGGACCACCACGAGGCACACTCAATTCTGCGTCAACCACCTCGCCCCGCACCAAACAGCTCCCTGTCAAGAGATCCAGGCCAGTGCCTACTATCCGTACCGCCTGGACTGGGTGTCGACAGGCTTCATAACAGTTCGGAAGTACACCCGCGCTCACTCTGCTGCCGGTGTTGCCTCAGCAGGCGCGGCTTACGAAAACCAGGTTCATGGTCGGGGGACAGGCGGGTATGCAAAAGGTCACAGATCTTCGGCGTGGTATCGGCTATGCGTGGCTCCCATGAGGGGCCACACCGGATATTCCAAACCTCATGTGCCTCATGTGCATACGCTAAGCACCGGTGCCAGAGGGATACGTCAGGAACGTTTCTTACTGGTGGTCTCGACTGTCATTCTTGCTGCTCTGCAGCCAGCCAGGCTCGGGAATAGCACGCAACGCGCATCTCCACTTTTGAGGTGCTTTCGATCACTCATAAAATCATACGGCCATCATGACTTTTCCAACTCTGAGAACTCCACTGCCAGCTTCCTCAGTTTGAACAGACCGTTTCTAGCCCCCAACACAGACTGGGTATGCTATCAATAGAAGCCACCGGGCATCCTTAACAACAGCTATGGTCAGTTTTCACGATGCACAGCGGCTCTCGCAAGGAAAGGCTGCACCTGAAAATGTTCAAGACGATGGGGATATCATCGACCGCCTTCCCATGATGAGATTGGGTAACAGCAAGCCATCGTCCCCGTTCCTAAGCCCGATCATCCCTCGGTCACTCACTGCCAGCCCCATGTCCATGTCTGACTATGGCGGACTATCACCACACTGCCCGAGAGCTCTCTCACCTGCCCCTTATACTCATCAACTACAAGGGCAGGCTAGACTTATCGACGGCTTGACGCGGTTCTGGAAGAGGAACCGAGGAGTGATCCTGGTGGCCTCCGCGCAGCTCTTTGGATCTCTCATGAACCTGGCTGCGAGATTGTTGGAATTGGAAGGGGAAATGCATCCGCTTCAAATCCTCTTTGCTCGGATGAGCATGACAACCATCCTGTCTCTCCTATACATGTGGCGGAACAAGGTGCCGGATTTTCCACTTGGCGCGAAGGGGATCAGGGGAGTGTTAGTGATAAGGGGGGTCTCTGGATTCGTAAGCTCATTTCCCGTTGACACGCTTCTTTCACTCCATCTGTCAAACATACTCTATCAGCATCCCGCTAACGCAACACGCAGTTTGGCATATATGGGATGTGGTATTCCATGATGTACCTCCCCCTGGCCGAGGCGACCGTAATCACTTTTCTGGCCCCTATGTTGGCCGGATACATTTGCCATATCCTCCTTAAAGACCCTTTCACACGAAAGGAGCAACTAGCCTCGGTCATCGCTCTAGCAGGCGTCGTCCTCATCGCCAGACCTACTTCCCTATTCGGCACCACCTCCTCGACCAACGACCCAATCGTCTCCCACACCGAAACCAACTCAACAACACCCGGCACACGCCCCAGCACCAACCCAGCCGACGAACCAACCCCAGCCCAACGCCTCGTCGCCATCCTCGTCGCCCTGCTAGGCGTCCTCGGCGCAGCCGGCGCCTACACCACGATCCGCTACATAGGGAAACGCGCGCACGCCCTCATCACGGTGACCTACTTTTCCGTCTGGAGCACGCTCGTCAGCACCGCTTGCCTCATCCTCTTCCCGCTCCTCAACATCGGGCAGGACCAGCCGCCACGAGTCAATTTCGCGGGTTTGCTCCCGTCGTCGGCGTACGAGTGGTTCCTGCTGCTGTCGCTCGGCGTCTGCGGGTTTGTGATGCAGTTTATGATGACAGCGGGCATTGGTGGGGAAAAGTCGAATCGTGCTACCGCGATGGTGTATACGCATATGCTGTTTGCGGCTGGGTTTGATCGGTGGGTTTTTGGACACCAGATGGGGGTTGTGAGCTTGGTCGGTTGTGGGCTGATTGTCGGGAGTGCGCTGTGGGCGGCGCTGGGGAAGAAGCAGGGTAGTGGACAGGGAAGGAAGGAGGGTGATGTTGAGAGGGGTGAGAGGGATGGGGATGGGATGGGAAGTGAGGAGGGGATGCCAATGCTTGATGGTGTTGGGGTTGATAGAGAGGAAGAGGTAGAAGATGGAGGGTTGCCGGGGAGGTAGGATGACAGTAGATTTGCATCACAACTGAGGTATTATTAGCTGTGCATACTTTACGCTGGCCGGTTTGACGAGGGGCGGACAACCCGGGCCGTCCGGAAGTTGCCCTTCAGCACCAGCCAGCGCTTTACATGGAAGATCTGCGATTCTGATTTCAACGACCACCGCCAGTAGCTTAACGGTCAATGGTGGTGGTCACCCTGGGGTTTTGGTTGGGATCTTCTGGATCTTGTCCCGAGAGGTCACCAGTCCGACTCAAAGCCCCGCCGCCGCCTCGCCCTGTGCACCCCCGCGAAGTAGGATTCGTAACTGGCTACTTCTCTTCAACCGCCGATGAGGGTTAGCTGGTGAGCTTTTGATAGTTGGCAGAAGAGATACTTTGAAAGTTGGGCATTCTGAAGGGCTGGCCCAGCGCCTGCACCGTTTTTTACCACTCTATGACCTCCATATATCGAGTCAAAACCTGAACTTGGATGGTTTTCTTAGGATCCTATAAGCAGTGCCCGTTCTTCTCCTTCCAAGGTCCAACTCTCCTTTTATGCTCCAGCTCTCTCACCCAGGTGAACGATCTGCACACCGATACGCACAGACCACCTAAGTGTTGGATGTTCGCGCTCGAATTTTGAAGCTTCAAGCTGGCGCCCAGATCCAGTTCACACCCTTGCCAGCAAACCGTCTTGTCCAGCCTTGCCGTTTCCTTCCAAACATCAACCAATTCCCGCTGTCTTGCGTCAACCGTCCCGAAATCGTCCAACAGCACAACAGCACAACAGCACAACAGCACACAATGGTACAAATCAGCGAAGTGCGCGGCAACACGCGCGACCACCGCACGGCGGCCCACACACACATCAAGGGTCTCGGTCTCAACTCGAGTGGCATCGCCGAGAAGCAAGCCGCTGGCTTCGTCGGCCAGGCTGCCGCCCGGGAGGTATGCAGTACACCATGTACATGGTATGCGGTCCGAGACTGACATGGAATTCTCTTTCTCCTTTTACAGGCCTGCGGAGTAGTTGTCGACCTCATCAAGGCACACAAGATGGCCGGCCGTGGAGTGCTGCTGGCGGGCGGGCCTGGCACGGGCAAGACGGCGCTGGCCCTCGCCATCAGCCAGGAACTCGGCACCAAGATACCCTTCTGCCCCATCACCGGCAGCGAAATTTACTCGACCGAAGTTAAGAAGACCGAAGTGCTCATGGAGAACTTCCGCCGCGCAATCGGGCTCAAGGTCCGCGAGACCAAGGACGTCTACGAGGGCGAGGTCACGGAGTTGACACCAGAGGAGGCCGAGAACCCGCTTGGCGGCTACGGCAAGACCATCAGCACCTTGCTTATCGGCCTCAAGAGTGCCCGCGGCCAAAAGAAGTTGCGGCTCGATCCCAGCATATACGAAGCCATCCAGAAGGAGCGGGTCCAGGTGGGCGACGTCATCTACATCGAGACCAACACGGGCGCCTGCAAGCGCGTGGGCCGGTCGGATGCCTACGCGACCGAGTTCGACCTCGAAGCCGAGGAGTACGTACCGATCCCCAAGGGCGAGGTGCACAAGAAGAAGGAGATTGTCCAGGATGTGTCGCTGCACGACCTCGACGTGGCCAACGCCCGGCCTCAGGGCGGCCAAGACATCATGTCCATGATGGGCCAACTGATGAAGCCCAAGATGACCGAGATCACCGACAAGCTGCGTGGCGAGATTAACAAGGTCGTCAGCAAGTACATCAACCAGGGCGTGGCTGAGCTGGTACCCGGCGTGCTCTTTATTGACGAGGTATGTCTCAGTCAGATGTGACTGCAGTGCGGGGGAGGGATTGTGTGGAGTGGTGGAGCTGACTTTGACCGATTCCCCGTTGTTTAGGCACACATGCTGGACGTCGAGTGCTTTACCTACTTGAACAAGGCGCTGGAGTCGCCCATCTCGCCGATTGTTGTGCTCGCCTCCAACCGAGGCATGGCCACCATTCGCGGAGCGGACGACCTCAAGGCCGCCCACGGCATCCCTCCAGATTTCTTGACCCGTCTTTTGATTATCCCAACCCACCCGTACGAGCCCGACGAGATCAAGCGGATCGTTCGCATCCGGGCGTCCACCGAGGGTGTACAGGTGACGGACGCCGCCATCGACAAGATCGCCGACCACGGCGTGCGCATAAGCCTCCGCTACTGCCTCCAGCTGCTGGCCCCTGCGAGGTATGATCTTTTGGTCTCGGGTGCCCGCTGCATATATGTGGAGAGAGAGAGAGTGGTGCTGACGGAAACTTGACAGCATCCTTGCCCGGGTCAACGGCCGCAACCAGATCGACGTCCAGGATGTCGCAGAGTGCGAGGACTTGTTCCTGGACGCCCGGCGGAGCGCCGACGTCCTCGCTAGTGAAGCCGGCCAGGGCTTTCTTCCATGATTGCATTAGCGCACGCGGCGTTTTTTTTTAGTAGTTGATGGGCCATGGGGGCTAGCAGGGGTTTGGGGCGCAACTCTGTCACATTTCTAATCTCTGCTTGTATGATAGAATATGGGAATGGGCAGGACAGGTTGGGAAAACTGCGTTGAGGTCGGAGTTGGCGCGGGGAATGCTCGTTTTCGATTTAGTTTGGTTGTTGTCTGGCCCATTTTGTGGCATCTGGCTGGCGGTTGGTTGCGCGGGCTGTCGGTGTTCAATGAACGTCAGATACCTATCCTTCCCCTATGAGTAATTACCACCAACACAGAAACACCCAACCGACTGTGCTTTCCTGCACAGTTGCCTCTTGGTCTGTTAGAGCACTTCAAATGGCAAATAGGAAACGAACCTGGCGAAGTAAGTAAATAGGTGGTGGTTAGCCCGATTCGGCCGACATGGTCTTTGTTCGGGGCTGCGCATTCCAGAGGGCGGCATTCTGGGAATTCCTTTGAGCCCATTGTCCCGTGGCTGAGGAAGAGGCCGGACTGATGAAGGTTGAGAGAGTGGATGTCTGCCCCCTCCACTGCGCAATACTGCGAACGGAAATTCTGCAAACGCTGGAGACAAAGAACCATGGGATGGGCATCTCCACTGTCCTGCGGCGCATTCCCGAAACATCTGAAGAAAACCCACCAGTCTTGCCCACGGGTAGCTGGGGCCGGTCTGCCGCGTGCCCGTCATAATACCATGTCCGGGTTGCCAATGGGATAAGGGTATTCACGTTTCTGTTTCGGGCCAGGGTCATTGTCCGGCCGGTGAGTGGGATGGGGAGGATGAGAACTCACAAAGGAGACAATCCCAGGAGACCAAGCCCCCTCCAAAGCTCTGGAACTGATTTATTATCATTCATTGGGAGAGGCCAGTGGAACAGACCACTTTTTGTCCCCTTCCTTCCTAGAGCTCGCCCGCCCCCTTTCTTTCTTCCCTCCTCGCCGTCCTTGTAAAGCAGAGACACACAGATCACCAAGGTCCCCAGTCAACTGGAACAGGGCCCTCAGCGGTCACATCTGTGTGCTTCTACCCTCCTCCGTTTGTCGATAACCGTTTCCCAGGGGCGAGGGGAGAAAATGACAGAAGTGGTAGCCACTTCTTCGCAACAGTGGCACGTCCCTTCCGCACCGACGGGCCCCGTTACCCGCTCAGCCATGGCTGCGAAACCGGGCCCGGCAGCACCGGCAGTGGAGAGACAGCACGGATCCGAGACCTCACCGACAGCCCCTTTATCTTCTTCCGGCCCATCCCGGCCCTCCAAGCCGTCTGAGGATCCCCCCAGGCGTGGTATAACTAGAAAGCGTGCTGCCTCTATCAATACGGAGGAGGCCAACCGGCCCAAGATCGAGAACCTGAGCCTCAGCACGCCGCCCACTGCCAGTTCAAGGCCCTTTGACGGCGGCAGTGACCTGATTTGCCTCTGTACCCCGGCCCCGAAGGTTCCCAGGCCAAGAAACGGTATGTCTTCTTTGCTCTTGCCATGGTTGTTAGCAGAAAAGGCAACTTACACCCTCACTTCCCTGTTCCTTCATGTCTTGGGGGACACTCGCCTCTTCCTTTATCAGCTTGCATTGATGCGCACTGGAACGCAAGGGAGGAGATCAACTGCTGACGTAGACACTTGCCCAGCCTTCATTCTTTACCGCCAGCACCATCAAGCGCACGTGGTCCAGCAGAACCCCGGGCTCGCCAACCCAGAAATCTCCAAAATCATCGGCGAGCAATGGCGCCTGGAGCCTGAGGAGCGTAAGAGCCAGTGGAAGCTGCTGGCCGAGGAGGAGAAGCAGCGCCATCAGCGAACGTACCCCGACTACCGATACCAGCCTCGGCGCGCAAACAAGACCGGAAATCCGCAGTCGACTCGGCCCGCTCCTGCGCGAGGCCAGGATCCGCACCATTGCCCAAACTGCGGCGGACGGTACATCGCCACGCCCAGAACGCCCTCCACACCATTCATGACGCCCACGACCACCAAGCCGGGCAGCGCACCGTACGGCCCTCCCCCGCTGAGCCAGCACCCAGGCCTTGCTTCGCGCGCCGACATGAATCGGTACGGCCGAACCCACCCGCTTTGGGGCAGTTCCCAACCCCCCGGCAGCCTGTACGACATCCAGAAGGATTACGACCGCGCCATGTCCCCGAACGAGTCCAAGCGCCGCCGGTACAACGCAGCAGGAAGCTACCACAACTTCCACGTCCTGCCGTCTCCCCCTCCTCCCTACCCACAGCCCGGCTACCCTGCGTCCTCTCCCCCTCCCCACCCGCGGCAATCCTCCTTCAGCAACCCGCCCACACCAGCCAGCTTCGCCCCCGGCCCCGGTCCGACTCCCCTTTCCGGCCCTTCCTCCATGCTCCCGCCGCGAAGCAGCCCAGGCCCGATGCCACCGCCGCCACGGCCTTCCCATTCCGTCCCGGTCGCGGTACCCGTCACCGGACAGCAGTACCCCGCCGCTGTGCCTCATTCCTTCTCACGCAACAACAACTCCGAATTCGACGAGTCCCTCCGCCTCCCGCCGCTGCAGACCCATCTCCCCGCGTCGCCTGACACCAGCGAGTCCAGCACAGGCGGAGCGGCCGCGGCGGCGACTGCAGGAGTGACGGGGCTGGGAATCTTGCATTCGACGCCGACTATCCCTTCGTATGCAGGTGGCGGTAGTGGTGGGGGTGCAGGAGGAGTGAAGAGGGAGAGGGATGCGGCGGCACGGAGTGTCGAGGCGATGGTGATGAGTATCTCGTTTGTGAATAAGTTGCGGGTGCTCGAGAGAATCAGTCCGCCTCTGGGCATGGAGAGCGGTGGGTTCTCCGGGCCTAGGGGCCCGGTGATTGCTATCGAGGGGCCGGATCAGAGGTTGGTCAGGGCTGTGGCGGGGGTTGTGGAGCGGGCGCTGAGGGCTGCGTCGCCTGCGGCGGAGGGCGGGTGGGAGGTTAGGTGCTGGGAGGATGGGAGTGCGAGTGGTGGTGGTGGTGTTCAACAACAAGAGGACGATATGAATATGGTTGACGTCGGGGTGGTCGATTCGGCTTCGCGGCACGGAAGTCAGGCCAACATCGCCACGTCCCCCAGTTCGGGTAGCACTCACGCCAGCATCAATCCCTTCACGGCCTACCTCCGCACCATCACACATTGGCACGCCAAGTCGGCCGAGATTGTTCAATTTGTCGCCGGCGCCGGCTCCCCGGCCGTCCGCCAACCCCGCCTCTCAACTTCATCCGTTACGACCGCCTCCTCTTCTTCAACATCCGCAGCCGACCCCAACATGACAGAACCCGAATCCGAGGCCACACCGCGCCCGTCAACCTCAACCCGGCGGCATCCACTTCCTTCCCACCCAATCAGCCCGACTACCTCAACGCCCACCACAGCAACAACCACCGTCGAAACTCAACCGCAAACACAGATTCAGGGACAAGATAACAACAAAAAAAAGCCACTGCCCATCGCCCTCCTACCCTCAGGCTTCTCACTCAGCCTGTCAGATCGCTTTGCCTGCGCAGTGCCCATCGCCGACGCCTACGCGCCTGTGGATCACTGGCAGTGGATGGCGACGCTGTGGCGGGGCATTGTCGGGGCGGATCTGGTGGTGTATGTCTCCCCTCGTATGGGACATGGACATGGACATGGGTATGGTGATAGCGTCACAGAGGGTAGTGTCGTTGGGGGTGGGACGGTCGAGATCAAGAGTGCTGGGTTGATTGTTGCTCGGGTGCCTGTGCCTGGTTCTTGGTATGGACGGGGGGACCGAGACATTATGACGGTGGATGAAAAGATGAGAAGGAGGTTGGGGTTTGAGGTCGTGGAGTGGGTGCGGGGTGCGGGGTGGGCGGGGTCAAGCCGGGGGATCATAGAGGGACATGAGGGGTTAGAGTCGTTCTAGGGGTTCGAACCTGGATGTTCGAGTTCTTGTGAGGGGTCCCAGTGAGCTCGGGCATTGTTGGTTGCCTTGGTGATTGACGCATCTGGCTGTTTATTTTGGAAATTTGGATTACAGAGAGACTGAGACGTTGTGGTATTCTAGCTAGGGGGTGGCATAGCTCATGGGAATTTGATGTCGTACCTTGAACTGCTTGTGCCTATTGTTCCAACTTTCCACCCGATGTCTCCTAGTTGTTCTGATGTGCCTGTTTTCCATGTCTTTAACCTGCTTTGACATTAGACGGAAGATGGCGGCATAGTGAGCGGGAGGTCGTGATCCCTAGCCAGGATTGTAGTCATCGTCCCTCGGGCTTGGACGTGCCCAGGTGTTTTCGGAGGAGACAGAGTAAAGTCACTTCTTCTACGAGCTGGATGTCGAATTTCTAGGCTGGTACTATCTGATAGTGGTGTGTAATCGAATGGGTTTGGTGGTTTCGGCGAGGGACATAGCGCAGCGAAGCGGATAGGGTCGCGAAGAGAGGCTTGTCGAGTCAGATCTTTGCCCGCTGCTAGTTCAATCTTTATATATTTTGGCGTTCTTTTGGATTTCTTGTCCACGTCCTTGATGCTTCTTCCAAAGAACGCCCTCCTCCTCGGATGGACACAACCAACGCCACGTACGTGAGATCAGACGAAGGCCAATCGCGCCACCAATCAGCGTCACAGCCAAGAGACAGACGAGATGCAGCTAAGACAACGCTAAAGTGTCTCGGGAACCGGCAAGTGGGTCACGATCGACCCCAATCTTTTGGAGAGGTCAATGGGATGGCCTGAATCTGCAACCTCCTGCAATGGCGAAATGCCACACCTATTTGCGCGTGCTCTGTGTGATTTTTACCGTCGCACCTCGATGCGAATTCTGCCAGCACTTCCCGATACGTGGATACCCCCGTGGAATTTTCCTGAATTGGTCTCGTGCGCTTTCCTTTTCCAATTCGTGTTGCTTAGATGCATATATTTTACCCCACATTAGTTCCATTCTGGTATATGTGGGCCCTTGCCCATGTGGGCCGCACCTTTCTCCCGCGAGTCCTTAAATTACGAGCCAGACGTGCTTCCCTTCTCCCAACCTCCACTTTCCAAAACAACAAAAGTTTGCGAACTGAGTTTTCTGATCAACTGCAAGACCAAAGCATTCAGAGCCCTTTCCAAAGCCTTGAAACACTACATTCAAATCCACCGACCCCAACACGATGTCTCGTCAGGCATAGGTCGCTGTTTTTGACACCATGTCGTGGTCCGAGTTCACCGAGGGCCGCAAGGTCCAGCTCAACGATTCGCGCAAGGGCACCATTCGCTATGCCGGCCACACCCTATTTGCTCCCGGTCTCTGGATCGGTGTCGAGCTCGAGGACGCCTCCGGCAAAAATGACGGCAGCGTCAACAACCATCGCTACTTCGATTGTCCCATGGGCCATGGTATGTTCGTCCGGCCTGCTGCATTGAAGCTCCTGGCTGGTCCGCCCGCGCCTTTCATGCCTCAACCTGCGAAAAAGACGCGCCCAAGCAGCACCTCCATGGCCTCCTCTCGCGTGTCGACACCTGCCGACCCTGGACTGCCCAAGCGGATGAGTCTCAACAATCCTAGTCCGACACCTGGCCAGAAGCCTGCGCGCACACCCAGCGGCATCCGAGTAAGCCTTGAATTTCCTTTGTTTACATTTCGACGCGTCTCTCTCCCCTCGACGCTTTGCCTTCCCCACTCCCCCGCAACCCCTCGCCATGCGAGGCACCTCGCGGACTTCATCCTGGCCTCGTCGCGTTACATCTCCCCGCGACGCGCCTCACCCCCTCGCAATGTGAGGCACCCGGCAGACCTCGTCGTGACGTCGCTGCTTGACTCGTCGCTTTCGTCTTCCCCCTTGCAGTGCGTGGCACTTGGCAGGCGCGTTGGTTGACGCGTCTCATCATTCTTATCACTGCGAGCACCTGTGAGACCTCTGTCTGACGCCACTCAGTCCCCCACCAAGCAGCTGGGCGCCACTGCGGCACCCAATGGCCCCCCTTCCCGCACCACCACCCCCGCCACGATGGCCAGAGCTCCGTCTGCGCCTGCCGTCCGTGCTCGCCCGTCTGTCTCAGCGGGTCGGGCGTCCATCGTGCCTCCGGTGCCCCGACGGGCTTCTGTGCCCAAGGGTGCAGCCGCCACCACCACACCCACCACCATTGCCGCCACCGCCACGACGACGACCACCGCCACGACTAAGCCGTCGGTCGCATCTGCCACAGCGACTAGCAAGGACAAGGAAAGCGACAAGGAGGACGACAAGAAAAAGGACAAGGAGATCGAAGATCTCAAGGCCAAGCTCCGTGCCTTGGAGAAGAAGCGGTCGGAAGACCGGGAGAAGGTTCGTAGCGCCACACCCGGCACAGTGCCCATAGAGCAGAGACTGACAACAGTAGATCAACGCTCTCGAGAGAGTCAAGAGTGAGCGGGATCGATTCGAAAGAATCATCCAGACCCTCGTAAATGACCTACCTAAAATTCAATGTTTGTGGCTGCTCACTCACACGATGATCCACAGCAAATCAAATACCAACCACAACAACAAGAGATTGCCGATCTGCGAAGGCAACTCAAGGAGGCGGAGGCGAGATTCAACAATGTCGAACAACTCCAGGAGGAGCACGAGTCAGCCATGGAACTCGCGACTCTCGACAAGGAAATGGCTGAAGAAATGTGCGATGTTTACAAGACGGAGCTTGACACTCTTCGGCAAAAGACGGAGGAGCTGGAACTCGAGGTCGACATCCTGCGCGAGGAAAATGCCGAACTCAGCAAGGGAATGTCCTCAGAGGAGAGAGCCAGCACCGGCTGGCTCCAGATGGAGAAAACCAACGAGCGTCTTCGCGAAGCTCTGATCCGACTTCGCGACCTCTCTCATGAGCAAGAGGAGGAGCTGAAAGCTCAAATCAAGGGACTCCAAGTCGACCTCTCGGAATTCGAAACACTAAAGGACCAGTTCACCGCGTGCAAGGAGGATCTCGCCCAGAAGGAATCCACCATTGAGGATCTCCGGGAGCAACTTGACAATGCCCTCGGCGCCGAGGAGATCATCGAGAGCCTGACGGAACAAACCATGAATCATTCCGAAAAGATCAAGGAGTTGTCAGCTACGATCGCCGAACTCGAGGATCTTAGAGAGATTGCCGATGAGCTGGAGATCAACCACGTCGAAAACGAGAAGGAGCTGCAAGCAACCATTGACGAGAAGGATGCCATCCTTGCGGAGCAGGCCCGCCAGATGGCCTTCCAGAAGAAAACCATGGACGACATGGAGTACACCATTTCCCGGTTCCGAGAATTGGTCACCAGCCTGCAGAGCGACCTGGCCGATATGCGCGCTTCGCATGCCGTCACTGAAAACGAGTCCGAGCATCTCAACGCCCGTTCCCGCGCCATGCTGGATCTGAACATGAAGCTGCAGATTTCGGCTGCCAAGGCCCAGGTAAAAACCATTGACCTGGAGCTCCGCCGCATGGAAGCTCAGGAGGCCGAGCAACACTTGGAGATAGTCACCTTGTTCCTTCCGGACGCCTATCAGTCCGACAGAGACTCGGTCCTTGCTCTGTTGAGATTCCAAAGACTGGCATCCAAGGCGGCCATTCTCAACCGGTTTGTCAAGGAACGCGTCAACGGCCAGCCCCACCCTGGTCACGAACACGAGATTTTCGACGGTTGCAGCGCCATGGACAAGCTTGCCTGGGTTTCTTGCATGTGCGATCGTTTCATCGATTCTATCAGCCACTGCTCGCTTGAGCAGTTCACCAAATACGCAGGTGCCCTGTACGAATTGGAACCTGTCGAGAGAGCTTTGAACGGATGGATCGACGGCATGAAGCGCGACGAATTGAAGGAGAAGCAGTGCGCCGACGAGCTTCACCGGACCATCGCCCTGATGACCCACCTGGCCGAGGTGCACATTTCAAACGACTTGGAGTCGTTTGCCGACGACATCCACATGAAGGCTCTGCTTATGCAGACCCACCTGGAGTCTGCCGCCATCTCTTTTGCCACCACGGCGGCCATGGTTCAACGCATCGTCACCCAAGACGAAAACGAACTTTGCCAACATTTTGTCAAGAAGATCGAGGGCGTCGTCACCCAGACCCGCAGCGCCAAGGTCATTGCGGCCAAGACTGTCCACGCCCTGGAGGATTTGAAGTCGAGGTCGCTGTCACTTCTGCCTGAGACCCTCGACGTATTTGAGCAGTGTGAGACTGCGACCGCAGAGCTCGCTGACATGTCAAGAAAGATCGGCCTGGGCGTCCATTCGCTTCTGCACGAGGAGGGCAGGACCGAGCCCTTCACGATCGCCGACGTTGAGACGTGCACCCAGAAGACAGCCATGGCCGCCTCCAACTCGACCGAGACGGAACCCTTTTCGACCTACCTGACGAAGCTCCGCCTCGTCACTTCGCAAATTTCCGACCTCTCTTCGCTGAGTTCCGACCTCAGCCAAACCCTGGAGTTTGACCGGCGCCCTGCGCCTTGGATCCTGCGGAGCCAGGAACTGAAGAACCTCAAGAACATTCCAATTGAAGCCGAGGCCGAGGCTCGTCGCCTCAAGGACGACCTCGCCAGTGCTCGCCGGACCCTCGCCATTCGCGAGGAAGATCTCAGCACCGCCCAACTCAAGATCGAGACACTCGAATCCCGGATGCGTGACGCCAAGGCCAAGGCATCGCGAGTTTCGGAACTGGAATCTCAGCTTGATGCCGCCAAGGAGGAGGCTGCCACCCTCTCGGAGAGCATCGAGAAACAAGACCGCGAACTCAAGACGCTGGAGCTCGAATGCGACAAGTGGAAGCACATCGCAAACAACAACCGTGTCGTTACCGGCAGCAATGCCCAAGGCGACGAAACCGGAACCAAAAACAAACAAGAACACGCCGTCGCCACTGCCACGATCGACAGCCTTAGGACAGAGATCGACGGCCTGCAGGCATCGGTTCGCTACCTGCGCGATCTCAACCTCCGCGCACGGACAATTGAACAAGCAAGTCACGATTGGCTGACCGAGCCACTCACCAAGAGGGCGTCGCCGGCCGAGCAACGCAAGGCCAACATCACCTCGGAGGGTAGGGCCGTCCTCGGGGAGCTGGTCAATCTGGCCAGCAAGGCCACGGTATACGACATGGCGAGCTTACCTGCGGATAAGGTGGCGTGGAAGCCTGCTAAGAGCACGCCGCAATACCATGCGGCGAAACAAATGGAGGAATATGGAGCGTGGAAGGGATGGGAGGATGCTACTGTCAGAAGGGGAAAAAAGAAGTATAAGGGGCTGGGGATGAAGGACAGGCAGGGGAAGCTGAAGGTGTGCGTTTCTGCGGCGCAGTCGGGAAACCAGATGGCGATGAAGCAGATGCGGATTTTTGTGAGGAGATGAGAGGGGATGAGAGGGGATGAGAGGAGATGAGCGGAGAAAAGGATTGTTTTTGGGAGAGCGTTAAAGGGGGAAGGGGTTTTTTTATCTTGTCAGCGGGTGCAGTTTTCCAGCGGGTGGTTTTCTCAGCGATTGTAGTTCGTGGTTTGAGGACCGTTGGCTTTTCGCTTTTCTCAACGGTTTTGCTTTGTTTCTCAGCGGTCGGCATTGTTAGAAGTCGGAAGCGGTTTTGGGTGGAGGCGTTCGGGAAGACATGGTCTGTTTCTTGAGATACCCCTATAGCGTTGTTTTGGAACCGGAGTGGTTGTTGGTCCGATGCATCTTGATTCGGATTGTGTGTCATGTCTTTCGTTTGTGCTTGTGATATGTTGACACGCCAGTCTGGATGCTTGCTCCGAGGAGACGTATAGATGGAAAGGAGGAAGGCAGAGGGAGAGTTGGGCGCTGTGAATGGAGGGAACAGAGAAACATGAAGGATAGAGAGACAGGTAACATGCTTTATTTTTACACCGCCGCTACCAAAGTCTATTTCCCCTTGCCCTTGCCCTTCTTGCCCCCTCCTGAACTCCCGCTCGCACCCGCACCACCACCACCACCACCCCCGGCAGCAGCCAACAAGCTCGCCATGTCCGGCATCCCGCCGGGCCCAGCGCCGCCCGCGCCCATCTCCTTCATCATGTCCTTAAGGAAATTCTCGCTCACCCCGCCCCCGGTCATAGCGGGGCTGTAGTACGGCAGCAGCTCCCCCATCTTCCACCCGCGCGGCACCGCCGGCCGCGGCCACGGCTTGCCCGGGTCCAGCGCCTGGGGCGGCATGGGCGCGCCGCGGACTTCCATGCGCAGCGCACGCGATTGCTCAGTCGTCGGGTTCGCGCGGAGGTGCTTGGCGACGAGTATGTAGAGGTGATGTTTGTTGTTGATCTTTGTCCCTCCCACAGCGGGTTGAGACGGTTGTTGCTGGCGGAGGTTGACCTTGACCCGCCCCGGGTTGGCCCAGTCCTTGGGGTGCAGCTTTCCTGCCTCCAGAACGGTCGGCAGCCGCAGGTTGGCGCAGGCCTGGACGATTTCGATGGCGAGAGGGTTGTGTACTGCCAGGGAGCGGGGCACGCGCCGCCCCTCGGCACGGGTGCGGGATGCGTCGAAGTAGACTGGGTAGAGGCACTGGAAGGACTTGTAGGGGGTCTCGTCGGTCGTTCTTTGCATCTGGACGCCGGCACCTAGTCGCGTGGTGGTCGTTTGAGGAGGAGGTGGTTGGGAAGGGCGGTTTGCTTGTTGAGCCGTGGTGGGTTTGGTGGTTGTGTCGACTCGGCGCATGATGTCGGATTCGACAAAATCGTCGATGTCGCCCTCGGAGGGGTCCGACATTTCAAGGTCGCTGTCCGAAACTTCTTCTACCCGTGGTTGGGACATGGCCGGCGATGGTGCAGTGGAATGTGCAGTGGTGGTGCATGAGGGAAGGAGAAGCGATGCGATCTTCAGAGGAAGGATGTTGTTAGCGGGGCCCATTGTGGAAGTTAGGTGTGGTCTGTGCTCACAGTGGGCTGGTGGGGTAGGTGCTGGGGGTTTGTAGACTGGGACTCTCAGGGTCCAGCATCCTGGCTTCCAACATCCTCCCTTTCGGACAAAACATCAATTGATGAATAGGAGATGATCCGTATGGGAACGTGATCATTGTCGAATGCTACTTTGAGATCAATTCGTCTGTTACCAGAAGTAATGCGGTCGTCACCACCTTATTCCTAATGGTGCCTTGGTGCCAGAGATGGCCGCCCACTGCATTGTAGGCTCTGATAAACGTGATGTTCACTTGGTGCAGAAGGAGTTCGGCCAGGACTGCGGTTCAACTTGCACTTTTGCCGCTTGGAACTCAAATCATCCCAGGCACGCACGACCAGAAATTGGCGAATCACGTTTATCAAATTGAGGCATCACAAGGCATATTCCGAGCCACACAGTCAGATCCGAAGCTGGACCACAGCTGTCAGACAGCCCAGAGCCCATTACGGTTTTCGGGTCGCCTTTCCTCTTGTTTGATCAATCTCCATTCGCTGCTATAAACACCAACATATAGCACGCATCATTAAGGAACCTCTGGGCGAGGATCTTGTTCCTTGCATGGAATGCCTACGGAACGGCCAAGTCGCCTCGCAGCCATAGCAGCAGCGACGGATGTCAGTAGCACCATCGCCGAGTTTGTTCACCGATACCAGAGTCTTTCTCTGCACCGAGATTCCCAGGATAGCTTGGTCAAGGTATCGTTATCCCGGTACTCCCATCACTACCTAGCTAGGGCCCTTCATCTGACACTGTCATCCCAGGACCTCATCCTCTACTCCGAGGTCCATTGAGTCGAGTCTTCGGGGAGAGAACGAAAACCTGTTGAGCAGGCTACGAGACATAGAACCTAACCTCGAAGATGCTACTCGGTCAAGGCGGGACTTGCAGCAACAGGTCCAGCAGCTGCAGGTTTACCGAGGGGCTGCACTGCAAGAACACCATCATTTGAAGGTAGCATCACCAACTGACAGTCCCGGCCAACGCTCATCTTCAATGCAGAATAGTAATCCATATGTTACCGGTTTGATAGACGGTGATGGCCTCATTGTGAGTCACCTCCCCACCCCGGATCATACTTCTATATTTCCTGACATGTGCGGTTAGTTTAAGCAATCATTCATAGCCCAGGGCGTTGAAGGCGGAAAGAAGGCAGCCTATGCCCTGCGAAGCGCCATTCTTGAACAATGCGGCAGTCATGCCGCCAACATTGAGATTATCACCAAAGTCTACGCCAACCTGGCCGGTCTCGGCAAGGCCATGCGTCGCGACGGCAGTCTAAGCAACGAATGCCACCTCAAAGACTTCTCGTTAGGCTTTACCCAGGCCAAGGCAAGTTTCGACTTTGTCGATGTCGGCCATGGAGAAGAGAGGGCAGATGATAAGATCAGGGGTAGGGAGTCCGTCCAGCTTGACCTGACCACGCATGAACTAACATTAGAGGCGAACAGAAGCTACTAAATAGCATCTCCGCAACAACAACTGCGCACAGGTTATTCTTGGCATCTCCCACGAAGCCGGTTGCTCCGTTTTTCGACGAGCTGTTTCAGGATGTCTCCCTGCGGATCCGAGTTACGGTTCTTGAGGGCATCCCCGCAGTCCGCGAGCTCGCCGCAACTGGGGTGAACATCCTGAATCTGAACGACAGGCTCTTCCGGTCCGAGAAGTTGGTGGACAGAGTCTCGATCCTTCCCCCCCCCCCGGAACCTTACTCCCCAGCTGTGTCCGTTGAAGCCAAAGCCACGGCAGCGAGCGTCACCCGCGTCGGCACTCGACGCCCGCCCAGGCCCCCGCCACCACCTACGCCCGAGCGGCCGTTAAAATTCCCACTCCTCCGCCGCCACAGGTCACCCTCCCGACGCAGCCCAAACCAGCCTCTGCGCCGGCCCGCCCCCAGCAACCGACAAAACCCGCACCGTGGTAAGCAACCGAAGCCTCTTCCCATCCTATCCCAAGACAAAAGTAAGCAACAAACACAGAACTGACGAAATTTACCTGTACAAAGGAACCCCGAGCCCCGCGGCCTGGACCTGCCCCTCCAAGTCTCCCAATCGGCCCTCGACACCATCAAGAAGCGCAAGGACCACAACAAGCTCTGCAACAACCACTACCTGCGCGGGCCCTGCGCCAAGGGGTCCGCCTGCATGTTTGAGCACAAGTACAAGCCGACCAAGGAAGAGCTGGTCGCCATTTCGTTCCTGACGCGGCTCAACCCGTGCTCGAACGGGCAGCGGTGTGAGGTGGAGGATTGTATTCATGGGCATCACGTACGTTTATCCTCGTTTTAGACTGTTATCCTTTGTTGGCTCGATGTTGGACTGGGGAGGAGGGAGGTTAAGTGTGGTATTAGGCAGCATCCTGCTAACCTCTTGTGGCGGTGGCTGTAGTGTCCGAGTGTGCGGGATGGTGTGTGTACGCACCCGTTTTGCAAGTTTGGAAAGGAGGATCATCCGCCCGCGACGAGGATTAGGCTTCACAAGTCTTAGGATGGATGGATGAAGGTTGATTGTACCTTTGCTAGGTGCTGGGCTGGGTCAGGCAGGACCAGCAGGAGGGGACGTAAAATTGGTATATACCCATGCCGCCTCCGACTTGTTGGGCGCAGCGTCATGAGTTGTCTGGCGTTGTGGAGACATAAGGGGTTAACTCGGTGATGATTTTAACGAAACATTTTCACCCGTTGTAGCAGGCAATATCAGTGAAGAAAGGGGACATGAATATCATGAGACTATCCTGTGGAACACCTGGCAAGATTGTCATGCCAGTCATATGTAGCTTGCTTATTGGGGAGTCTGTTTGGGTCCATGCTCTTCCCAACAATCAGCGGGTCTGCACATCCCCTGAATACTGGCAGTTTCTTAAGCGTTACATGCGGGAGTTGGAACCGCCCCAGGCGTCGCCTTGTGGTACCAGATTTCTGCTCTCCCCAATTTGCCTGGGTGAGTATCTAGACGGCTATCTAGTTAGGAGCTGAGGGCGCACGAGGATAGCTGGGGCTCCGCGTCTCTGAGCTTTCACGGCCAAGCGGCCAAAAAGCTAACTCGATGCGCTACAGACTTGCTGCACGTGGAAAGAGATCGCTTCGAAAAGATGGTCAGATTACAGAAGGAAGATCGGTAAGGTATACAGCACATCCGGAAACACATGACCCTGAGCGTGACTGATTTGGACCTGGGTGTAGCCATGTTGGTTCGAGGCAGGATGGCTCGGGAGGCTCTTGAATATAGCCCTCGCGCCTTTCGAGTCATACAACCCCTTCTGAAGGGAGTCATCGTTTCGTTTCGCGTATCATCCAATCAATCAACCCCATTCGCGCTCTACGGCATGCTGTTCCTTTGCCTCGGACTTTTCTATTGACTTAAGGGTCTTGCGGAGATGCCATTTTGCTTCTCTCGCAGTCAGTCGTCGAGGAAGAGGGACAGTCACTTCGGCTGTTAAGGGGCCGCACCCAGTTGGCGTGTTGGCTTTACATTGCCGCCGCATGTGTCCAAGGAGCCATGCCGGAAATATAGTACGTACCTACTTGCAAGCCAGCTCCCTCCGGCATATTCATCCCAGTACTATCAGTTTCCTCGTGTGTGCCGCTCTCTCTCACGACTCTTCATAGATCTCGCCGCAGCCGACGCGGAAGGCGATGTCGTCGCGCCACTCTATCTGTAGCACCAACAGCTTCCAGTAATCGAATACATTCATCGGCGTCTGGCTGGCCACAGCAACGAATTCGTGCTTGCCGAAATCACTGATACCACCATTTTGGCCGCCCTTGTCCGGCACGGAGCAGGTGGCGGTACTCGTCATGGAGCCGACACGAATGCCAGAAGAGTCCATGATTGCCAGCGGGGAATGGTCGCTGTAACCGGGTGCCAATGTAAAGAAGGCCGAGCTAGCCAAGAAGAAGACGAGCTGCGACTCTGGGATTTTGCTCAGCTTGGCCGGGTATAACGATGGATACCCTTCTTCGAGGTCTTTTGAAGTAACAGGTTGGTCACGGCTGACATTCCAGCTCGGTAGCGCTCGGTGTTCTCTCGAGCCGGACGACGCCGTTCTGCGCTGAATAGGCTCGGGACGGAGAGGGTGATGGTGATGCTCAAAGCATAGGACTTCGCGAAACGGTCTAAGTAGGTATATCAACGGCGTTGGCCGAAAGGTCAGGTGGCAAGAGACGTCAGGTTAACGGGGCCAAACAAACAGCCGTCCAACTCACCCGCGCCGTCTGTATTGCTCTCCTATCGCAACAGTTGCTCCACCAATCCAGCCCATCCACGATCAGCTTGGAAAAGGAACCTTGACACGAAATGATGTCATGGTCAGGATCGACAGCTCGTTTCTACGTCCCGTGCCCGTTTTCGTGGTTGAAGTCCAGACTAGTCCATGTTCAAAGTGAGATCGCGGTAGACCCCGACTGAAGTCTTCACCCGACAGTGCCGACAAGCTTTGTAAGACGGCACAGAATCCGTCGAAGACGTCGCCTGGGTAGCTGAAAAACCTGTGGGTATAGTTGGACACCAGGGACTTGTAAAGTTCCCAGAAGTCCTCTGGGTCCCTGCCAGGCTCTGGCCGCAAAGACAAATTGGCTTGGCTCGCGTAGGCGCGACGGAAATGGAGCGGTGCGTTTTCAAAGCAGGATTCTTCGCAAAACGTGTCCTCCCGACAGGTTCAGTAAACCTGCTCGGGCATGAAAACGAGCATGCGGCGAGAGAGCACGTACTCCTGCATTGTCCAACCACGCTTGTTCCAAGGAGTCAGGCCCAAGAAATGCATGGATGGGCCTGGAAGCGGCTGCAGAGCCGTCATGAGTGACAGCCCAGAATCTGTCCCTCGATTGGTGCCGTTGGTGGCTCCGCCTGGTGGTATAATCATTACCTCTTCTTGAACAACCGAGCGCGTTCCCGGGCGTAATCCGGGCAGGCCGCCGTTGACCCCTGACGAGGACGCGGCGACGACAGTGAGAAAGGCAAGGGCGTATATCTGGCACATGGACCCTAACTGAATTCGTTTGTCCTCATCATCGTCCTGGAGGATGCAAAGTCGTCGATCCAGAGATGCCGGAAACCCAACGACTTACTTAGCGATATCGAATCCCTGATGGTCTGGGGAAGAGGCTTGGCGGCGAGGGCGCCCGCCTTTGCCAAGGCATCCTTGTTGCTTGTTTCCAGCTTCACTTCCTGTGGCCCGCCCCAAACGTAGCTGAGCACCAGGTACCGGTGCTCGAAGAAGCGGCTAGAGAGGATCCGGCTTTATCGATGTTGAGCTGATGGGCGTCGTCACCTTCGAGGACATTGACCTCTCGGAGTATCTATCGGGTGGTTCGCACGCCATGCCATGCTCCGCCTTGCAGATATTCATCCAACGAAGCACCCATTAGATATCGAGCACGAGGGGCCGGCGCCGTCCACCAAAAAACATCGTGTCAAGGCCGGACTGGGTATCCGCAAGTTGCCGGTCTGCCCTGGCCGATACCGCGCCGATGTCACAGGACTGGAATGCATAGAACAAGCCCTTCAGCAAGCCGGCGGCGTCGACATAGATGGACAGCCGACGAACCCGGTAGTGCCCGCCTCAAGAAAGGCTCTAACTACCAAAGTAAGACAACTCAGCCACACAATCATCCTCATCGCAGAAACGACCAGGCAGGTGTCGGTTCAGAGCATCTCCGATGAGCCGACAATGCGGGCATGTCCCCCCTCTCTGAAGAATGCTGCTGAAAGAACCAAAAGCGGTTTTTTCCAGAAAAACCTCGGCTTCTCTAAAGGGGTATCGGGTCTTGTCAACTCGTCCATCCTCAAGCGCGGGCAAATCAGAAACCAAGGGAAGTCTTAGGGCGTCAAACTTAATCTTGTTGCAGAACTCGCATAGGACAAGATCATCCATGCCGAGTTGAGCCTCCTGCTGGCCAAGAGACTGGGGATGCGAGATGTAGGCGGTTGAGTGTCGGCACTAGGAGCAGTGCGCACTGGAGCAAAGATCTTGGTGGATCGACAACGAGAAGACTCAAATATAGGAGACCAACTGCGTCCTTTCGAATTCAAGAAACCCCGCTCTGCTGTGCTAGGTGTAGTCTGCTATGCAGCACGGTCCTGGGCGCCCATTGGCTGGCCTGCTCACCAATTGGGCTAAATAGACTCGTGGTCGCACAGCAAACGTCAGGCTCGCCAAAAGGACATGTTGGTGCCTATGGCTTCATCAGACCGCCAACTTGGGACAAAGTGTGAGAAGGGTTTGAGGACGCCGCGGCGCAGAGGATTAGGAGGTCGTTTCGGAGATGCTAACCCGGGTCGGAGTCGAACTTGACTCGGCCGAATGCTTGGCGTGGTCATGATGTTCGTTGTTGTCCACCATGAATTTGGAAACGCCAACTGTGAGCCACAGGCATTCCACATTCAGCCGGCCAAGCAAGCCACTCTGTGAGTTGACGCTCTGAGTCAAGATGCTTCCCACATCCGACCGCAGTCTGCCATGACATGGCTCGTCTGGGATAACGGAACGAATATCCGCGCAAGGACTATGTGCGTCGGTCTCGAATGGGCAGCTCGATTGTTGACAAGCGTTAAATGCCCATCAGCGGTAGAAGGAGGAAGGTCGGTTTAATGTTCGATCAGCTGCTGGAAGTCATCGATAGTCTGCCCGATGGTTGGCCTTGCCACTTGACAGACACAGCCACTTGTCACACAAGGGGAAGGATTCTGGAAGACTTCTCCGTAAGGCATGATCAACTAGGCCCTAGCAACCTCCACGTCCTTCTGTGAACTCTTTGGCCCCTTCGGTCGGTCTGCTGGTGAGAACCGACGTCAGGACAAGTACTTGAGACCTGCGCTAATAGCTTGGCGCGTTGTCGTTCGCTGATTCTGACCAGTTAGCATTTTTGTTGAACTCTCCAGACTCAGAGAGAAACAATACCACCGAGAATGGTTTGAGATGCTGACATCAGCTCTGGAGCTCTGAGCTTCTGGGGACCAAGAGAGCACGGCCGGAGGAGTGGTACGACTCGAGGCTGTGCGACCATAAGGCGCTCCCCCGGCGCTCCGGCCTGAAAAAGTCGGTGGCATATCTGGCAACGAGCTGAATCACGGCAAATGCGGCAGGCCCATTCATTCCTTGGGCAGCGCACAGCCTCGAATGGGTGACAGTGGTTGGGCCGGGTGATGTCGAATGACGCACCATCCAGGCGCTGAGCATGATTATCGGTATGGCGGCATTGCACCACGACTACCTTGGGTAGGCAATGATGGCTTGCTCGGTCGGTCCGCAACACAGTAACCTAGAGCGTTCAACTAGGGTGCGTTTCTGGCAGTTTGTTGAACTCGATACGTGGTGAGCAGTTGCAAGTAGAAGCGATGGATGATCGACCGTATCCACCCTACTCCGATCGTGGGGTTGGCTTCGGCTTACTGGGTCGACCGTTCAGACGTTTAACCCAATGAGATGCACTTAGCTCCACATCCCGCTGCGGGGTCTCGCTTAGATCCACTTACTGCAGCACATCGATGCCCCACCCAAGCTTCCCGCCTGACACCTCAAACTGCCTCGACTACCCCCAAAACAGAATAAAGGCAAGACATGGGTTCCAAGTTCCATGTCCACAGATCGAGCTTCTCTTCAGTACCTGTCGGTTTTGCATATTCAGCAGCAACTTAACTTTGACCTCACCACTACGACTTCTACCATGGACGCTCACATCTCGGATCAAGGCTCCTGGAAGGGCAAGGCCACGGACAATGGCCCCTCCAACGGCGGCTTCCGGTCCCAGCAGGCCATGAAAGTCGAGCCACCACGCCTAGAAGACCTCCAGAAGTCCTATGCAAGCGTTCTTGAGGATCCTCGCAGCCCCGGCTGGTACGCCACGATGATTAGCAGTCTGGGCGAGTTCATCGGCACCCTGGGCGCCATCCCCTTCTGCGTTTGCTTCCCAAACCCCTTCAAAGAGGTCGACCAGGGCCACGTCGGGCTGATCACCAAGTTCGGCCGCTTTTACAAGGCTGTCGACCCGGGTCTGACTAAGGTCAACCCCTTGAGTGAGAGACTCACCTCTGTCGATATCAGGATTCAAATCGTTGAAGGTGCATTCATACACTTCTCTCCTGGTTACCATCAACAACACTAGCTGACACCCTACAGTTCCGAAGCAGACCTGCATCACCCGGGACAACGTGACCGTAATCTTGACAAGCGTCATCTACTACCACATCGTCTCGCCTCACAAGGCCGCCGTAAGCAATAATCTTCTTTGTTTGAGGACTGTTTATGCCCCTTGTGTCTGTCCCAGGAGCCATCCTGCTCCCGAGACAGCGCATTTCCTCCCGAAACGCCTCCGGACATTTCAGGACTAGGATATTCGAGCTGATATTGTTGGTAGTTTGGCATATCAAACATCCGCCAAGCTCTCATCGAGCGCACCCAGACCACGCTCCGCCACGTCGTGGGTGCGCGTGTGCTCCAGGATGTCATTGAGCGCCGCGAGGAGGTCGCCCAGAGCATCGGCGAGATTATCGAGGACGTTGCAACCGGCTGGGGCGTGCAGGTGGAGAGCATGCTCATCAAAGACATCATCTTCAGCCAGGAGCTGCAGGAGTCGCTCTCCATGGCCGCCCAAAGCAAGCGGATCGGGGAGAGCAAGATCATTGCCGCCAAGGCTGAGGTCAGCGCCGTTTTAATCTCTTGCCATTTCACAGTTCCATTGATACTGACTCCCCCCATAGGTCGAAGCAGCCAAACTCATGCGCCAGGCGGCCGACATCCTGTCTTCGGCGCCCGCCATGCAGATTCGCTATCTCGAGGCCATGCAGGCTATGGCCAAGAGCGCCAACAGCAAGGTCATCTTCCTTCCCGCCGCCAACCAGACGATGCCCGGGTCTGCGGCTTTCAATGCCACAGTTACCAACGGAGCTAACAGCAACCCGTTTGACGAGGGCGGCTCGGCGTCTGCTGGACACCATGACTCGGGACACGACTCGGGTTTTCAGCAGGCCCTGAACGCTAGGGTTATTGAGAACATCTAAGCTTTCTGTTCCCTCGCTTGTGGGCACGGATGGCAGGACGGTCTCTGAACCCAACCAGGTCGGCTACAGGTGCAACGCAGTTGACATGAGTTTCCACGGGTTATGATCTCGCCTCAGAGCTATTTATGTTTAATCGCTTCTTTTTACGTTCAACGAGCGGCTTTCTAGCTGAAGTGGGACGACGGACGGTTTTCATTTCGTCCCTTAATGTCACACGACGACGACGATGTCGCCCAAACGGTAATGAGGTTTTGCTCTTGGCAGTCCAACACTGTAGGGATATAGGAATTGCGGATGAACTCGGCGGATGGACCCCGTTTAGGCGTTGGTGGGATTGTATATGACAGGATTCTGGAAGGGCATTTGTCGACTTTGCTTTCCATTTAGTAGTGTTTGTACGATCTGACGCTAGTCTCAATGATATCACTGTCGTCTTGTTTTGCACATTGCATGTCAGACTTCGCTCGGAGATTTATCCATAAACACAAAAGAAGCAATGGACTAGGCCTAACCAGCCCTTCCCAAATTCTAGCCATGTGTCGGGAGATAATGAGCTCCTCATAAATAGAGCGATCGTCTTTGATGAGTTGGAGCGGATGGTCAACTGTGAATAGTAACGAGACCATTACAGGATATCTGTCTGTCACTTAGTCAACAGGTCAACACTCCGGCGTGTTGAACATGTCAATATTCCTCATGATACGGTGGTTGTAGGCTGGGGTGTTGATTCAACAGAGATACATGCTCAATAATCAAGACATGGCAGAATCATGAACGCTCATGACCATCGATCGGAAGTGTATACCCTATGTGCCAGACATAAAGACAAAAAGCTCACCGACACCACCTCACGCAGCAGTGTCGGCTACGAAAACCACTTCTGGGGTTTTACTGAGTAAGCAAGGGTGGGCTTAGCAAGTGTTCTTTTTCTTTTTTTTCTTTTCTTTAGCAAAGGTGCGAGAGCGATGACTCGAACCCGCGAGCAGAGCAAGTGTTAACGAACCGTGCTGCCCGGTGCAGCAGCGAGCAGTCCGGACCCTGCCAACTAGGCGAAATGCCTTGTGGGTGGGTCGTTGAATCTGAGGGGAACGCCGGCTTATAAAGCTGCGGAGGGTGTGGCGTTGCTCAATGGGTGGGAGGCAGGATGGGACGGAAGACGGGGCAGGTTCACGGGCCACGGGGAAGCAATGTGAGAGACTGGCATTGAACAATGGGTATCTACTTACCAGGCCTCCCTTTCACCCACTTATTTGTTTGTTTGTTCGTTTGTTTATTGAATGGTCACTTTCTAGTCATCGAATCCCTCAAACTCATCCTCACCACCACCACCACTCTTCTTCACCACCCCCTCCTCAGCATTCCGCCTCCTCACCTCACCAATCAATTCCTCCAACTTCCGCTGCTCCTCCTTCTCCTTCTCCGTCATCTGACCCAATCGCATCGCCTCCCTCTTCCGCCTCTTCTTCTCCCTCCTAGCAGCCTTCAAGTCCTCCTGCTCATGCTTCCCGCTCCAAGCCTCATTCTTCTTCCTCTTCAGCGAAGAAGCCCCGCCATCATTCCCGTTCGCGCGCTCCGCATCCCGCTCAGCCTTCTCCTTCTTCCACTTCTCCAGCTCCGCCAACCGCTTCTTCTCGCGGGCTTTATCCTTGAAGGGTATACTCGCCGTGTCGATTGCCAGGCCAAGCGACCGGTCCAGCCCTTTCACTTCGGGCATCTTGGGCAGCTCGAGCAGGCCGTAGCCCTTGGCGAGGTCGACCCAGTCGAGGTCGGCCACCCGGAAGATGGACGTCGCCTGGTGCTCGATGTAGCTGCGCGCCCAGCTGACAAAGGCGCGCTGCGCGAGCTGGAAGATCTCGCGGTCGGACTTGGCCTGGGCGCGGATCTTGGAGGAGGTTTCTTCGGCCTCGGCGTCGGCGACGGAGATGGGGGGCTTGTCGAGGGGCGTGATGGGTGTCTGGCGAACGTCGAGGAGCTGCACATAGCCTTCCTCGCGGCCGGGTTGGAGCATGATGACGGCCAGGCCCCGGCGCCCGGCACGACCGGCACGCCCACAGCGGTGAATAAAGACCTTGGTGTCGGTGGGCGGGTCGTGTTGGACGATCAGGTCGACCTGGGGAATATCGAGGCCGCGGGCGGCGATGTCGGTTGTGAGGAGGACTGTCGGGGAGGTGGCGTTGACGAAGCGCTCGAAATTCTTCTCGCGCACCTGGGGCTCGAGTTTCCCGTGGAGGGAGACGATGGAGAAGCCGGAGGGGAGAATGCCGTGGAGAACGCGCGCGAAGTACTTGACGGCGAAGCAGGTTGAGAAGAAGACGATGGAGCGGGAGGGGCGCGGCTCGACCTTTTCTAGCAGCTGGCACAAGGCAGGTATTTTGTGGCTTGCGGGTGTTACGATGTAGGACATCTGTAATGACATGGGCGTTTTCCTCTCTTGGATAATGCCGCCATCTTTCAGGCTTTTCACTCGCACAGTAATCTTGTGGGGGTACAGCAGGCCTACGGTGATGAGCCTCTCTACTGCTTCACTTAGCGAGGCGCTGAACAGGCCTGTACGGCGCTGCTTGGGTAAGTAGCCCAGGATCCGGGTGAGTTCCTGGGAGAAGCCCAGGTCCAGCAGCCTGTCGGCTTCGTCCATGACCAGGACTTCGAAAGAGGAGGAGGGCGCCTTGACATAGGGGCTTGATAGCAGCTCAGCAAGACGTCCCGGCGTGCCCACCAGGAGGTTCGGCGACAGTCGTAGAAATGTGCTCATGTCTTCGGCGGCCTTCGTTGTGCCTCCTACAAGGAGCTGGGGCACGATTACCGGCTCTGTTGTGGCAGGACGTTTCTCGTCGTCTTTGGCAAAGGGTAGAAGGTCGGCAGAAGAGGCGTGGAACTTGATGAGACCCACGAGCACATTGTAGATCTGGGACGCAAGCTCTCGTGTTGGCGAGATGATGATAGCCTGGACGTGATGTCGTTTTGGTGGTTCTTCACAGCGAAGGAGTTTCTGTGAAGGAATTGTGTCAGTAATGGCCTCTTCATACGTGCCAAGCTGCTAGAGAGAGAAGCATACTTCAACCACTGGTATTAGGAAAGCAAGTGTCTTGCCGCTGCCAGTGACTGCCTCTACCACCACGTCCTTGTTTCCTCGAAAAATTTCAAGACATGATTTTTGCACAGGAGTCGGTTGTTCATACCCCATTGAGGAGAGGTAGTCGAGAATCCATTGCGCAAGAGTTGGCGTCAGGGCGTCCCATGACCTGGGAGCCTTCTTGACGCGGGCTTGTACTGGTGCCATCGTCGGCGTTGTTGAAGATTCGTCCTCAATCTCGCTGGCAAAGTGAGATGCCCATTGTCGAAAAAACACCCGACTTTCATATCTTATCGTATTTTATCTGACGGTGCAAAGAAAGCCGGCTTGGCATACTTTGTACGAGCGTCGGTATTACCGTACGTTACGGATACGCTCAGGCACCAGGTCACTTACACCAGGTCAGCCCGGTGGCCTTCTTTAGGTGGTAATGGCTCAGTTGGTGTAAGTAGGCTTGAAACTCTAAGCGCCATGAAACGGCCTAAGAACCTACCATGATCCTTCAAGCACAAATGACTCGGTTAAGCAGTACCAGGCACTTGCTACTGAGTCGATGACCTGACACCCCTTCCGCAAGTTATGCCCTTCTGGTGGCAGCCATGCAGCTCGTTGGTCGGCCGGAGCCCCAGCAAATAAGAGAACATGATTTCCCGAGTTCTGGCAGTTCGTGCTGTGATCATGCTCTTGACTCACCACGATCTTCCCATGTTTCGCTTGGCATGAATATGCGTGAATGCTAAGAAAAGCTTCAAGAAGGGAACCATACTGAAGAAGAGCCGGCGAGCCTGGCAAGCAGGGCCCTAAACAACTCTACAATTACAACTACACCCGAACTTGGTTGACATGCAACGAGATGGACTGTATGGTACCTCGTAGGTCTCGAACAACAGCATCAAAGCCATCATACCGTCCCAACCAACACTTCTGATGATAGCTCCCAGTTCGCCCAGTGATGTGGTGTCGGCAAATTGGCCATTTTTGTTCCGAGCGTTAATCTCGGTATCGGAGAAACCTTGGTAAGGGGCCGATCCGGTCATGAGTTCGTAAATAACGGATCCGAACGCGAAGATGTCCCGCTGTGTTGACAAGGGCGAGCCAGAACACTCGTGGCTTGGTGTGACGGCGACGAGCAGTCCTGAGCCATCTATTGACGATCCAGCAAAATCACCGAGCTTTATATCCAATTTCTGATCCGGGAATATGTTCTGGCATGTTAGGTCGCCGTGAATAACTCCGGCCGAGTGGATGAAACCGGCAGCCTCGGAAATTTGAGTAGTCCATCGTAAACGCTGCCCGGAGCTGATGGCTGCTCTTTCTCGTTGGTTGCAAAGGGTGCGTATGCCATCATTCGATGCATACTCCAGCCGGATACCAGATTCCACCGTTCCGTGATACCGGAGGACTCGGCGATGGCCGCCCCGTTGAGCCAACCGCTCATAAACCTCGCGTTCTCGGGACGCGAGAGGGTCGTCATCGTCCCCGAGATGGGTCTTTATGACAGTCTGGGAATCTTCATCATGCAAGACGAGGCCCGTTGAACCCCAGGCTAAGACATCTTTCATGCAAAACCCGGGAGGATACTTGATCTCGTCGACAGAGTCTGCCCCTAGGCGAGTACGGGATGGTTCATCAGCGGACTCAGCGCCTGCTATTTGCAGATGGTACGACGGCCATGGAACGTTGGACAGATGATGCAGGCGCCGACCTGAGAACTACTGAGCCACTCGAGCTTTCAGATAGGTGATTGTTGACATTCATCCAGGTGAAACTCCCAACTCTAAGCATAACAACATTCAAGCATTGTCAACGTGAAAACAAGGATAAGTGGCTGGATACTCAGATTCCCACCTGAGGTTTCTGGCGAACAACGTCGGGAGTAACCCTGACGCGGGCAGAAAAAACGTTTACAGACAATGGACAGTCACCGTGTATGGCGCCGACGTGGGTTTAGAAGTTTAGACGATCGTTTTACTTGCAAAGGGGCATGGTCGGATTGTTCAGGCCGACCGCCCGAAGTCCTGCTGGGGCTCGCAATTACCGGGTCGAAAATAATTGATCCGTGAATCAGGAGTATATGGGAGAGTTCAGCACTCTCGAGACTGCCCGAGTTCCTAATATTTCTTATCGAGACAAGAAGGCGTTGGGAATGTATTGTATGTTTGTCCCGGTAGCTAGATTCCAGATCTTTTCTAATCGTTGCATCCCAAACGCAATGTGCTGAAATCTGACTTAGTGTTCCAAGTTGTTGGGTGAAAGGTAACGAGCTCTTGCGTCATTGTAACTTTCAGTTGTCACCTTGCAACGACACTCGTCAGTACGGATTACAGGCAACCCTACCTTGCAACCATTCATGGATACATTCGGCATCAGCCAAATACAGGAGTTCTTTCTAGGTTAACACATTGTCGGAATCGTTGTTGTTTTGGGCGAAACAAAAAGAAGATCGGAGTTGTCTTGGGCTCCCTCTGGACTGTCACATGCATTTGGGCGCCAATCGTTGGTTGTCAGTCGCAACCGAAAGGTCCGAAATTTTCAAAGCCCATCCCACGCGCGACAGCCCGGCATATCCGTCGGCCAACCCCATCCTTTTTTTTCTTGCATCGCCGTCAAAAACACAGCATCTGCCAACGGCGCAGCTTCCGGCCGCCCTCCTAGACAATCGATTCAGCCATGCGGCGGAGTTCAAACACTCCACCGCACCCTCTTCAGCACCCTGGATCCTGTCGACCAAAGGATATCGACCTTTGTCCAATACCACCGCTCCGTATTTAACACCTTAACCTGCTCCTTCTCTGGGGCGCGCGATTCAAGACGAGACAAGCACGACTCCTCGAGAGCCTTCTGGCCTCTGCGCTTCTCCGACTTCCCGCGGGTCCTAGCAGGCGTCATCACTCTCCCCGCACTACCACCATTCCCCTACAACATGTCCACGCGCGGGATACGAAACATTCCGGCGACGCCGAGGGTCATTTCCCCGAGTCCGACACCGTCCGAACAAGGCGCGAGCGGTCAAGAATCATCATTATATAATGGCCCAACAACACGCTCAGCTGCGCGAAGGCGACTGGGAGCTACCCCGCAACCAGCGCCGGAGGAACTCGACGAAGACGAGCAAAGGGCCAGGAGCCGAAGCCGCAGCCCAATCGACCAACGAACCTTGCGCAAGCTAACATCCCGAAAATCCTCATCCACCGCCAACACCGCAAATAGCCTCAGACCCTCAGGCGCGGAGCCAAGCAACGGCCACATGCCCTCTTCCAAACCTGACGATCACCTCTTCCCGCCCACCCCCGCTTCAACCGGAGGCGGCTGGTCTTGGCGCGACTTCAGCCGCAGCCCGAGCCCGCTTGGACTAATTCCCATTCATCGGCACTGGCGCACCTTCGTGCACAAGCACGAGGTGCCGCGCAAGGCGCTGCACGTGTCGATCGGCTTCTTCGTCATCTGGCTGTACCTGTCCGGCACCCAGACCCATGCCGTGTGCCCCTACCTCATGGGCGCGCTGATCCCCATCGCGGCCGTCGACGTCCTGCGGCATCACTGGGCGCCGTTCAACCGACTCTATGTGAAAGTGCTGGGCGCGCTGATGCGTGAGAGTGAGTTTGCGGGGTATAATGGGGTGATTTTCTACCTGCTGGGTGCCTGGGCCGTGCTGTATTTCTTTCCGAAGGATGTCGGAGTCATGGGAACGCTGTTGCTGAGCTGGTGCGATACGGCGGCAAGCACGTTTGGGCGGTTGTATGGACGGTATACGCCGCGCATTCGCCGGGGCAAATCGCTGGCCGGGTCACTGGCGGCGTTTGTTGTCGGCGTGGGCACGTCGGTGTTCTTTTGGGGATGGTTGGCGCCGACCAAGGGGCCGCTTCCTGGGGATGAGAACTTCATGTTTACTGGCGCGCTGAGCCTGCCGCGAATGGTGGCGGATGCGGTGGGGCTGGAGCCGGCCAAAGCGACGATAACGGGCGGGCTGGCTCTGGGCGTGATGGGCGTATGGTCTGGGTTGGTGGCGGCGGCCAGCGAGGTGGTGGATGTTTTTGGGTGGGATGACAACCTGACGATACCCGTTCTGAGCGGTTTGGGAATCTGGGGATTCCTGAAGGTCTTTGGGTAAGGGTGTGAGGTGCATATAAAATGACGGAAAATGAGCTGAGCTGGTTGTCGTCACAGCCGGCATGGCTGGATGTGTATGCTTATCACGGTGCATGGTTGGCGTTGGAATAAGAGCGAAGACTGGGCTTGGGCACGCTGTGACGGCACGGACTTCATGTTCCTAGAGGCTACCTACCTAACTTATCATCTCAAAATCTTATTGCTCTCCCTTCAGTTTGGTTTTGAGTCGGCAGGTCTTTGGCTCAAATGAAATCCTGCGTTTGTGCGTATTGGTTCAGTCTGCTTATTATGGCGTCAAGGCATACCGAGGTCCTTGGGCTCAGACGACTCCTGGGCGTACGCTGGTTATGCAACTGCCACGCGAGTAGAGATGTCTTGCATCTGTTCTACGTCTGGCCTGGGAGGGACTCCTTAGACGCGGGGACACGGGGACCTCGCAAAAAGGGAAAGAAGCCATTCAACAGGGGTAAAAAGACCGAAAAAAAAGCGGGGTGATACTCATCACGCTCCGTCTTCGCTCCTTCCCGATGTTTTGTGCCACGGGGGTCAACAGCGGGAGAATTTGCTGGCTTGGCTCGCAGCTTTTCCGATTCCGACACGGCAATTCGACGATTCTCTTTGTACGACGAACCGTTCCTCTCACCATATCAAGCAAGCCTTGATTCGCAGAGCAACGTGCCACCGAAGCACTAGCCGCATTATTCGCACGAACACCTGCCCTTTGCACAGATTACACAAACCGAGATGCCCGAAATGCCGGAATCGTCCGTGTTTAATGTCGTCGATTGCTGAAGATAAAAACTCCATACAACAGTCCAAGGGACAGGTCTCACAGCCCGGAAGGGTCGTGTCCTAGGTGAGTCTGTGAGAGTATCCAATTTGGCTCTTTGTCCCAGCAAACGCAGAGCCTCCGCCACGCTGAGGTGCGTGGGCATGGCCATTTCTGTGTAGGTTCATGTACGGTTTCCGTGCTGGACCTGTCAGAGAGCACTATGGAAACCCGGCTGTGGCTCCTCTGCCCTATAGCATCGTGCCCAGTCATCGGTCGGCAGCACAGTTCTGGTTTGACTGCATCTGCTAATTCCACTCGAGCCCTCATGTTACATTTCGCCGTACCCACACATGGTTTCTCCCCGTTCCTTCTCGAAGCCGGCGAGCTACAGAGCAATCAGCCACCATGGAAGACGGAGAACATGCAGGCTCAACCCCCAACAACCTGCAGGAGGGCTTGATGCGTTGTCTGTCGCTGATCCGAGCCTGCATTTCGTCCCGTTGCTCATCCTCGGAGCCCTTGCTCTCCGAGTTGCCGACCTATTTACCACTTCACTTCTTCTGCCTGGAGCCAGAACCCTTAGTCAGTCTGCCTCTCCCGCATGCTAGTTGCCGTCCAGTCTCAGTCCCCCTTGTGCTGGCAGCTCCGACGCAATTCTCGCTGCCGCAAGTTTGGGGCCGTTAGCGAGCGCGAAGCCGGGGCACATGCGAGATCTTAGACGAACCAACATTAGCTCCCATCCTGGCGGGCCTTGGGTGTCCGAGTCTACCCACCAATGGTTCAATGACGGCTGTCTGATGGGGTCCTTGGGGATCTTGTTGGGCGGACGAACGCCGGCCTCTTCTCCTTCGCATGGCCCGCAAGTCATGCTCCTTCCCCGCCCTTGCCGGCGATTGATACATGGCTACCCGGAACCAAGGTTATCCGCGTGCTAGCCTGTTGGTGATCAATGTGTTGCTAGACGGACTGGCTTCGAGGCCGCTCAGCCAGCTCAAGCGTCTCAATCCGTCATCCTTCATTGCTCAAGGTACGGAGCTTTTCGAGGGCCGGCAAGCAGCTTGGATGAAGTAGCCCTGGCAAGGTTATTGTCGGGGCAGGCTTCTGGCAAACAGGCGCAATTTCAAACCGGCACCCGGGAACGACTCTACACGGCGCACTCAGCCAGATGTCTCAGACTTTACAACCGTCCACCACCTCCACGTCTTAGGCGGCCCCCTCTCAATGGTACATGACACGGGCACGGTTCCACAGCCTACTTTACGCAACTTGCCTTACTTAGACGGTCAAGGTGCCTCTGTCTCCTCCCGGAGGTCGGAGGTAAAGCATGTGTAATCCTCGGTACGGTGCCGGCGTCTTCAGCAACGGGAGCCGCTCATGTCCCAAGACTTTCGGCACCCTCATGCGGCAGGGCCGAACAAGAGCCACAGAGTTTTGAACATGCATATTCTGGGTATGAGCCGCCAACAGCCGGCGCCGAGGCAGGCTCTGGGACATGCAGAGGAGGCAAGAAGTCACTCGACATCTTGTCTGCGGGCCATCAACCAAAACGCCCCACAGACTCAGACCGTGGATACATTTGGCTCTCCAAGGCCTCATCAGGGGCCCTAGCCTACCTGCCACCATTTCCACCGAGTAAGTGCTTGACCACTTGATTTCTTCCCCTCTATCGAATCGACCCATTAGTTTCTCTTGCGAATCAAGCCATAGCAACTAAAATCCTGTATCCCTCGTTCTCTGGAGGCGAGTGCAGTCTGGGAAGAAAGCACAGGCCAGCTAAGGGTGCCGGCAGAGCTGTCCGGTCCGGTGTAAGACCCCTCTCCGAAAAAATAATCCCACCTGCAGCTCTTTTGGACAACACATCTCATTGCCCGACCTGATGCATCTCTGCCTAACCCGACCTTGCAACGCTGTTTGACGTCGCCATTTTCCCTGCCGAACCAACGAGACGTCAGCTCTGGGAAACCGGATCCCACGCTGGTTTTCCACTTCTCCTTGGCGTCATGACGGCACACCTGTTCCTCGTTGTTGTTCCGTTCGCTGTCTCTTCCTGCTTCGTGGGTGGTCGATCCTATCACTGGAAATCTGTCTTGGGAGCACTTCGTCTATCTCTCGTCTTCTCCGTTGTCCCTGTCCGTCGTTCGTCTCATGCACTCCTGTCCACCGTTTCGACCCACCTCCCCAGCCTATCCGCACCCCATGACCGCCCGATCCCTCGATGAGCCGAACGGTGGTCCCCAGTCATCGTCGGCGAATTCAGCCTGTCGCACGCGGCGCCAGGCCTCCATCTCGCCATGTCGGCCTAGTCTCCGGCAAGGGCAGCCCTGTTCATTGCTACGGCATGTCCCCTCGCTTCCATCTCTCGCCTGACCCGTATTGCTGCGTTCACCCCCTCCACAGGCCCTCTCTTCCGGATCTTGGCCATTGAGCCTCCAGGTCTAAGTCCCGCACGGCGGCCCCCTCGCCCCTTGTTGGCCATGCTCCTCCTTGGGCCCGAGGGCCTAGAACTAAGGAGCAAACTGGAGTTCCTCGACGGGTACAGGATTGACGTCCCGTTTTGCCCTCATGAGGCCGGCTCCACCAGTACAAACGGTGATAGTTGCCCCCGGTATGCAATCCCGTTTTGCTCACTCCTCCCTGTGAGCAATCGAAACTCATCATCAAGCCAATCCGGGATTTCCTCCTCGGCCGACTGCTCAGGGATCACACATTGACCATGCCATCCTTCCTTCTGGTTGGCCTGTTGGCGTTGAGGGCGGGCTGGCCAGAGGTGTGTCTCCATGAAGACCAGACAATCACCGTCACCATCACCCTCATCACGAACGACTTCTCTCTGGTCTCGAGCGGGGTCTACGAGATACTTGACGAATAAGGTCATCGGTATTTATCCTACTCGGACTCGTGATGGCGACGTGCCGTGAGCCGAGGGGCTCTGGAGAAAGGTATAAAAAGGGTCATCTTTGACCGGTTTGACCTAGGTTCACCTTTCTCCTTTCTCCTTTCTCTTCACTCTTTCCCTGCTCCGCAAGATCTACCCTCAAGCACAAGATACACCTTCCCAGTTTGAGCACTAGTTGGAGGGTCCTAGGTGACACCGTTTCCAACAAACAAACACTCGCCCTTGGAGAGCCTGCACCGGCCACAGGTCTCGTCATACCCACTTCACTTCACAAAGGCTGTTTGCGCTCCACCCACATTTCACCATGCCTTCTTCCTACTCTACTCAATACTACGCCACCGGCGCCCTCCCCATTCCTCCCCCCAGCAAAGTGCCCTACCCGAGTCCAAGCTATTACGCCACCGGCGACAGCACCTACTCGGTCTCGCCGCCAGAGGATCTGGATGCCTCGGTCAGCTCGGCATCGGGCTATGGCAACAGCTACTCGGTAGCCGCCAGCAGTTACGCCAGCAGCAGCCAAGGAGAGTACGACAGTGCCGGCTCCGCGAGCGGCGTCGACCTCAACGAGTATATGCAGGAGCGCTTTGCGGCGACGTTCGACCCCCTTGCGCTGGATAAATGCACTGCCAAACAGGCTCAGACGTGAGTTCCGCCTCCCTCAGCTCGTACGACTTCCTGGCGATTTGAGCGGCGAGCAGACAAACAGCAGTTTATCTGCGAGTCGCAAACGGAATTTAGAGCTTTCAGCTGACGCGGAACGCAAATGAATAGATCTGGACATTTGAACGCCAAGCATCGGGAGCTGCTTGAGTTGCAGGCAAAGGCGCAAGCGCGCCTGGCAAAGACTCGCGCGCGGTTTGCGCAGGGAATGGAGGATGCGCGCGAGGTGCGAAATGACCTCGAGTGGACGCAGAAGAAAGTCGCGTAAGTTGAAATATGTCCCAAAGGCATGGATTGAACTGCTCGCGGTTTGCAAATTGGACAGTGCTGCGACGGGACCTCTGAAACTCAGTGCTTTGGAAGTAGAGCTGACGACGGAAACCTTCAGATCTTTGAAAGCAAAGGCGTCAAAAAAGCACTCCAAGGAGTACGCCAAGGCACGGGCGAGGTACCCGTCCCCGGACATGTACTAACTTCTCGTCGTCCTCATTTTTCCTAGCCTGGCGTTTCTGGCGTTTCTGGCGTTTCTGAACGGCCATTTCTTTTTTTTTACCAAGCAAGCTAGATCTCGCAGATGCGCATCTGCGAGATCAATTATAACCATTCTCGTTTTCATTATCACCAAATCGAACGGAGCGGGTGTGCGAAGCCTGGGAAGGGGGCAGAGCCTTGCGAGAGAGCGGACGTTGAGTGAAACACGAGGCTGGGATGCCCGGCGAATTCAGCCGCGCAGCACACGCCCCCCTTCCCTTTCGCCGCCTCGCAGCTCTACCGTTCTGTTACGGCGGGCGGACAGCGCAGCAAACGAACAGGTTGGGTGGATGTGTGTGTGTGTGTGCGTATGTGCGCCGGGTGACCTGCGTTTCGAGATTTCGCGCCCCTCCCCCCTCTGCCCACCCCCTTCACTACTGCACGCTTGTCTCGCGACGGGGCGACCCGCGCGCTCCACACCTCCACTACACTCTACTGCAGATTTCTCTGGGCGCGGCTGGTTTCAGGACGACGTTATGACTTATGATTGGACAGGGAAACGGGACCAGGGCGGTTTTCTGTTTCTGGAACAGTGACGGACGGAGCGGGCGGCAGCGTTTTACCTTGTTTTGCTGTTTTTGGGAGGGGAAGGTGTCGAAAAGTACTGGTACATACAGCCCAGCGCAGTTTTTACCCACTCTTCTTGACGCACGCCGGGAGCAGGGTTTCCCCTCCGTTCAGGCAGGCGGGAAGATCGGGCGGGTGATGATGGCCTGCAGGCGGATGGCTGCTTTACGGGTGAGCTAGCGCATTCCGGCTGTTGGGAGGGAGTGGAGAGCGGAGAGTGGGCCGGTGGCTTGTCTTCCCCGGGATTCTTATGGCGCTCTCTTCCTGCCTGTGCATTGCTTGGGAGCACAGAACCGAGCTTTGGAGGGGGCCCCGGTCGGTTCGGCGTTGGAGATGGATGGGGCTCAGCCACGTGAGGGAGGTCAGGCTGACGGTGACAGGGAGGGAGCGCAGCCGTTTCCCTTTTCGGGTACAAGGCGGCTTACTGCTCTGACGGGAAGGGGTGGGCGGATCTCTGCGGTTTAGAAGGGTCAGGTGGATTTCACTGTGTCTCGCTGCTTGCCAGGCGTCTTGTCTTTGTGTTGGTCTTTAGGTAGTTTGTACTCTGTCATATGAGCCGAAAACGGTTAAGCCTTGTTCGTTCTTGGTCTCGCTCTATGTGGAGAGTGTGATCACTCCTCGTGATTCTAGTCTCAAGCCTGCTGAGCACAGTGTCCCTCATCCACCTCGCGCTGAGTCTGCTCTTCAGCGGCACTGTAGCCCCCTCCTCCATCTAGGCCCCGTCATATGACGTGGTTGTGCCGGACCTGTTTGGCCCTGCCAGAATCCGTGGCTGATGACTTGACCTGAACTCCCTGAACGTGTCACGTGAGAACACCGTTGTTCACCTCTTTGCCGTCCCCATTCCCATTATCAATCTCTCGAAACAAACTGTTCATACCATTTTGGCCAGCATCAACAACACGTACATGACCGACAACGTTGCATAACCATCTCCTTCATTCGTTCAGCCAGCAGTTGTAGAGACTGCTTCATCCCCACCCACATTCCAGCCCTCATCCTTACCCACATTATCTTCCCCAACTCCTTTCCTAACTGCACTTCCACCACCACATTTATCGGCCACGCCGGCGCCAGGAGCAGTACCACCAGCAGTGGCGGCCGCGGCCGCGGCCGCGGTATCCCAGTACCTCGGCACCCAGCTGCCCACGGGTGCCAGCCCCTTATACTTCTCCATGCCCTCCCAAGGATTCTCGTTGCTGCTTGAGTCGTAGTAGTCGACGTACCAGAGCGGGTTATGGCCTCCTCCTTGCGCTTGCCTGCCGCCGCCTCTGGCGCCCCCGCGGCCTCCGCGGTTGGAGGTCATGGTTGTCCAGGCTGTGGTGTTTAACCTTTCGGGTAGGGAACGGGACTGGGATTGGAATTGAGATTGGGGTAGGGACTGGGACGGGGTGCTTCGCCCACTTTCGTTGGCTGCCCTTGTGGTTTCTGCCGCCGCTGGTTGAGGCTGGGCCGGGATGGGCGGCGCGCCTGTGTTGAGGTCGGCTTTGGTGTCTAGCTCGAAGTCATCTTCGTCATCAGTGTAGGTGATCTCGTCTGTGGTGGAGGGTTGGGGGTTAGGCTGGACCCGGTGGGGTGTGTGAGTCGTTGCCTGCTGGCCCGGGATGTCGGATTGGTGGTCGAGGCGACGCTTCTTGGATGGGCGGGACAGGTGATGATCATCATCATCATCTTTACGTTCTTCTTTCGTGGGTTTGGTGCCACCGAAACTGGTAAAACCCATGGTTGCGGCCATGGTGGCATCCTCGGCAAGTTCGTAATCGTTGTGGTCGTTGTGCAAGTCCTCCTCCGAGAGGTCGAGTTCATCTGGGTTTGAGTGGTCCATGGTGGAATCTTGGTTTGGATATGGGAGTCTAGTTGAAGTGGTTTGCAATGGATAAGATTGGAAGGTGAGTCGATGGGGGTCGGTGTGTGAGCTGGAGAGAGCTCATATGGAGATATGAGGGAGAAAGGCATGAATGAGCGAAGGATTCGCGGCTTCGATGATGGTAAGGATGTTTTTTTGTCTGACAGGTCCGTTTGCGGTCAGCTTTTGAATATTTAGAGCTTGACCCCCGGAAAGACACCAAGACAATGGACGAGTGACAGTCCTGGAATGCTATGAATGCTCCCAGCGTCTGAACTGTGAAAGAGATGGACTCGCTGAGATTCGATGTCGGCATTCTCAGCCTTGTGGGGCTCGCTAAAACAGGCCTGGAGCCGCAGTTCAACAGGGGTGTACAGTAGAGAGCACAGTATGCGATTTGTGTGGAGTCGTCATTTCTCACCTCCTCTCCCCTCGTCATGAGGCGGACGAGAGATGCGAATCGGTTGGTGCAATGACGGGGAGGGCAGGTTGATGAATCGCAGGTTAGCTTAGTCGCTTGATTCGTTGTAAGATTCAAGAAAACCATACCACTTCCATAAGGCAATCATGCAACCACTCTACAACTTCTCTTTGTGCACTGTGCTTCCGAGTCTCATCTGCGGTACTAGCTCAACTACTGTAGGTTCCAGTTTCAGCTTCCCCCAATACCGACCCTTGTCAGCCTAGCGACCTCAACGTATTATAAGGGACTTCGCTACTTATAAGCTCGTAGTTTTAGAAAAGTCCTGGTTTTCGAAGAAACTAGAGTTAGGATTTAGAATAGTTAAAGCTTTAAGATATAAGGTATTAATAAGTATTCTCTTTCTACCTAACGTATTCAGTGAGCGAGCGCCCAGGATAAGCGAGCGCCTCACTTTTCTATGCGACGCGTTACCCTTACACTCAACACCAATTGTCTCATTAACCCAACATACCTCTTATTCTAAGAGAAATCTAGGGTAATTCTAGCCGTTAAAGTTATTCAGAATAACCCGAACTAACTATACGAGCCGTAGCAAAGATTTATAACTTTGCGAGTTGAACTATCCGCCTTCGACTCACCAATATTAAAGTATGATTATACTCTAAACGAACCAATGAGAGCAAAGAACTCTACTCCACTTAACACACTAATCAGAGAACAGAACGACGGGAGACGATAAGGCCTCGGGCATAGGGACTGAGTTAGTTTCCTTCGAAAATCTGTTCCATTATCGCAGGCATCAGACTTAGACCAGACATCTGAACTAAGAAATCGAATGCCCACTCGAGGATCGCACCAGTATCACAAGCAATGTCAACCCCCATCGCAATCCGCCTCCCCTCCAAATACCAACTCGCTCAAGTATCTGCCTCCAACCCCCCACCCCTCCCTTTCCTCCACCGCACCTGGACCGTAACCCACTCAACCTTGCATATGTGGCGCTCTGCCCGCAACGTGCGCATCACCTACGGCCTTCTCCCTCCGTCCTCCTCGTTCAACAACCCTCCCAGGGAAAGACTGTCGGACTTGGTGGAGTACGAAACGCTCTCCGGCTTAGGCAGTTATAAGCGCATATCCGGGGTCGACACGGCTTCCTCTGGCGGCGACACCTGCGTCTGGGACTGGCGGGGCAGCGGGTTGCTCTTCTTTGTGGGGAGTCACTGGGAGGTGCTGGGGTGGGGGGAAAGGGAGGTTCCTGGTAGGGAAGGGGAAGTGGAGAGGTGGGTTGTTACGTGGTTCGCGCCGACGCTGTTTACGGCCGAGGGATTGGATGTGTATTCGGATCGGAAGGAAGGCGGGAGTGAGGGGTTGGTTGCGGAGGTGTTGGCTGAGCTTGGGAGGGTAACGAAGGGGAAGGGAAAATTGGGGGAGCTGGTTGAGAAGGAGATGAGGACGGTTGCTATACAGTTGCCTTGGAAAGAGACGTAGGGTTATCTTTATTGGGTTTGCCGATATGAAGAATCAGCGCTGCTTGCTATCTGGTTCGTTTCTATCTTTCTCATGGTCCGAATGATAAGGGCGGCGGTTCCTCTCATCAACGCTAAGATGTCGGCTCTCATGTCTGTGTTCCCGTTGTCTGTCTCGCTTCTGACCTTTTTCCCGCAGTCGTTCCTCATGGTGCCGATGGTAACGCTCCCGCCTGTCTGGGCTATCGCCTCTCGTATCCCTTCTATCCCGGCTATGCCTCTGGCGGTCTTTGCTTTGATCCCGCTTTCTACCGCGATGGACCGAATCGTCCTGATAGCGGGCCCGTTTATCTAATCCATCATCGCGCTCTGATTCATCCGTCCTTCGTCCCCTACCCGCACGATCCTTCTCCTCTCTCCTCCGCCGTCTCTCCCGCCTCCTTCGTTCCCTCCTCTCTTCCTTTTCAAGCTCCATCAACTCCCTCTCCCTCTCTTTCACTTCTTTCCTCCGCTCCTTCTCCAGCTCCCTCACCATCTTGGCGCCCCTTTTCATCATCGCCAGCGGATCGCTCGCATCCAGTCTCGCCGCCTCCCTGACCTTCCGCTTGGGATCCTCCCCGCCCCAGACATTCTTACTCGGCACCAGCGCGCCCGACGCCTCCCCGTCAACCGAGGCATACCACGGCCCGCCGTCCGTCAGGCCCAGGCCCTCCTTGCCGGCCGCGTTGACGAAGCGCATCTGATACTGGCCCTCGAGCTCGCGCTCCTTGCGCGCGGCTTCCTCGTTTCTTTCGCGCGGACGGGCGGTCACCTCGGCTTCTGAGAAGAGCGAGATGTGCCCCTTGCTGTCGACAAGCGAAGTGAGGGATGTGGACGGCAATGGCGTGGGCGCCGCCAGCTCGCGGGCTGCACGGCCGCCGACCGAGGCGCGTTCGCGGGCAATGCGCATCTCAAAGTCGGTGTCGTCTTCGCCGTGCCGTTTGCGCTTGCGGCTGGTGCCGGTGTGGCTGGATGCGTTATCCCAATCACGGCTGCGCGACGGTGGGAGGGCGGCTTCGGGTTCGGTCGAGTCGAGCGGAGGCGGAATCTCGCCGCGCAGTATTGCTAGACGGCGCGCGGCATCGGCCTCTTGCATGCGCTGCTCCTCGGCTTCTTCACGGGCCCGAGCGGCTTCCTCGTCGCGCCGCACGCGGGCAATGTTGGCGGGGTTGTAGACGTTCCATGATTTCTTGCCAAGAAGGTGGCTGAGATGTGTTAGCAATGGATATAGTTGTAAGCAAACAAGGCAACTTACAGAGGCATGATGGCGGTGCTCGATGGAGCTCGATGGAACTTGATAGTGGAGATGGGTCGCTGGATGCACCTTGATGGTCAGTCAAAGCAGGCCAGAATGCCAAGAGGTGCCACAACCTCCGCGCGGCCGGGTCTGGGCGGATTCGACAGTTCCAAACCCACGGATTCAGACCAGGTAAGCAAGCACGAACAGACATTTAGACCCAAAAATCCGTGCCGCATGGGCCGGCTCGTTAGTGTAGAACTATTTCTTATATTCTTTCTCCATCTACTCTTCCTATTCGTCTTCGACTTTACCTTCCTCTTCCTCTTCTCGTACCTTTTATCTTCATCGTCTAATTCTTCCTTTCCTCTTGCTTTCTTATTTTCTTACTTTTCTTAGATTTTACATTTCCGTTCATGTCAGGGTAACTACCGGGAGTACTCGCCACGTTTCACGCAACCGAGAGAACGAGGGCTGGATGGTAGAGGTCCGAGGCACGGATCTCTACCTTATGCTGCAGGATAAGGTAAGATGCCAAGATCGGGTCGTGCGCTAACTAAGAAGGGGTGAATGATTAAGTGCCCCTCGACCATCCCTGCAACCGTGGGGCCGAACTGAAGTGAAACGCCGCCGTGTCCCAACGGCTCAAGCTCGTACCTTCCCTCCGTACAGCTCTCATTCACAACTGCATCTTCCTTTTCGTAGACCGGTTTTGTTGGTGCGACAAAGTTCAGGTTTCTGCTGCACAGAAGATTCCATTCCTATTTTGTTATATCAACTTGACTGCGCCATGGATCTGCGCAACAACCTGTTCGGCAGACGCGCAGGGGGCTACTCGCCCGCTCCGGCAAGACCGCAGAACCCTTCCGCCGGAGGTTATGGCGGCGACAGCTATGGCGCGGGGAACTACGGCGGCGGCGGTTACGGCAGCGCGCCAGGAGGATACCAGCTCCAGCCCGGAGGCCGACAGGTGCCGCTTCGCCTTGCTAAGGTCGAGGACAAGACACTGCAGGCGCAGTACATCTTTGGCAATATGTGAGTCGGGCGGCCTGGTTCGATCTGTGAGAGTGCTGCTGACCTGGGCCAGCTGCGCCGTGTCACCCAACGACTTCCCCCCGAACCGTGACGCCTCCGATTTGTACATACGGCTCAGCGGCAGGGCGCCTGGCGATTACGTGGTGACGGCACGCCCTACCCCCGGATTCCCCGACGGATGCATCAGCCTGTCAGATCCCCAGCGGACATGGGCCAACATCGGCATAATGGACGAGGTGCTTGGTGAGCTCTACGACCCCTTCAGCCAAGGAGGCTCCGCATACATTGGTTCCCTCGACGTCGAGATCGGCTTCGCGTCTCAGAAGAAAATGGTCGATGCTCCCTACGACCAGGACGAGCTGGAGCGCATCTTCGTAAAGAACTTTCAGAACCAGGTCTTTTCTCCGGGGCAGAGGCTGCTCATGGACGTGCATAACGTCCCCTTGGCCATCATGGTCAAGACGGTGACTTTGATCGACCTCTCTATGGAGCGGAAGCAGTCCAGCGAGCCTCCTACACGCAGCGACCCGGGGGCGCGCGGTATCCTCACGAACCAGACCAGCATCAGCTTCTACAACAGCCCCAAGTATCCCATCAAACTCAAGGGCTCCAGCAAGCGGCCTGCTGCAAATGCCATCATCAGACCGGACTTCAAATTCGAGGACATGGGCATTGGCGGCCTCGACACCGAGTTCTCCACCATCTTCCGCCGTGCCTTTGCCTCTCGCATCTTCCCCCGGGACCTCATCGACAAGCTCGGCATCATGCACGTGAAGGGCTTGCTGCTCTATGGCCCTCCTGGTACAGGAAAGACACTCATCGCGCGGCAGATCGGTAAGATGCTCAACGCCAGGGAGCCCAAGATTATCAACGGCCCGGAAGTCCTGAACAAGTACGTCGGTCAGAGCGAGGAGAACATCCGAAAGCTTTTCGCCGATGCCGAGAAGGAGTACAAGGAGAAGGGCGATGAGTCTGGCCTGCATATCATCATCTTCGACGAGTTAGACGCGGTATGTAAGCAAAGAGGTTCGGGCGCCGGTGGCGGCACGGGTGTTGGCGACAGCGTGGTCAACCAGCTCCTGTCCAAGCTGGATGGTGTCGACCAGCTCAACAACATTCTCCTCATCGGAATGACCAACCGGAAGGACATGATCGACGACGCTCTGCTGCGTCCGGGCCGTCTGGAAGTCCAGGTTGAGATTTCACTCCCTGACGAGTCGGGCCGGTTACAGATCCTCAAGATCCACACGGCCGCGATGAGGAAAAACAACATCATGGGCAGCGATGTCGACATCGCCGAGCTGGCGGCTCGGACCAAGAATTTCTCCGGTGCCGAATTGAGCGGCCTCGTCAAGGCTGCCACCTCGTTCGCCTTCCAGAGGCACACCAAGGCCGGCACCATGGCCGGCGTCAGAGAGGACGCGGGTAACATGAAGATTAGCCGACAGGACTTTCTCGATGCGCTGAACGAAGTTAAGCCCGCCTTTGGCACCGACGAGGCGGAACTCGAGAAGGTCATCGAATACGGCATCATTCATTTCTCGCCGAGCATCTCGGCCATCCTGAATCGCGGCATGCGGGAGGTTGAGACTGTGCGGCAATCAGAGAGGCTCCGGCATACCTCGGTGCTGCTCCACGGCCCACCGGGCAGCGGCAAGACGGCGCTGGCCGCACATATCGCTATGAAGTCGGGTTACCCCTTCATCAAGATCATCACACCCGCGTCGATATACAGGCATAGGGACGAATTTGCGAAGAAGGATTATTTGTACAGTGTCTTCACCGACGCCTACAAGTCGCCGTTGAGCATGCTTATCATCGGTACGTCCCGTCTCCCCTTGGTCATCCATCTCTTCACGCTGACAGTTCCCAGACAACATCGAAGAACTCATTGAGTGGAACCCGGTCGGCCCGCGGTTCTCCAACAGCTTTCTCGTGGCGCTCGTCACGCTGATTAAAAATACTCCGCCAAAGGGGCACCGCCTCCTCATCATGGTCACGACCTCGCAGCTGTCGGTCTTGGAGCAGCTCGACGTCAGAAGGGCGTTTCAATTCGAGATCCGCGTGCCCGCCGTACAAACCCTGAGCGAGATGTCGGCCGTGCTGGCCGAGTATGAAGAGCCGGAGCACATCAACCATGTGCTGAGCAAGGTCAGCGAGTATACGGGCTCGGACCGCGTAGGAGTCGGCATCAAAACCATCTTGGCCGTGAACGAGTCGGTGAGGTCTGGGGGGGTTGCGGATCCCGCAGAGCAATTTGCTGAGGAGATTGCGGGGGAGATTGCGAAGTATAACTATTCTTCTTCCGGAAGGTAGACTGGGGTTTTGCTAGATGCCTAGGTAGTGTGTGTCTGGTGGTGATAGGGATGGAATATTCTTCGGTGGCTGATTTCAAGAGTGTGCATCTATGATTGTGACAGTGACAGTGCCAAGTCGAGTTGAAGACTTGAGGTCTGAGGTAGGTAGGACAGTGAAAGGTTATGTTTACTGGGCGGGTTCGTCGTGAGTGTTTGGGGTTGTTGCGTGCCTTGAGACCGAACTTGCCTGTGAGGGAAGGAGCCAACCTCAACCGCACCTTTTTGACCGCACCTTTATGTAGGACTCTCTCGTCTCTCCTAAGCAACCACCCCCCCCTCCCTCCTCTCCCCAAAGAGCACAATGGACTAGCGTGGGAACAAGACAGACCCAAAAATGGGAGCCAGAAGGAACCATGCGAGCAACTTAGCAAGTCGCTAGTTCGACTCTGAGCTGGAGCGGGACAAAAAGGTACGCCCAACTCTGGACTGAGAATCTCTGAACCGGAGAACAAACAAACCCAACGTCGTCATGGGGAAAAGAGCCAGGCAACAGATGAACCAAAACCCGCGTGAGGACTTTCGTAACCAGCCAGCAAACTGGCTGCTGAGCTTTTTGTATTTTGTTCTCGGCGTATTTGGTATCTTATAACTGGTTCCTGCTTTTGCATATACTTGGTCATGTTGCCCAAGTCTTCTAAACGAGGTTGCGATCGCTGCCCTTTTTATCCCTTCACCTGTTACAAGCCACTTTTCATCGTCTCAAACCATGCAACAGAAGACCCATCATGCGCCACAGCCTCAGCAGCAGGGCAGGAACGAGAGTCGCTATGGTGAAACAGACTATGAGGGCGCCGCCAGGATCTGTTATGGCGCCTCCGCCGGGGCCGATAAGGTTGTGCGAGATGTATGCTAACGCGTAGAAGAACCATGCTATTTCTTGCATGTATCTGAACGGGTGGGAGAGTAAGTTTCTCGTAGGAACCATTCACCCCGGCGACGGCCGCGAGGCTGGCAAAGTACTAACCGGATGAAATAACGTTTATGGTAATAACAGAGCACGCCGCTGTTGGCCATCCAGAAGACTAGGAGTCTAAATCGTTGCTGATGTGTCAACCTCCACTTCGTTGGGAAAAGGATAATTGCCAGTGGGAGGAGCCAAGGAGGAGGTAACTAGAAGCTTGAAGTTGGTGCTTGAGAGAGAGATTCCTCGGCACAAAGCTTAAGAGAAGAGCTTACATTCCACGCGCGATCTTAAAGCGGCCCGGACCTTCTCTTGGCCCTGGGGCTGAAAGGAAGAGGTAGCCCAAGATGATACATACGTGGGCAATGAACGCAACCTTGGGCAGTATCACACGGGCCGAACTAGTAGTCTCCAGTCCGATAGGTTTCTGGACTTGAGGCGTTTTACCATGCTCAAAGGGGCGCGTGCTGGTGTTGTGGCTGTTGTTGTCGTTGTTGTGGGTGCTCGAAGGCTCCGAGTCCTTCTCGATCGATGACATTGCGGTTGAAGTCGCCAGACAGGATATGATATGACGGTTTGGGCAACTCAAGTCAAGCCGAGGCTTAAGAAGTGTACCAAAAATGAGAGAGCGTGCCGACAACAATGGGCTCTAGAAATCATAGATCCAAGGGATGACTAAGAGCATGAAGGAGTTGAGTGTTGGTGTGTACGGAACATTTCATTGCATCGCATGTCCGTTTCCCTCATTAAATCGTATGCAATCCGGAACTTCTTAAAATCCGGTATTCGAGCAACTTCCATCCACCCAAAATTCCAGACGACCACCCTTCTTCCTCACCGATTGGGCACACCACATGTGCACAGCGCCGTGCCAACCTGCAGGAGCGCTGGCCAATGGGCCATCTGACGGCGCGTCATTTGGATGCAACGAACTGAATGCGCAGCGCCACAGGTTTGGGCAGATCTTTGTGGCTTGGCTGCATCGGCTCCCTCTCGGAGGTATACTGCAAAGTATGCCTTGGACCTCCTAATCAGGGGGGATGACCGTTTGTAGCAGGACGAACTCAAAACTAACGTGAACGTTGATGGATGCCCTCCGACTAATCCTTTTACTTAGATCCCTCTTACCACTTCGTTGTCGAATCTTTGACGTAAAGCGCACTGGAGGTTCCGTCAATAGCCCAACACTTACCTTATCTTCACCCTTTTCTACCTGTCTTGTGAACTACGAATGGATTTCACCGATCTCAGAACTCGGGAAGAAAAACTCGCGACATGGGTCGATCCGCCGAACGATCGACGGCTCAGGGTCTTGACGGGATCGCTTTCTCCATTTTCAGAGGAACCCGGGCATCGAGCGCGCATCTCAGACCACGAGATACACTATGACCAGATCCAGGATCATCTCTTGAACATTCAGAGCAGCGATGCATTCGAAGACGGCACATGGCATTTCCGCGTCCTTTCTCTTCCCCGCCTCCGGTCCGGCAAGTTGGTGCTGTCCATTCCCAAGCAAGCCTTCCAGAAGATCCAAGAGGCATGGCACCTCCACCCGCGCACCATCGAAGTCTTCCTCTCCAACAACGGGGCCTTCGCCACGTTCAACTCTTGCCCCGGCGGACGGACATCACTTGTTATGAAAGTGGCCAGTTCACGCGCCACAGGCTTCGACTGCGTCTCCGTGAATTGCGATCCCGGCCGTCGGACAACCTATGTTCTGTACCAGCATCTCAGCGACGAAGACACCGTCTTCGCCACGCTGCTCTCTACTCCGGAGCTGTGCATTGACCCTCATTTCTTCGTCGGGGCCCTGTACCGCTCGCACCATCAGCACATTGAGGCCCACCGTCTCACCATCGACGACACGATTCTTGGGATCGAGCGAGCGACCAACATCGGCACCCCAGGTAGGCTCGCATCTCCTTGGCTGCGTCGCAGTCTGGACGAGCCTCCCGCTTCCGAGGACCCGAAGCGCGTCATACAGAGACTTAGTTACTGTCAGACTGATCTTGCCGTCCTTGGGCACGCCGCGCGATGTAGCCTGGAATGCGGACGATGGCTTGTCCAGTCCATTGACGAGAAACTACACTATGAGCAAGGTCTGCAGCAAGTAGGGGAAGGGACCAGCCGCTCCCAGGACCTCGAGCAGCGGGACCAAGCAATTTCCGACAGCCTACGGGTGGCACAGCTGATGGTTCGTGACGAGGTTGAATACATCCGGAGGCGGACTGCCATACTGCTGTCGCAGGTGGAGCAATTGAGACACAGAACTCAAAGCCAGACTGATTTTGTGGGTCTCCATTGTTGACGGCTTCTGTAATAACCCTGTGACGACTAACATTTTGATCAGATGCTGAGCACCATCACACAAAAAGACTCCGAGTATACGGCCGCCATAGCAGTCGACGGCAAGCGCGACAGCATCGCCATGAGGACCATCTCCATTCTCGGCATCATCTACCTGCCGCCTACATTTGTAGCCACCTTGTTCAGCGTTGACATGTTCGAATGGGGACACGGATCCGACTCGGGCAGCGAAGTGTTTGCCCTGCGGGCATCGCCAAGTGTATGGATATACTTCGCGGTGACGGTGCCCCTGACGCTGGCGACGTTCGTCGTGTGGGTTCTCTGGGCTAAAAAAGAGAACCAAAAGACCAGCCAGCGGTTCATGGCGTATCGCACCCAGGCCCCTGAGCAGAGCGCTGCTGCTTCTGAGGCGACAAGCACAACAGGGTTTGTTTCCGGAGAGAAGATGGTATAAGGGCAAGAAACACGCCCATGACTGAACATGTCTTTGACATCTTTATCTATCGCCATCGCTCAGTGTAACGGTCTCAGGTAGTATATTGCAACTAGCTGATGACGACTCTACGAGTACACTGAACTTGGAGAAGAAAAGGAGAGACGACAGACTCTGGTAGCTCGCAAGCATACTTATCCTCGTAGGCGCGCTGGTCTGGGCGCGTTGCTAGAAGGTTCGGTGTGCTGTGGGGCGAGTGGGAATAGCCTCATCAGGGGTCTTGGTATTGGCCGAGAGTCGCCGAGGCTCGCACCGGGCCCAGCCCGTTACACTCAGCGCTAGGATGATATCTAGTGTGAGTGACCTAGGCGCAGAGTTGCCAATATCACTGCCGTAACATACTAGGCGAGTAAGAGATTCCCGGCATGAGCAGTTGTTACAACCCAGCCCCGATTTGCTTGTTGATGTGATACATGGCAGGCCGAGTTAGAAAATGGAGAAACTGGGGGTGTAAGGAAGAAGGAGACAAAGGTAGGAAAATAAAAAGATAAAAACAACTAACGTTAACTAGTTATATAGAGGAAAAAGGAAGGAAGAAGAAAGGTGAAGAAGTAACGTCACAAAAAGAGATAAGATAATACCGTCAAGAGACTAATAACTAACGTACCTACCGTTTACTAATGATAAGTTAGTTTTTACAGTTTTTATTTCGTGCCTAAGCTCCGCGCTAACAAACGAACTAAGGTCTGATTGTACAAATGCCACACAGCTTCTCTCCCTAGATTCTTTCTCCATTACTCCTTCAGCTGGCAACCTAGTCCATGTGTGCGGGCGCCATTCTATCAAGATCCTTTTCCCTCATGTCTCATTGGCCGGATACAAATCCCGCCCAGACTTCCCTCCCGTGTCAGTAGGGACTGGGAATTTCCCAGCAGGGAGGGTTGCACGTCTCAAATCTGGTGTTGGGGTCATGAGTAAAGCCGTGGCAGGTGCCTACCAGTATTACGTAAGCTTAGCAAGTCCTGATGAATCCAGTGAGCCACAATGCTAGGTCGAGTTAGCCAGGTGCTTGTAGTGGCCATCCCGTCAGAACATTGACAATAATTACCAATGCCTTCTTGGGGATCGGCTCTGTTTGGGGACCGTGAGCGGCAGGGACAGCAGGTTGAACTCAGGCGGCGCTAGCGGGCCAAGCATGAAGCAAAAGATGTCCTACTGGTTCTCGCACCAGCTTGGGCCCTGCGCCATGACGTTGCCCTCCAGAAGGGCGAAAAGAGTGACGATGACGAGCTTGAGCTGCATGGTAACAATCAAGTGTCGTCCTTGTTGCTGGAGCTCTGTCACGGGGAGGTGAAAGCTCAGGAACAGGTGATGGAAGCGGAATCTCAATAATTGAGGCTGCTGTGAGAACATGAATTTGAAGGAGACGACGACGGTGTGGCTGGGATGACTCGACTGAAGAATGTTCAAGCTGTTCTGCTGTGCAAGACAGAACTTGCAGAGATGAACTGATATCTTATACAAATGGATCATTCTCTCCCCCCCGCCCGGGCGGGGGGAAACTCATGGTTGTTGTGTCACGAGCTAGTAGAGACTGCATTAAGTTCTGTCCGTTTCCAATAGCCCAGGGGTTACATTTGCGAGACGTAGGTAACCAAACCTAACAGGTATGTTCGGATGGAGCGTACGAAAGGCTGCATGAGTGTCTTGAGTCTCTGATTCGACCGTTCGAGTGATGGAGATAATGCCTGGATATTATATCTCCACTCCCAGTTTTAATTACCTGTAGTCCAGTTGTTGGCTTTTACCCTATCAAATGCTCATCGGCCCCCAAACTCCCCTTACTGTGTAGTCTTGTGTGTTGATGTCAAGTCAGAAGGACAGGAAGGCCGCAAGTGCTGATGACGCTACCAGGCGTGACCAAGTTTTTTGGAAATGACAAAGAAGGTAGTATGGATTGTAAGGTAGTATTAGGAATGTTACGTTGGTTGACTCCTATCATTGCCAACAAAGATATGGTACTCGACATGATCAGAGGATGGGCTGCGATGTGTCGGTTCGCCTCTCAGTCTACGAACTACCGTCACTACCGGTTCCGGAAACTGCAGGTCGATCAGGCCCGAGAAGCTGCATGGGAGACCGGTGGCTGACCAGTCTGTTCGATCGTTGCACTGCCTCCCTAACCGGGCCGTTCGTCTGTTCGGCAACGAGCAACATGTTGTTCATCATGCCCCTGACCAACGACCCGAGACCCTCCGAGCCGTGACCCATTTCGTCTTTACGGACATCCCCTGCTGCCAACGAATTTATCTCGTCCAGACGATGCAGCCACCATGTCCATCGTTGGGGGCTGAATCCTCCATGCCGGGGTGCTTCTCCCGTTATTCGACCGGAAGGAGCGGCGTCAGAGGACACAATCAGCTCACCCAACCGACCAACCTCAACTGGAAACCGGTCTTCCCGCTCGGCATCCGAAAGCTGCACGAGCTTCCTCCCTGCCGTAAACAACCAGGCGTTGGCAGCAGGCAGGAGGTCTGCCACACTGAGCCGTCGAAGTTGCCGCGCAGAGTCCTGGTCTGTGGCAATCAGGGGACCGAGCGATCGACGTGTTTCCAGCGCTTCACGGAGGACCTCGAGCGCGATGCCGCAGAGGGCATCGTCGGCTGCTGCACCAGCGGCCGCGAGCTGGGCCAGAAACTGGGCGCCGCTGAGACGCTGGGCGGAACTCATGGCTGCGCTTTCGTTGATCCAGTGGGCTGTCATGTCTGGCACCAGGAAGGGCAGGTCCGTCCAGATGAGGGAGCCGTCAAACGTAACGGCCGCCTGGGGTTCATTGTTTCTGTCACGGTCTCTCTCGCCCGAGGCATCATCAGGCTTGAATCCTTGGATCAGCACGACACCCTGCTCCCGCGCCTGAATGATGTGCAGCGCGAGCCAATCCAGCTTGGGGCTGTCAGGGGCCGTGTTGATGGCGCCGTGCCAGAATGTGTGCCACAGGCCGTGCATGTCAATGTCGAGCAGCGCAGCATCCGGGCCGGGCAACGGGGCGGATGCAAGGCACGAGCTGATCGAGACCAGCATGCTCCATGCTGACTGCTGACTGCCACAGCGTGTTACCGTCCTCGTCCTGCCGGGCCGATTGGGCGTTGGCCTCCTGTGCAATGACCGAGACCTTTTTGCGGTTGGCGATGCTGGTCATGTTGGTGATGCTGTCGCCGTCTTAACGTTTGATGGGGATCAATGATTGTGACGTTGGATTTGCGGAAGAGGACTCAGAAGGGAGTGAGCGGAGTGAACTGGCGTTGACCAAGGCCAGGTCGGATCATTCGGTTGCGGTTTCTATAACTTCTATATGAACGACAGACGTAAGTCATGTACATCCGGTTCTGTTCCGGTAAAGCCGTGTAACCAACCTAACAGAAAGCCATGCAGTTGCTAAGATTTTAGTAAGCTTCACCGACGTGAAGAACAGATAATCATCGCACGGCACTGCAGACGGAGATAGTCCGGGCTTTTGTTTCCATATGCAGATGGTGGTGACCTTGCCCCTGCGGTCAAACCGTTTCGGAAGGTCATGTTCTCAGTGACGGACCATCCCAACCGTAACCCCAAGCAAGGTACCAGGTGGTTGGCGGACACGTCCGAGAGTGTTCCGGGCCACGTAGCAACAGATCAAGTTCATTGTGCCAAGATGCGCTGCGGCATCGCATCTACGAGCAGCCAGCCAGCCGATGAATTGTTGTCTATATTGGAGGATACAATCCAGCCCTGGTTTGTCTGTTAGCGCGGCACATAGCGGGCACCAGACATGAACAGGAAAATGGAATTCAAGGATACTAACATAACAAGAAGGAAGACAAGAAATGGAAAACTAGAATATAGAGGTACCTAGTGACGAAAAGTCCGACAAGAGGAAATAGGAAAACGGAGATGAAAATGGAGATAAAGATGATGGAAGATAGTAAAGATGGGGATAGAAACGAAGCCGAGCAGAAAGAGGAACAGGAAGACGGAATGAATATAAGGCTAACGTTAGAGTGATGAAAAGACAAAGAAGTGCGTTAAATAGTAACTTACCTCAAATTCGACGCTAATAAACAAACAAGGGTTGAATTATATTGTACCATTGAATCGTTCAGTCAACCAATAATGACCGAGAGAGCCAGAGTGGTGTTGAAAGGAGATGCCCACAACCAGTCAACAGTCCGAGTCTTCTATCAGCCTGTCAGGAAAAATGGTATAAATACCCTCTGTACCTGCCATCAGAGCGTCCCTGAGCGATTATATGGGGCGTCTTTCCATCGTCGCCAGCTCTACTTCATCCAAGTCTACCCAGGTCGCTGCCATCATGAAACCGACAGCTCTGGTCCCCCTTATTCTCCTATTTTTCACGGCGATCCCCGGCGTCCTCCGCCTCGCTGTGCCCGGCGAGGTCCTCCTGGAGCGCCAGAACGACGTTACCTGCGAGAGACCTGGGCTCAAGGTCACAAACATCACTGCCGTAATAAACGAGACGAGCACTCTCGACAAGCGCAACGACAATGGAGTACGTGGTCGTACACCGTCCACCTACCTTATGTCCATTGCTTGGCGCATTAACTAACCCATAGGCCCATGATCAATAATTTTGTACCGCCAGAGCACAGACTTGCTCTTGCTCTCTATGCTGGCAAGGCGGTAGCTTCGTCTGCCTGGGCTATTGCAACTGTCTCGTGACTCTCCCGGTATGTTTCCGTCTTCCTCGCACCCCTCTCTTTCCCTCCGCCATAACGCAGAATGTTTCATGTTGTGATGCTGACGGGCGTCGTTGTCCAGTGCACCAATGATGGTAATGATTGTTTTTATGATACCGGCAATGGGGGATGCTGCTGTACGTGAGAAAGGGTGTCTCTGGCATGAACAGCCCGAATCTAGCCGGCATGCTGCGTTGACCTCCATGCCATGTTGAGCCCGTGGCGAAGAGAGTTTATCTTTTTGTCATCGCTGTAGTGGAGCTGGAAGTTCTTCGGCTGGCTCGGGGGCAGTGACTGATGTAAAGCTTGACTCGGTTGATGGATCTGAGAGTACCCGTTGACAAACCCCCTGACATTGAGACCTTCCCAATTCCAAGCCCAGCTGAGACCATACAGAGTGACTGCCCTCTCCTCGTTGATCATTCGTCGAAATAAGCCTGACGTTCGGCATGTGCGCCAGCGTCCTGGTTTCGTGAAGCATTTCACCAAGGCGGAGAGAACAAACCCGCTTCGGAAAGCGATTGATTTACGACTCGGAGAATCAGCGGATATATTGGAAACGGAATGATCCAAGAGAGCAAGGGATGAGTGTATACATACCGTACGTAAAATATCTAAGCCTAATGCTATATACCAAGGACAACGAAGGGGAAGGTTGTCGTAAGGTGAGATGAAAAACCAGATAACCCTCGAGCAATATTCTCGGCCGCTTGTTCAGGTTTCGTATTGCAGAAATAACGACCCCAACCATCCCTAATGCTGCCCGCCCGCCCGCCCACCTGACCGCTCGTCCACGGAACGCCGAAGAGAACCCATCAACAGGCCCATATAACCGTGACAAAATCAACCATGTTCCCAATTGCGGCAGCTGGCCTCCCTCAATTAGCTTACAGCACCTCGGTCTTCTTCTGAAACATCATCCCAACCCCCAACGATGCCCTTACAAACCCGCCGTCTCTTCTGTGCAAAAATAAGAAGAAAAATAGGAGAAAATGAAGGCAAAACAGAAAATAAAGTGACTTAACCCCTATTTCAAGCAGTCTTCCTCTTCCTCGGCAACCCCATTGCCTTACGCGCCTTGAGATCGCCCTCGGCAAGCCACTTGCACGCCTTGACAAGCTGCACAACATTGATGATCTGCTTGAGCGCCATGACGGGGAAGCTGACGCCCGCGAGGACCCAGGGCCAGAAGCTGTCCATCTTGTTGGCGCGGGCGAGCTCCAGCGCCCCGGCGCTGTGCGGGTTGGCAAAGATGAGCTTGAGCAGTGAAGAGTTGACCTGCGCGCCCTGGTGGAGCGCCTCAGCCGCTGGTTCCGGCACCGTTTGGAGGAGGGACGGCGAGAGCAACGGGGACGAGAAGGAGAGCAGGTATAGCGCGATGAAGAAGGCTTCGTTGAGGGCGCAGGCTACGAAGAGGACCGTCTGGAAGGGAAGATGTTAGTCCGTGTGCGTGTGTACATCTAGCCGTAAAGTCAGGGGTGAGCGCACCTTGTTGGTGTAGTACAGTGATAGAATACGGCTGCGCGAGGCGTCGACGTTCTTGTGGCTGCTTTCGGAGCCGGCCATAGCCAGCGTCGCGTACATGTGTATGTAGTGGCTCGCCAGGTCGAGCGAGATCAGGCCCTGGAAGAGGATGGCCCAGCGGGGGAAGGCCGACGACAGGAAGACGAGCAGGCAGGCCGTGGTGCAGCGGTCCGTCACCATGTCGAGGACAGCGCCGAAGCGGGTCGACTGCTCAAAGTAGCGCGCCGCGTAGCCGTCGAGCGCATCGAGTAAGCAGGACACGGTGTACAACAGGGAGCAGGTGCGGGGGTGCAGCGGCATGTAATAGAGCGAGGCGACGGCGAGGACGATGCGGGAGTAGCCTGGGAGAGTTTCGTGTTAGGGAGAGATGCGCTGGCAGTATTGACACTTGTTATGCGTACCAATGATGTTTGGCCACAGTAAAAAGATGTTCTCCTGAGACTCGTCGGCGGCGGCAGTGTCGGTTGTGCGGACCTTTTCATTGCCATTGGCGCCCTGCATGGCCTCGTTATCTTGGCCCTTGAGCTCGGAGGAGGCTGTTGCGGCGCCCTGGCGCCGGTTCTTTGCTCCGGCCATGGTTCTTCACTCGTTGGTTATAAAGTGTGAATGGTCGTGTTCTGTCTCAGTTTGTTGGGATCGATGTAGGAGCCGCTGGTCGCTCTGGGCTGTGCGAAATCTGGTTTCGGATGACGCGGAAGTGCGATATGGTCTATGGTTATCTGGTATCAAAGATAGCGCGGCGGGCTTGATGCGCTCGACGAAACTGGGCTGCTGGGCTGCGCAATGCCCACGGCGTCGAAGGGGGCGACTTAATCCTGAATGAGCGTGAGTTTCGCGTGGTTGTGGGAATCGGCAGCCGGATGCCGGGAGGTTGTCGGGATCTCGGGCAGGACAGAGGTTGTGGATGGCCGGGCTGCAGTAACAAGTGGATATCTCAGGTCTGAAACGTATGGCGCGTTTTTGGAAAACCCCGCAAAAAACCGCCCAGCCCTTTGATATCACTTTCAGAGAGGTAATTTTGGCAGTCCTCCCGTATTGCCCGGCAATCACGCAGTAGATTTCTTTAAAAAGCCATTAGCTAATGCAGCTCGTCGAGCTCAAAAGATTGATATCCTTTGGAAATGATGCATTTTTGTGGTTGTCGAGATGCACGAGCTTCAATTCCGGGAAGGCATTTCGCTCCCCTGGAACCGGCCGTCTGGCACCCTAAAAATTGGCGCCCAATCCACTAATCATTTAGGGCTCAACGCACTAATTTCAGGACTTCAGATCTCAACGACAGTTATCAATCTCAGGGCTACAGTACATACATTGGACGCTATATGACACTTGCACCCTTTCCACCCACCTCCCTGCCCCCCCCCCCGAAAAAAAGAAAAACCAAAGAACGAAAAAAAAGAAGAACAGCCAAGCAACCCCCTTTTCACGCTTCCGCGGCCATCTACGCTCCAGATCCCC